TTCAGCCACACTTTTCAGGAGCTGGAATCTCAAGCTAACCTTTAACTTGGGAAATTAATCCGAAGATAGAATGGAAGGGCCAGCTTCACGCCAATTTGATTTTGGAAAAAATATATTTCTGTCAAAAGCTGGAGCTGCGCCCCATACTTCTGAAAATATTGATGCCATATTATACGAAAGCACTTTGAAACCGCCTTTTGCCTCAAAAACCGGTTTAAATTGCTAGTAGGGTAATAATTTTAGTTTCCTCAGATCTCACACCTTTTTAACATTATTTATGAGCGATAAACTGAAAAATTATTTCCAAAATTGCTTTATTTAATTTTTATTGTAAATTCCCCAATTTTTGTCCTGGGGCTATGGCGGTGGCTGCCCTCTCCTGTCGATTTTGGGACCTGCAGTACGTATTCGTGATGGGGTTTGTTTCCAAGCACGTTCTGAAACCAAAAACGTATAAAATCAAGTTTTTCAAAAAAAACCCCCACCGGCAAAAAAATTAAATCGAAATTTTCTCGAAAATTAAAACACCAAAGTTTTCTTCATCCTGGGGTACTGTAATATCCGAGTTTTCGTCGTTGTCTTCCTGGGAAAAAACGTGGCCTCGTGTCCTAGAGTTTGATTCTCATCGGAGTTATGTTGGTGACGTTTTCAAGGACATTCTGAAACCATAAAACCAATTAAAATCATGTTTTTCAAAAAAAACCCCCCTCCGGCAAAAAAATTAAATCGAAATTTTCTCGAAAATTAAATGTCCGATTTTCGAAATTTTTGCGGATTCTGAAAGCCCATGCTTGAAAGCATAAACGATCCTAAAATGAAGAAAATCCCACGTTTAATCTTACCGATCCAGAGGAAACTTCGAATTTTTGGTCGTCCTGGGGTACCGTAACATTGCCATTATCTTCCAGAGTTTTGAGTCTTTTTCTCTCGACCAACAACTGGGCCATTTCCTGTCGTCTTCGTTTCTTCTCCTCTCTCCTCTCCGCTGATGCGGAGACTCGCGCGTAGCATGATTGTGAAAATCTATTCGATTTCATCTAAATTAAAAAATCCTTAATTTCAGTATTTGAAGCGTACCTCCACGTAAAGCGACGATATGATAAAAATCGAAGTACCATTAGAAAGCTGAAGCAATTTGCTACAATTTCATAAGAAAACATCCTAAACTTTCACCCCTCAAAAAAAGTTACCGTTCATCCAAATTGACACACTAAAATATATCTTTTGGGAAAGGCCGCCAAACTAGGCAGAAATTTTTTTTGTCTGTCTTTTTTGTGCACTTTTTGATTTCTCTGCATTGATTCTGCATATTCTGATTCTTTCTGCATTGATACCGTTATTTTCTGTCGTTTTATTACCGTGTTCCTGCGGGGAGGAACAGTTGTCCAAAATGGCCAGGGAGAGACTTGACTCGATCAATTTTTTTTCCGTTTTTTATGTTTAGACAAATTGGCGTGCCAGCTTACCTCTGTTCGACCCTTTCCTTTTTGGCTGGGGAATTTACGCTATTTCTGTGGGGTCTCTCCAAAGGCATGATCTCTAATTTTTCTGTATTCATGACGTCATTATTGACTGAAAATTTCAAAAAAATCTCGAAAAGGTAGCCTCGGCCGGGGACTGGGTGGAATTGCAGGGAAAGGAATCAAAAGTGGAAAGGGAAGGGAGTGTGTACGCCCATAGCCCGTTGAAAGCACGCCATCCCGTCCGATCTGGCAAGTTAAGCAACGGTGCGCTTGATTAGTACTTGGATCGGAGACGTCCTTGGAATCTCAAGTGGCGTACGCATTTTTGACTTTTTTGCTTTGAATAAAGAAACCAGAAATTAGGGGGTCCCTTCGGGCCCCCCAATTTCTGGTACTTTTGCTTGTTCTTTTACTCTTGCTTTTGAATTTTCCCTAAGCCTTATGATTCCTTTTGAAATTTTTAAAAGGCTCGGGGCCTGCGGCCCCTCGCATGCGGTGCCACGTCTCATACTGAGTGCTGTGAAGACTTGACTGGAAGGCTCGGGGGCCTGCGGCCCCCTCGCATGCGGAAAAGTATCCAAACTCCTAACTTCGTGTCACGTACACAACCCAAAACATGCAAAGGCACCCCACTCTGCACCACTCACCTGCACTCGAACCCGACCGCACTCCACACTCGCATTTTACCGACTGACTGCTCCGCAAACCAAAACTTTGAAAATGATTTTGAATTTTTTCAAAAATTCCCACAACCGAGACCGATTTTTTGCCTCGAATTTTTGAAAATGAGAATAGATTGGCTTCGGAATGACAGACAGAAAAAGATTCATTCTTTTACATTAAGAAAGGGGACCAGAAATTAGGGGGTCCCTTCGGGCCCCCCTATTTCTGGTGCTTTTACTTCTTTTTACAATTGCTTTTTAAAATTTTTAAAAAACTAAACTTTTTGAGATTTCTCAAAAGGCTCGGGGCCTGCGGCCCCTCGCATGCGGTGCCATGTCTCATACTGAATACTAAAACATAAATGAAAGAAGAATACCTATTACCTGAAAGGCTCGGGGGCCTGCGGCCCCCTCGCATGTGAAAAAGTTCCTAAAATTCCTAACTTTTCATCAATGCCCTAACTCAGATTCATCACTTTCCCTAAAAAATAAAATTCCAAAAATTCCTATCACAGTACCACTTACCCAATCCAAAATATGCAAAGTTCCCCAACTCTGCACCACTCACTTGCACTCCAAACCCGACCGCATTCCGCACTCACATTTTTGCGACTGACTGCTCCGCAAACCAAAGAATTTTCATCAAAACCCTAACCCAAATTCATCACTTTCCCTAAAAAACAAAATTCCTAAAATTTCTATCACAGAACCACATACCAAGCCCAAAATATGCGAAATTACCCCACTCTGCACCACTCACCTGCACTCGAAACCGACCGCACCGCGCACTCACATTTTTGCGACTGACTGCTCCGCAAACCAAAACTTTGAAAATGATTTTGAATTTTCCCATTTTCCCAAGATTGAGACCGATTTTTTGCCTCGAATTTTTCAAAATGAGAATAGATTGGCTTCGGAATGACAGACAGACAGAAAAACGTTCTTTTGCATTCATAAAGGGGACCAGAATGTCGGGGGTCCCTGCGGGACCCCTCCATTCTGGCAGATTCAGCAAACCTTTATTCAGATTTTTTTTGAAAATTTTAGATGCAATTTGAGGGTCGGGCGCCTTCGGCACCCTCCCATGAGTACAAACTGTCGCTGATTTTACACTAAGACGCTCGGGGGCCCTACGGACCCCCTCGCTTATAGTTTGCTTCCAGTTCGCACACTCAGAGACAGAATTCGCAAAGATTACAAAAAAATGCATACTGCACATGCAGAGAATTGCAATTTGAGGGTCGGGCGCCTTCGGCACCCTCCCATGACTAACAACTGTCGTTGGTCTTACCTTGCGACACTCGGGGGCCCTACGGACCCCCTCGCGTATGGTTTACCTCCATTTCGAACAGTCAGAGATAGAAATTGCAAAACTTTTGCATATTGCACACGCAGAGAACCGACCGCGCACCACACTCACTTTCTCACAGACAGATTTTTGATTCCGAAATTGAGCGTGTGCCATTCTCCAGTTCGCATGGTCAGAGACAGAATTCGCAAAGATTAAAAAAATTGCACACTGCACATGCAGAGAATTGCATTTTGCGTAAAAACTGTACTTGGTATTACCTTGTGACGCTCCGGTATCCCGCGGACCACTCCATTTATGGTTTGCCCTCAGTTCGCACCATCAGAAACATATTTTGCACAAAATTGCACATTGCACACGGAGGGAAAGAAGCCGACCGCAAACCACACTCACTTTTTCACAGACTGATTTTTGATTCCGAAATTGAGAAATGAATTTGAATTTTCCCACGAATTTCCGAAATTGACCGATTTTTTGCTTTGAATTTTTTCAAAATGAGAATCATTTGGCTTCACTCAGACCGGACAGACAAAAATAAGCGGACAGACAGATAATGACACATTCTTTTGCATTCAGAAGGGGAATCAGAACCGTATTTTAGATGGTATATCATGAATTAAAATACATTTGAATCGATATTTGTTCGACTTTTTAGTCAAACTTTCCAAAATTTTCTTGTTCAGCCACACTTTTCAGGAGCTGGAATCTCAAGCTAACCTTTAACTTGGGAAATTAATCCGAAGATAGAATGGAAGGGCCAGCTTACCTCTGTTCGACCCTTTCCTTTTTGGCTGGGGAATTTACGCTATTTCTGTGGGGTCTCTCCAAAGGCATGATCTCTAATTTTTCTGTATTAATGACGTCATTATTGACTGAAAATTTCAAAAAAATCTCGAAAAGGTAGCCTCGGCCGGGGACTGGGTGGAATTGCAGGGAAAGGAATCAAAAGTGGAAAGGGAAGGGAGTGTGTACGCCCATAGCCCGTTGAAAGCACGCCATCCCGTCCGATCTGGCAAGTTAAGCAACGGTGCGCTTGATTAGTACTTGGATCGGAGACGTCCTTGGAATCTCAAGTGGCGTACGCATTTTTGACTTTTTTGATTTGAATAGAGAAATCAGAACCGTATTTTACATGGTATACTGCCCGACAATTAAAAGTGAAGTCTCGATTCTGAGCCCGATATTGCCCTGAGGCACAAGGTGTTCCCCTAGGCTTCTTCGGTACCCTACGCCGATACAGAGTGCCAATTTTCATACATGTGCACTTAAAACGCACTGTGCAACGGGCGATTGAAAAATTTTTGGGCGACAATTAAAAGTGAAGTTTTTAATTTTTGGACTTACCTGACCTTTTGAGGGATCTGTTGGGACGGAAACCGTGCAGAGACATAGTCAAGGTTACAGTGAAGAGCCCTAGACACAATTTACGAAAATTGTCCGAATTTTATGGTACCATTTCCCGGCATCAAGACGCGGGGTTTAGGTGCCACAAAACAGGGCCTTTAGGCACTATTTGTTGTAAGACTGGTAATTTTATGATGCCGAGTGCATCTTGTGACATTGTTCGTCCAAACAATGCTGCGAGTATGTCAAGTTTTGGTGCGCTTCAAAGCGTTCTTGTTGATATGGATAACGGCTAGGTGCCTATTTTGACTTATACCGTAGCAGGAACCAGTACCCCTCTCGGTTTGATAGTAGGATCGGGGTGGATAGACATCCTTCTTTCCTAAAAAACTTTACTTTTTATGTTATCGCTCCTTTTAGAGACAACAATAGCGGGTATCACAACGGTTTCCTAAAGTTGCTGAAATTTACCGTCCATAACCGAAGTGTAACGCCATGGTTTGGGTTTTAATGGCCCAAAACCCCTTCACATGATTTTTCTGGATATAAATTAGTCAAAAACAACATCATTAATTTCAATTTCGCTGCATCGAGTTATGCGAAAAATGCGTATATACCAAGTTAAGTAAAGTGTATGGTAAAAAAAGGGGTATGTACGCACCTCCAAGCAAACAACGCTGCTTTTAGCTGCTAAGAGGGTAATCGAAAAGTACAAGACAAAATTTGCGCTGATTTTGCATCTCATCTTTCGAAATTGCATCGATATTCTCCTTGACTAGTACCGTTGTCGATAAGCACGCTTTGAAGCGGGCCAAAATTTGACAAACTCGCAGCATTATTTGTTTGAAGATAGTCAGCAAATCCACTCAGCATCATAAAATTACCAGTCTTACAATAAATAGTGACTAAAGGCCCCGTTTTGTGGCACCTAAACCCCGCGTCTTGATGCCGGGAAATGGTACCATAAAATTCGGACAATTTTCGTAAATTGTGTCTAGGGCTCTTCACTGTAACCTTGACTATGTCTCTGCACGGTTTCCGTCCCAACAGATCCCTCAAAAGGTCAGGTAAGTCCAAAAATTAAAGACTTCACTTTTAATTGTCGCCCAAAAATTTTTCAATCGCCCGTTGCACAGTGCGTTTTAAGTGCACTTGTATGAAAATTGGCACTCTGTATCGGCGTAGGGTACCGAAGAGGCCTGGGGGAACATCTTGTGCCTCAGGGCAATATCGGGCTCAGAATCGAGACTTCACTTTTAATTGTCGGGCAGTATATATCATGAATTAAAATACATTTGAATCAATATTTGTTCGACTGTTTAGTCAAACTTTCCAAAATTTTCTTGTTCAGCCACACTTTTCAGGAGCTGGAATCTCAAGCTAACCTTTAACTTGGGAAATTAATCCGAAGATAGAATGAAAGAGCCAGCTTACCTCTGATCCACCCTTTCCTTTTTGGCTGGGGAATTTACGCTTTTTCTGTGTGGTCTCTCCAAAAGCATACTCTCTAATTTTTCTGTATTAATGACGTCACTATTGACTGAAATTTTCAAGAAAATCTCGAAAAAATAGTTTTTGACTTTTTTGATTTGAATAAAGAAATCAGAACCGTATTTTAGATGGTACATCATGAATTAAAATACATTTGAATCGATATTTGTTCGACTTTGCCGAGCTGATCAGACTCGGTCGAAAATAAAGGCGGACAGAAAAGATTTCCGATATACTTACCCCGACGACTGCCGTGAATGGCGTCGCCGAGGTAGTTCTCGGAATGAAGATGCCTCTCTTAGGCCGGGAGGTTGATGGTTGGCCGACTCTAACGGTTGGGAATGAATGAACAACCCGGGAGAGAGGTGCCGGTCCATTATTCGACAACGGAACTACCCGTCAGTTATGACTGATAAGGAAAACCAGTGGAAACAACCGTTAGTACAGTACACTCAAGGCTTTACTCCAAACAATTCACAAGACCTTCTCTTAAAAATACAAAACACTAGCTGATTATATGTGATGACATTTCCTTTTTGCTAAGCATCTTGACTTTGTAACTCTGGGCAATTTGAAATGGCGGGAAAATCTGTGGCCGAGCCAGAGCTCGGAGGACAATCAAATACAAAAGGATTTGGCAAGAGAAAGCCAAATCCAGAAAAGGGATTTGGCCATCACTTGCCATCACAAATCTGACCAACAGGGGGCCGGGCCGGGCCGAGAAATTTGAAAGGACCGGGGCCGGGCCGACCTCTTCCGGCCGAAAATCGCGGCCCGGCCCCCGAGCCATGTCTAGATCGGAGACGTCCTTGGAATCTCAAGTGGCGTACGCATTTCCGACTTTTTTCATCTGCATGTAGGCGGCATGCAATCATATTTTATCAGAAAATCGAATCAATTTTAGCTTGGAATCAAGAACACGGCAAGCCAAAAGAACTCAGTTGATCATTGCTTTTCAACACAATGTCGAAAAGCTACAGCTCATTTTTATAGATACGCGTACAGACTATATAGCTCTAAGTGCTTTTACGTCAATACCAAACCTACATTCCCGTGCTCAGCTAAAGGAGTGACAATTAGAAGCACACGCATAGACAAAGATTAAGATAGGTTATCAGCAAAAACATGACTATATAAGGGAGTGTTAAAAAGAAATCTTAACAAACTCGTGATGAAAGGCCTTCTGCTCCCAGTACTTGTTGTTCATCTTGCTTTTGGGCTTGAGATCCAGTTGGAAAAAGCATCACGAGGGGACTTCTACGCCTACGTGGGGAACATCTCAGTTGGAGAACAACAATTCTCCGTAGTCTTTGATACAACCGTCTCTGCTTTGTGGATTCCAAATCAATCATGCCCCAAGGACCTTTGCGAAAAGAAGAGCACGCTTGACCCTTATACGAGGGGTCTAAATCAGTGTAAGTGAAAGGCACAATCTCGCGTTTTAAGCCGTATTTTTTAAAATCGTATTTTAATTCTCACATATTCTGAATCAGAAAAAAATTTTTTGATATATGTTTCGACTTGTAACTCCATACCCCATAGAAGCGCTTTCGTTGTAAAATAAAACGGTTTTTAGGCTTTGGCTATATCGATGTTCCATTCCAAGGAGACCAAATTTCCGCCGACTGCTATAGCGGCCCCATCAAAATAAAACAACTCGAACCCGCTAACATTACGTCTCCATATGTCATGTTTGGTCTCGCCGACCGATTCCCGTCGTCCTACAAAGATTTCCCGTACGACGGAGTCTTTGGAATAGGCCCTGGAAAAGAAGGATATATCCTAGAGTCTCCCCTCCGTTCACTAATCCCTCGGAGCCAGAACAGAGACTATACGTTCACAACGCTCAAGATTTCCCGACCGGCTTCGCACAAGACTCCGGATCAAAACAAAAGCTCAGTCATTGTTGGGTCTTACTTTGATCATTGCGAATACGTTCGGCCTTTCCACACGCTTCGAGTACACACCGAAGGATGGGAGTTCAGAGTGGATCGACTTAGTGCCGGTCACAGAACTATTAATGGATCCTGGAAAGTAAGTGTCGGAGTGGAACTGTTTGTAGCCACGTCCCGACTTTTCGGGTTGACGACTGTTCTGGTCAACCAATACAAAATCGATCTATACGGGGCGTAGAGCTGCTGAATATCCAAAAAAAGGTTGTAGGAAGTGCCCATGAGGTCTGGCAATGCCGGTGGATTGTCCGCTGACGCCCGGCGAAGGCATGGCAGAGGCTTGACGAAGACTTGCACTATGTCCACTTTTAATAATTTTAGCTATTACTAGCGTTAGTTTTCTTTATCCAGTACCCGATCAATCTTATTGTTTCTACTAACTAAGGCGTTTCCAAGCCTCCCCATGCATGCAACGACGAATCGAGGCGATCCCTAGCATATTTGCCCATCCGCAGAGGAAAAGCTGCATAAATTCGTCAAAGGACGAGACATTTTACCCCTCAGATGGCGACAATCCAAGCAATAGCGCTAGAATTATGTCCAGAGTATAAAAAAGTAAAAATAACACAATATTCCGCATAAAAACAACAAAGTATTCTTTAACGTTATCAAGAAAACTTTTCTTGTGAGAAAAATATATTTTTCTCCTGAAACGGAACGCCAAGATCAAGAAGGATCAGGGAAGATTCGCACTTGAAGATTTTTTTCGATATTCCGGCCCTTTTCTCGGCGGATTCTGCAAAGCGCAAGGTAGGATGCTCGAAATCGAATAAGAAAATTCCAATCTTCAGCTATGCCGATTTTTATCTAAATCTGAGCGTCGCACCTCAAGTAATTCCCTTTTTAGTAGAAGTAGGAGCTTGTAGGAAAGTAATATAAAGTGGCTATGGGTGTTCGTCGCGGACGAGTCCCCGCACCCTATCTTATCTTTATAGCTTATAAACAGTCAGTACGTCGAGAAGGGGACGAAACTCCCTGTTTTATTACAGGTTTCTACTTTAGAATGTAGTATCATCTGTACTAGACCATGTAGTGCAGAAGAGTTAGCAAAAGTATAGCAGTACTTTTAGGTTTAGGGTTTTAGGTAAACTTTGTGTTTTTAGGTAACATTTTAGTGTTTTTGGTAGCATCTCATTCCATTATGTTTTATACAGTTTAAAATTAACATGAACAATTGTTTGCAGGCGGGTCTCGACATCAACACTGACTTTATCCACTTGCCGAGCCGCGTTTTTCAACTCCTTGTAAGAGAGTTGGGCGCAAAGAATGTGGATGGAAAATTGTCTGTTCGCTGCACTGTTAATTCCAAAGTTAGCATCAATATCGAAGGCATTGACTACAGAATTCCAATCGACGATTTGATGGAAGTAACCGCGGGTGAGCAATGTATCCTGAAGATCAAAGAGAACAAGTCAGAAAACGGATGGGCCTTCAGGATTGGGACACCCTTCCTCTACAGTAGATGCGCTGTCTTGGATCATCGTTACTTCGAATACAGATCTATCGGATTCCCGGTTAAAACCAGAGAGAAAAGCGAACTGAATTAAGTCCTAATTTTCAATAAACAATCAGGCAGCAGTTTTTCAAAGCGAGATGAACTTGTAAAAGAGCCGGGAAACGCAGTGTAAAATACGATATTTGGCTTTTCTCCACAAAAGAACCGTCAGAATCTTATCAAAATTAAGATAAGCTTAATCGTGTATGGTACCTCCATACATTGCCGCCCAATTTCCCGTGATTTGCATCCACCCGGACTCGAACCCGGGACCTCATATTGGTAGTTTCAAAATCCACTATGCAACGATAACAGCAACATTAAAATTTTATTTCATGAAACGTTCCATGCTTTACCAAAACGGAATCAAGACACGAAGATATTTGGCGACACTGCTGCCGTTGGCTGAATGTATAACGGAGCTGGCCGCCTCAATTAGCACATTCCCGCCCAGGATTGGCGCCGCTGAAGGTGGAGGTGCTGTTGATGCCGATGGTGGGGCCATTGTGGTGTGTTTGCTTATAAATTCAAAGATTGGCTCATTTCCACGTATGATTGGCATGATGCTGCGACGGTCCATTCTGCGACCGCCCCAATCCAGACTGTCATTATGCGTAATAAACCCCTGGACCTCTGGGAAGTCAAATACCTTGCTAAAAGTTTTGTGTGTAACATTAGAAGGTGGGAACCCACTTTCCCGGCATTTTGCGATGACGTATGCGAAACATCGGAAGCACTTCACAGTGGCGTCTGAAACAGTATCTTCGAACTCACGTTTACTTACTGGAACCAATAGGTTTCCACAAGGACGTCTTTGAATTTGTAAGCAATTGGTCGATTATGAACGTACAGTTCACCATTGCTTATATCGGTAGCGCAATATTCGTTCGGATTCTAGACGGTTTCGTATGGCGTTAGGGATGCAATAAACCTACAAAGCAGTGCTCTCGTATTTGCTGCAGGGTTGTGGAGTTAACACGTTCTGATGGGATTTCGGCTAGTCCAATCAAGCCAGTGTTGTTTGTTTCGTGGGTGGCTTGGTCATTTATTCCTTTTTTAAGGTTGGATGTGCTGCTTAGCTTGGTTGTGTCTATCGCAGTCGTAGCGTTTAAGAAAAGGTATTTTTGGAAGACAAAGGCGCTTTTTACTTGGGTGTCCGCCAATTGTGGGGATAATAGACTTGCGATGCTATATTTCAGGTCATTCGAAACGTTTGCTAAAGGCGCGCTAAAATGGTATTTATATAGATGACAAATGTTTAGATGATAAATGCGTCCCTACTCTTCCATTGTGACAATTTCTACTTGATCGTTCATCAGGTGAAGGAAGAGCTCAGGGTTCTGGGAGCCGTATATACGATGACTTGTCATCCATCTAAAAGGCAACACTCTGAAGAAGACAAATAAACGCTTGCCGTGGCACTTACGCCCTCCTTTCTCCCTCTTTGCAAAAAGGCCCGCGAGTAAACCTTCCAGTGTTGTTGTCGTATTCTAAAATCATAGCGATCGGTATTGTTAACTTACTAGAATGATACGAAGCGAAATATAACGGTTCGTTCTGGTCCTGTAAAAATTTGCGGCCGTTAAACAAAGTGAAAGGACCTACATGGTATTCCTCCATGTATTCCGTAAAATTGGTAAAGTTAACTTCGATGCAGGTTTCGTTCGCTGGGCACGGGTAAACGCTGCTCGGCATGTAAGTCGCATTGTGAACACACGCACTACTCGGTGAGAAACCGTAAGCCGGTCTTAAGGCGACCGCAGATAGCCACACAATCAAGGCCAACATCCTTCGTGAGAAATATGACAAATAGAAGGCGACTGTGAATACTGCATCAGAGAGGTCGGCTTTATACGGACTTGTCTTGTGACTACTAATTAATTGAATAATATGCACACCGTATTCATTTTGCAGCTTTTATGAGGCTACTTGTCAAAATTTATTTCCCAATTCATTATGTTAATAGAAAAAGATTGTTTCAATTACAGGCAATTAAAGCAAATAGCTAACAACCCCAATTGCGATGTTTAGCTCTTTTGCAGATGTTGCATCATTTATTCGGCCACATCAATTCCTGGAGGTTCAGCATTCAAACAGCGCCTTGAACGCGACGACATCCACATGGATTGGAAGGGAGGAAAAGAAAACCTCATTCTTACGAGGTGCGGTATGCAGTAGAGTAATTGTGAAATAATATGGCCGGAAACAATGAACGGCTAAAAAACCATAATAAACATAATGCATACTTACAAGGTGTGCGGTGATACAATTGAACATGAGAAACAGGACGATAAATCGGACAAAAATACTTAAATTCAGTATCAAACATACTAGCAAGTAAACGTGTGGTCGAAGTGGAACACAAGCCATTCAAAGGAGTCCACATATTGTCGCTAAGGTGAAATGTGTGATAATACCCATTATTGAGCAGAAATGGAACATAAGATTCAATAGTGTGGCAGAAACACTTGTCGCAAAACATCTTTTTTCCGCGGAGTTATTTTATTTTATTTTTTTTGTCAATCGTGACACTTCGTTTGGACGAAACTCAAAAGTGGGCGGGAGACATTTTTGTTATGTTTTGGGTCGCCGTTCATTGGGTTCGAAAAGTCAATCATCAGGCCAAAAAAGTCAATATAATCATATGAAGATTAGGCAAAATTTCTGAGGTCCACTTATGGGCATTGATTCAGGGTTGACGGTGAATCAGGCTGTCCCTACTGTGGGCTACGGAGGTATATAATGAGCCATCGTCTATAAAGAACTCTTGAGGAGAAAGTTACATGGAAAATGGATGTGAATGCACGTCAAACAGCTGCCGAAAATTATGTACCAATCCACCAACAGATAATTTCAGCCCCATTATGTTCCTTCCATAACTTTTTCAATAATTTTGTGTAAAAGATATTGCAGTAGACAACTTTTATCGAAAATATCTGTAAGATCATATAAATATTTTGTTTGATGTTGTTTGTTCATGAAAATAAACTCAAAACGCATTGCACAGTTTTCTGTAAATTTGTAGGCCATTTCCTGCAGTGAAGTGCGAGTCCCACCACGAAAACAAAATTTGAAACATAATGCCAAAGTGGGAAAATTTTTTTGTTATTTTTGGGAAAATGATGTAAAACTAGAAAGTTCCATCGTGTTTGCCAACTTTTTGGGTATCTTTAATCATGAAAACCCTATTTTTACATTGAAATCGAGTTATATTATCTTTGACCATTAAAATTGCCGGCTTTTCATTAGTTTTCCGCACATTTCAGGTTGAAAAATGTCCGCGGTTGCCCAGAAAATTCTCAGTCGGCTTGGACAAATCGGTGTTGGGTTGGCTGTTGCCGGCGGCGTAGCGCAATCAGCGCTTTATAACGGTAATTTCCTTAGTTTTCTCTGTTTTTGGCGTTTTAGGCGAGGGAAAGGCGTTATTTTGAAAGGTGGCGTTATCTCTGCTGTTGTGCCTATTTTCCATCAAATCAAGTCCAGCAAGCACTCTAATGAACGGTTGTTTTTAGTGGATGGTGGACAAAGAGCAGTGATTTTCGACCGGTTCGCTGGAGTCAAGGACTTTATTGTTGGGGAAGGGACTCATTTTCTGATCCCGTGGGTCCAACGGCCGATTGTTTTCGACATCCGCTCCACACCCAGAGTTATAACGACCATCACTGGTAGTAAAGGTAAGGATTTGGAGCTTTGTCAATTCTGTGTTTAGATATTTTCAATTTTTTCGTCAAAGATCAAGGTGAAGATCGAAAAAATTCGTCAATTTTCGAGCTAGATTATTTTTTTCAGATTTGCAAAATGTCTCAATCACTCTTCGTATTCTCCATAGACCAGAGCCTAACCAACTGCCGAATATTTACCTGAATATTGGACAAGACTATGCTGAAAGAGTTTTGCCATCTATCACAAATGAAGTGCTCAAGGCTGTCGTTGTAAGTGCTCTTATAATTCAAACATTCTCTTATGGTTCTTTTGGCTTAATTTTGGTTTGAAATTACTGTTTAAACACCTATTTTTAGCTGTTTTTGTAATTTGACATCTACTGTAATATAAATTTTTAAAATCTTTATAAAGTTTTCGATTTTTAGGCCCAATACGATGCCCATGAGATGATCACACAGAGAGAAAGCGTCTCCCAACGGGTCTCCATCGAGTTGGCCAAGAGAGCCCAACAATTCGGACTTCTCCTTGATGACATCTCAATTGTAAGATTTTGACATTTTTCTTCGATTTTTAGGCAAATTAACTTCTGGAATGATGTTACCGAGAAGCGCTGAGAGTAGACAGAGATATTACGGCGTTTGCAGCAATGTATTCGTTGTAAATCCGTGATCTACTCGGTGAAACGGCGATTTGACTGACCTAAGTTAATATCGCCAATTTTATGTGAATTTTCAACGATTTATGAGCGTTTCTTCAAATCAAAACAAAGATGGAGGGTTGCTCTAACTGTTAATTACTTTTAGACTCACTTGTCTTTCGGTAGCGAGTTCACCCAAGCCGTTGAAATGAAGCAAGTCGCCCAACAAGAAGCCGAAAAGGCCCGTTATTTGGTCGAAAAAGCCGAGCAGATGAAGAAGGCGGCTATCACAACGGCTGAGGGAGATGCTCAGGCCTCCAAACTCCTTGCTCAAGCGTTCGCTGAAGCCGGCGACGGCCTCATTGAACTGAGAAAAATCGAAGCCGCCGAAGAAATCGCGGAAGTCTTGGCCAAATCGAAGAATGTGGCCTACTTGCCTAAGGACATGAACGCGCTCATTGGGCTACCTCAATAAATTGGATTGCATGGGAATTTGGATGCGCTACAAATGACTTTTTGAGGCTGATTTTGGCATTTCCGACCTTATTTTAGATCAATTTTTAGTAATTTTTCATATTTTTTTTGTCTGGAAATGCAAAAACAGCTAAATTAATGTCGTAAACAGGCATTCTAATCCCTTCATGAAAGCTCTTATCATATTTTGATCTACTCTAGGCCCTTGTTGTGTTTAATTTTTTGTAATAATTGTGGATCTTCGGCTATCCAAACATTATTTACAGTGTTTTGTTATGTTGAATAAAGTTGCGAGATAGAATTACTGTGGTGTGGATGTGATTTGACTTCAACTTGGTTGGAATCCAAATACTTTTAGCCCGTTTTTGGCATGTATAATATATTGATGTAAAATTTTCCAAAAATTTGTCATTTTTTGATGTCGAGTTGGTTTTAATCCATCGAATATGGCATTTTTATGTCTATTAGAGCCTAAAAATTGCAGGGTTACAATTCAGACAGCCATGACGTTGACCTGTCGCTTCTATGCCAATGAATTCCCCGAAGTGGAGGACACGGTGGTGGTGAAGGTCCACAAAATCGCCGAAATGGGCGCATATGTGACACTGTCCGAGTACAACAACAAGGACGGTATGATCTTGCTGTCCGAGTTGTCCAGACGCCGTATCCGGTCGGTGAACAAACTTATTCGCGTCGGTCGCTCCGAATGTGTGGTGGTAATCCGAGTGGATAAGGACAAAGGTAAGATCTTTTCGATTTTTTTTTGTTTTCTGCTTTTAGAGAAACTATGCAGAAGGATGAGGATGATAAAGCATCTTTTTGCAGGATACATTGACTTGTCGAAACGTCGGGTTTATTCGAAGGACCTTCTGCAATGTGAAGAACGCTTCGCTCGAGCCAAAGCCATCAACAGCATCCTCCGACACATCGCCGAACAGCTCGGCTACACCACGAATGAGGAGCTGGAGCAGCTGTACGAGAAAACTGCCTGGCATTTTGATCGGAAACTCAAGAAAAAGGCCGGAGCTTACGATATCTTCAAGAAGGCCTTGACGTAAGTTTAGATTGAGGTTTTGAAGGGGTTAATGGATGGAGACGGATGAGGTTTTGGTAGCAGTGTGTTCGATATGACTTGTAGTTACTAGAAAACGTCAGTTCTCGTGGAATTTCTGGGCACTAAAGATATTATATTACACTTGACATCAGATAAAAATTGATGATTTTTATGGTAAAGTGGAAGGTTAGAGGTGGTCTAAGTGGCTTGAAAAGCGGTGACAGGGCTGATTGAGTATAGAAATGACTTTATTTGAAAATTTTGGGGGATTGCGGTATATTATACTACACTTGACATCAAATGAGAATTGATGATTTTATAGGTCGAGTACAAGAGTATAAGATTGACAATTAGCTTTTTAAGGATTATTGGGAAATAATAACTCTGATAAAACTTGTTTTCCGAGGTATCATGAATTTTTGTCTCAGATATTACACTTGACATCAATAACTCAAAAATTCACTTTTAGCGACTCAACTGTCTTTGATGAGTGTGAAATTGGTAACGATGTGAAGGAAAAGCTCTTGGAAGAGATCCGCAAGAAGCTGATGCCACAGGCCTTGAAGATCCGCTCGGACATTGAAGTTAGTTGTTTTTCGTACGACGGAATCGAAGCCGTCAAAACTGCATTGTTGGAGGGAAAGAAGTGCTCAACGGAACAAATGCCAATTAAGGTGAGTAGAAGCACTTTTTGATTTGTGATTTGGCTTTTAGATCAATCTGATTGCGGCTCCTTTGTTTGTTGTCACGGCCCAGACCACGGATCGGGAAGAGGGAATGGAGGCGGTTAACAACGCCCTGGACAAGATTAAACAGTCAATCGAGGCTTCAGGAGGAACCTTCAAGTTTGTCATGCCGGTGAGTCGAGGATCAAGGAGATTGGTCAGGGCGCAGCTTGCCAAATTTTGGAAATTTGGGAAATTGATTGTAGTAGAGGTTACTGTAATTTGTGAGATGTGAGAAGGGTTTTTATGAAATTTTGATAAGTTTGGAAGAGCTGGGTGCCTTAGGAATCATGGAAATAGAAATTTTTTTTCGATTTTTTTTTACTTTTTTATAAAATTTCCCGTTTTTTTACCTTCTTTGATCGTTATGATCTGTTCTAATCGCTTGAAAATTAATTTTTCCCCATTTTTCAGCCCAAAGTGGTCACCGACCTCGACGAGGAGGAGATCAAAAAACGCATGGAACTGCTCGGCCTCAACGAAGAAAACGCCTCCGACTCGGGCTCCGAAGCCAGCGACGACGAGGGCCTGGTCGCCCCCAAAGGCCTCGACCAAGAAGCCGACGCCTCCGAAGCCATCCACGGCAAACGGCCGGTGGAAGCCGCGGAGGACTCGGACTAAACCAGGGCACGCCGCAGAACCGTATCATAATATTTTATTGTTTCGCCCGAATGAATGTCTACTATTTGGAAGTCATTGTTGGTTGATTTACTTCGTAAAACCCCCTGTCTTGGTCTTTTTTTGCAAAATGGATTCGATTTTTGGTCGATTTCTCGGACTTTCCCGACCAGAGGAAGAGTTGACCCAAACCCGGTTGCCCGGTGTTGGGTCAACTCTTCCTCTCGATGATTTTGCGGAGATTTTAAAGCACTTATCGGTTGCCGTATGCAGCATTGGCCTTATCCGGGTTAGTTTATCCTTTTCTTCACATAAAGGATACTGTAAAAATTACAGTAACCCAAAAAATTTACGTTAACCATGGGAATCCACCTTAAAGGTCTTCATTTGAGTAATCCTGGTCTCTTATTACTGTCTGCTACGGTTCTTGTTGTTTCTGGCTGCCTTTCCCCCACTTTTTTGTCTACCATGCCCTTAAGAGTTGTTGACTAATTTAAAAGAAGCTATAAACAAGAAAACGTTATATTACACTTGGTGCTTTAGTGTAAAAAATAGCTGTAGATGGTCTAAAAGTATGTACAAATGTTGGCTATGATGATTATAATGCAATTTAGAAGTCACCGGTACCGTATAACCGGCAAAAGCGGAATGCCAAGAAATTTTGGCATTCATTGTTTTCGCTTCGGGACGCAGCTGATATTATAGTGCAAGAGCATGTCGCAATAATTCAACGTTTCCCTCACGTCAAGCCCGAAACGGACATCAAAATAAATCAGATTTCGACGGGCTCGCAGACGAAAGCCATCCCGGAACCAATAAACTCGACCTTCACCATGCGACTTCCGTCTCGGCCCGGCCTGGAGCTGAAACGACACCTCCTTGAGATGCTGGTGAGCGATTTTCGAATTCATTTTGCCAATTTCGAGGACTTTTTCGTTATTTCTCTTGAGTCACGTACTTTGCGACAAAAAATTTTAAATTTTGCCGCAGGAGCTAGTGCAACATCAGAAATTGTCGTGTAAAATGAAGAGAAGTTTATAAACTATTCAAATTTGTTTGTAAGATTTCTTTTCAAGTTGCTTATGAATTGTTTCATCGACAGATTTCATTTTTCATCGATGATTTTTTTCGGAAAAATTGATGTCAAAAATTTTCGTCCGAAATCCGAAAAACGATTGGCGAAGCACGTGGTCCAGCTCCATAAATCCGGATAAATAACATCCGTTGTGTTTGCTAAGGTGCACTTGTTCTGTTTTTGTGTTTTCAAACTTGGTTTTTGCACAATTTATATTGCACTAGTCACCTGGTGTTTTCATTTAGATTCGATGGTTAATTTAGAGTTATACTGCTCGGTTCTTCATGTTTTTCTTTTCAGGGTCGTGAAGTTTACTTTGTGTACGCCAGTGATCCCAGAGGTACCGTTCATCACGCACTTTTGCAGGCCTTCCACCCGCATGACGTAGGTGAATGTTTTTATTGTTTTCTTCTTCTTTTAGGTCGAAGATCAACGGTTTATGTTCTTTAATGGGTGCGAAAGACAGATCTTGAACTTAATCCGTCTGTAGAGACCTTTTTTTCGCTAGAAAACCCGGGAGAATGAAAATTTTATATTATTCATGAGGTCCAATATGGACTGGGGTTTTTCGGGTTGTAGGACGCTTAAATTTTTGAGGGTTGTGATGGTTTTGTATTATCGAGGTCACATGGAGAGAATGGATACAAACTTTTGCTAGTTTACGCCTATTTTCGACTTGTTCTTGAGGTTCATTTTCGGCTCATGGATAATATCTAAAAAGAGGAATTTATGTTTTCTTTCGATAGGATTTGTTCTGAGAAGCTCAAGAAATTAATATATTTTGATGGCAATGAAAAATATCTCGCCTTTTCAGTGTATGCTTGGAGTGACGATGGTGGATCAAGCTAAGACCCGCCGTTGCAAGGAAATCCCACTAAGTTCACTGGCATATTTGCATTGCGGCAATGGAAGAACGAGCAGTAAGTGACGGTTGTGCTTATTTTGTCCGTTCCACCTGTTTCGTGTTGATTTTCTTCGATCTACTTTGTCTAGTACAATATAATTTTACTCGCCTTTTTTAGAATTCAAAACTGACCGCGAGTATCACGATGTCATAGAGGAAGACAAGGAGCTCGAGGAATGGCAGCCGGATCCCGACATAGAGCTACCATCCGTTTATTATGAGGAGAAAAAGAGGTGGTCGGTGGAAGAGATGTTTGCCATAAATCAGAAGCTTGGTGTGACCTCAACCTTCAATGGGATTGAAACCTACAGCACGTAAGGACTTTTATCTTCTTTTTCTTGCCAAGTTTAGGTCACTTCAAGAAGGGTTTCTCCGATTTTTAACACGATTTATATTCTCCATGACACCTTTTCAAACTTTGATGGATAAAGAATAATATTTCGCATTCAGAGCAATGCCAACCGGCGACGAAGCTGCTCGAAGGCGTGCTGAAGCGATTGCGCGTGAGATCGAGTGCAATGATGAGAGCAAGTACCACGCACTTCTCGAAAACGACGATGAGGAGCGGGATTTGGACAAGGAGACGGATCTCACCGCCTTCGAAGACCCTCCAGAGACTCGAGAACAACTCCGACCCTCGCCACCAACCGCGCCCAACTCCTGGAGGAAGGAGTCGACTCCGAAAGAGCTTCCAAAAGTCGTGCCATTGAAGAAGTCGGCCGAAAAACCGAAACCAACCGCTAAAATTGAGAGGAAAGAAGAAGTAGGGAAAGAGAATGCACAGAACCCACCGAAATTGGATCGAACCACGCCGCAGAAGGTCTTAGCCAGCGGGGAGAACTTGAAAAATGAGGGGAAACTGAAAAAAGAACCGAAAATTGAGAGGACCTATGTGAATAGGACGAAATGGAACAGAACTCTCCCAGCTAGCATGAAACCAACCCAATCCGCATTCACTCAGCCTCTGGGGAATGTCAAGAGCACTGTGTCAACGGGAAATACCCCGCAGCCCAAGGAGAAGGCTGAAAATTCAGCTCCAGTCCAGGTGGAAAAAGTGGTCGAAACGAAAATTGAGGCTAAAATCGAGACTGAAGATATGGTTCAGAAGAAGGAAGAGCCCCCAAAAGAGAATATGGAGGAGGAATCGAAAAATAAAACCCCTGAAAAACCAGTGGAAACGACCGAAAATACCAAAGATGTCAAGGATAATATCGAAAAGCCCGCGGAACCCGAAAAGTCCCCCAAAACTGAGGATAAACAAGCGTCACCTAGTCGAGCCGGCTCAGAACAGAGCCAATCCAGCCAGGAGAGGAAGTTCCGCTTCAATGTGACCGCCCCGGAATTCCGTCCCGGCTCCGAGAGACCTCAAACTCGAAGCTCCCGAAACTCCACCCCGCTGCACTCCGCTCCGCCGGAGTATTTCACCCAAGAGTTTCAACAACCAATGATCGTTAGTTATGCACCGATGCAGCAGATCCCGACGCAGGTGAGAGAGTTGTGAGCGTTTATATTGTAGTAGGGGATATTGGACTCGAGGGTCTTAAAAGGCTGATAGTAATAATGTGGGTGGATTTTAAAGGGGGAACTGGTGTTTTTTAGGAAGAATATGAGTTAATTAAAGGATGTAGAATAGATGGAATCAGTTTGTAGAGTTTTAAAGGGGTTTTTGACCTGTTTTTGGTTCGCCTTTTTCATGAAATTCGCAGAAAAAATTTTGAAGTTTTTTGTTGAGTTTACTTCAATTTTAGCTCGAATATGTTGTAGCCATGGTAGCTACGGAAATATCACTGAATTTCATGCAGTTTACAACCCTATTTCACGTCAAATTTACCAAAATTTACCTTATTTTAGGTCGCCACGTTGCCGGCCGGCTTCCAATACGTCCACAACTTCCATCAACAGTCCATCCTGCCCTTGAATGCGATCGGCACCCCGCAATATGTGGCCCAACCCTATCAGCCATACCCATCTCAACAATTTCCGGCCCAAGTTCAGCCGGGTGCTGTGGTGTATGCGCAACCTCAAATGATCCCCCAACCCCATATAAACCGCTCATATCAACCAATGTACATTCCACAGCATCCTCAGCAAGTACCGGTAAGTGGATTTGGAGGAAATTTGAGGAGATTTGAGTGTTTTTGGACGAAATGGGTCAAGTGTTTCTCTGAGAATTTTAGGAGGTTTATAAAGTGGTATGATATAGAAAAGAGGGTGGTTATAAGACGGGGTGGAGACATTGCGGAGTTTTTTAGACGATTTATAAATTTTGAGGCAGTTTGAGTCAAGTTTTTCCCCGTAAATGAAGTTTTTGGTTTTGAGGAGAAGACTTGACCCAAATTGAAAAAGTGGTGTAAAAGGATATTGATGACATGATAAGGCATTTTACAAACGAATTTTGTAGTTTTCGGTATTCGAATTGTAATTCTTGGTGTATTTGGAGTTCTGGGTCAAGTGTTTCCCTCGTATCAATTTTGATGATTTTACACTTGATTTTTACCATTTTTAGATTCAATACTCGGTCGCAAGTCCACCTCAACAGTTCTACTCCAATCAACAGTTCTACGCCACACCGTCGCCTAATCCGAGCGTGGAGCATCAAGAACAACATCAAGGATGATGGTTTTTCCCAAATTTTTGATATATTTTATGTTGTGATTGGATTTTTTATGAACTCAATTAACTCAGGGACCCAGCAGTATCCTCCGCATATATAAAAAATTCATTTTTGTTTTTCGAATCCAAGAAAAAAGATTTTTTGCTCAATTTTTTGGGAGGATAATGCTTTTACAGTACTCTAAAAATGCTGTAACTTTGTGTGTTTTGCAAATTAGAACCCGAAAGTCTTTGTTTGGGTCGAAACAGTCCATGTTATACTAGAGATCAGAATCTTTCGTATAAAATGTCGCCTACCGAAATTTCGTTTCTACAGTTATCCGACAACAGTTTTCTGATGTCTAGTGTATCATGCAGGCTGTAGACCCTCCAGAAATTCTTCCCAGTGTATTCTTTTTGTCTATTTAAATGGGTTAATAAATATTCCAGTGATAGAAGAAAGTTGAAGTTTTTTTTGATAAATAAAGAATCAATGGAAACAATGCAATCGTTGGTCGTATTCGTCCGGTTATCGTATAGTAAATTCTTAAAAAATTTTGCGACATTTTGCACCATAAATATTTATTTTTCGTCGGTAATTTTTTGGTCAACGTATTTTTGAAAATTTTTTCCGAAAGCCAAAAAATCTTGGTGAAAACGTAGTGTTGAAGCTCTCTAGATTGGAATAAATAGCGTCTATCACGTTTGCCGAGTCCTATTTAGCCTATTTTACTAGTCTTTGTGGCAGAAGATTATAGTTTTTCTCAATTTATATTGCACTTGACATCTGATCCCGTCCGCTTCGAATTTCGGCATTTTTTCTTAGGAAACAGCCTAAATCTTTAATGTTGTGGATTTCAGGATCGTGAAATTAACCTTTGATACAACTGTAATACCAGAAAACCCGTTCACCACTGACTTTGGCCAGCTTCCCAGCCGTATGAGGTAGGTGAATTTTTTTGATGTGTTCTTCTGGATTTAGAGATGTTGAACGGGCTTTTGAGTGTTGCCGAGCTGCACCAGGCTGTGATCTGCGTAATAGAAATTTTAGGTACATGTTTTTTCTTTGTTAGTTCTTAGGAAATTCAAAGTTTTATTATCCATGATGTTTAAAACAAGTTAATTAAGATTCAATGCATTTTCACGTGGTTTGTTGCGCATGTCCTGAGTTATTGTGTTCTACTGGTCACGATGATCCTTTTCATATAGAATTTTGATGTTTCAGGGTTATATTTTTCATGTTCTCGATGTCCTTCTTCGTCTAATAGATAACATCAATAACTCAAGATTTCTTTTATAATTTTTAACTGAGCATGATCAACAAGGTTTGATAGAGTATTCGGTGGCTGTTTTAGAAAAATTTTTCTACAGTATAGCCGTAAATTTTCCTTATTCTTCGTTTTTGATTATGGCTCATGGATAATATCAGGAAATGATAAATTTTAGGTTGTTTTTTGCTGGAATTACCTTTCATAGTCTTGTCGAGTAATTTTTTCCATAAACGCTCTAAATTATTACGTTTTCAGAGTGTAATTTGCGTAACAATGGTCACTGGAGCTAACCCCCGCCGTTTCAATGAAATCCCGCTAAACAGACGGGAATATTTGCGTTACGTCTATGAAAAGATACATGGTAAGTTCTGATTTGATTTGTTTCTTCAAATTTAGGTTTTCGTAAGAGTATTTGGCCTTTCTCGGTTTTGTTTTGTCTAGTACAGCATCAGGGATGTGCTCAAAATTTGACGCGTGGATTTTGATGAAACTTGGTGCATATTGAGACTATGATATTTTGAGACGTTGGAGAATGTTTTAGCTCAAAGTTGTTGGGAATCGCTGGGAATTTTAGATGTGAAGGTTAGGGTAATTAGTTGAAAATTTTAGCGATCCATGCAAGATACGAACTGGAATTTTTAGGAATTTTAAAGTATGAGTTGGAAAGAGCATTCTTAAAAAATTGGAAGCCAATCTGCGCGTCGTATGAACACTTCTTTATATTGTACTAGACGAACAATTTCCGTTTTTAGAATACAAACGAGAGCAAAGATTGCGGGAAGTTAGAAGAGAATTGGACAAGGAATCGGACCTGAATAGCTTCGAAGACCCAGTGGAAAATAAATCGCAGCTTCCGGAGTCTCCGCCCGCTTCTTCGAACTCCTCGAAGAAGGTGAAAGAAATTTATGCGCTGAGAAAGCCGACCGCGAACCCAAGACCAATCCCATACAAAACTGAGCACAGCGTCAACAACGGTCGAGATTATGATCGAAGAGGTTTGGAACAACCAAAAAATGAGGGAAAAATTGGCTCGGAATCAAAAACCACCCGTCCCTTGCGCAACGAAAGCGTAAAAAGTGCCCAACCCGCCGCGAAACCACCTCAACCCCCAACCAACATGCGAGGAGGGCCTATCAGTGCTTTTCAGAGCAACATGTTCCCGGCCTGGGCCAAGCAGAGCCTTCAAAATTCGGTTTCAAGCCAACATCAAAGATCGGTCGAAAAGAAGTCGGATGGAAAAAATAAAAGCAAAAATGAAAGCAGAAATGATGTCCAGAAGAAAGACAAAGACCCTGAAGAACAAAAAAACTGCAAAGCGGGGAAGGTTTCACCTGAAAAGCAGGGAGAAAATAAGGATAAGATCAAAGATACCAAGGATAATATCGAAAAACCTCAAAACCCCGAGAAATTGAATAAATTTGAGGGTAATGGAGACGAAAACAGTAGTCCCAGCCCTATCAAGACCTCCCACAACATCATGTACCCGGCCTGGGCCAAGCAGAGCCTTCAAAATTCAGTTTCAAGCCAACGTCAAAGATCGGTCGAAAAGAGGTCGGAAAGAAAAAATAACAGCAAAAATGATGTCCAGAAAAAAGACAAAGACCCTGAAGAACATAAAAACTGCAAAGGAGAGAAGGTTTCATCGAAAAAGCAGGTACAAAACGAGGAGAAGACCAAAGACACCAAGGATAATATCGAAAAACCTCAAAAACCCGAGAAAGTGGATAAAATTGAAGCGAATGGAGACAAAGACAGACGTCCCAGCTCGAAACCGAGCCAATACGGGAAAGCCGGCTTCAATTCGGGGTCTTCGGCGTTCCGTTCCGCCCCCGAAAGCAGACGTTTCCAAAACTCCTCCGCTCCGCCGGACTATGTTCATGGAGGAAGTCCAGCGCCATCGATTTTCACATACGCCCCACTACAGCCCATGCAACCTCAGGTAAAGTGTTTTGAGGGTTTTTTATTGTTTTAGGTCCCGAATATGCCGGTCGGCTTCCAGTACGTCCACAGCTACCACCAACCGCCCATGCTCCCCATGAATCCGATCAGCAAACCCCAATTTATCAACCTACCCCCTCAGCCATTCCCACCGCAGCAGTTTTCGCGTCCAGTTCCACCGCCCACCATGGTCTACACTTCACCTCGAATGAAACCCCCACCTCATCTAAATCACCCTCCGTATGAAGCCATATACAGCCCAGGCCCTCCTCCACCTCCACCAATAGCGGTAAGCGGTTTGGAGTTGTTTTGAACAGATTTGGAAACTATGAGTCAAGTGTTTCTCTGAAGAAATTTTGGGTCAAGTGTTTCTCTGGAGATTTTTGATGATCTTGAAGGATGAAATTGAGTGAAAGGATTCCCGTAAGACTATATTTTTCGTGCTTTAGAGGTTTAAAATACGGTTGTTGTGATTTGGAAAAATTTGGGTCAAGTTTACCGCCGTAAATAAAAGTTTTTAGTTTGAGGGAAAGACTTGACCCGGTTCGTAAAAATGTGAAATTTGATTGTGAGCGCACATTTTGCGGTAAAATCGAAACATTTTTGGCCTTGAAACCCTCATTTTTACTGTATTTGGAATTTAGGGTCAAGTGTTTCCCTGAAATTAGGTTTGGTGAAATTATACACAGTTTTCTGATTTTAGATGCAGTACACGATCCCCAATCATCCTCCCCAAGAATTTTACCACAGCCAACCCTTCTACCCTCCGAATTCGGGGCTGGAACGCTACGGACAATACTAAAGATGATTTTTTTTGGGTTGGAATTTTTTAAAAATTTAATTGGATTTTTACTCGCTCAACATAATTTAGGGACTCTACAGTATCCTCATCATATGGTATTTTGAATTTGTGAAGTCAAAAAAATGAGATTTTTTATCCGAAAATTTAATTTTTAACTCTAATTTTTGATGAGGATAATGTAATATTTACAAGATGCTTAAGGTACGGTAACCTTAGCTATTTTTTACTCAGGTATTTACGTTTTTTCGTTTGGGTTTCTGACAACAATATTATTCTAGATATCGGATTTTTTCGTATAAAATGTCGCTAAATTTTCTTACAGTAAGATTAATTATAATGTATGTTCTATAACAAACGGGCTGTGAAAGGCTCTGAATTATATTTTTTTTGATGGTTTACGGGTTTAATAAATACTAAAGTTATAGTTGAAAAAGGAGATTTTTTGTAAAATTTTAGCGTATTTTAGGATTATAAACGTTTGTGGAGTCGTGAAAAGTTGTCTGGGAGACGATAAGTATGGGAAATTTGATTTCCTACACAATTTGAAGAAATATGCAAATTTATGCAAATTTTTTTAAATGCGAATTTCGCATATTTTTGTTTTTTTGGAAATTCGATTGAAAATCCCCTCGAAAAATGAGTTTTGCCAGTTTTTATGTGAATTTTCCTCTTGAGATTTATGCAAATTTCGAATATAAAATCCACGGTAATTTTGGAAAACTCCCATTTTCAACGAGTCCAGATCAATTGGGCAGTCAAACTTGTTGACCATGTTGAGCCATGAAAACGAACAAGATCCGGTTGAGAACTCGGCCAGCGGCAACCAACTTCCCAATGAGCGTCCGACCAAGGTCCTGAACGATGGATTTGACGTGAGTTTTTGGGTGGTTTTCGCGATTTTTTAGGATTTTTTACGTTTTTTTGAAAGTTTTGAGGGGATTTTCATACTTTTCGATTTTTTTCTGGATTTTCGAGGAATTCTAGGAATATTTCCCCGTATTTTAGCTGATGACCGACTCCACGTCCACTCAAAGCTTCCATGCGGGCGGCATGGACCAATGCAACGGATTCATGAGACCTATGGGCGGTCAGTCGGCTCGTGTTAACCCGTCGATGATGAAGGCCGGCTATTTGGCGTCGGTAGGTGATTTTGCAGAGCTGGAGACGTTTTTAGCTTATTGTGGATAAATTTCTTGAAATGGGTCAAGTCGTACCCTCGAATAAGACAGTTTCGGCTTTGGAGAGGAAGACTTGACCCGTTTGGAAGTTTAGCGGGTGGAACGGAAGTTTAGGCTCAGAATAGTTAGAAGACATCATTTTAAGACAGTTAGAAGTCAAGCTTCTGCTTTTGAAGTCGTGAGACGGATTTTGGAATACCATGAAAGACTTTGAGTCAAGTCTTCCCCTCAAAAATGATTTTCTCTTTTAAAGGAAGAGTTGACCCATTTTGTCATCAGCAGTTATTTCGCGCTGATTTTAGACGTTTTAAAATCAATTTTTCTCCGTGAGGCCACGATTTTAGCATATTATTCTTGAATTTCAGCGCGCGAAACCCCTTCCGGATCATCTCGAACCCGCCAGACATGCCGGAGAATGGCGTGCCTCCGATTCGCACGAAAAGGGATCCTACTGGCGGTTGGTCACCGCTCCGAAGCCATTGAGGGGATTTGGGATTGGCGCCATGATCGCCCCGCACAATGCAACTAGGCCTGTCTTGGCAATGGGAAGACAGCCGGTTAGAACGGTCTGGATGCCGGTAAACGGACTGTCCCACTCTTCGTCGTTGAGCACGCTGTGAGTTGAGGAGAGACGGATTTTTTCTGGCAACATTTTTTTTTCCGAGCTGCGCCCTCAACTTGTTTTTTTTTGTTCTTGTTTTGCAGCGATTCGGACGTTGATGACGAACGCCATTTTGTCCGCCGCTTCGACGACCCGCCCTGCTCGTTGCCGTGCCTCCAGCGAATCCTCAACAGTCTGCCGTCGGGCCGCTACGGCATCTGCCCGCTTCATGAGCGCGTGATTCCCCACCCGAGGCCTCCGCCCACGATTCCAATGGGCGAACCGAGGGCGCGGGTCCGATGCAAACCCCTGAACGCGATCTCACCCATCTTTTTCCATGTCCATCGACGTTTCGATTTGCCGTGAGTCGAGGATTTTGGAGGTTTTTTTTTTGTTTTTGAAGTGGTTTTTAGTTGACGGAAATTTGAGATTTGAATTTTTAGGAAATTGGGCTTCCTCAGAGACTTGCTGGACGCGCAGGAAGAGAAGATTCAGAGATATGTGGTCCATTATGTAAGCGGTTTGAGTGATTTTGGCGATTTTTGGGGTATCGACCGGTCGAAAAATGTTTTGGGAAAAGTTGCGTAAGAACAAAAAAAATTGGTCATAGTGCGAAATAAGAGGTTTTTTGGTATTGTCATGAAGTTCATGGACATTTTTTCGCTTTCGCACAATGGATTTCTGTGTAAATTTATGGCGCCGACGCACTTTATGCACAGTGCGAAAGGGGAAATATGTCCATAAACTTTACGAAAATACTAATAGAACCTTTTATTTTGCATTAGGACCAATTTTTTGGTTCTTACGCAACTTTTTCCGAAATTTTTTTCGACCGGTCGATCCTCTAATATTTGACCGCGAAGAGTATATTCTAGTATATTGATCACGGATTTGACATTTAACTTACGTTTTGGCCATTGAAAATAAATTTTTTAGCCAGTACAAGGTGGCTACGCGGTCTGCCGCCATCAAGGCCAACTCCATCGATGTCGCATCAACACGGTGGGGATGGAGATGCTCCAAGTGGACCTTATTGACATTGGCTCGTCGGCGATTGTCCCCCACGAAGAGTTGTTCACCATGCCGACGGATTTGGCCTCGTTTTCGGCCCCGCTTTCGTTCAAATGCTCGTTGATTGGTGGGTTGGTATGTTTTGGCTTGATTTTCGAAATTTTAGAGCAAGACACTCGCTTGTTGGACTTTAAATCCACTTCCACTTTCAAGGATCTCATCATGGGAACTTTGGATATTGTTTTGGAAGGTAATTTTTGATTTTTTTTTTGTTCTTACGCAAGTTTAGGATTTTTTAAAACGAGATTTTTTGAGTATTTAGAGGTACAGGCTGGCGTGTTTATAGTTTTAGTAGTATTTGCGGGCGTGTTATAGTTTTTTTTTCTGATTTTTTCGTGGAAAAAATTTGAATTTTTTCAAAAATAGATTTGATGAAAAAATAAAAAAAAATTGTTTGAAAATGGACGGAAATTGTAGGCAGAGGTGTATAAAGGCCTCTATAACTAACACTGACCCCAGAAGGAGCAAGATTTTTCAAAAAACCATCGTTTTTTTTATCTAAAGTATCATTTTTTATACCTACAGTAACATTCCGAAAAATTTCGCCTCAAATTTTTTTCTGATCCCCAAAAATTTTTTAGTCCATGGAACGATCACCCCCGAAGGCAAGCACCTCGTCCGCCTCATCCATCCCGCTCCGCCGGAAAAGCCGAAGGATCCGTTTGTGGGCCGCGGGACCCGCAATCGCAAGCCCAAAATGCGCATGCAACGCTGCGACGACACGGACGAGAATTCCGAAGCCGAAGACTTTTCCAACTCGGTGGCGGGTTTCCGCAACTCTGACGACGAATTTGACGGCACCGCGGATTATCGACGCATCGAATATCAGCCGAAAAATGATGCAAACTTGTGGTTTTAGACGATTATTTTGTGTAATTAGTTTTATTGCAAGAATAAAAAGTTATTTAAATACTCTCCGGAGCTCTTTTCCCGCATTTCCCGACCTTTTTCCCCGGTTTGGTCAGCGCTTTTTGCGCCCTCTGGGCGATTTTTCGTCGCACTGTGCGCTCTTCTCTTCCCCGAAAAAAGGGCGATTTCCTTTTATGGTCTCGAACTTTTCGAATGCTTTTTGTATGAAAAGTATTTTTCGTGTTGTCTTTTGTGCTCTGCATATATTTTTGGCGCGTAATTTACCGGTAGAACACACGTTTTTTCGAGTTTGCTTTTTTGCACTGTGCGTTCGAAAAATTTTCAATTTTTGGAATGCACAGTGCGAAATAGATAAAATTTTGAATTGAGATGTGCGGATAATGTCCTGTGAAAGGGAATGGCGCAAAAATTTTGTGAAAATATTGCTCTGCACAGTGCAAAAAAAAATTTTTTTTGGATTGCACCTTGCGAATTTTTTTAAAGAATTGTTTTCAGAAATCGTATTTTAAAATTTTTAAAAGTTAATACTGTAGGCTTTATCTTTATTTTAAAGCTGATTTCCACGCGGGTCGGTGTTTTTTATTACTGCTTTTTTCGTAATTTGTGTTTACCTCGAAGAAATCGTATGTTTTGTAAACGGTAGGAAAGTACAAAGATCTGTTTCGTATTGTCTTATATCACAATTACTCTCTAAAATACGCCCTTTTATTATGATTTTTCAGCTATTTTAGCTGAAATTTGGCAAAAAATTTCAATTAAAAAATTTTTTTTTTAAATCTATTTTTCCGCAGGCAGAATTTAAATTTAGTTTTTACTTAATTTCAACACTTCTTGACTCACTAAAATACGACCATTTGAGATGTTTTTTATCAAAATTTTTTCAAAAAATCTTATTCCAAAACATTTCCCCGAAACTTGCGTAAGAGCCAACATTTCCCCTCAAATTTCATCTTTTCGCTACAGCGAAGAGAGAGAGGTTTAACCAGCGATAACGTGCAACGGTCTTTCATAATTTCCCCATCAGAAATCGCATGACAAAAAGAGAATTTCTCCATTCGCCTTTAAAAGTCGAAACGCCCCCCGAAAAAAACAATTTTTTGAGAGATTTCCGTGTGTTGTAATCAGTGTTGTTGTGGTTGGGGAGGAGGAATCTCTCATGTTGCGGGCATTCGAGGTTGACAAAAAAGTTTTTCTTATTAATTTTTTCTTATTTCTCAATTTTATCCGAGAAAAAAATGGAATTTTTGAATTTTTTTTGTAAAAACTCGATAAATTGTATAGTAAATTGTAATTAATATAAATTAAAATGCTGTAAAAAACATTTTTATATCTAAATTTTTATTTTGAAAAAAAAATTTCGTCGAAATGACGGGATTTTTTGGAATCGTCTTCAATTTTCAAGAAAATAATTTTTTTTTCGTATTTAAAAAAAAATTTTTTTAATCTAAAATTTTGATGAATACCATTTTTTAAATATTTAAAAATAAAGTATTTTGCCAGCTGCGGTGACATATTTTTTCATTTTCTAAAATTTTTTTCCAAAAGCTCGGTCATCATGACGGCCATCAATTTTCCAACTCCACTCGGTTCATCTTTTCTCGTTGTAACTTTACAGTAACCCTTGCTCTTCCTTCAGAAAAATGACAAATGCCCCCAGGCTTAACGAACGTATTCTCAGTTTCTTCGTTCAGCATTACGTCAGAAATGGAGAACCGATCTTTGAGAGAGTGGTGAACACCACTCTGGTCCGGATCATTGTAAGTTTTGATGGGGTTTTAAAATTTTTTTGGTTGACGAGGAAGTTGAATAAGGGGTCATTTGACATGAAATAACATATAAAATACGATTCTGAATTGTCTATTCAAATCAAAAAAGTCAAAAATGCGTACGCCACTTGAGATTCCAAGGACGTCTCCGATCCAAGTACTAATCAAGCGCACCGTTGCTTAACTTGCCAGATCGGACGGGATGGCGTGCTTTCAACGGGCTATGGGCGTACACACTCCCTTCCCTTTCCACTTTTGGCTTGATTCGTGGAAATGGGAAACAAAGACAAAGAAATGAGTAATTTCTTTGGATTTGGGGCAAAATTAACCAAATAGGTGTGAATTTACATGGTGGTGGACAGTAGTGTAATTGTAAAAAAAATATGTACGATCAAAAACATCCACAAATCAGACTTTTTTTCAAAAATCTATCAATATTACTCAACGGACCTCCAGTCGCAAAAAATTCACAATTTTGCTTCCAGGAGGTAATAAAAATCCCGCAAAATAGGGAATGGAGGTATTTTGCGGAATTTTTATTCGCTCTTGGAAACAAAATTGTATATTTTTTCGCGATTTTTCACTTTTGATCATCATTCAAATTATTTTAAATTCAATTTCCTACATCGTCAATTCATAAATTGTAATTTTTTCACCAAAACTTTTATTTTTCCATCAAAACGCTCGTCTAAAATAATATAAAAATTCCCCAAATCTCCCTTGAAACCCCATTCAATCGCCCTCAAATTGCAGTTCCTCCATCGTCGCTACATAAAATGCCTCCCTTTCCTGCAGAATTCCAAAAAATCTCAAGTTGAATTAGTAATTCGCGGCTCCGAATTGCTTTGCGCTCTGTTCAACGAATGGAGGACAGCGAATGAGAATGGAAAACTACTAATAATGATGATAAATCGACTCTATGAGCATGTGCGAGACCTGCGCTACAAAATTTTCGTCAGCCATGCGGTTCGGCCGAGGATGAAATTGGTCTATCAAGTGGGGAGAGCGCTCAAAAGTAGGTCGAATTTGGGATTTTTTGTTGAATTTTAGGGCTCAATTTGTAGTAGCAGTCTGTCGCGAAAATAATGAGCACTCTGTCGCACCGACAATCGCATCGCAAGTCAAAAAACTATTTGATTTTCTCCGCGACATAATTCATTTTCTCGGCGGCGATCACGATTTCGCTGCGACAGAGAGCTCATTATTTTCCCGACAGACTGATATTTGGAAGACCAAAAATTTGTCTATCTTCCTCATAAATCAATCCTTGAAAATCTTAGGTCGAGGCTTGCAGACTGAGCCGAAGTATTCAACGGTCTTTGCAGACAAGAGATTATGGAAAATGAGGAAGGCAGGCCAGAGAAAAATTGGTTTCTTCTATAGCATTCTCTCCTCACTTCCCATAGTCTCTTGTTGCAAAGATGGTTGAATAGTTCGGCTCCGTCTGCAAAACGCGGGCTAAAATTTTTGAAAATTGGCAAGAACATCCCCTAAGTCACATACAGTGATCCATTGGCAAAAACGTACCATTTTGCATCCGGGAGGTATCAAAAAATGTATCAAAATGCCTCCCTCTCCAAGTGAAAAAACTCGGATTTCAAAAGCGCGCTTGTGAGGGAGCCTTTAAAACGGAGTTGTCTTTAATTGGAGAGGGAGGCATTTTGCTACATTTTTTGAGGCTTCCCGGATGCAAAAGGTACGTTTTTGCCAGGTTCGTCACTTCAATTGGACGTTGAGGCCAAACTTTTTTCAGCTCAAAGCCAGCGATGTTTCGGCGATTTCAGTCGAAATTCCGGGGAATTTGCACAGTGTAAGCGGCTTTCCTTGAGGTTTTTTTCACTGTCGGAAGACCCGAAAATGCACTGTGCGTTAGTGAAAAGCGAAGGAAAAAGTTTCGAATTGCGAATTTTTCATCTGCTTTTTCTGCTTTTAAAGCTGATTGATTACCCTAACAGTCATCTCCTTTCAAAGTATACATTCAATAACTTGTTGATAAAACAATTTTCCCGATCCAGACAAGGAAAAACAACCTTTAAAAATCGAAGAGAACGAAGATATCGGCGTTCTTCACTCATCAATTTATCGTAAAAAATGAAGTTCAAAGTATTCGGTTTAATTTTAGAAACCGAAAAAGTCCGTATTTGCCTGACAACAAATGGTGACAAGCGACAAAAGTGATTCCAAATTCTTCGCATCGATTTTACAAGGGAAGCCTTTGAAGTTCGACGGTCAGATTTTGATGAAACTAGGCACAAATTCAGAATATTTTTTCTAAAATAATATATGCGAGACTCCTAGCTCGCGCTTTGCAGAAACTCCCGAGATTTTTAGATGGAAATTGGACAAAAAAGTGGCTGTTTTTTTAACGAATTTTGACACAAAAAGTTATATTCTACCGTAGAAGCTAATGTCTCCACGAAAAAAAATCAATTTTCATACATCAATTCCTGAAAGTTTCAGCTCACACTATGCAGGAACAGCCGAGATATTCAGCGATTTTTGCGGCCGAGAGAGTAGGCGAAATGCGGAGAGCGGTCAGAGAAAAAATATTTTTTTGGCCGTACCTTTGCCATTATCATGCGAAAAAAAAAATTTTTTTTTGTCGAAACTACACTCTACGGTAGATAGAGCTTTAGTGACGGATCTGATCCAATGGCAAAAAACGTACCATTTTGCATCCGGGAGGTATCAAAAAATGTGACAAAATGCCTCCCTCTCCAAGTGAAAAAACTCCGTTTTGAAGAGCGAGTTTTTGAAAAGAGAGGGAGGTATTTTGCTACATTTTTTATACTTCCTGGATACAAAATGGTACGTTTTTTGCTACTGGATCAGGTCCGCCACTCTATGAAGCTTTTTTTAATTTGAAAAACGGTACTTTTCGGTCCAGTTTAGATCTAAAAATCTCAGTCGTTTCTGCAAAGCGCGAGCTAGGAGCCACCGCATAAGCCTTTAAAAAAGTCATTCTAAATTTGTATCAAGTCTCATCAAAATCTGAGCGTCGAACTTCAAAGCGTTCCCTTGTAAAATCGATGCGAAAAATTTGGAATCACTTTTGTCGCTTGTCACCATTTGTGGTCAGACAAATACGGACTCTTTCGGTTTCTAAAATTAAACCGAATACTTTGAACTTCATTTTTTACGATAAATTGATGAGTGAAGAACGCCGATATCATGGTTCTCTTCGATTTTTAAAGGTTGTTTTTCCTTGTCTGGATCGGGAAAATTGTTTTATCAACAAGTGATTGCCTGTATACTTTGAAAGGAGATGACTGTTAGGGTAATAAATCAGCTTTAAAAATAGAAAAAGCAGATGAAAAATTCGCATTTCGAAACTTTTTTCTTCGCTTGTCACTAACGCACAGTGCATTTTCTTGTCTTCGGACAGTGAAAACCTCAAGAAAAGCCGTTTACACTGCACAAATTCCCCGGAATTTCGACTGAAATCGCCGAAACATCGCTGGCTTTGAGCTGAAAAAGGTTTGGCCTCAACGTCTAATTGAAGCGACGAACCTGGCAAAAACGTACCTTTTGCATCCGGGAAGCCCCAAAAAATGTGGCAAAATGCCTCCCTCTCCAAGTGAAAAAACTTCGTTTTGAAGGGCCCTCACAAAAAAAAGCGAGCGCACTTTTGAAATCGGAGTTTTTTCACTTGGAGAGGGAGACATTTTGCTACATTTTTTGATACTTCCCGGATGAAAAATTATACGTTTCTTGCCACTGGATCAGGTCCGTCACTGTATTTGTCTGTCGGGAAAATAATCAATGTCGCTGCGCGATCGGCGCTGCGACATTGTGCTTATTATTTTCCCGACAGACTGATACTTTGAGAACTTTGAACATTAGTCTGTCGGGAAAATAATGTGGATTCGTCGCGCTTGGAATCGCCCATTATCGCTTTGCGACGGCTAGCCATGGCTTGGGATTTTGTGGGAGAATGCGACTGAGACACACATTATTTTCCCGACAGACTGATGGATAAAATTTGGAAGTTTTGCAAATTCAACAAATCAAAAAATCCATTCTTTTCAGATACAAATCGCGACTGTGAAATCCTCAATTACACGAACAGAACATGCGACAAGGTCTTGCTCGACTTGCTCAGTCCAAATATGACAACAGTCTCAGCTACCGGTCTAAACGTCCCGCCATTCATTCATTACGAAGATGACAAGACCTTCGAAAAAGTCCAAGTATTTTCGTACGTCCCAACCACGTTCGCACTACGAAATCCATGTAGGTTTTGGAAAATAGACGATTTCCGAATACGCAATGAAGATCAATAAAAAAATAGACGGTTTATTGTAGGATATATAATAGTAGAAAATCTGTAACGCATACAGCAATAGCCGCCTATAACGAACAACTTCAGAGGTCCAAAGGTCGAAAAACTAAAAAAAATTTCATAGGAGCTACCACAAGTGAGACGCGCAGATTTTCTTTAAATTTTTCGCACATGTTGGGCATAGGCTACATACGAATTCCCGAAAGTTTTAGCTCGAGCTTTGCGGGCAAAGCAGAGATATTCAACGATTTTTGCGGCGCGAGAGAGTACGCGAAATGCGGAGAGCGGTCAGAGAAAAACTATTTTTTTGCCGTATCTTTGCCCTCCAACTAAAAAAACTTCGTTTGAACTGCGCGCGCTTTCCCTCACAAAAAGAGTAGACGCGCCTTTGAAAACGGAGTTTTTTTTTTAAATAGTTGGAGAGGGAGGTATTTTGCCACATTTTTGATACTTCCTGGATGCGAAACGGTATGTTTTTCGCCCATGGACCAGGTCCGCCGCTGTACTTCCCTTGTAAAACACTTCCCAAAATGAGCCTCTATACAATACTCTTCTATAAAAATACTTGTTGACCCTTGCAAATTGTGATACATCACACAGTTTTTTCACTTTCAAAAAGCTTTCATTTTCAGATTTAGGCCCATTTTTCGCCATCCCCGCCAAAAACATGGAGCTTCCGCAGGCCGGCCTCAACGTTCTCTACGAGTACTTGCCGCTCCCGGAAATGCCGCTTCTAGAGACGTTGACAGTTGGCTTCAAGTGCATCGAGACCTCACCTCCACCGAGTACAAAACTATACACTCAAATTATGGAGGGGCTAAAGGTAGCCGCCCCAAACTTGAAAGATTTGGCGCTGAGATATCGGCTACTTATCGATTCTAGAGTAAGTTAGAAAAATTGTTATAACAGAGTTACCTCAAGCGGGACTTTCATCAAAATTTTTAAAATACGCACACAGTAACTAATATATACCATATTATTCAGAAAATTTCCAAGCATTTGCAACAATTGGAACTGGTCATGTCGAAAGTCAAATACCTGGCGGAAGGAATTCAATTGTCGAAAATCAACTCCTCCGGAATCGTAATGGACTTTGAATTCAGCACTGTGATCGAGGTAAGTTTGATTTTAAAATAGGATTTTAACTACATTCACCGAGAGAAAGACTTGACCCAACTTTGAGTCAAGTGTTTTCCTCGCAGAAAAAAGGTGTAAAAAAGTTTAAAAACCCTGAATTTGTTGTTTATGTAAATTTTAGGTAGAATTTTAGCTATTTTCAGCAAGAGAAAGACTTGACCCAACTTTGAGTCAAGTCTTTTCCTCGCAGAAAAAAGGTGTAAAAAAGTTTAAAAACCCTGAATTTGTTGTTTGCGTAACTTTTAAGCTAGAATTTTAGCTATTTTCAGCAAGAGAAAGACTTGACCCAACTTTGAGTCAAGTCTTTTCCTCGCAGAAAAGCGGTGTCATAAAAGTGAAAAAAAATCCTGAATTTTCCTTTTATGTCAATTTTAAACTAGGATTTTTACGTATTTTCATCAAGAGAAAGACTTGACCCAACTTTGAGTCAAGTCTTTTCCTCGCAGAAAAAACGGTGTCAAAAAGTTTAAAAATCCTAATTTTTTTTCTACTGAAAAAAAACTCGACCTTTGCAGAACCACACCTTCGACCATTGCAAGTCCGAATTTCAACGTATTTTGCAAACCGATCGCTTTGATTGGCTGAACAATGACGACGACTTTGAAGAAGGTCTGGAACGCCGAACCTTCGAAGCAACAGTCTTCATGTACGAAGTCCCAGTGAAAGTTACAATCCTAGTGGCGCAATCTCAATGGCTGGACCCAAATATGGATTTGTTGGAGAAAATCTGCGAACCCATTTGATATTAGTCAGCCAATGGTAGAAATATGTAATATTTGATAACATTTTGATGTAAAAACCTCAATATATCGCAATTAAATAAATATATTTTTTCTTGGCAAATCGACGGCCGGGCTACTTTTTCGAGATTTTCTTGAAAATTTCAGTTAATGATGACGTCACTAATACAGAAAAATTAGAGAGAATTTTTTGTGGAGTGACCACACAAAAGCAGCGTAAATTCCCCAACCCAAGTTTCAAATTGAGAAATTCATTCAAAACACCGTTTTCGAGTCACTTTCTTTTACTGATATTTCAGCTAAAATACGGTTCTGATTTGTTTATTCAAATCAAAAAAGTCAAAAATGCGTACGCCACTTGAGATTCCAAGGACGTCTCCGATCCAAGTACTAATCAAGCGCACCGTTGCTTAACTTGCCAGATCGGACGGGATGGCGTGCTTTCAACGGGCTATGGGCGTACACCTTCCTCTCTCTTTCCATTTTTGTTTCCTTGCCATGCAATATTCCAATCAGTCAAAGGTTTTTTATTGTAAAATACGATCAGCCATTTCGTAACGTAAACTTGCACACAATAGCCATCATTTCAGTAGAGGTCATGATTCTTCTTATAGCTTTGATAATCTAGCTTTATGATGCAGTTGCTCACTCATAAGGCCAGATCACCAAAGCGATAGATGAATGATGACAAAAAAGATCGTTTCATTCTTAGTTTCGTTGCATTAGTAATCTTGTAAAATACGTTCCATCGTCATTTCTCCCCAAAAATTGATAGAAATTTGGCTATAAAACCAAAAAAATCCCGATTTTCCGCCACAATCATCACTTTTTCATGGCTATAAAGTGGTCATTCTTAATCAGCCAGCCTCCTCAGATATTGTAAGACGATAAGCGTCGTAAATGTTACGCTTATAGCCCGCAGATAATGTGATTTGCGCAGAGTGGGCGAGAAATTTTCGGAGATTCCGATCTGCCCTTGACTAACCGTAAAGGAAAATATTTGGATAGATTTATGATAAATTAGTCGTAAAAAGCAATTAAGACGGGGTTGAGAGCAAAAAGGCAAAGTTATTCTAGTTTTTTTCACAATGAAAGTACTTCTATGGGGTATAGAGTTACAGGTCGAGACATGTATCAAAAAAATCGCAAAATTTTTCTGATTCAGAATGTGTAAAAATTTGCGGCCCAATTTTGGTTTGTAAGGGCGAAAAACCCCTCAGAACTTTTCTAGCAACACCACGCAAATGCCTTTTTGACCAAGTTTTTAACAATTCAAAAGCTTTGTTTTGAGCTAAAGTAAACCCTGACATCATCTTGACAAGCCTTAAAATATCGAATTTGATTAAAACAACACCTTAATTAACAGTTCCACTATAAAAAAGAGGCTTTTGCGAGCGTCGCGACACTTGCGGGCAGCCGACATTTTTTTGATTAGAATTACGACTTCCCTCCCGTAATCTATGTAGTACGATAGACATTTTACATTAACAACTCTCTGGTAATGATAAGTACAAAAATCTATTCAATTCATCCACTGCGTTCAAAGTTATAGAAGTTCGTTTTCAAAAAATGGTAAAAAATGCCTGGATAAGCTTATATGGTAACTATTCAAGCCACTTATACATCTGGAAACTTAATCCGCAACATCTAATTGTCAATTGTTGGAATTTCTAGTTGGAAGCAAATTTTGGCTGATTTCAAAACATGCCCGCAGAACCTCCGAGGTTTTTCAAGCTGCCCGAAAAGTGGTTGCCCACAAGTGTGGGCCCGCCTTTTGCGTGGTGTTGCGAGAAAAGTTCTGAGGGGTTTTTTCGCCCTTACAACCCAAAATTGGACAGCTATTTTTTACATATTCTGAATCAGAAAAATTTTGCGATTTTTTTGATATATCTCTCGACCTGTCCCTCCATACCTCATAGAAGTACTTTACTTCTCAAAAAATCAAAAAAAAATCATGCAAAAATCTTGGCTACAATTCTAAAAACATATGACATTACAACTGTATTTTTTGTTTTTCGACATCAAAACTTTTCCCGGATTATCCCACCCGAAGATACGGAAGTGGATAGGGTTTGAGCTGGAGAAATTACCAGCTCTTATCTTCTACGAGACAAAAGATTTTTTACATCATTGGGATATAAAAATCTCTCAATTTCACAAGGTTCTAGAAGGTTTCATGACAAAATTAAAACAGTGGATTATTAAGAAACTCTATTTTATAGAACTATATGACTTTCTAGAAGGCGTATTTCACTCCGGAAAACTAAAAATATCATTTTTTTCTTTTTTCTATGAACCCAAGTGCTCAAACTTTCTTTAAATTTTGCACACATGTCGGGCATAAACTAAATATCGATTCCTGAAAGTCTTAGCTCGCGCTTTGCAGGCCCCGCCGAGATATTGAACAGTCTTTGCCGCCGAGAGAGTACACTAAGCGCGGAGTGCGGTCAGAGAAAGAAACACTTTTTGGCCATAACTTTGCTAGTTTCGTGCGGAAAAAATTGATCTTTTTGTGGAAACATTACCCTCTATGGTAGAAATAGGTAAGAAATTTTTGTGCCAAAATTCGGCAAAGATCGTAAATCGGCCAAATATTCGCCGAAATCTGGATTGTTTCTGCAATGCGCGATCTAGAATTCCCACATATATTTTAGGAAAAATTGTTCTAAATTTGTGCCAAGTTTCATCAAAATCGGGGCGTTGCGCTTGTTGTACTTCCCCTGTAAGAGTGCAATTTTCCGACGTCGCCAACATTCTTCGGCAATCTTTGAATATAGAAAATGAAAAGAGATCTCAAAAAAAATTCACAAAAATATTGAATTTTCCGTCACATTCTATGCAAAATATACATAGTCAGGCCTCTGTGAAACAAATCGCAAATGATCCAAAATTCGTTTGTTATAGAAAGGTTTCGTTGTAAAGGAGATTATCTTGGTCTAAAATCGACTCTTCGGACGCTCAGAAATTGTTCGTTTTAGACGGGTTTCGTTGTGACAGAGGTTTCACTGTATTTAATTCTATACACTTGAACCTCTGTATAACAAAACCTGTCTAAAACGAACAATTTCTGGGGGGTCTCAAGAGTCCATTTTAGGCCAAAATCAAACTCCATACAATGAAACCTTTTTATAACGAACAAATTTTCTCGAACCTTGCGATTCGCTGTGAAAAAGGGTTGACTGTATTTTCAGCGTCTAAACTATGAAATATTCATCCTATATGACCTTAACTTAATTCGTATTTTATCTCAATATGAAACCCAAACTTTACGCCGCTTCCGAAAATTCCAAGCCTACCGTATCCAAGCATTCGAAAGCCCGCACACACACACCTGCGCTGAGCCCGCTGAAGTCGCGGTAACTGATTCCGAAATCAACCTTGATTACGCTCTCCGGCCCCAATTAACCACGCCCCAGCCCGCCCGAAGGGAAACGCGCTCGATTGATTTCAAATTAGAATTTTCCGCCGCCGCTTCTTCGTCTCTTCCGTTTCGGCGGAGTGATGAAGATCGACGTTGACAACTGAAACCACAAAAGAATTTGGGAATTTCGGTGGCTTTTGTGCAAAGGACAGCCCCGTGACAAAGATGGAGGAGCAGAAGAGGAGGAGGCAAGGTAATCGTTTATTATACATACACGTCTGTCGAGGTTACGTCATGGAGGAAAAGCGGCAAAAAAGTTGATGGAATTTGTAAAAAAAAAGCAAGACAAACGAAAAAAACTTTTCTGATTCATCAAAAAAAAAAACGCGAAAAAATCTTGCTCTTCTTCCTGATATTCAGCTAAAATACGGTTCTGACTTGTTTATTCAAATCAAAAAAGTCAAAAATGCGTACGCCACTTGAGATTCCAAGGACGTCTCCGATCCAAGTACTAATCAAGCGCACCGTTGCTTAACTTGCCAGATCGGACGGGATGGCGTGCTTTCAACGGGCTATGGGTGTACACGCTCCTCTCTCTTTCCACTTTTGATTCCTTTCCGAATTCCACCCAGTCCACGGCCGGGGCTACTTTTTCGACATTTTCTTGAAAATTTCAGTCAATGATGACGTCACCAAAAAAGAAAAATTAGAGATCACGTTATTGGAGGGACCACACAAAATCTTTTTCAACCGAGACTACTTTTTAGAGACCCTACTAGAACACCTAGTCGACGATGACGTCATTCATACAGAAACAACTCAGAGACCACAAATTATGAAGAAACGTCATTTCCACAGCAACAACAACGAAATGAAAAATCAGAGGTAAAAAAAGGAAAAAAGAAAACCCAACCTAAACATTGATTACAATGAGCCTTCAAAAAAGACCAATACCTTCCGAAGGCCTTCAATTCGATTAAACAGAAACGTGCGCCAGGCCCTTTTATCAACACACAAACAACTTTTCCGGCGCTATCAGTCCTCCCGCTTCGTGTCTAATATGCCAAACCAGCGAACAAAGCCGAGAATGTGCATTAAATCGACCCCGATGTGTAATGGTGTGGTATGTGCGGCAAGTGTAAGATCTAGATGAAAGCGGGTGGGGAAGAGGGATCAAACCGAAAGAATCAAGATAAGCGGAATGGCGGTCCGAAGAAAGCGATCATAATTAATATCGATTCGTTTCCCCCGTTGAGTTTTCCTCGCTTCCCCCCTTCGATTAATGAAATGGAATGTGCGGAGAAACAAATTGGATTCCACCAATGATTAGAAAATACCCCCACCCGTTTCCACGTCCAAAACGTCATGTATATGACGTATAAAGACTGGAAGGGAAAAAGATAGAGAAAGAAATATACAGTCGGACCTCTGCACAACAAACCCCGGCAGAGTGAAACCTGATTATAACAAACAATTTTAGACCTCTCAAAACTCGAATTTAGGCCGAAATAAACCTCCCTACAACAATAAGCCTCTATAACCAGAGATTGCCATGGCAAAAATCCGTCTCAATGACGGTTTTTTTGAACAAGGTCAGACGAAAGGCGAAATATTGCGTAAAATAAAGAGATTTTCTATCTCAAATCTGAATCATTTGATTTTTTTCGTTTTAGACTCATAAAATCCGCCTTGTTCCAGACTATGTTTCCATCAAACTTCAAAAAAGGGCGAGGGAAACTCTTGGAGAAATCGGCAAACTTTTAGGCGTTGTTACTTTAGGCTTCAAACAGATAGAAGACGACCGATTGTTTATACGAAACATATATGGTGAGGTTAAGCAGGAGTCCAGCTTGAAATTTACGTATGCAATAAACCCATTCTACCCCATCTTCCATGTGTATTGAGGTTATTTTGGGGCAAAAAATTATCTTTGAGATAAAACAGAACGCCAAGAATGTTTCATTGGTTGAGCGCTTTTGCTCTATTTTTTCTTGACGTGCGGGAGTTAAAATTTTGGCCGTCGCAATCTCTGATTCTGACTACATGACATCCCGTACAAATCTCCGAAATTTCAGCGAAAACGATGCTAGAAATTTCGCAAACATTACAGCAAACATTATAGTTTCAATTCTACTACTCAATTTGAAAAAAGCGTAAGACGATGACAAGCCATTTCTTTGGTGTCTTATGATAACCCAGTCACTAACCTATAGCTACCCTAGAATACCCTACAAAGCCTACCTGCAAAAACTCACTCCACTTCCCGCAGCAGACCAAACCCAACGAAATGGTTGCAAATTCTCGCGCAAAAAGTTCATTTCCGACGGAAGAAAGGAAGACGTCGATGGAATTTGCGACGCCGGACGTTTGGATCGATTAAAACCGTTGATGAATTTATGTAGTCGACCATAAAAAACAATTGATTTGGGAATGGGTGCGGCTTCGCGGGAAGGTAATCGATTACTACGAGGAATTTATTCGAATACAGTAAAAGTGAATTAAAGGGTGAGCATTGAATCACTAACTGCAGAAATGGTGACTAATCGCTGTCAAAATTTCCTAGAAGAAAGAGCTAGAACAAGTATGACTCCTATGACTCTAGAAGATCAACAGAGACAAAAAATCTAGAAAGATAGTAAAATAAGATCGACTTTTTCATCCTAGGAAAGCGGGTGGCAAAATAAATCGAACCTTTTGGGAAAGGAGAACGTGTACGCCCATAGCCCGTTGAAAGCACGTCATCCCGTCCGATCTGGCAAGTTAAGCAACGGTGCGCTTGATTAGTACTTGGATCGGAGACGTCCTTGGAATCTCAAGCGGCGTACGCATTTTTGACTTTTTTGATTTGAATAAACAAATCAGAATCGTATTTTAGATGGTATTTCAGCAAGAAACTGCCCCGAAAACAAGATTTTTGAATGAATTTTTCAATTTGAAAGACTATTTGTTCGACTTTTTAGTCAAACTTTCCAAAATTTTCTTGTTCAGCCACACTTTTCAGGAGCTGGACTCTCAAGCTAACCTTTAACTTGGGAAATTAATCCGAAGATAGAGTGAAAGGGACAGCTTACCTCTGATCCACCCTTTCCTTCTTGGCTGGGGAATTAACGCTATTTCTGTGTGTTCTCTCCAATAATATGTTCTCTAATTTTTCTAACATAATTCCATCATCACTGACTAAATTTTTCCGAAAAATTTTAACAAAATCAAAAGCAAAAAAAACATTGAAATGTTAAAAAAATAAAGCCGTCATGAAAAAACGTTCATTGGGAAATTTCAAAATTTTCAACTTCGCACCAAAATGACGTCTTTTACTCTTCAATTGAACTGTTCTTCCCGCAAAATTTTCGAATTTCCGTAAATGAAGTTTCGGTATTTGCTGGCGCCCCCTTCTCTCCTGATTACCGGTCCTTTCAACGACAGCACCTTGCCAATCGGCGGGGCCCTTTTAATTTGCAGCTAATCAGGAGCGTCGCGGTGAGGGGAAAATAAAATATTCGATAAAGCAAGAAACAATTTTGACTCGGGCAAATTATTTGTCGCTTGGGAAAATGGAGGTAAACTGCAGCGGGGGTTTCTAAACAACATTTTAGAAATCATCAAAAAATTAACTTGCGAAAAATTAATTATAAATGAAATAAAAAATAATTTCGAATTTTTTATTTGAGATTTTCTTGAAAATTTCAGTCAATGATGACGTCACTAATACAGAAAAATTAGAGAACATGTTATTGGAGAGACCACACAGAAATAGCGTAAATTCCCCAGCCAAAAAGGAAATGGTCGATCAGAGGTAAGCTGGACCTTCGATTCTATCTTTGGTTTAATTTCCCAAGTTAAACGTTAGCTTGAGATTCCAGCTCCTGAAAAGTGTGGCTGATCATAAAAATTTTGGAAAGTTTGACTAAAAAGTCGAACAAATATAACTTCAAATTGAAAAATTCATTCAAAAACCTTGTTTTCAATTGAGTTTCTTGCTGACATACCATTTTTAAAATACAATTTTAATTTATCTATGCAGATCAAAAAAAGTCAAAAATGCGTACGCCACTTGAGATTCCAAGGACGTCTCCGATCCAAGTACTAATCAAGCGCACCGTTGCTTAACTTGCCAGATCGGACGGGATGGCGTGCTTTCAACGGGCTATGGGCGTACACACTCGTCTCCCTTTCCACTTTCGATTTCACAATGAGTCCGTGGAATTTGACAAATATGGGAAGGTTTTTTATCTTTGGGCTTTCAAAATACAACTGTCAGAAACCGATCTTACAGAGAAGGAGACTGTTCTTAAAATACGTACCAATCTTCCCCATCCAGGCTATAAAAACTCAAAAAATTGCTCCAGATTGCCAAAAAAAGCTCGAAATCTGAATAAAATGCTGTCCCCACCAAAAAAATAAGTGTGGAGCTGCATGTTCAATGCTAGCCCACCTATTTTTGCGAATGCCCCGACCCCAGAGTCATTCATCCTTTCCCTCCGAACTGATAACGATCGGACGCCGAGTCGAATGAAATATGAACTCGTCGGCGGTACCGGCCTTCTCTATCAAGGCCCCATTGTTGCAAAAATTGGCTTGTCGTTTCGAAATTCCCCAAAAAAGGTCAACAAATCGCGGAGCCTGGCGTTGGAAAAATACGAACTGCGCAGGTCGGAAGTCTTGAAAAATGAGACAACAGGGTTGAAAAACAAAACGTTCAAAGAGAAGCAGTAATAAAACAGCCATGAGAAAGGCTCCGAGAGTATTTTCTAAACCTGACGGACGTCATATATTACTTTAGATGACTACTTTATCCATCTGATATCAAGTGTAATATATTGGTAAAATAAAGGTTTCCCCGCGAGAAACGACACAATTCAGATCGAGTAGGGTCTATCAATTCAAAAATTATCACTTTGAGACCTATTTGTAAGAGGGCCCGGATGAAAATTTTTATTTAGTCATCAAATCTCAAGTGTAATATAGTGATAAAACCAGATAGTAAATTTTAATACAACAGCATTTTCATGTCTCTAGAGGCCTAAACATGCCTTCTACACCACGTTAAAGCCTATCATTTATCCTATTCAACACTCAGATACTACTCTACCCATCTGACATCAAGTATAACATAATGATAAAATATTGATGCTTTAACGATCCCAGCTCATCAAATTAAACAGAATATGTACTCTTCTCACTCTGATTGTCATTTACAATACTCAAACACACAAAGAATTACCAAAAAATCTGTGTAAAAAACAATTTTAAAAATTTCATGACCCCTATTAACCTTCTTATCCAAAAATACGTTTTTCTTGTTCTAAAAGCCTTCCAAATCGAGTGAAAACGCATACTGATAACGGACAATTACCTCATAGCGCCAGAACTGATCGTAAAGCTCTCGGATAGTCAGTGCTCTTATCTTTTTTTTTCATTGTTTCTCCCAGACCAACCACTTGACGGGGAAACAGTTTCAAATTTATTTCCTTTTCGCCTCGGCTTTTCACAAGTGGACAACAAAGTAAAAAACAAAAGTTTTTCCATGCCCTACTAGCTTACTTTTCAATATCTCCACATTACTTCAACTTTTTAACACATTTTATATTGTACTAGACATCGGAACTGGGACGATTGGGGAAACTGAAAAGTATTATTTTTCTTCGATGAAAGTGTCGAAATTAGGATAATCCAGGGTGCTGATTTCGAAAACGACATTCATTTTTTGATCTTTACTTTTTTCCTTAAGCAGTACTGTAAAGTAGTAATGTTTTTTTAATTTTTTCATGAATACTCGATTTGGGGATTTTCGATGGTGCTGCTTTCAGATCAGAAAAAATTAATAAGATTTTCGAAATCAGCACCACCGAAACCCCCCAAATCGAGTATTTATAAAAAAATTCAAAAAATCACTACTTTACAGTACTACTTAAGGAAAAAAGTAAATATCAAAAAAAAAAAATGAAATTTTTATCAGAACCCTCGATTATCCTAATTTCACGCTTGCATTTTAGAAAAATAATACTTTTCGGTTTGCCCAATCGTCCCAGTTCCGATGTCTAGTACAATATAAAATGTGTTAAAAAGTTGAAATAATGTGGAGATATTGAAAAGTAAGCTAGTAGGGCATGGAAAAACTTTTGTTTTTTACTTTGTTGTCCACTTGTGAAAAGCCGAGGCGAAAAGGAAATAAATTTGAAACTGTTTCCCCGTCAAGTGGTTGGTCGAATCGCCCAACTCCGGTACTAGACATCAACTCGAAAATTTATAAAATTTGATATCAAGTCTTGTTTAATCTCAACAAATTTGCTGTTTATGGTGTATTGGGTTGCAGGTTGTAGCGTGCGCGCAAACTCAGAATCACATTGTGGATATTGTCGGCGTCGGCTTCGTTGTCAGCGATCGAAGACAGCTCGCGGCGGCTCAATTCCATAAAAGTTTTGGCGTCGATCTCTTGATCGGTGAAGCGGTCCACATAGTTAATGCCGTGGTTTTGCAGCTCCTTTCGGATTACGTCTGAATTTTTTTTGGTTTTGAAAAATATTCGATTTTTTTTTAATCTGGGTCTCCAAAATTCCGCAAAAACTTGCGTAAAACACAAGAATAAAAAAAAATTTAACAAGAAAAGTACTCCTATGGGGAATGGAGTTGCAGGTCGAGACAGATATCAAAAAAATCGCAAAATTTTTCTGATTCAGAATATGTAAAAATTAGCTGCCCGATTTTGGTTTGTAAGGGCGAAACAACCCGCAGAACTTTTCTTGCAACACCACGCAAATGCCTTTTTTACCAAGTTTTCACAAATTCAAAGGTTTTGTTTCCAGCTAAAGTAAACCCTGGCATCTTGAAAAAAGCCTTAAAATATCAAATTTGATTAATACTACAATGCCCCTTTTTTACATTGGAACTACTATTAAGACGTAGTATTAATCAAATTTGATATTTTAAGGCTTGTCAGGGTTTACTTTAGCTCAAAACAAAACTTTTGAATTAGTAAAAACTTGATCAAAAAGGCATTTGCGTGGTGTTGCGAGTAAAGTTCTGAGGGGGTTTCCACCCTTCCAAACCAAAATTGGGCAACTAATTTTGACATATTCCGAAACCAAAAAATTTTGTGATTTTTTTGATATATGTCTCGACCTGTAACTCCATACCCCATAGGAGTACTTTTCTTGTAAAAAATCCGCCTCCAAAATTTCGCAAAAACTTGCGTAACACCCAAAAAAAAGAAGAAGTAAAACCCGAAAAAATTATTTTTCCATACCCATAGATGGTCTCGCTGAGAATCCATTCCTTGAAAGTGAAATTTGCGGGGGTCTTTGGCGTAATCTCAGCTGGTTACTAATTATCCCGTTCGCACTGTGCCTGGCTTGAATTTGCAGCTGTTTTCGCATCGTGGGCGCTGACTGAGGATTCTGAAGACGATGAACGGACTTCGGAGGGGGGATTTGGAGGACTGGACTGCGTCTGGAAAAAAAATTAAACCAAAAAATCATTATATTATCCATGACAAATCACACTCAAAATTTCAAATTTTTACATCTAAAATCACTAACTACACCTGTAAAGCTCACAACAATGTCTCCCAGTCCATTTTACAGCAATTACCTAACAGTCCAGTACTCTTTTTGATGATTTATATCAAAAAATTCAAAAAGTCATCAAAAATTTCTAGTCGATAAGACCACCCTACCTGGCCACAGATCTCGGCTCTGAATCGTAACTGATTCGGTCAGTGGAGAGGGTGTTCCCAATCACTCCGTATGGGTTGTCACTGGCGCTAAAAGTTCGAATATCCGAGTTTCTTCTTTGCTCGATTCTTCCTGAAAGTCGACCAGATTTCAAAAATCCAAACAAGCCAAAATCTTCGCTATCAATTTTCACGTATGTTAACAAGTGTTTTTTCAAAGAATTGATTCAAAAAATATACAAATCCAGCCAAAAACTGCAAAATCTTCAAAAATTTTCAAAAAATCCCAAAAAATTTTTAATAAATCTTACTGTGGTGGAACATTCGATCCGATGCAGTACTCAAATTGAAAGCGTTGTACTGACTAAACTTCTGAACCATTTGTTCGGCAGTCAAGTCCACACTATGAGGCTCGGCCGTGTTTTGTCCCGAGTTTGAGTAATTTTCGAATGCCGAGTAGTCCGCATCAAATGGGACGCCGAGCAAGAGTGGCTGAATCAATGGGTAGTTTTCCGTGATATTCTAAAAACACACACAATCAGTCATATTTATTTGTAAAATACAAAGCCCAAGTCCAGTGGTTGACTCCAGAATCATCAAAAACATTATTCATGGCAAAAAGCTGACCTTGACCAAATTAACGCACAATTGCACATTTCCATCGTGTCCGATTGGCTCGATTGGGCGAGTGCAGGGAGTATGAGAGTAGTAGAGTTGTTGCGTGTCCAAAAACGGCAACGGTTTGCTCCAATCGACGCCTGCGCTGTGCTTTAAAAGTTCAAAGTCAGCTCGAGAGGGGCCACGTTCTTTGGCGGCCGGTTCCTCCTCAAATTGTGAGATCTTGTTGAAGATCGCTCTCAATCCCTCTTTAGTATTCTTGAAACTATCTTTTGTCGACCGAATGAATTGGTCTCGACTTGACCTTGCCGAAGAATTTGAATGATTTCCAAAATTTTTGTTGAAATAGTAGATGATCACTTCGGTAAATCCCAATTTTTGGGCCAATGTGAGTGCCGAGAGACGGCGTTTTTCGTTGGGGGCTTTGGTTCGGATGTGTGGATCAGCTCCGGCATCAAGAATTGTTCGAAACATCTCGAAATCTCTGAAATTTCGAGATTTTTTGAAGGCAGATATCCGCTAATGGATAAGATAATAAAAATGCTAGCAAATTGAAAAATATGCTTTCTCGAAATGCTGTGACAGACTCTGAGTTCTTTTTATATTATGACACAACAATTTAAATATATTTTATATCAAAACTTACCGAGCTACGACAGTCATCATCAAAGCTGTTAGACCATAACTTGGCTCCTGGGCATTGATCTCCTTGTGGAAATATCGAATCTTGAAGTCTTCTGAGACCGCCTTCTCCGGTAACAGGACGTCAGGGACCGGCTTGCAGCATTCTACGACCTAAAACTTACATTATACTTGACATTTTAAAAAAAACTTCAATTTTTTGAGGAAAAGCACATCTTTTTAACCGAAATAGGACTTTAAACAGCATAAAATTGAACAAAATATAATTTAGAATACGTTAAGAACATTACTTTTACAACTTTTTAATCAAAAGTCTCAAAAAAAATCGCGAAAAAAGCAATTCCGACCAGCCGGATTCGAACCAGCGACCTAAGGATTTCCGTTTGAACTACAGTCCTCCGCTCTACCAACTGAGCTATGGTCGGACACGGGCTGCTCTCTTTCATTTCTCTCTCGTTTCGCCGGGGAAAAAATAAAAAGAGAAAACTTTTTTCTCGTTTTTCGTCGGAAAAACAATAAAATCTCGGGAAAAATGGGAAAACCTTACCGCATTTTGGTTCCCCGAGGCTACAGCGTACATCAGAGCGGTGATATCTTCGACTTTATCGTTGAGGAGGAGGTTCATTCGGTATTTTATGAGCAAAGGGAGTTCATTTTCGTCCAAAATTTCGGTTATGCCTAAAATAATTGAGATTACTCGATGAATTTTGATCTAAAATAACATAATTTTGTGTGCAAAATGTAGCTGATGATCTACGCTTTCTTTTGAAATCAAGTTTCACTCAAAAAATATTGTTTTAGACATCAAAAAAACTAAAATTATAAAATTCTCCATGAAAAATGTCGAAATCTTTACTTTTGTCGTTCATCTTGTCTCGAAGGCTCTTCCCTTGCAATAACTGCCTCAGAATCTGCACTGCATTGTAGTCCTTGACGAACTTCAACCATTTCTCAAAGCTATTCCCTCCCAATTGGCTTGGGATTGCACGTTTTGTGAGGAGGAATTGCACAATTTGGACGGTTCCGCAGATTGCAGCGACATGCAGAGCCGTGAGTCCGATTTCTCCCGGCAAAACATGGTTCACATTTGCTCCTCGAGCTTCTAGGACCTCGGCGGTGGCGACCTGGGAGTGGGCAGCGGCAGCAATCAGCGCTGTGGGCGTGAGATCTTCTTCGATTTTAGGGATGGGCCGGGCTGAAGTTTGGAGCGATCTTTCGGCCTCGTCTTTGCGGGATTCTGAAGGAAATTGCCGTCAAGTTGAGCTCTAAATTGTGAAGACAACAAATCAAACGGGCTTACCATCGTCTTTCACGCAGGTCGGCTTCAGCGAAATGAGGAAATTCACAACTTCCACATGGCCTCCAGCGCTTGCCAACGCAAGAGCGGACACATTGAACCGTCTGAAAGCTTTCAATGATAATTGAATACGCTATTTTTGGCCCAAAAGTCGCACACTTTTGGCCAAAATTCTCTAAACAGGGGTGGTCAGTGGGCCGGGCCGGCCCGTGACGGGCCGGCCCGGCCCGGCCCAAACGGGCCGGCCGGGCTCAAAAATGGAAAATTACAAACGGGCCGGGCCCGTCACGGGCCGGGCCGGGCCGGGCCGCGGGCCTGGGGTTTTTCCGGCCCGGCCCGGCCCGTCTAAATTACAATGCCAAACCGTTGGCATTCATTGTTTTCGCGCCGGGAAAATTAATTGATGTTGTTATAGTTGCTGTTTCTCAAGTTCTAAAACGTTTACAAGTCTATAGTTCCATTATAAAACCACAAAACTATCACATTGATCCTTTACTAGCTATATCAACGCCTTTTTTGCCTAAGTTTAGATCCCAAGCTTGGGCGCAGTTCGCAGAACCCTCTATAAACGGGCCTGCACGGGCCGGGCCGGGCCGGGCCAGGCCCGTCACGGGCCGGGCCGGGCCGGGCCTGGAAAAAGACTAGACGGGCCGGGCCGGGCCGGTAATTAGACGGGCCGGGCCGCGGGCCGAAAATCGGAAAAATAGGGTCCGCTGACCACCCCTGTCTCTAAAACAATATAAGGCAACACTTGACGCATTTGAGTCAACTGTTGCATTCAGTCAAAAAAGTGGCAAAACTTGCGTCTTATCGCCAGATCTGGCTCCATTCTGTATCAAATACTTGGCTACGTTCAAGTGGCCCTCTCTGCAGGCGTGCAGAAAGGGCGTGAAGCCGGTCACGTTAGCGAGATGAATATCAGCTCCAAGCTCGCGAATCAGCATTTCTGCCTGCAAAAACTTGCATTTTATTGTATAGCTAGTATAATTGATACTTTTGAGGTATTTTATAAACTAAATGACGGGTAAAACCAGCGAAAACCCAGGAAATTTGAGCAATATTATACTTGATCACCTAGTATAATATAATTCGCTTCCAGTCCCGCTTACCATGGCGTAATGCCCTTCAGCGGCAGCGATTTGAAGCGCTGTGATGCCGTCGTCGTCCGCTTCGTCCACATCGACCCCTTGTTCAATGTAATTCTTCACTTCATTACAATTTCCCACACGACAAGCCGCCAGCATGCTGATGAGGTCCAGATCTCGCTCGTTGTACCATTCTGGGCCCTTTTCGGCACTCATATGGGGCGAACGGATCGATGGGTTCGCTTTGTGGGGAAGAGATGAATCGCTGAAAGGGGGAGTTTGTCTCTTCTTTCGCTTCGATCTTACCCATCGACTTCTCAATTTCAAAACCCTTTCTTTTTGATGGAAAAAAGCGTATCGAATCGGACGGAAATTTGTTGATATGTGATGATTCGAGAGCTATAAACGATGCGGCATGTTTTGCAAAAAATTATTATGGGTTATGAACACTTTTTTAAATTAGTTTACAAGGAAGTGAGTGCCTCTGTTATGGTATAGATGAAACGTTGAAAACAATGGAAGAATCAAATTTGAGGTACCCCAGGTATCGTAGTCAAACGCTCGATTCAATACTCCTCTAAGCTTTACGAATCACTTTCATAAATGGCGTTTATGACGTCGAGGAACAAATGGTCTCGTGGTAACCCTTTTACCTCGAGCCAATAGCATTTCGAGGTTCCTGAAATAAAAAAAACCTGTGCAGACTTGCAATACCTTCTTTATTTTGTTTATGTAAATTTGCCAGTTTTACCACTTTATTCGGACCGAGGAAGACTTGACTCATTTTGGACTTTTTTGAGTCGAGTGTTCCCCTCGAAGGATATATATTGAAAGCAGTGATATATTATTTGATCTTTCTGTTTGCCGCTAATTTCCTTCGAGGGGAACACTCGATTCAAAAAAGTTCTAAAATGAGTCAAGTCTTTCTCGGTCCATATAAAGTGCATAAAAGCTCAAATTTACATAAACCCTCGATAAAAAAGAAGTATCGCAAGTTTCCACAGGATTTTTTTAATTTCAGGAACCTCGAAATGCTATTGGTTCGAGGAAAAGAGTTTCCATTAGACCATTTGTTCCTCGGCGTCATCAACGCCATTTATGAAAGCGATTCGTAAAACTAGAAGAAATATTGAATCGTGTGTTTGACTCCGATACCTGGAGTAACTCAAATTCGAGTCTTCGATTGTTGTCAACTTTTCATCTATACCATAACAAAGGCACTTATTCGTAAACTAATTTTTTTAAATAATTGTCTGTAGTCAACAGTGACGGTCCTGTTCCAGTGGCAAAAAACGTACCACTTTGCATCCGGGAAGTATCAAAAAATGTAGCAAAATACCTCCCTCTCCAAGTGAAAAAACTCCGATTTCAAAAACGCGCCCGCTCTTTTTTGTGATGGAACCCTTCAAAACGGAGTTTTTTCGTTGGAGAGGGAGGCATTTTGCCACATTTTTTGATACTTCCCGGATGCAAAACGATACGTTTTTGCCACTGGATCAGGTCCGCCACTGTATTAAAGTTTTTGCAAAACATGCTGCGTCGTATATCGTTTCCAACTCAGCCCATATCAAATAATTTTCCATCCGATTTGAAACGCTTTCCTCCGTTATTAAAACTACTCCAAATTCATTTTATTTCAAAGTAAACATTCATTTTCCATCTACAATAATATCCTCATCTACTTTCTGACAAACTCCTCTCCATCGACGAAGATTCTCCGGATCTGGCGGTTCACCATTTCGAACTCATTCAAGATGTTGATGGGCTTTCGGTTCTTCTCATTGAGCTTCACGTTCACGCTAAATCTGAGGTTTCCGTCAAACGTGTCCGGGACCTAAAACAATATCATTTCCACATCCAAAATAGGGTCAAATCAACTTCAAGCAACTTCGCAACCAACCTTGATGGAGGGCAATTTCACTTCAGTGACGTCACCATCCAGTTGAGTTACGGAAACATCTCCGGAAAGCGTCGTATACTCCGAGTCGGAATCTTCGCTTTTCGATTTCTGCTGCTCTTTGTCGCGCTTTCCCCTGATACGACGGCTCAATTCGGCCACCACTCTTCTGGAGCGTTGAGCATACGAGGAATCCGAGTACTCCGACGCAGTGTCGGTTTTTGGCTTGAACTTGTATGGACATGGGCATTTCCTAAAATGAGGTTGGTAAAGTGACGTAAAGGGTCCTTATATCTTGACGAGATCAGTCGTAGAACTTCAGCAGAGATGATCATAGCTTCTTCTAGCAAACCACCAAGCAAAAGGTCAAAAAATTTTTTTCATTTCCGACCTTATACATCCCTGCCAAAAAAGGGAACCAAAACAATATAAGCCTCCCTCCAACCTCCACAAAACTTCGCAGAAAGAGCAATCAGCTCATATTCGATCAAATCCTAAAGTTTGAACAAAAAAATAAATAAAAAACATACTCATCACCAATCTTGTTCTTGTTGCGGATCAACCTTTGGATCTCACCCGGAGTCAGACGATCATTCTCGTTGCGCGGAAACAGTTCTCTCATCAGGTAGGTCTTGTCATCACAGCGGACAACATGATCTCTGGTGACCAGCTCGTCATCCAAACTCTTGGCCATTTGAACCACATTTCTCAAGGGCTCTTTGTCAATGCGACAATCAGAAGGACAATTCGAGCTGAAATCATGACTGCGGCGCGTTTTCTGAAACAATGACAGGTTAGAGGGCAGCTCGAGTCAATCTCTGATGCAAAACTATGCTATGCTCGGCTAAAAAATTATATTGTACTTGATGGATAAGATAATGTATCATTTGTCTCGTGCACCCCGCAGCATTTCGGAAAACAACTAGTTCCAGTCTGCGCACGATTTTCTAAGCTTTCTAATGAATGGAATTCCATGTAACCTCACTCAAAGTCAAGCTGCCAAAGGGGAAATTCCGATATCACCCTTCAAAATCTGAAGTTTCGCCGACAAAGTAAAGTTTCTTTATGAAAAAAATTATCTAGATTGAGGAGTAGAAATTTAATACGTCACCAATGGAAAATTGGTGCCGCAGACACCCATTTCAACATGTATAGGCTTCATGAAAGATCAAAACTATCGCTTCATGAAAGATCAAAACTTATCTTACACATGACACTTGAAAAAACTCAAAAAAATTCTTACTCTCTTGTGGCTCTTGTCACGGCAAACAACTGGACTATTCCATGGACTGCTGCAGCGCTTCGGAGAGTTGTACGAGTACTCGTCCGGGACAATTCCCCTGCTGCAGAGCGTGGTATCCGAATCGGTTTGGGACGAAACACTTCTGCTCCTGGGCCTGATGTTCATGCGACGAGGAAGTGAATTGATCACCTAAAAAACTGTTTCATCATCTCCATAAGAGAATGTTGCATCATTTCCGACAAATTTCCGAGAAAATCCCTTTGTTTATGATCGAAAATTGAATAATTTTAGATTAGCATCTACTGTAACATAAAATCAACCCTAAAATCGAGAGAAAGAAGTAAACCCCTCACTTGTTCAGCTTGCTGAATAGCTTGGAAGATATGCTTGTTGAACAGGTCATGTAGATCACGTGCTCCACGATCTTCTCCATGCACCATGCTTCTGTCGAGGTTACACTATCTCCAGATGATGTCTGATGAAAAAACGACCGTCCTTCCTGAGCTCTCTTCCACGGAATGCACCAATTGCGGGTTGGAGAGGACATTATCGACCAAAACTTGGCGAGAATTGTCGAATGAGCGGAAGTTTTCGCAAAGAAATTTTTCGAGAGAAACAGTTGACCAAATTGAAAAAAATTGAGTCATGTGTTTTCTTCTGCCAGTTTTGAGGTAAATCTAACGTGGAATGAGTCAAATTTTCTCAGAAAAGGAAAGTTAATCCTTTGGAAGGCCGCAATTTGATATTCTGACAGTAGTTTCTGACATCAGAATAGCTGTCGCATATTGTTTTTGTTACGTGGTTTATGAATTTGTAAAGATAATCCTTTACGCTTAAACGGAAAGGATTTGCAGCGTTAAATTCGTTGGTTTGACAACAGAACACAGTATCTTTTGACGTGGAATTTCCATAATCCCTGGAAAAAACAACTTTTGAAAAAACTGATCATTCATATTTTGTAGTGAGGTACCATGGACCATGGTATACCATCCTCGAACTTCCTCATTTATATAAGCCAAGTGTTAAGCTCGGAAAATTTGAGCTGATATTCCGCAAGGAAAGCGGAGATATTTAACGATCTTTTTTGCGAGAGAGTGTGTAAAATGAGAGACGGTTAGAGAAAAAAACTTTTTTGCAATATTTTTGCGAGTTTTTCTGGGTGAAAATTTGTATTTGAACAAATTTTTTTCAGTTTGGCCACATTTTTTCACTTGGTCAATTTTCTTTTCATTTTGGCCACATTTTTTTCGATTTGGCCAAATTTTTTTCGATTTGGCCAAGTTTTGTTATCCATATTTTTAGCAGCAAGGCCAAGAATCAATTTGTTCAGATGATGTCACTTTGGCCACTTCGTCATTGGGGGGTTTCCCAAAATTTTGTTTTGTCGGGTTTAGTCATGAGGGGGTGGGTTGAGTCTCCCTTCGAAAAAGGCTTTTCATTATTTAGCATTATTTAACACTCTATATATTCTAAGTTTCAGCCAAGTCTATATATTCTAGATTTCAGCCAAGTCTATATATTCTAAGTTTCAGCCAAGTCTATATATTCTAAGTTTCAGCCAAGTCTCATCTGGGAGGTGCCTACAAAGCCTAGCAAAGCCGTTGGACGCTCGGCGAAGGCTCGGCGGAGGCTGGGCGAAGACTTGCAATATGTCCACTTTTTCTAATTTTAGCTATTGCTAACGTTAGTTTTCTTTACCCTGAGTTATTGTAATATTTTTAAGTCTTTTAAAAAAGACCAAAATTTGCACCAGAAAACGAAGATCCATAACTTTTGTCGAGATATTATTGATGTGAGTACATGTAAAATACCTCAAACTAGGTGATAAGCTGTCCTAGGACCCGATCAATCTTATTATTTCTACTAACTAAGCCTTCTCCTAGCCTCCCCCATGCATACAACGACTAACAGAGGCTGTCTATAACATCTTTGACCGAAACTGTCGCTGACCCGAAAAGTCGTAGCGCCCGGAAAAAGCACCTATTTTGAGGTATTTTGCATGTACTCACATCAATAATATCTAGACAAAAGTTACGGATTTTCGTTTTTTCGCCGCATATTTTGGTCTTTTACATGTTACAGTAACTCAGGGTAAAGAAAACTAACGTTAGTAATAGCTGAAATTAGAAAAAGTGGACATATTGCAAGTCTTCGCCCAGTCTCCGCCGAGCCTCCGCCGCCCATCCAACGGCTTTGTCGGGCCTTGTAAGCACCTACTTCAACCTTTTTTTTTTGGGTCTTCACCTGCTCTACAGCTCGTATCGACCGGTTTTGTGTTGACCCGAACTGTCGTGGACCCGAAAAACCGGGTCGCGTGAAAAGTCCATTAACTGAATTTTGACTCGTCAAAAATTTCCCTCGCTAATTCGCAGAGCTAAATCTCAATTTAGATTGCGGAGATTGCCGAGAAATGTAGTTCTTTTTATTTCAATTCCGGACTTGGATTACTCGTCGCTCGTTATTGGTTCGCCCACGAGGGTAGAGTTTTAATTGCGATTTCAACTCGGATTTCGGAGATTGCCGAGAGGCATAATTTTCATTTTTTCGCCAATTCCGGACCTGATTTCTTATCGAAATCGCATATCGCGCGTTATTAGTTCATCCGCGACACCAGAGTTTCCAGTTAAGGTTTTAGACCGACACCAATGGAGAACCCCTCCAAGCGCAACGACCTTCAAGGCCTCCGATTTTTGGCCATTTTTTTGGTTTTCCATATTTGGCCGGATTTATTTCCCAATGGCTATTTGGGAGTGGATATATGGGTGGTTAGTTATAAATTTCATTTTTCTTTCGGTTCAGAAGTGTGCAATTCAGTCCACGGAGGCACTTTGGACTAATATCGGGAAATTCTGTCCGTGGTGCAAACAAAAATCGCCACTTTTGGTTTGCCGTTCAGACAAACGCAAATCAGTCCGTCGTGTGGACAGGTTTCCGGAAATATAGTCCACTGATATTCGATGCATGGACTTCTTGATTTGTTTGCTCGGATTTTTTGGAGTTGATTTTTTTTTGAGCCCCGGGGTCAACTGTCCCCGAAGAGTTTGCTCGATAAACCAAAATCGCTGAATTAAGTCCGCGGACAAAAAAAATTGTTCGTTCCGTAAACTGACTTTGCTGATTTTAGTCCGGAGAACGGATTAGAATTGCAACTGCGCCCAAATGGACTTGATTCCCCAATTTTAGTCTAAAGTGCCTCCGTGGACTGAATTGCACACTTTTGAACGGAATGAAAAATGAAATTTGTAACTAACCATCCATATATAGTTATGGGTTCAGACTCCGCCCCTTTACTCGATCTTGGGAATAGGTAAACGGCGCACGTCACGACGTCAAACTGAGGAGTCCGGTGACCGGAATAGACCCTTCGCTATCGGTTTTTTACACCTCGTCATGATTTCGCAGAGAAAGGGAGAAAAAAGACACACAAAAGCGTACTCTCTCGCCCCAAAAATTCCCCATTTCTTCCCCGACAAAACGTTTTTTCGCGTCTTTTTTTGGCAAATTGCCAATCCATTCAGCGGACTGTTTTAGCTTATCTCAGTTTGACGTGCGGTGGGCTGGATCCACTGCCCGATTAGTATAGCAGTCCTGCAATCGCTGGCTATAGTGTTTTGGTCCTTTATATCCCGCGGGTGTGCGTAGGAGGTCTCCATTCCAATAGCTTCACCACCAGAGATTGCCACGGTCAAAATTTCGGCTCCGCTCTTAGCTCCCAGAGCCGGAGTCGAGGGCAAATTTGCAGCTCCGGCTCCGTTCAAAATTTAAAAAGGTGGCACATACGGCGAAATGTCTGCTAATTTTTTTGTAGAGATGATGTTTTATAAAACACAAAATGTTACAGTAATCTTGGAATAGCGGGAATTTTACAAAAAACGTCTGACATTTTTATTGTAAGTGCTGCGTTCGTTCTGTAAGCACGATGCCCGGGTTTACGTTTGTTTTTCCGAAATTTTTTGCCAAGGGGAACAGTTGACTCAGACTGGTCAAGTCTTTGTTTTAATGAAAATGGCTAAAATCCCACTTTAAAAATGACATAAACGGAAAATTTAGTATTTTTAAACTTTCTGACACCGTTTTTCTACGAGGAAAAGACTTGACTCAAAGTTGGGTCATGTCTTTCTCTTGATGAAAATGACTAAAATTCTACCTAAAATTTACATAAACAACAATTCCACGATTCTTTATTTTTTGACACCGTTTTTCTGCGAGGAAAAGACTTGACTCAAAGTTGGGTCAAGTCTCTCTCTTGATGAATATGGCTAAAATCCTTGTTTCAAATCTAATTTTAGCAATACTAACGATTTATTGTAGCAGATATTTTGGTCCATATATAAAGGACCAACCGCAAAATTTGGTCCATACATAAGGGGCCAAAATTCGGGTCAACGGTACTATGGATCGTTTCTTTTCGTCGTTGTATTCATGGGGGAGGCCTAGGAGAAAAAGTGGACATATTTCAAGTCTTTGCCAAGTCTCCGCCGAGCCTTCGCCGAGCGTTCGCCAACCATCCAGCGGGTTTGCCAGGCCTCCAAGGCATCTCCTGCTACTTTTTAGTGTATCCACTCTCCCTACGCCCCATATCGATCGCTTTTGTGTTGGCCCGAACTGTCGTTGAGCCGAAAATTCGGGACACTCGTCAAAAAATTCCCTCGCTAATTCGCAGAGCTACATCTCGCCTCGGATTTAGGAGATTGCCGAGAGACGCAGTTCTTTCCTTCATTTTTTCAATTCCGGACTTGACTTCTTATCGAATTCGGAGATTTGATCGTCGCTCATTATTAGTTTGCCCTCGACACATGAGTTTCGACTTGCAATTTTACATTTTAGTCCGACAAGAATGCAGAAACACTCAAAGCGCCACGATCTTCAAGGCCTCCGATTTTTGGCCATCTTTGCGGTCCTTTTGTTCCATATTTGGCCGGATTTATTTCCCAATGGCTATTTGGGAGTGGATATGTAAGTTTGTTTGCATTTGAAATGTGGTTCACTTTTGTTTCGCTGGATTTTTTGCCAAGGGGAACAGTTGGCTCAGAATGGGTCAAGTCTTTCTCTGGCTGAAAATAGCTTAAATTCTGGTTTAAAATTTGAGATAATTCTTTTTGAATAGTAGTCTCATTAAAATGCCGTGGCGGACCTGATCCAATGGCAAAAAAGCGTACCGTTTTGCATCCAGGAAGGAGCCAAAATGTCGCAAAATACCTCCCTTCTCTAGACCAAAAAACTACGCTTTGAAAAGCGCGCCCTTTCCTTCACGAAGAGATATGCATCCGACAATATTCGTACTCAAAAAGCGCGCGCTTTTTACTCCTCTCTCCTTCTCCTCTTTCCGTGAAAAAGCAATAAGATTCTGAAACTGCGGAACGCCAAATCAGGGAGAGAAGCGCGCGTTTTTTGAGTGCGAATTTGTCGGATGCATTCGGAGCTGGCGCCCTCTTCCTGAAGGAAAAGGCGCGCTCTTCAAAGCGTGGCTTTTTTGGCTTAGAGAATGGAGGTACTTTGCCACATTTTGGTTCCTTCCTGAATGCAAAATGGTACGTTTTTTGCCACTGGATCAGGTCCGCCACTGTTGAGGACAATCTTAGGATGGTTTAATTTTTGTGACACCGTTTTTTCCGCGAGGAAGAGACTTGACTCAAAGTTGGGTCAAGTCTTTCTCTTGATGAAAAAGCAAAATTATAGCTAAAAATTTACAGAAATAACAAACGTAGGATTGTTTTTTTTTATATGGCACCGTTTTTTCTGCGAAGGAAAGACTTGACTCAAAGTTGGGCCAAGTCTTTCTCTCGGTGAAAATAGCTAAATCATAGTTTAAAATTTACATAAAAGGACACTTTAGGATTTTTTTATTTTTTAACACCGTTCCTCTGCGAAGGAAAGACTTGACTCAAAGTTGGGTCAAGTCTTTCTTTCGGTGAAAATAGCTAAAATCCTAGCTTAAAATTGTTTAAAAGGGCAAATTTAGGATTGTCCTATTTTTATTACTCCGTTTTTCTGCGAGGAAGAGACTTGACTCAAAGTTTGGGTCAAGTGTTTCTCTCGGTCTGGTCTATAGAAAAATGCCTTGCATTGCCCAAAAAGACTACTTAGCCCTTCATATTCGTCCTGTTTCAGATTCTTTGTCCTCTCCGGCTTCCTAATGTGCACCATTTTGTCCTCCGGCGAGTTCAATTCCGCCTCAATCGACAAATTCTACTTTCGCCGAATCAAACGAATCTTCCCCACCTACTATTTTATCATCGTGTCGACTCTTCTGGCCGGATTCGTAATTCTGCTCGATTCTTTCTACCCGACAATGATCTCCGAGTCGACTTCGGCCGCCCTTTTCGCGTCCAACATGTTCAATTTGCCGGCTTCGGGCTATTTCGCGGTCAACAATCAATATCCACTGTTTCTGCATACGTGGTCGTTGTCGGTGGAGGTGCAGTTCTATCTGATTGTGCCATGGATTTTTTGGCTTTTGACGAGGTTTAGAGAACGCTCGAAACCAGTGGGATGGTTAATATTGTTGGCGATTTGCGTGTTCTCCTTCGGATTTCAAGTGTATTTTTTGGAAAGTGAGTTGACTTTTAGCTCATAAGGCTTTTCTAATGATCAACGCATCGTATTTTTTCGTATTTTATCTTGAGAGCAAGACTTGACTCATTTTGAGTCAAGTGTTTCTCCACCGTACAAATTCTGTAAACGGCCATTGCAACGGCTGAAAACACATTTCCCATCCACTTTTCTGTATTTTTTCGTATGTCAATGCCGAGAGAAAGACTTGACTCAAAATCACTTTTTGAGTCAAGTCTTTTTCTCGTAACAAAATGTCTCAACTTGACTAGAAATAGACTGTAGACGATTTCTAACGATTTTTGTATGAGGCTCAAAAAATTTTTCAGCTAAATTTACCTTACTTTAGACACTAATATCTCCCACATGTCCATGGCTTCGCGGATGTGGCAATTCATGGTTGGATTTGCCACAGCCTTCTCCACGATCAAGAAAAAGGAGGCAGAAGCCTCTGACTACATATTATTGTCAGAAGATGCCGAGGAAAATCAAAAAACCAAAACTTTTCTGCCAGAAGTCTCAACTTGCACTCGGCTTGCCAAAATTGTTGTTACAGCAACCCTTACAGTCCTGTTGCTCTCAAAAGTAATGCAAAATGCCGTAGTTTTGCGGGCAGTTTCGACTTTATTAGCTGGTTTGTTCATTTATCTCAACGACGACACGATTTTGTCCCATCCGTTCATGGTGTATATTGGAGATGTGTCGTACTCAATCTACCTCGTGCATTGGCCCATTGCAAAGCTGTCAAAGTATTACAATACGGGGAAGACGGTGAGCCAATTTGACAGTAAGTCGGAACATTTGTTTGGCAAATTTATCTTTGAGGGAAACACTTGACCCAAATATTCAAAAATGGCAGATTTTCGGTTGGCAAGTGAAATAGGAAGTGGTGGAAGTAGGCTGAAACATTTCTTCTTGACTTAGCGATATTATTTTGTCTAAAAATTAACTTTTATTCGTTTCGAGTCAAGTTTTTCTCTCATTCAATAATGAGCGTAAGACTTGACTCTAGATAAAAAATTTACGCTTCACTAGATTCTTACGTAAGCCTAATTAGTTTAGCAATAAGAAATAGCATGTTTTATCCTTTTTCCAGAGGTTATTTTACCATTTTCAGCATATTGGGTCAAGTCTTTCACTGATTCAAAAATTTGCCAATTACTAAAAATTTTCAGGCGGGATATGCATCATCGCATTCTCACTGATGTGTGGATGTCTAGTCGAACACTTGTTTATGAAGATCTCATCCTATATAACCAAATGGAGCAGATTAATTCTGCTGCTGACCCTGTTCTTGAGTGCAATATTCTCACTTCAAATGTACATTCAATTCAGCGTCCCCACCGAGGATGTGCCAAAAGACGAAGTCGGCGCGCAAAATCGTACCCGATTACTCAGGTACAATGAGACGGGATTCCTAGAATACGCGAAGGGAATTTACCAAAACCGCCAGAACCCGCTCAACATGACGAGAAAAGAGATTGAGTTTTTCAATCTGCAGCAGCGAGATTACCTGGACAACAACGCGAAGGAGTGCAAGAAGCGGCAATGGGGGCAATTTAAGAAAGTTTTGAAGGATTCGGGGTTCTACGATTACGTTTGTCAAGTTGAGGCAAGTGGAATATAAAAAGATGTCAATTTTAAAGCATTTTGTCATTGTGGCAGCTCTAAAAACACGCAAAATCCAATGAGTCAACTTTGGTTTCGGTTCCATATGATTTTAGCGACTTTGAGTCAAGTCTCCCTCTCATTGGGTCAAGTCTTCCTCTTAGTGGGTCGAGTGTTTCTCTCATAGAAAATTGGGTATACTTCGTTCAAAATTTTTTTGAGAGGCTTTAATAAGTGTTTAGTACTTGTTTTTTCCATTTCGCTCGTATAATTGACAATTGGGTCAAGTCTTCTTCTTGCTGAGTCAAATATTTCCCTCAAGGAAATCGATTTCTACGACAATCAAAAAAGCTATTTTTTCATAATTATGACATTACTTTGGTATCCATACGTCTTTCTGAGACTTAGAAGGCCAAAATTAAGAACTTGGGACAAGTGTTTCCCTCGCTGACAAAAAAAATCAAATTTGACCTAGAACTGTAAACAAAATGCATCCAAATTGCTTCCAGCCACATCAAGATCGATTTTCAGGGCTCCGGCAACAAGGAAGTCCTAATAATCGGCGACAGTGTGGCCAGAGATACGTATATGGGAGTGCAAGAGAACTTCCGAGACGTTTACAGCCACATGTCCCTGGTTTCCAGGCGAGGCTTTCATCCCTTCTACCGCGATCCCGGTCTATCCAACGACAGTGACGTGATTTTCTCGGCGGTAGTCAAGAATTGGGAGCGACCGATCGACATTTTGTTCGTCTTGTATAGGTAGGTGATGCGTGGAGAGTTGGAAACATTTTCAGTACGACCACTTTCGGGACAGAAGAGGTCAAAAAGAAGTACGTCGACAAGTATCCCATGATGCTGCAGGTGTTTCTTGACCAAGTTCAGCCGTACGTAAAGGACCTCATCTTTTTGGGGTATCCGGAAGTGACAGTTGACACGTTCAACAATATCGAGGAGATGTTCAAATTTATTCGAGACGGGTCCTCGTTGGACGCTTTTCATATGAGCTGGCCGGTAAGTTGGTTTGCGAACGAGGGGAACACTTGACCCAATGGGTCAAGTGTTCTCCTATGAAAGGAATGGGCGTCTAGGTGGACTTAGGCTCAACGGATCATAATAGAGTGATTTGTAGATCCGCCACGGCCACAAAGAACATGGCCTGACCATAAAAAACCTCTGTTTCTAACAAGGGGAAAACTTGTCACTTGAGTCAAGTTTTTCTCTTGACGGGAACTCGTCATTTTAGGTAAATGACAGTATCAAACTGTCCTAGGAGGGCTCCTTTTTGACCAATATTCATTGTTTATGATATGAGCCACACTATTGGCCCCATTCATAAGCCAGAGGAAGACTTGACCCATCGGTCAAGTGTTCCTCTCGTAGCGCAAACGCCAAGACGCCCGAATTTCATGAAAGCCTTATAGACGACCACTTTTTCCGATTTCACGCATCTCCTTTTTCAGCAGCACAAAAAACGAAAAGCCCGATTCAGCCATGTGACGGAGAACATTCAATGCCCGAAATGTCTCAAAGTTGACCATGCCCGAAGCATGTGCTCGACAATCACCGATCGCTGCCTCTCCGCACTGCCGAACGGATTGATTCTGCGGCGAGACAACATTCACGCAATGCTAATGGGGAGCTTCTTTTACGCCGAGGAGTTTCGGTTCGCGTATGATCGAAAGTATGGAATGCGGCAGGAAACACGTACATAAAGCGATGTAGGAGGGCAAAAACTCTGTTTTAGAGAGTTTAGAAGATTTTTGAAAGATGACAACAAGTAATTCCATGCGTTCCGTTCCATTAGACCTCTGTTTATTACCTGTTGTATCACAATATAATAAATGCAAAAACTACAGTAACCCTGTAGGCTAAAGCACTTTGAACTGTTTGAAATGTCATGGAAGTAAATATTATGACTTTTGAGCTTGGGTTTTGTTCATTATGTCGACTTTTGAGCGGTTGCGGATATTATCCATGAGGCCTAGAGGCCTTTGTTGTAATAAACCACCTCTGGCGGGTTGGGCAGGGCGCGGATCTGGTCTCTGACCTCGGGTTCGAGATCTCCGACTTTGATTTGGGCTTTTTGCGGGAATATGGCGCAGCATAATGGCGTGGAGAGCATCAGAATCACGCCGCACATGGCTGTTTGGAAGGGGCCGGAGAGGAAGGGCCGAGCGCGGAACCACGCCCACCGCTTCTCCAGGGAATTCACGGCCAATGGGGTGAGGACTGAAAACAATTTCAGCATCAAGGGTACTGTAACTTTCGAAAAAAAAAGATTTTTTCAAAAGCTTCCAAAATTCAAAAAAATTTTTTACAAGGAAGGTACTTCCATGGGGGTATGGAGTTACAGGTCGAGACATATATCAAAAAATCGCAAAATTTTTCTGATTTAGAATATGTAAAAATTAGCTGCTCAATTTTGGTTTGTAAGGACGAAAAAACCCTCAGAACCTTTCTCGCAACACCGCGCAAATGCCTTTTTTGACCAAGTTTTTGCCAATTCAAAAGTTTTGTTTTGAGCTGAAGTAAACCCTGACAAGCCTTAAAATACCAAATTTGATTAATTCTACAGCTTAATAGTAGTGCCAATGTAAAAAAGGGGCATTGCAAAAAATAAAAAAACCTTTTGTACATTGGAACCACTATTAAGGTGTAGTATTAATCAAATTTGATATTTTAAGGCTTTTCAAGATACCAGGGTTTACTTTAGCTCCAAACAAAGCTTTTGAATTGGTAAAAACTTGGTCAAAAAGGCATTTTCGTGGTGTTGCAAAAAAAAAATTCTGAGGATTTTTCACCATTACAAACCAAAATTGGGCAGCAAATTTTTACATATTCCGAAACCGAAAAATTTTGCGATTTTTTTGATATATGTCTCGACCTGCAACTCCATACCCCATACAAGTACTTTCCAAAAAAAATTTTTATTCTTGTGCATTTTTCCGAATTTTGGGTAGTTTCCTTGTTAGAAGAAATCGAAAAAAACTTGCCCATATAAGGGACGGCCATGAGGATTCGACTGACAACGACCTGAGCAATCGCCGTCTTCGCGACGGCCGTTGAGGAGCCGACTTTTCGGCCGCTTTCGTCTTCCAAAGTAATTCCGTCCGTGAATTCCTTGATCCTCATCATGGGATTGTTGATCGCGTTCGCGATCGCAATTGAGCAGAATGGGACAAGGCGGCCATAAACCGGAGGTAGTTTCTGAAAATTTTCGGAATTTGCGCTAGATCTCAAAATCCAGTCATGTACGTACAGTGGGGGCCCTGATCCAGTGGCAAAAAACGTACGATTTTGCATCCGGGAAGTATCAAAAATGTGGCAAAATGCTTCCCTCTCCAAGTGAAAAAACTCCGATTTCAAAAGCGCGTCCTTCAAAACGACGTTTTTTCATTTGGAGAGGGAAGCATTTTGCCACATTTTTGATGCTTCCCGGAAGCAAAATGGTACATTTTTGGCGACTGGATCAGGTCCCACACTGTAGTTAAACGCCTTTTTCATATTCAAAAGTCGACCAAAAATGCAAATATGCAAATTTCGCTCCACCAATTTTGGAATTTTTCCCACCAAAAATTTGCATAATGTTTGCATGATTTCCCGCTATAAAGGCGACGAGTTTCGTGGAATTTCCTCACAAGGGAATGGTCTGAACTTCCCCCAGCGCACGCCACGAAAAACGTAAGGCAAAATTGGAAATAGAGATTTCGAGCTGCGCCCAATATTTTTGATTTTTTTGATGGAATGAATATTGTGTAAGATAGTATTGTAACTCTGAGATTTGGAACAATTTCGGGAAGTATATTATCTTTAAAATTACGTTGCTTTGAGTTTCAAGTGTTGAATGTAACGGATGAGTCCATGGAGCCCGGCCCACCGCGCTGTGACCCAAACATTGATTCTGCAGCTATGGACGTGTCTTCAGAAAAGGTAGGATTTCTCTTTTTGCACCCAGATTTTTGATTAATCGCCATGTGGTGTTGTGTGAGACATCTTAGCGGACGTTATAAAGAAGAAATCGGGAAATTTTACTATAGAAAAAGGGCACTTGTCAGTTCATTATTGCATCATTTTGCAGGAGCTGATGGTGTCTCCAGAAAAGGTAGGATTTCTCTTTACTCATCCGGTTTAGGTACAAAGGAGCCGATCTGATTTGTGTGAGGCATCCTAGCGGACGTTATAAAGAAGAGACCTGGAAGTTTTACAGTTGAAAAAGGGCGATTGTCGGTTCATTACTGCATCGTTCTGCAAGAGCTGATGGTGTCTCCAGAAAAGGTAGGATTTCTCTTTTTGCACCCAGATTTTTGATTAATCGCCATGTGGTGTTGTGCGAGACATCTTAGCGGACGTTATAAAGAAGAAATCTGGAAATTTTACTATCGAAAAAGGGCACTTGTCGGTTCATTATTGTACCATTTTGCAGGAACTGACGGAGAAACGCAAGGAAGGACTGGAGAAGGCGTGAGCAAAGCTGGATCAGAGGAAGCAGACGACGTTTAGAACATTTCAAGGTAAGTTTGTGACGTTGCCTTTTTGATTTTTTTGTTTTTCTAGGCCATTGAGCTAATAATTTTCTCTGGTTATACCTAAAATAATATAATTGATATTTCAGCCGGTCCATGTTGAAGTAGAATGTGAAAGCCAGCATAATGTACCCATGGGTGTGGAGATTGAATTCCGAGTTCAGATTGCATCCGACAAATTCGATGGATAGTCGAAAATTTATGTAGTTTTAATTATTCTTATTGGTTTGATGTTTAGGTGGACATAAAGAAGATTTGATGAATTTCAATTTAGTATTGGTCTGTTGTAGCAGGATCAAAGCCCTGCAAACCCCGGAAGAGCTCGAATTCGGTCAGATTCATCGATTTTGATCCAATTTTGCCTAGTACAATATAATTTCTTTTCTCTTCTTTGATCAATCTAAGAAGTTTGGGGTGCATCTCCTAGATGCCTTTCGATGCTTTCTCGCCGGTTTCACACGTAAATTGTTGTTTATTAGAATTTTGGAATCATTTTTGTTATTTACTTGAAAAGGTTTCAGCGTATGAAATGTCGCAAAACATTTTCCCGCGAATTTCTCTATTTCCACTTTTTTCGTGGCGTGCCAGCGTTAAGGAAAATGACTATTACAGGTGGATAGAGCAGGTCGACTTTGGTAGAAAAAGGCAATTTCCAGCTGCAAAATAAGCACCGCCGACGAGGAAAATCGACCGAAAGTTCCGAAAAAATTTCCTCTTTCTCTTCCCTCGGAAAAGAAGAGGAGCATCCAGTGGTTCGGTTGGTCGAGTGGATAGAGCGTCCGCTCGATATCCTTTTGGGGGTTGGTTCGATTCCGGGGCAGCGCGAGTGGCTATGATAAGGCTTCAGTGACCAAGATAAACTCTTGTGAATTATTGAATATGACTGGAACCGTTCTGGAATCTTACAGAAAAAATGGAGAAATTTACATAGAAACCCTTTATTATTATGTGTTTTATGATCTCTAGAAAATTGAACAATTGCAAAATATTTTTTTTGGTCCACAAGAGTTTATCTTGGCCACTGATGCCTTATCATAACCACTCGCGCTGCCCCGGAATCGAACCAACCCCCAAAAGGATATCGAGCGGACGCTCTATCCACTCGACCAACCGAACCACTGGATGCTCCTCTTCTTTTCCGAGGGAAGAGAAAGAGGAAATTTTTTCGGAACTTTCGGTCGATTTTCCTCGTCGGCGGTGCTTATTTTGCAGCTGGAAATTGCCTTTTTCTACCAAAGTCGACCTGCTCTATCCACCTGTAATAGTCATTTTCCTTAACGCTGGGGGAAGTTCAGACCATTCCCTTGTCAGTGTGTTCTCGTCCCACTCCCTTGGAACACCTCACCGAGATGAACGGAGCCGCAGTCTGAGCACTGCTAAACTCGTGCAGTGCTCTCTTCGATGGTCAAACGCCGAGCTTGGCCGAATTCAAGGTGTTCGAGCACGAAGACGAGGGAATTCAAAGTAAGTTGGGGGACGGCTATTTTTTGGGCTATTTTCATAAAGTGCGTAGACTTTTTTTGCCTGGCGAAAAAACTTTTTGCACAGTTGCACCGCACGTCAAACTGAGATAAGCTAAAACAGTCCGGTGAATGGATTGGCAATTTGCCAAAAAAAGGCGCGAAAAAACGCTTTTTCGGGAGAGAAATGGGGAATGTTTGGGGCGAGAGAGTACGCTTTTGCGTGTCTTTTTTCTCTCTTTCTCTGCGAAATCAAGACGAAGTGTAAAAAACCGATAGCGAAGGGTCTATTCCGGTCACCGGACTCCTCAGTTTGACGTGCACCGTGCAAGTTGCTTTTTTCGAGTTTGCATTGTGCGAAAAACAGCGCACGCTGAGTTTGCGACGAAAGGCAAAAAAGTCTACGCACTTTACGAAAATAGCGCTAAATACTAATAGGTGGGCCAATAAGCTTAGACATTTCTGCACAGTTTAGTGTTAGCATTTTCACAGTGCATTTCGCCTTCTTATCGTTTTGCGATCCTTTTCAAAACTTTTTTGCACCGTGCAATTTCTGTCTCAAATTTCGCTGCGGCGCAATGGAAAACGGCTTTTTTCTTGCGGCAGTCCGGCGGCGCAGCGGCAAATTCATGCGTCCGCACGGTGCAAAAATATAGACTTTGTGGCGCCCAGTGTGTTATAAATTTGTCTTTGAAATTGCATGTTTTGCCCAGAAAAGCGCAAAAGTTGACTATTCCTTTTCAGCCTGCTCATCATCGTCGGCTTTGAGTTTGTTTGTGAAGAAGTTCAAGGCGTCCCGTCGGCTGTGGCACGAGTCGCTGCCCGCCTTGCGCGGCCTGGGGATGGGCATGGTGGACGACATGCCCCCCCCCCTTGCGTATGGCAGACTGAGTAGAAGTTGGAAATTGTTGGAAAGCTCAAGGGTCCGGGACAAGCCTGCGGACGGTATGGCTGCGGTTTTGAAGACTATGGACGGGGTGAGGCTTTATTTAACTTTAATTTTATTTTTTTGTTTTTTTCTTTTTATTTTTTATTAAAATTTTTTTTTAATTATTTATTTTCAGCCCTAACCGGGTACGTCTTGAAGTACACAAGGATAAAACCCCTCAAGCGAACGCAGACACCTCCCAGCGCATCCCAGGTCCCCCAAATGCCTTGAGTTCACTCGGCAAAATCTAGGATCTCCATGAAGTACTCTTTTTTACACAAAAATTTTTGTGAAGAAATAAATCTGTAGAATGTTGCGATTTTTTTAATATACTTCTCGTCCTGTAACTCCATGCCCCATAGAAATATTTTCCTGGTTAAAAAAATCTCAAATTCTGTTGGAAAAACAACACCATATTCTGCCAAAAATCACTCTTACCTTTGCCAATGAGTTCAGAGTTAACGCCGAGGCCATCGCACCGCCCGTTGCGCAACAATACGCTTTCAGCAATTGATTTCCAGTGACTGCATGCTCACCCGAACGATTTGTGTAATTTACTGTCGCATTGTAGGTCTGATTCAGCCATTGCCAAAACAAAACAGCCGCGGTTCCTCTTAAAATCGCATTTTACTTCAATTTACCAACAATTCCACCGAGAGGAACACTTGACTCAATTTGGGTCAAGTCTTTCTCTCGGCCAAAAACATTCAGAAAGCGGCCAAAACAACGTTCAAAGGATTTCGAACGATAGGAAAGAGTGTAAACTCACTTGTAAAAGGTAAGTAGACCACCAGTAATAATCGTATTGCATGGTACTTGAGCCGACATTCGGCCGATCAAGGGCATTTTTTCGCCCGTTTCCGGATGAAAGGCGGAGTCATAAAGTTGTTTGGCTCTCCACAACTGCTCCACGGTTAAGTTCTCGGGAATTTTTCCTTCTCTAAAGCAAAACTTCCCTCAGATTTTATCAAAATATTCTCCATGTCACAAAAAATTGGAAATTTTTTTTAATCTCAATTTCTCAAAAATTCACGAAGCAAAAACCAAAAAAAAGTATGCCAAATTAAAGCGTCTTTCGTAAGGACTTACTTATACTCAGTGACGACCCGTCGGCATTCCTCTAATTGAGCGTTCGTAACAAAAATGTTGAGCGGGTTCACAACGGCGAAGAAGTGTCGGGCGCGGCCGTCGAACGTGCTCTGGTCCCATCGTGGCTTGGTGATGTCCGGCTTTTCGGCCAGCGCCCGGACCAGTTCGGACATTCAAAGGCTTTGGCGGTGATATGTGCTAAAAATCGGGGAAAAATTACAAAAAAAAGTCGCACCGTGCGGCCATAGACCAACTTCAGGATGGTAAAATACGAGTGTAGGAATTGGGTAGAAACAATAAACTGGCTCAGTAGATCATTTTACCGCACAAAATAATGTTTTCCGACACAAAGATGCATTATATTCTCCTTCACCCACCTTCTGCCGGGTCCCGTCACGAAAACCTCCGAAAACAAAAAATAAGTGGCAACTCAAATATTCTGGTATTTCTACCACTCTGATCATCGCAAATACTCGCTAAATCAGCATGATAAGACTTTATTATCTTAAAACGTGGGAAATAAACAAGCATATTATAATAACTATACCTAAAAATACCTTATGCACCAATTTCTGCACCCAAAATCGATTTTCCTGAATGTATTGCTTGATATGAGATCCTATGCCTCTTCCAGTATTTCATCGTCCGTGTTTTGGGCAAAAATTTCTATCTCTTCTTCGCGTCTTGGATGACCACTTCGCCCTGAAGGGAAAACAATTAAAACGTAAAATTTAACGTAATAAAAAGGAAATACCTCGTAAAATCATTATTCATTATATCAAGTAAACTCTATATTTTCCAAATAAAACTCAAAAAATCTTACCCGAAAAAAATAAATTACAAAAAAACCCAAAAATTATATTCATCATGACCTAAATTCAAAACTCAAAATCTAAAAGTATATTAAGCAAAGATCAGTTAACTTCTGAACTAACTGAACATAGCAGACTCTATGTTGTCTCTTTCCGTTCATAAACTTCCACTTCGTCTAAAGAAATGACCAAAAAAAATCGAAAATTATCTTCAACCTCACCTAGTACAATATATTTCCAAACTTTCAATCTAAACTCACATTTTCCCCCATCGTTTATGGTGTCCATATTCCACGACTTAATTATTCTCTTATTCGCTCATTTCCGTCGGGTTTTTCGGCCGATTAGTAGTCCAATTCGACATTCTGACCAGACTCGTCCCGTACTAACATAAGTACTAAAGATTTCATCAATTTGCTCTTCAAAGTCCAATTCAGACGGAGTTACAGTCTGAAAAAGACAATATCAGGTCTAACAGTTCATAAAACACTCGTCTGAATCTTTTTTTGCAGCGTCAAATTTCGAAAACTTCAACTTTCTGCTTAAATTCATATTTGGGTGATGGATGTTCAAAGAAAGAAGCGGAAAGTTTTTTGAAATCAATTCTGGGGATTTTTGGATTTTTAAAATACGCCCCGAAAACTTGCTCAGAAACCTCATAAAAAAAGGTCTCCGAAACAATATTAGCCGCCCGCATCAGACGTCTTGACGAATTTCTCACGGGGTTTCGAGTTTAATTCGACAAATTTGTCACATGGACAATATAAATGTTTGACGACGGAAGCGGAAAACGGGGTAAATTTGAAAGAAAACGTGGAGAATAGGAGCGGAAAGTTTTTTGAAATCAATTCCGGGGATTTTGGATTTGTAAAATACGCTTCGAAAACCTGTTAATCAACGTCATGAAAAATGAGGTCTTCGAAAGAACATCCACTGCGAAATCTGGAAAAAAAGTAGGTAAGGAGAGAACAAGGTAAGTTTCGTAGTAGAAACTACCTGTGGCCAAAAAAACAGAAAATTCGAGTTTTCCTTTTTGGATTTTTCTTATTCGTGTGATGCGCATTCGGGTGGCGCATATGGATTTTTGGGGTGGATGAATTCTCGGCTGATGAAGTAAATATTGTACAGTTGGCTACTGACATAAAAAAATTAAAAATTTTCTGCAGTATTATTCAAATCCCCTATCAAAAAAACCGCAAAAAATAAAAAATTTTTACAGTGTTATGCCATATTTAGTAACCATCAGTACAGTATTTATTACTTCATCAGCCGAGAATTCATCCACCCCGAAAATCCATCACCCGAATATGCGCCACACGAATGCGCATCACACGAATAAGAAAAATCCAAAAAGGAAAACTCGAATTTTCTATTTATTTTTTTTTGGGCCACAGGTAGTTTCTACTACGAAACTTACCTTGGTCCCCCCTTTACCTACTTTTTTCCAGATTTCGCAGTGGATATTGTTTCGAAGACTTCATTTTTCATAAGGTTTATTAACAAGTTTTCGAAGTGTATTTTACAAGTCCAAAAATCCCCAGAATTGATTTCAAAAAACTTTCTGCTCCTTATTCCCCACATTTTCTTTCAAATTTACCCCATTTTCCCGTTCCGTCACCAGACATTTATATTATCCATGTGAGAAATTTGTCGAATTAAACTCGAAACCCCGTGAGAAATTCGTCGAGACGTCTGATGCGGGCGGCTACTCAAGTTCGAAAAGTCTATAGATCAATAAAGACATGTGATCATAAAAGTACAAAATTTTTTCAAAAAATCGCTAGAAAATTACACAAAATCGCTTAAAACAGGTTTTGCGAAAGACTCGAGCTTTCAGATTTGCCTTGTGCACATGAAACAGGATGTCGCAGCAGAGCCGTGAAACAGTAACCATAGGTTGCCTTAATCACGAGTATTAAATTTCAGAAAAATTTTTTTTGATTATTGGCCTACTTTAGGTGTACTGTAGCTTTCCCGCATTTCCAGGATCTCGGCTACAAGAGGTCGGATTGTATCCGGACCTTCTCTGAATTATAGAATGGACAATTCTAAGCATCTTTCATGTTGGGTACTTTTTCCTATCTGTGCCGGAAGTATTCTAAAAATTTGCATAATTGTCAAAAAATTTACATTTTTCAAATTTTATAGAAAAATTTGCATAATGGCATGACATTTTTATTGCTCTAAAAGATGCTCCGTAATGTGGAAATTCAAACGGTATATAGATCACCGCAAGGGGTTCTGCCTATGTTGCAAACGGGTCGTCTAAATATTGGATCATCAGGAATTAAAGTCAAATTTTGTCGAAACAATTTGATGTTTGGTATGACCAAAGATTGTATTAGACTTCAAAGTGGTTCCAAAGAAAAAATAGGTAATTAAAAAATTGATTTGCGGCATTTTTTTTGACATTTGCACCCAGCCGGAATCGAACCCGGGACGCTGGAATGGTAGTCCCGCCCACTAACCACTACACCACGAAATTTGTCGTACCACTTTTTGCACTTTTTTTGATTGCATCTAGAGCAGAATTTTACGCTGATTAACATATCAAAAAATCAGCTGGGGGTTTTTAGAAACAAGGATTTTACGGCCGTTTTTTTCGGCCAATACTGTATCACGGGAAGTTACAGTAGGAAACTAAAAAAAATAATAGCTCCGTCGTGTTAGTAATGGTCGAAAACATCAGTAAGCTTAAAATTGTTGTATTCAGAGCTAAAATACGACAACTATAAGCGATTACTTAAAAAACAGTAAATTGTAAAAAAATATATCTTAATGGAGGATTTGGCAAAAAACGTCCTTCGCTTTTGCTTAGCATCTATAGACGGTCGTTTTAATGCAAAAATCTCAAAATTGATTTTTTCCTATGTCCACTGACTCAGAAATCGTCTTTTAAAGATTTATAACATTATTTTGTCATAAAATTACATATTTTTACTTTAGAACCACTTTGAAGTCCAATACAATCTTTGGTTATACCAAACACCACATTTTTTTGACAAAATTTGACGTTCAGAAAAATTAAATTCCTGATGATCCAACATTTAGACGACCCGTTTGCAACATAGGCAGAACCCCTTGCGGTGATCTATATACCGTTTGAATTGCCACATCACGGAGCATCTTTTAGGGTAATAGAAATGTCATGCCATTATGCAAATTTTTCTATAAAATTTGAAAAATGTGAATTTTCTGACAATTATGCAAATTTTTAGAATACTTCCGGCACAGATAGGAAAAAGTGCCCAACATGAAAGATGCTTAGAATTGTCCATTCTATAATTCAGAGAAGGTCCGGATACAATCCGACGTCTTGTAGCCGAGATCCTGGAAATGCGGGAAAGCTACAGTACACCTAAAGTAGGCCAATAATCAAAAAAATTTTTTCTGAAATCTAATATTCGTGATTAGGGAAACCTATGGTTACCGTTTCACGACTCTGCTGCGACATCCTGTTTCATGTGCACAGCTAGCTCGACCCTTACAAAAAAGCTGTTTTAAAATTTAAATGATCATAAAACCTATTAAAAATAAATGATCATAAAACCTATTACTTCTCTGCCTTTTTTTGAGAGAACCCACTTTGTTGCATCATTATTAGCAATACTTTGCAAGCAGACTTCTTCATTCAACTTTCGATCGTCAAAAATCGAAAAATCCAGGTCAGCCCTTGCCACATCCAAAAAAATTTCATAAACAAAAATTTAGCCCTTAAATTTTCCAGGTCCATATGTCTGGATCGGCCATGTCATGGATAATATAATTTTTGAGAACTTTGACCAATTTCGCTGATTTAATTTGTCATCAACGATAGCAAATGTCGTGTAAAGGCATTTTGAGTTGTTCTTAATGTCGATTACACCGAGAATTCCCCATTGTCCATGTGAAAAATGGCTCCGGTGCAGAGGCTTCAGGGAAAGTGGACAGAGTGAAAATCGACAGAAATAAATTGGACAGTATGAAAATTGGTCAGGTAAGAATTGGACAGAGTGAAATTTAACAGATTTTTTCGCTGCAAATTTCACTATTTAATTATTTCTTGCAGTGAAAAAAACCTGTCCAACTTCACTCTGTCCAATCTCCCCCTGTCCAATTTCCACAAACTGTCCAATTTATTTCTGTCGAATTTCAGTCCGTCCACTTTCCTTGAAGCCTCCGCACCGGAGCCATTTTTCACATGGATAATCGGGAATTCTCGGTGTAATCGTTTTAAGAACACCTCAAAATACCTTTAAACGACATATACTATCATCGATAACAAATTAAACGAACGAAATTTGTCAAATTTCCGCAAAAATTATATTATCCATGACACAGCCAATAAAAAATCGTCCTTAAAATCAGATTTCCGATGGCGAAATGTGGGCGCTTATCGCCGAATCCGATCATAAATTATAAAAAACAAGTCGCCCGCGGTGTGGGAAAACGTGGGAACAGCGTGACCTTCGACAAAATCTCGGTGCTTTGTCTCACGAGTTTTGATCAATCAGGAGTTGGCCAAAAGTCAAAAGACCAAAATATGAAACAGCTGCAAGACGAAGTGAGGTCATTTTTTGCAACTGAATGCGAGGATCTCGAAAACAGAGGGATGGCGGTGAAAAGAACAAAAACTTTGGCTAGAATCTTAATTAAAAAAGTAAAATGTATCTTCTCCGATCATGATCTATCATCCAATATATACCTTCAGCCACAGATCGAAAAATATTAAGGAGAAATGACCAATTAATATTATCCATGATCAAAAACTCCTATACCTCCAAAAAATTGCTAAAAATTTGAAATAAACCCCTGAAAGCCAGTCTCAAAAAGACTTCACAATTCTTATTACGATCCCGGACTCCCCCTTACACCTAAAACTCCACAAAAAGAAGGCTAAAACAACTTACCAATGGGGAAATTATTCATCAGAGGTCTTTTGAAGATCGGCGGACGGAAGAAAGGGAATTCTGGCCCCAAATGATTCTGGACCCATCGCCGGACCTGGACAACTACCCCACATTGGCCTTCTGAGATCTGGAGGTCCGATCGGCGGGGGGTTGAAGTGGCAGCATGCCAGGTCTCGGAGGAGTCCCTCCAAACCTAAAATAAGATAAATAAAGTTGAACAAAAGCTTCTAAAGCAGTTCTATCATCAAACACAGGAGGGCTACTTACACCAGAAAGAATCTCGGGCCATTGGTGTCGTTGTTTCCACAATACATCATGAAAAAAAGGTAAAATAATAAAAAATTCTGTTGGAAAACAGTGATTCAGCTTGCCAGATTGTTTCTCAGCCTAATTTATGCAAAAAAACGGCTGGCCATGTTGATAAAACAGTCGAAGTTGCAATTCCTTCCCAATCTAAAATAATATCCGCCAATTGCACGCTGCGCCCTGCCATTTGCAGTCTGCGGTGACATTTTATACGAAGAATTATGAAATATAGTGCCTTTAGGGGAATTTCGTCGGATTGTGCTTAGAATCGACAAGTACCTTTTCAAAAGCTCAAACACAACTAAAAATCAAAAATTTTTTGCCCTCAAAGTGCAAACTTCTCAGATTTTTCGAAAACATTTCGAATTTTTCCAAAAATCATTTCGCGAGAGATTTTCACTCATCACACAGTCGGTTGGGGCCATGAGCCAGCCTGCGCCGCTCGAGGACAAGAAGGAACTAACAACGGAAGAGCGGCAGAAGTCGTTCCGGAAGCGCGTGGATCAAAATGATCCGCCGACGAAGGACGTGCCCTTGTCCAAGGACGGTTCGGCCACTTCCGAGGACCTGAAGGAGCCGGTCAGCTGCGGGACCCCCTTGAAAAGCGCCAGGGTGAGCTGGGGTGTCCTGAAATCCATGAAGTTGGGCAAAAATTTCCAATTTTTTTGGAGTTTTTGCGATTTTTTGCGGGTTTTTGGAGAAAAATCACGAGGAATGTGCGTAGGCCGATGAAGAATGCAATGGTTTTATAGGAAATTCTGTTCTGACAAGTCTCAATTCTTGCTTGAGAAATTTGGTAGGGTTTGCATTGCGATGCATGGTTTTATTCATCTTTTTCTCTCAAAAATCGACATAAAATAAGGTAAATTCAATAAAATTTGCTCAAAAAATGTGAAAAATCGCTTTTTAATGTAGCTTTAAGTCTCTGAGAATACAGTAGGGCCCACAGAAAACCATTTGAACACCTAAGTTGGCTTTTTTTTGGCCACCATTTGTCATCAAAAACACCTAAAATAAGGTAAAGTCATCAAAAACAGCCCCGGAAAAAACCACTTGTAACCCACTGCAATGCCGAGGAATCCACTTTTCAGGACTTTGCAAAGCAACCACTGAACATCAAAGCGCTGATTACCCAGCATTTTCAAGGCCCTCCGTCTCGCATGGACTACAACATTGACGAAATTTACGAGGTTCTGGAGCAGGCCAAGGCCTCGTTCATGAAACAACCGTCTCTGTTGGAGGTCCGACCCCCAATGAACATCTGTGGAGACATTCACGGACAGTTCACCGACCTCATGAACATTTTTAACGTAAATTTTTTTGTTGTTTTTCAGTATAAGGTCGCCAAGTGTAATGCTCAGATTTTTTTCAAATTTTGCGAATACGTTAGACATGAGCCACATATCAATCTCTGAAAGTTTTAGCTCGCGCTTTGCAGCCGCAGCCGAGATATTGAACGATCTTTGCGGCCAAGAGAGTACGCGAAATGCGGAGAGTGGTCAGACGAAAACACTTTTTTTGGCCGTATCTTTGCCGGTTTCGCGCGGAAAAAATTGATTTTTTGTGGAAATGTTACACTCTACAGTAGAAATAAGTACGCAACTTTTCATATCGAAATTCGCAAAAAAAAACGTCTTCTGTTACATGAATTTTTTTAATGACTTTCAATTTTTTTTGATTACAAATGAGAAGATCTCGTGTTTTAGTCGGTGGGACTCCCATTCAAAAAGAGTTATCTGTTCTTGGGCGACTACGTGGACCGAGGACGCCATTCGTTGGAGGTGATCATGTTGTTGTTCATGTTCAAGATCCGATATCCGGACAACACGTTCCTGCTCAGAGGAAACCATGAGCTGAAGAACATCAACAGGTTGGTTTTTTTTGGCGATTTGAAGGCTAAATTTGAGAGAAAATTGGGTTTCTGATGTTAGTCATGTGTAAGGTTGAAGAAGTTGATGATGATCAATTTTGATCTCGGATATGGGTGAAACTTGAAATATAGGAAGCAAGTGGCGCTATAAGGCATTGCTGAAAGTTTCAGACCATTAGCTAGCATAGGAATTGAGTTATACTCCTTCAAACTTCAGCCCCTCCACTTTTGCCTAGTATAATATAAAAATGTGAATTTTCAGAGTCTACGGGTTCCGTGCTGAGCTGCGTTCCCGGTTCCGCCTCGATGGTGACAATCTGTACGTCAAGTTCAACGAGGTCTTCTCCCACATGCCGCTGGCTGCCATCGTGGGGAAGCGAATCCTGTGCATGCACGGCGGCCTGTCGCCGCTGCTCAAGACGCTGGACGACATTCGGCGGATACAGCGCGGCAAGTTGACGCTCGAAAAGGACTCGATCGAGCAGGACCTGCTCTGGGCTGATCCCGAGTACGGAATCAAGGGGTTCCAGAAGAATGAGATGCGAGGCGTCTCCTATTACTTTGGAGCTGATGTGGTGAAGAACATGTGCAGACGGCTGGACATTGATGTGGTCATTCGAGCGCATCAGGTACGTCAAGATTTGGTGGATAATTTGGCTTGGTTTAGGTGGTGGAATATGGGTACGCCTTTTTCGCCAACCGTTCGCTGGTCACCGTGTTCTCCGCCGCTCGCTATCATCCCGACACTCCGAATTACGGCGCCGTCGCTCAAGTCGGCAAGGATTTGGAGCTGAGCTTCATGCAGTTGAAACCGAAAGAGGCCAAGGAACCGTGCACCACAACCGGCAGGAAATTTATCCGCACCATGGACGAGGACGATGATGAGACTCCGCAACCGGCTAAACCACACTGATTTCGAATAAAAACTGAAATTTTGGCTTCCTCGAATTATCAAAATGATATTTTAAAATGCCGAGTATCAAACCGAGAACAACAACTTTTATAACAACCAGCAAATAATATCAACATAAAACTTAGAAGACGAGGTTGTGCACTTTTTCTCCCTTCTGGATGCTGAACGGCGTGGCCAGGTAGGCCTTGAGGAACTTGGCGTCCTTGCTCTTCTTGATGGCGGCGATGAGAGAGGCGTCCACGGTCTTCTGGTCCTTCTTTCTCTGGTCGGTGACGGTGTATTGGGTCTTGGTTTGGACAAAGATGTTGCCCTCTTCCTTGGGCTTCTTCTCGGTGGTTCGCTTGAAGTACTCGTCGGTCAGGTTTTCAGGCAGCTTCACCGATGAGATGTCGATCTTGGTTTTGGTGGCGATCACGAAGGCCTGAGCGATACGGCGGAGAGGGGTTCCGTTGTATCGGAGAGGGCCTAAAATTATAATAACTTCATTTCTAGGCCAAAAAAATATAAAACAAATCTAACCACTATAATATCAGGAAACCTCAATTTCTGTTTTGAGCCTGAATTATGGATTCATTTTCCGATCTTGTTCATCAGCATAAAAATTTGTTTTATACTTCCAAAAACGAAACCCGTTCTATATCAATATCCCATGTCTAATGTAACGGCCTAAAATCCAACAAAATAGAAGAAAAAAACTCACCAGAGACCAACAGAAGACCGGATTCGAGCTGCTTCAGGAAGACCACACGCTTTCCACGGTGACGTCCAGCCAAAACAATGAGGACGGTTCCGGGAGTGATGGAGGCTCGGAGTTTGGGGAGCTTGGCCTTGCGGGCGTTGTGTTTGGGTCGGGTCTCAACCTGCGAAACGAAACGACCGGTCTTGCGCTTTGGCACAACACGTTGACCTCCGTTCTTGCTTCCACCGACCTTCTTGGTCTCGGTCAAAGTGCCTTTGGGAGCGGTTTCCTTCTTGGGCAGGGGCTTTTCAAGCTTCTTCCACAGACCGCGCTTGTGGAAGAGACGGCCAGCCGAGAATCGACTGATTCCGGGAGCGATCTCGCTGTTTCTGGGAAGTGTTGGCGTCTTCTTTCCGGCCATTGTAAACCTAGAATAAGAGAACGTAAAAAACATTGGAAAAAATAGATCACGCATTCTCAAAACTCGAGAATCAACATATAACTGCAAGAGGAATCCGTACTTTCCAATTTTACCAACAAAAAAACGGAAATATTGCGAAACTTAGATTACACATGACAAGCCTAAATTTAATTCTCAAAAAATCATGGAATAACTGATCCTATTTTAGTCTTTTCACTCCCAAAAAATCTCAAACTTCTGCAGCAACAAAAACCCGTCCAAAATAAGCCATAAAACCCGACAAAACTCCAAAAAACCATGCCCAACATCAAATTTGATACCTAAAATTCAAAAACAAACTGTAAAACTCACAATTACCCCTAAAAACTTCTGAATTTGATCTTGTTGCACTGTAAAAGACTTTGTCAAAAAAGTGGGCAAGTGTTTTATTTATCCTACAGTATTGGCTAAAACAAAATGCCAACAAATTTTTCGTCTCGGGACAAAGGCCTTTCGTATAAAATCACGCCGCCGCCTGCAATTTCTTAAAGAAAGTTGGAGAAAAAATTGAATAATCCTTGAATTTCTTCAGTTCCTATGATTTTCTAACGAAACGTTATCAATTTACCAAGTCTTATGCTACAAAGTCCACCATTTTATTTATCGACTTGGTCTCGTTGGTTTTGGTGAACGAAAAAGGCGGTTAGGGCGCAGGTCGCGAGTGGATTTTCCAAGTTTTGTACATCCGAATTCTCGGACGCAGCTTGCAGCAAAGGTGTATCTGCACTTGTTTTTTATCGGTCAGTGTTTTTGCAAAGAGCGTCCGATTCGCTAACCTTGGTTCTCCTCGTTTTTTTATTCTTGACATTATACTAGGCGAGCAATCCGAAGACCCGAGGCGTTTTTCCGCAAAAAATCTTATATTTCGTTCGCCTCCTCGTTTCGTTTGTGGGATGTTGTGAAAGGTGTTGCGCGTGGGAATACGTTTTAGGTGCTGTGTGCTTCCAGATAAATCGCCATCTCGAATTTGGGTGTGTTCTGTTGAGAAGGGGGTTTTCTCTGGTCAAAGTGGAGAAGAACGCCATGAGTACTGGGTCGGTGGAGACGGTCACGGAGAAGGTGTAAGTCTGATTTGGCCTTTTGTTGCTTCGTGGTTTAGGAACACAGGAATAATCGAAACAATATTACGTTAGCCAACTAAAATATGGGTTTCTAAATTTTTGGTGTTGGTATAAGATAATCACTATAATTTTAGATCTTCTAGTAGTATTCTATGGCTTATTTTACCTCTGAGATCTGAAATTTTTGCTGAAATCTTACTTTACCTATCTTAAAATTAAGCATCTATCATCTCCAACATGGAAAATATAAATTCTGTTCGTTTAGGTCTTTGCCGTCAAACGGCACTCTTCGCTCCTTCACCGTGGGTCGCAACGTGCTTCTTCTGGCTTCGGATGACGAGAAACGCGACCGTGACTCCGACAAATCCAATTCCAAAGTGCTTTGCGAGTACAAATGGGATCCCAAGACCGTCTACGATGGTCGTATTCTCAGCGCGAGACAGAAGTTGGTGGCCTACAGACTGTTCAACGAGCAGACCGGCGAAGCTATCCGCGTAATGGAGAGAGAGTCGCGTGCCAGACATCTGATCAAGGACTTCAGACAGCCGGTTGTGGATATTCTGTTTGCCGATCATGCCGGATATTTGGCAGTGTTGGACAAGAATGCTAACTTATATATTTATCATGTCTCAGATGATGGGAATGAACTGTAAGTCGTTTGGATTCGTTTTTATTGGCTTTTAGGCTTTCGTAGGCACAAAAATCACCTTTTTTATATTGATTTGGACATCAAGGTGTCCGATTCTGGAATTTTGCCGAAAAAATTATATCTTTGCAGTAAGCGCGATTGTAAATCACCTTTATCTATTAATTAAAGGCATGATTCTTCTATTTAAGCCATAAAATCGGCACTTTTTTGATTGTAACATCAAAAATTTTGATTCTAGAAAAATTTCACCACACCTTCCCTAAAATAATATAATTTCTTTCAGAACAAAATACCTAAACATAATCAGACCAAATCACTTCGAAGCACCCAACCCAAAGATTGTCTGGTGCACCTACATGGAAGACGAAACCGTCTCCACGCACGTTCTGGCCGTATATTACAACAAAACGGTGGAGATCTTCTTTCTTCATGCCATCAAGAAAGAATTCGGTCTTCTTGAGGTCAAAATCGAGGAGTTGGATGTGAATTCGGAGTGCTTCATCCAAATCCAAACCGAATCCAACATATCAGCGGTGCGGATTTCGCCGGACGCCACGGCTTGCGCGGTGACCACAACTTCAGGGGAATTTATTTTTTATATTTTGGAGAATCACCAGGGCAGAGAGGCTCACAATTTGCATCCGTTGAAGGTAAGGACCTCAAAAAATGGGGTGATTTTATAGGATGGTTCAATTTCGAAAAAATCAAAAATTCCAAATATTTCCAAAGCGAGATTTTTTTCATCAGAGAAAAAAATCAATTGCATGTACAGGGAAGTTCAGCCGAAGCTTCCATCCTTATTTCAAGTATTTCTCCGCCAATAATGCAACAATTTCCATAAAATTTACATCAAATTGAAGCTGAGGTACCCTATTTTTTGTTCACCTAATATGACGTGCCCAAGTTTACGGAGGCTCCCGTACTGATCTTTGACATTTTCATTCCAAATTTTGGAGCCCCAAATCGGTGAAACTTGGAAAAATTTTCTAAGTTTCGCCGATTTCGGGCTGCAAAATTTGGAGTGAAAATGCCAAGGATCAGTACGGAGGCCTCCGTAAACTTGGGCACGTCATATTTGGTGGACAAAAAATAGGGTACCTCAGCTTCAATTTGATACAAATTTTATAGAAATTGGTGCATTATTGGCGGAGAAATACCTGAAATAAGGATGGAAGCTTCGACTGAACCACCCTGTATATTCAATTGATTTTTTCGAAATTTTTTGACCCAAAAATGATGTTTATAGAATCTCTACGTCAATGACATGCTCTTCCTCGACAATCTGCAACGAAACGGCAACAATTCGGACGGTCCATATTGGAAATATGTGGTTCTGATCAGCGACAATGGAAGAAGACTGGGGATTTATTCGTGTTATAACTGGGAATGCGTGGGGAAGTTGCGATTCGAGTCGGGAACATCCAAACTGGACGCCACAATCGACCCAACAGCGAGATTCATCTATCTGGCGGATTATGAAACCTCGGTAGGCTAGTACAATATAAATTTTTGTGAAATTTAGGTTTTTTTTGAGTGATTAGAAGGATTGAGGTGAATAATAGAAGATTTGAGTAGATTAAGCGAAGTTGAATATAGTTTGATGTCAGTTTTTGACCTTATATTACTTTAGAACCTCTTCGTTCTGGAACTCGCTCCCGCCTTCCCAGGAATTCAGCCGTACTTTGTGGCCTGCTCACAAATCTCCTTCCATCAACAGATAATTTGTGTCGCACCGTGTGGCTTGGAGGATGATGTCAGCGCGGAAACGGGTAAGATTTTGGATTAACGCATTTTTGGCGTTAGAACGACAGAAAATTATAAATTTTTATTGTTTTCGCAAGTATGATGCAATGAATATGAGGTGCAAAGGTTGGTAGATGCCCTCATCTAAAGCGACGCGCAAAAAATTTTTGTGTTTTGCGGGTTGCAGCTTGATTATCCACGGATTTTCCGGAAATTTTTGCGATTTTTACAAAAATGTCTGGAATTCTGGGGTTTGGAAGAGAAATTAGTCATCCGTTTGGCGGTGGACGAGACAGATGAATGCGGAAAAGCGAATTTCGCAGTGTTTGGGATTGGAATTCGGAGGATTTGAAACGAGCCTTACCTGAATTTTTCAGAAGACCTTCTCCTCGACGACGAAAGCTTCAAGGCCTCCAAAGTGTGCGCCACATTCGCCGCAATCACCAACCGATCCCTGGTGGAGATCAAGGTGGAAGTGGAGAAGGCGCTCGACATTGCCCTGAACGAGGATCCGGAGACCGGCGCCCGCATCATCGGCGAGAAGCTGGCCGAGCAAACGAAACAACTCATGCTCTCCAGCCAACGGCTCCGCACCAGCTCCGCCGCCTCGAACGAGGTCCGCAGCCCCCGTGATGAGACCCTCCCCAGCTTCAACAGCAGCGCCGACCCCGCCGTCCACACGGAGCTAAGACAGTTGCGAAAGTTGCTCCAAGCCATCACCGAAAAGAACAATTCGACCGAGAAACGCCTGAATGATATGAACATTCAGTTGGAAAAGGTCCACAAAGACAATGCGGACCTGCGCCGAGAACAGACCGACAACTTGGCGGATGTGCTGGAGAAAATTTGTAGGTTCTGGGATGGTAGATGAATGTGTGAATTTGACAAGCAAATACTTTTATGGGTATGGAGTGACAGGTCGAGACATGTATCAAAAAATTGCAAAATCTTTTTGATTCAGAATGTGTAAAAATTAACTGCCCAATTTTGGTTTGTAAGGATGAAAAAACCGTCAGAAATTTCTCGCAGCACCACGCAAATGCCTTTTTGATCAAGTTTTTACCAATTCAAAAGCTTTGTTTTGAGCTAAAGTGAACCCTGACAAGCCTTAAAATATCAAATTTGCTTAATACTACACCTTAATAGTAGTTCCAATGTAAAAAAGTTGCATTGTAGTATTAATCAAATTTGGTATTTTAACGCTTGTCAAGATGCCAGGGTTTACTTTAGCTCCAAACAAAGCTTTTGAATTGGTAAAAACTTGGTCAAAAAGGCGTTTGCGTGGTGTTGCGAGGAAAGTTCTGGGGGGGTTTTTTGTCCTTACAAACCAAAATTAGGCAGCCAATTCTTGCATATTCTGAATCAGGAAAATTTTGCGGTTTTTTGATACATATCTCGACCTCTAACTCCATACCCCATAGAAGCACTTTCCTTGTAAAAAAATGGTTTTTGAGATGGATGATTAAGCGTTTTTGGTAGAGATAAGGGTTTATTGGCCCCTCGGCTTCATTGCTAGGGCTCTGAGACAACGTCGGAACAGGTCGTTTGGTGGTTTTTTGATTTTTTTGTTGAAAGTTCGAGTCCAGATGGAGAAAAAGTTTTATTTTTGTGGAAAATATCTTTTTTTGCTGTGAAATTGATATAGATATGGGTTTAGTGACCCTTGGAATTTACTACTACGGTTGTGGCGCCATAGCGCAGCTGGTTATTAGATGGTTTTTTGATTTTTTTTTTGAAAGTTTCGAGTCCAATTGGACGAAAATTTTATTTTTCGAAGAAGATAACCCTTTTGATCCTAAAAAATTTCAGCGAATGAGATGCGAACCCGCGACGAGCACATCGAACACACCGTGAAACGCATGAACACCGACCTCCGAGTGGACGTGCAACGGATCGTGGAACAGACCCTGAACGATAACGCCGTCTCGCTGCAGTCGACCATGGAAATGTCGAACACGAGAGTGGTGGAGACGGTGAAGTCGGTCCTCTCGCAGCTGTTGGTGCCAGCCGTGGAACAGATTTGCAGCCAGCTGCTCCATCAGCTGAATGAAAAGTTCCGGGATGGGCTCCAGGAATTCATCGAGCAAGTACAGCGCACCCAGTCGCATGCAGTCACTCCAATCGTACCGGATTACAACGTCCTAACCCGAATGATCGAACAAAATCAAGTCATCAAGGCGTTTGAATTTGTAAGAAAGTTTTGAATTTTTTTTGGGATTGCTTTGATTTTACAACGAAAGAACTTCAATGAGGTATGGAGTTACAGGTCGAGACATATATCAAAAAAATCGCAAAATTTTTGTGATTCGGAATATGTAAAAATTAGCTGCCCAATTTTGGTTTGTAAGGACGAAAAACCCCTCAGAACTTTTCTCGCAACACCACGCAAATGCCTTTTTGACCAAGTTTTTACTAATTCAAAAGCTTTGTTTCCAGCTAAAGTAAACCCTGGCATCAATTATAGACAAGCCTTAAAATCTCAAATTTGATTAATACTACACCTTAATTAACAGTTCCAATGTAAAAAAGGGCATTGTAGTACTAATCAAGTTTGATATTTTAAGGCTTGTCAGGATGGCAGGGTTTACTTTAGCTCAAAACAAAACTTTTGAATTTGTAAAAACTTGCTCAAATAGGCATTTGCGTGGTGTTGCGAGGAAAGTTCTGAGGGGTTTTTCGCCTGACAGACCAAAATTCGGCAGCTAGTTTTTAGATATTCTGAATCAGAAAAATTTTTCGGTTTTTTTGATGTATCTCTCGACCTGTAACTCCATACCCCATAGAAGCACTTTCCTCGCCAAAAAAATTTTTGATGACTTTTTTTTTGATAAATGATGAGGTTCTAGGTGACCAGCCGCAACGACTACGCCGGCATCATGTTCCTTTGCAACAAATTGAACCCCGAGACCTTGTTCACGGACTCCAAGCTGATATTCCCACCGAATGTGCTGCTCAGCCTGGTGCAAAACCTCGGCCAAAGACTCGAAGAGGAGACGGATGTGAAATTAAACTACCTGGAAAATATTGCGGTCAGCCTGGAGGACAGCCCGGTCGTCAAGTTCGACATGTTCAAGGTGACGCTGGAACAGTGCAGCGCCGATTTGGTGGAGTTTATCTCGCGCGAAGGGAACGCCAAACATAAACGACAGGGCCGCGTCATAAGCCAGCTCATCCTCTACGCCCTAAAGAAGTAGAAAGTGGATGCGAAAAGCGGAGCACTCGGGGCCAAAGTCTTGTCTATTTTTCCAAAGTTTTCAAAATTTATGCTCAAATAAGTTATAAAATAGAAAAAAATTGGGACCCCTTGATGTCTACTGTAATTTAGAAGCCATGACTTGAAGTTTCGAACGGAATTTGATGCAAAAATTGGGGTTTTGATACCGCCTTTGATCAAAATTATATTACACATGACGTTTTTTGTCAAAAAAACCAAATTTTTGGCTTCTGATTGAGTTGTGAGCCTAAATTATGGTAGCTTCAGGAAGAACTCCCCTCTCATCGGCCTTTGTTTATCTATTCTGGCCAAATACTGGTATTTTTTTTTAAAATTTAACTTTTTTTTTCAATTTTTCGCAGAGAAAAGCAGAATTTCCGACCTTCATTTCTATTTTGTCATTTCTCAAGTAGTCTCCTAGCCCTCACATGGTACCTATATTTTGTCCGCCTACGCCTTGTTAGCACGTGTAGAATCGCGAAATTTTCAAGAAAACCCCAAAAAAATGAAGAAATTTGAATAATCTGATAAAAACTTTTTTTTTGTTGTATGTTGTTGATCTCCGGCCTTAACACTCTACTTTGTTGTATGCTATGTCTATTTGATTGCTGAAAAAATGTAAAAAACAAAAAAATAAAAACCCTAAAAATGAAGGGATCGAAGTGGATTTGAAAAACCTGTATGAATTGAGGGAAACACGGTAAATATGGGAGAAAGGCGTGGATTGACAGCCTTGCGGCCGCTAGAATGTTCACACAAGGGCCAGAAACGAGCTTGAGACCTGGGTCCAATTTCCTATTCGAATTCTGAATCGAATAATTCGACCGAAAGTGCAAAATTCCAATTTTTGGGAAAATCGTCATTTGGGAGCAATTTTTGGTCCGGGGTTCGGTTGCTTGATTGCTGTCCGGGATCTCTGGAAATTTGAAATTTCCATGTTTTTTCAATTGCAAACATTTTGAAAAAATGGGAAAAATGTGCCATGAATGGCGTATAACCGCGATAAGTCCCTAAAATACGAGGAGGGGGTATTTATTTTTCTATCCTTAAAACTTGCTGCTACGCCGTTTCAAGCATGGACTTTTTTTGCGGCTCACAGTGCATTCTTCAACTTTTTTCACTGTGAAATGCTTGTCACGCTCGCAAAATTCGTGGCGACGAAGTTGAAAAACCTTGCACCGCGGCGATTTTTGACTTTCACAGTGCAAAAGATCAAAAACCGCACAGTGCGGAAAGCTTGCGACAAAAAGTCAACGCACTTTTGAAACGGCGTAGTATTATATAGTATTTCCACAAAAGTTAAAAAAGTTTAGAACTAACAAAGGAATTGCTATTTGGACTATGGACGTGTGAAGAATTTAACAGAGTTTTGCAACTTGAAGGATTGCCCGGAGATTTCCAAAAAAAAAAAACCATCTCAGAATCTTTTGATACTTTTTATATCTGTTGTACTAGGATAGCTGAATATCAGCACAAATTTTTCGTTATGAGAAGCTTCAATCTGTAAAAAACTTTTTAAAAGTTACTGACATGAGCGTCGCACTTGGAACCGAAAAAATCCTCCTTTTCGTCAAATATCGTTATTGAAAATGTCAGAAAACCTCCAGGAGATAACGTTCGTAGCCTCAGGTGTATTTAATTTCATGTATTTTGACTTGTATTTAGAATTTTTTCTCAACCGCGATAATCGCCCGACCGACCTCCTTCCAAAATATTTTTTGTCGACAATGACGATTTTCCCGAAAATTGAAATTTTGCACTTTCGGTCGAATTATTCGATTCAGAATTCGAATAGGAAATTGGACCCTGCAGAAACAGGCGTGCTCCCCTTGGTCCCACCTTGTTGCGCCCTGCCTCTAAAAAGTAAAATATGGTCGCCCAAAATGATCTAAAGGCTCCTGCTTGGCCAGAACAATCGAAATAATATCCTAAAACGCCAAACCTCCGGCTTGGCTACCCATGATCCGACGGAAAAAAAACAAAGCCCACAGAATGCAAATCCATTACAAAAATTTTTATTCTCCTAAAATACTATACTAATAAATGTGGACTATTGTGCCGGTTCTCCATCGGCGGTGGCGGTTTTTTCTTCTTGTGCTTCATCAGCGGCGGCGGGGGGGTTTTTTTGTTCGGATGTTTGTTGAGGCTTTTTATCGATAAATAGCTTCGAGTCGTTAGGTGTTTTGTGGCCGTTCGAAACGCCCTTGGAGGTGCTTCCAGCGGCAGACATGGCTGATTCGTCTCCCTTCTTGTCGTCGGTCTTTTTATTGTTGTTGCGGCCTCGGGCTTCCGCTTCAGCCAGGCGCTTGCGTTTGCAGCACAACTTTCCCCTTCTCTGAAAAAAATGCCACTCTACTTGCAAACTTGTACGAAATACGAATTCAGAAACTTCAAAAGCTTACGTAGAGGAAACAGAGGACACCAGCCACCACGCTCAGGATCAGGACCGCAACCGCGCTCACGCCACCACCAATAATTAGTCCCAAGTTCTCTGTACTTTCCGTGTCATTTCCAGCGCTGAAACGGGTGTACAATTATATAAAAGTCCAAAAATACACGCGTTTTTCGTCCCGACGACAGTTCGGGTCAACACGGCATCTTTCGGGCCGGCGGAGACCCGCAAAAAGATGGTGGGAGGTGCGTGCGAGGCCTGGAAAAGCCGTCGGATGCTCCAAAAAAAATTTTTAACGCAAGAAACAAAAGTAAAATCGTTCAATCGGCGGAGCTGGAAAAGCGCGAGCTAAAACTTTCAGCGATTGATATCTAGTTCATGACTGACGTGTGTGCAAAAAAAATCTGAGCGTCGCACTTGAGGTACTTCCCCTTTAAGTTTAGCTATTGCGAACCTTCGCTCTCTTGACCCTGTGCTATTGTGGCATAGAAAAGGCAAAAGCAAAGATCCGAAAACTTTATCTGGCTTCATTGCAGTAATACGCGAAAAATACCTCAAAATAGGTGACGGACTACCCTAGGACCCGGTCAACCGTGTAATTTTTGTCGACTAAGCCCTCTCCTCGACCCGAACTCTCGTCGACCCAAAACCTCGCAGCCCCAAAATGCAATGTTTGAAAACTTACGTCGAAGTTTCCACCAAACTCGCCTGAAGTTTGACGTAGGTATTGATCAAGAACTTATCCTTGAATGAACTGAGGGCGTCGGCTTCAGCTTTACAATCACCCTTGAAGACCAACCACAAGTAATACTGAAAAGAAAAGCGGTTGGGTAAAGAGGGAACATCAATAAAGGAAAAAATTGTTATAACTCACCAACGAATAGAGGTCTGACATCGTTCCCTCAGTCAAAGCAATCGTATTCTTCTTGCATTCCTCAGCTGTCTTCCATTTCGTGATATCATCACGGACTGCCATACAGCCTGATTTGTCAAACGCTAAAACCTTGTGCTGTTGGCTCACCGCAAGGTCTAACTGGCAGGGAAGTGCATTTTGGCCTGCCTTCATTTCATCCGGGATTAGAGTTCCTTTAAGGTCTGTGGTGATGGAATTTGGAGGATTACGCGGGTCACTTGCACACCTTATAACGTAAAACTTTTCATTCATCATGTAAGAAACCTCATTCTTGCAAGCAACGAAGGGGGCTAGCGGCTTCAGCTCGCTTCCTTCGAGGACAAAAGGCCGGCATCTGAAAATTCATCACACGATAAATCGCTGAAGTAAAAAAGGACTGACTTATCACCAGCGTTCACTTGACCAGCCAGAACCAGTTTGCCGTCTTTTTCCATCATTTGAACTTGAAGATTACTGATGGTCTCGCCGAAACCATTGAGCTCGTAGGTCGTACTAAATTAAACACGTAATATTTAAAACAATTTAAAATCAGGGCCAGGTTGTTGTCGGCCAAGCCCGACCTCGACTTCGAGTAAGCTTGGACGAGCAACTCCAGGCAAAATTTTTGACGTTTGCACCGTGCAAAAAAGGCAGGGTGCGAGCGACAGCCCAAAATGCACCACTTGCACGGTGCAAATCGCTCTTCTCGGCTGTCGCTCGCTCTCTGACTTTCGCACAGTGCAAAATCCAAAACCCGACCCGGCGACTTTTCGGACCGCCAGTTTACCCCTTCAAACTCACATCTCTGGCTCCGCGCTCCCATTGTAGTGGTATTTGACCACCTTTCCACCATCCGCAGTCACCACATCGAGGATAGCAACGTCCGGCTGCAAGCCCTGGTAAATGGCGGTGCATTGCAGCACGAAGGCCAACGCTTTTTTGACGAAATCGTCACGGTCTGCCATTCCTTGGCGCAAAATTCCTTTGAGAACGGATGAACGCTTGGAACACGACTGTACCGAAAGTCAACACGTTTGGATACTGAATGAAAGAGTGAGGGAGGAGGGCTACGTTGACTCTTCGTGGGGTTTATGCAAATTTCGGACGCAAACATGTAAATTTTTAGAATTTTCGAGATTTTTTGTTCGTTTCGATATTTTTTCGAAATTTTTTTTATCTTTTGAGAGAAATTGGTCGTCAAAATGTAAAAATTCAAATATTTTCTACATTTCAGGGCGCCTTTCTATCAGTCTGTCGGAAAAATAACGGCGGATCGTCGCATCAAAGTGTCTCGCCTCGCCGCTGTCGCGCACCAAATCTCAAGCCGCAGCTTGCAGTCGCAAAGCGATGATGGGCGATTCCGAGGGGCGACGATCCGACGTTATTTTCCCGACAGACTGATACTGTGCGATGTTCCGGAAAGTGAGCGTTTTACTGTTGGTAAGTTTACATCTGAAGGACTCAAAGCTTGATGAATGCTCTTCGTTCTTGCGATTTTATGAACGAAGTTTGAAAGTCTCCCCCATAAAAGAAACGCGTCGAGCCTTGTTCGTGCTAAAATTGTTTCAGCATGAAAGGACCTACAGTTTTTTTTAATTCGATTTTTCGATATTGCACTAGGTACTGTTGTAAATTTAAGGGCGAAATCAGGTACAGTTTTACGTCATACAAGGCCTAAATGGGCAATAAAGCTTTCTTTTGACATTCTTAACGTCGTAGCATTGATTTCCTCCCTTCTATTGTCGGTTTTGAATTTTTTTTCAGATTTTAGGTATACTTGATCACTCAGACCCTAAAACATTTCAAATCCGGGTTCGAAACAATATTTATTTTGGGGACGGTTTACAAATGGCTCACCTTTGCAGTTTCCCGCATTTAATTTCGTCCATAAAATCGCAAGAACGAAGAGCATTCATCAAAATTTACACACCTACTACAATGTCCAAATACGCAAGGATAAACTTTTGTAAGGCAAAAAATTGTTGGATATTTAGAAAGAGGGTTAGTTCAACTTACTTTTGGAGTGATTGTCTTGTCGATATCTGCAGATTAAAACATAAAAAAAAATTATATTAACCATGACAAAAAAAAAAGAATTTTGAGAGGAGTTGAACACCCAAGGAGAAATGCTGGCTCATCCTGCAGCTGCAGTGCTCCTCGAACAGCGTAATGGAGCCGTCCGCAGAATCTTTTCCTGAACTTGAAAGAAAAGAGGCCTGAAATGTAGAAAATATTTTAATTTTTACATTTTGAAGAAATTTTTTTGAAAAAAATGCTTGAGCCTCTTTTTTGCAGGTTGGGAAGAGTGTGCTTACGTGCTCTCCCCATTTGGGGAAGAATCTGAGAGGCGGGAAGCGTCTCGAGCAGACGCTCCCGCCATCAAGGTGGGGGAAGAGTGTGGGTCGAGCCTCTTTCCGCCTATTGGCTCCGCCCACTTCTGCAGGATTTTGTTTTTTTTTTTCGTGGAAAGCCAGGAAGACGGCGAATTAAAATATTGGAATTTAGTAAATAAAGCACTGTTTTTTTTTCAAATATACAATGTTTTAAACATGTTTTATTACTAATGCGAAAAAGTTTTGACAATATAATTTACTTTAACAATCTTTTTCATTCGGTATCAAATAAATAAATAATAAATGACTATCTAATGAATAAAATAAAGGCTTCTAAGAAGAGATAGAAGATCTGGTAGTAAGATTGCCACAAAAGCTATGGTGTTTCTGAAACATCGCCGACATTCGACGGACCTGGCAGATCCTGTGAAAATAATGCCCGTCGTTTACGAGGATTCCAGAAGAGAGTCAGTTCTTCCGGCTATACCACAGTGTGACGATGACCGGGAATACTGTGATGGTTCAGGCCTGATGGTTGAATCTTTCCTAAATCAACAACGCAAAACAGAAGAAACGTACGTACCATCTTGCAGGCCGATGAAAAGGGACTTCTTTTACTTCATTAGCCACATCATTATTGTGCTTGTCCACCACGTGAGCTATTCAAACATCTCGCTGCGCATGAGGCGGAGGTATTTTGGCTAAAAGTTACCAATACTTGCAACAATTTAACATTCTACGTACCTTTTCCGAGTTCAGACATTGGAGGCCGAATATAAGTCCATGATTTGTCCACATTTATTACTATGTTTTTAGACGAATAAAATTTTTTTTAATTGCTTTGCGTCCTGAATTTTTGTATTTGATTTGCGTCTGGGCTTTGTGATATTATCCATGATATCATGGATAGCCAAGTCGGAGGTTTGGCGTTTTAGGATATTATTTCGATTGTTCTGGCCAACAAGAGCCTTTAGATTATTTTGGGCGACCATTTTACTTTTTAGAGGCGGGGCGCAACAAGGTGGGACCAAGGGGAGCGCACTGCGGGTCGGGTCAAGTTTTTTTCATGTGGTGGTCAAGTCTTTCCCCTAATATTATTTTTTCCCCGAAATTCAGACTGTTATATCGGAGGTTAATCAAGGTAAATCTGGTCAGTTCTTGTTGATTATTTCAAGAACAAGTCTTATTCTATTTTTAGAAATCAAATTTGATTGAATTACGGTGTGGGTTTGCCTCAATTTTTAGCATTCTTTGGGGGTATGTATTCTATACCTAAATGATCAATTGTGAGACAGTTTCAAGTCTGATTTACGATATCGTTTCCATTTCACCTTCGGACGTACGCCACCTGTCCAATAAAGGTAAGTAACTGTGAATCTGGTAGTCCGTTTTTTAGTAATGAAAGATTTTGTATATTATTCTAGGTTATTCAGAAAATTTTGTACGGGATTTGCCTGGTTTTCCCTCAAAATCACGTCCAACATATTAATTTTACTGTCCTAACCACGTTTTCCATCACCAGAGGTCTTCACAGATGTGATCCAGACGTTATACGTTACAGGGATCATGTATAACATCCGCCTGAAAAAAACGCTAGATTGGTCTCAAACACATTTTTGCTTCGCTTGATGATCCTCGAAAGTATTTTCTTTGATTTTTATGAAAATTCCGCATAGTTTGGGCGTTGAATTTCATCTCTACCTAAAATCTGCATCAACATTGGACACAAAGAAAAAGTCTAAAAGAGAAGGAGAAACCTGTCCACTTACGTTTTTATAGGCACTAGAGACCAATATTACGCTAAATAATCTAATCCAGGCCGAAAACTTGGCAAATCTCAACAAAAATCTTCAAAAGTACCTAGTATAATATACAAAATCTTTAATTACTAAAAAACGGACTACCAGATTCACAGTTACTTACCTTTATTGGACAGGTGGCGTACGTCCGAAGGTGAAATGGAAACGATATCGTAAATCAGACTTGAAACTGTCTCACAATTGATCATTTAGGTATAGAATACATACCCCCAAAGAATGCTAAAAATTGAGGCAAACCCACACCGTAATTCAATCAAATTTGATTTCTAAAAATAGAATAAGACTTGTTCTTGAAATAATCAACAAGAACTGACCAGATTTACCTTGATTAACCTCCCATATAACAGTCTGAATTTCGGGGAAAAAATAATATTAGGGGAAAGACTTGACCACCCCATGAAAAAAACTTGACCCGACCCGCAGTGGAGCGTACCTGTTTCTGTAGGTTTCAAGCTCGTTTCTGGCCTTTATGTGATCAGTCTCGAGGCCGCAAGGCAGTCAATCCACGCCTTTCTCCCATGTTTACCGTGTTTCCCTCAATTCATACTGATTTTTCAAATCAACTTCGGTTTTCGCATCTTTAGGGTTTTTATAGGGTGCGGCAAATTTCTTCGGCCGGATTTTAATTGGCTATAACTTTCATGGTTAAGCAGTAGGAAACGTTTACTTATAAATTAGGACATGAATGTGGGGAAGAGAACATGGACAGTATAACTAGTCGTTGGACAGTGTTGAGTGAATATTTACACACCAGTCTGATTTTAGAGCTTCTCTTGCCGCAGCAGCTTGTCCACTTTGTCTTCGAGGCATCGGAGGCGGCCGAGGATTTCGAGGCGGAATTGCTCGAATTCGGATGATGTGATCGGATCGCTGGAGTGGGATTTGGTGGGCTTGGGCGCTGAAATCGCACGGAAATCACTACCGCAGAGTCCAACAAGAAAGAGTTAACAAAAACACGCCCAAAATGTAATTTTGAGTCATATCTACAGTGACGGAGCCGATCCAGTGGCAAAAAACGTACCATTTTGCATCCGGGAAGCATCAAAAATGTGGCAAAATGTCTCCCGGCCCAAGTGAAAAAACTTCGTTTTGAAGGCGCTTTTGAAATCGGAGTTTTTTCACTTGGAGAGGGAGGTATTTTTCCGCATTTCTGATACTTCCCGTATGCAAAATGGCACGTTTTTTGCCACGGGATCAGGTCCCCCACTGTAAGTAATTTTATGTCCCTTGTCCGTAAGCTGAAAAAAATGGTCTCCCCTTCCCGCACCTTTTTTTGATTCATCATAAAAAATATTACCAACTCTTCAATAGCCCTTTCCAGACCTATTTCTTCCTGCAACAGCGATAAAAACATAAAAGTTTATCAAAAGCAAACTAAAACAATATATCTGCCTCCTCTTGCCATACTTTTCAATCAGCCCTTGCCGAAAATCTCTTATAAGTTCTTCATTGCATACTCTTCTCAAAACCCCATCCAGCCTCAGCAATAGTATCTCAAGACGAGAGCAATTTTCATTTTCCCTCTATACCTCTCAAGCTCCTCCCGTTTTCCATTTTTCGTTCTCACTAAACCAAAATAGCTCTGTGAAACCGAGTCTACCCTCCACATACTCCTCCGACTATCCATTCTTACAGTTTCGATCCTTGACGGTTTGTGTGACCGACGCCAACTCCTTCACAACATTTTGAACTTCCTGAGGTCGGGTGGAGGGCGAGGATTGGCGGACGGTGCTGGTCGAGGTTTGAGGGCCGGGCGGAAAGACTGTTGTGGCCGGGCCCGATGATATGGCTACTGATTCCACCGGGGTTTGCGGCGAATCGATGGGTTCCTCGGACTCGACCGCCGTCGGTTCGAGGGGGAGGGACTGAAAAACGGCGAAATAAAAAAATCCATAAAAAAAACTTGCTCTGCATTGACCTTTCCAGTCCCTACAAGTCTTTTACACCACTATCCATTCGATTTTGACCAAAATACAGAAAGAAAATTCCAAAAATTCACAAATTCGATGAGTTCTTCTCTAACAGTCAAGTACAATATAAATCATGTCTCAAAAATAATCTTCAAAGCTTCGCGTTTTTTCCAAACCTCTCTATAACCGCCATTCTCCCACAAATCCTCCAAATTCGCCGCAAACTTCCATTAAAACCTTACCAATTTGGATTGCCTAAACTGACTGGACGGCGGTCTCTTTCCGGCCATTTTTGGGCGGGTCTTCGTCAACGGCTCCAGTTGTCCCGTCTTTCCCTCAACCAGCGGTTCCTCGTCGTTCTTTTCCGGCGACACTCGCGTCGGATCCATGATGGAATGTCGTGAAATCGGGACAATGTCCGGCTTCTCTTCCCGAAGCGCACCGTGCACGGATGACGTCATGGCATTACTGTGGGACGTGAAGGCCGGCCGATGGGGTGGGAGTTTGCCTTGCGGGAAGAGCTTGGACTGGAGGCCCGCCACCACCGACTTCCGCTCCTCGAGCGCGGTTTTGACGGGGGCTGAGGTTGAGGTCGGGCCTTCGGGCGCCTTGTTCTCGGATTGGATGGTGGACTGGCGTTCGCGGATGAGGTCGGATGGCTTTGTGGGTATGGAGGTGGACCCGTTCGAGGGTGGGGAGGGTTGGACGGGGGATTTCTGAAAATGTCTTGTTGATTTTGGACCTCAAAATTTTTTTCCAAAAATTTTAAAATTCTCCAAAAAATTAAAGTGCCTGCTAGTCCAAAATTTCTTCAGCAAAAAATCTCTGCATTACCCTCTTCTCCTACTTTTACTCCATTTCCCATCAAATTTCACCCAAAACAATATAAAATCTTTTCTCAATTTTTTTTTCAAAAATCAACTTTTCACCTAAAATAAGGTCCTAAATTGGCAAAATTTTCCTGAAATATCCATACACTTCCTTCTATCCTCTTCTGATTCACTCCCAAGCGTCTGAACTCACCTGTCCACTATCTCCATTGGATGGTTTCGCTCCAACCAGCGGTTTGTTCGGCTTGGCCGGCAGAACCGGTGGGGTTGGGTTCGTCGGCTCGACCGGTCGTTCGTTGCTGCTCATCAGTTTGATATAATTTTCTGGGAATACCCCCTTCCTTCCGTTGATTTCGCCTTCGTACCAGCCTTCGTCGGCGGTTTTCTTGTTCAGGACCACAACAACGTCTCCTTCCTTCAGTTCCAGCTCGTCCGGGTGTTCGGCAGGGTAGTCATAAAGGACTCTGCCGTATTCTGAAAGCATCTTCACATCACAAGCCCCACAAAAACGTCGTATTCTACCCAAAAGGATCAAAAATCCTCAAATTCCCTCCAATTTCTGACCTAAACCAACAAAAAATCCAATCAAAAGCCCTTACCTTTTGTACTGGAGGTACTTGAAGTTGAGCTGCTCAATTTATTCGATGATGTGATGCTTCTTGATGAGGTTACACTGTCCGAAAGTGGTTTTTGAGCCGTTTTGGGGCGATTTTTCTCGCTTTCCTCGCGCTTGAACTGTTGTGGGCGTTCGGAGGCGGACTCTGCGATGGCGTTCGTGTATGTCACTGCAATACTCATCTTATACCACTCACAAATGGACATTTAAACCCCAAAATCCCAAAATTTCCACCAAAATCTCATCTCTTGCCAAGTACAATATAAAATTATAAAATCTCGTCTTGAATCGTACCAAAACAATAAAACCCAGCAAAAACCTACATCGATTTGCCACCGGTACGGTGTAGGTGACAAAATTAGTCGGGAAGAGACCAATTCGCCCGTTCAATTTTCCCCGCGCCCATCCATCCTCGACGTCCTCGAGGACTTCAATCACATCGTTCTCGCAGAGATTGAGCTCGTCGTCCTGAGCGGCGTCATAGCTATACCTGACCCTGGCCAAGGCTTTGGAGGATTCTGCAAACGAAGAAATTTAGTTTTAGAGGCCCAATTTGGAAGAATTACATTATTTTAGGCAAGCACTCAAAAATTTTAAACATTGCCCCAAAACAGCACAAGATTTTCGCTAAGAAATTGTCTTCAAACAGCGCTAAACTTCTTCCAAAACGATCTAGACGCCTCGATCTATCTTGATCACGTCTCTTCCTAAAAATCAACAATAAATTTTGGAAAACCTCACCTCTTTTCACCGGGACCGACATTGGAGGGCCGTTGATGTCCTTGCTGAGGCGGTTGATCAGTCGGGCAACGTTCCCACCGGGCTGAAATTTGTCCATCATCACTTAGCAAGAGAATGCAGCGAAAATGTTCACAAAATAAATAGAGAACGTATAGTTGAAGACGATTTTGGGGCAATAAATCAAAGAATAGGCCTTCCCCAAAAAATATTCGAAAACGGGCCTGAAATAAACAATCGAAAAGGCTAATTAAAATTCTAGTAGCAATGTGAGGGAATCGAATTCATAATCACTTTTTTGCTTTCATCGGAAAAAAAATTTTAAAAGGGGAGGTAAGGGGGGACCAAGTGGAATTTTCAAAAATCCAATGATAAATAAAATGGAAAGCTAAAGAATAAATAGATGTCATAACATACTATTCTAGCAGCATTCCATTTCATTAACCATTTGATTCTTGAAAATTCCACTTGGTTGCCTCATAGATAATACCATTACCTCAAAATCGGCCTAACTTTACCTCTCATTCCCGATAAATCTGCATCAAAAAGCCTCAGTACTCCCAATAGCCCGTGTTTTGTAGTCTACAAACTTTGAAACAAAAATCTCATACTCCACACAATTTATCCGACAATAGATCCCTTGGAACGAAGCCGTTTTTTCCTCCCTAACCGCACCCTAAGGTTCTCTTCTTTCAGGTTGATTTAGCAATTCAAACAAAAACCACTTCCCAAGGGATAGTAAAACGGGCCATTGAGGTCAATGACTCATTCCATTTCAGAGTAAATATAAAAAAAACGCGAAACTAACTGCTGGGCCCGATGAACTGTGAAATCATCGTTTCGCAGAGTGCACGGGCCATAAACAGGGAACGGCTTTACAAAGGGCAAACATGTCATTCAAAAAGCCCGGAACGATTCGAAGCGTCGTAATCTTCCATTTTTTGCTTCAAAAACTACCTTTATGCCCTAAACCAATATCCTAAACGTTCAATTCCACTAAAGCCATCTGCAAATTGCTTGTAAATCAAGTGAAACTTCATTCCGTCGAAGCGTTTCGATCCTATGAGAAATGGCGAATCTGGCGAACAGATTGACTCATGATAAGAATAAATTATTGAAGCAACCATAAAAAAAACAGGGCATTCTGAGTGTCACCGCATTCGCTTTCGGATGCTTTATTGAAAAAGAAGGACGGAACAGACTCCAAGGCGCAGTAATCCATAACAAAACGGGCTAATCAATCATAAAAATTTGACAAAAACCATGTTCAACATACTGATCGTCAAGTATACCATAGAAAATGACTTCGAACGACCTTCTCTAAACTCTAATCAACCTCGGCGTTTCACACACACTAAGACAACGCCCTTTACTACAAAAACAAACTCGCCACTCTTCGCTAAACCTCTTTCTACATTCAACTTTTTTCAAAAAAGTTTGATCATTTCGCCTCAATTCGAGCCTTTTCCGAATCCCCGATTGTTTTGTTTATAGGTCATTGAAAACATCCCAAAGGTTTCGTTTGAAATAACAAACGCGTCGAAGGTCTCTGAATTCGAATAAAAATACAGCAAAACAAAAGGAAAGAAATATGACCTCCGATGATAAAAACGATAAGATAAGGGAATTTGAAAGGTTTAGAGAAATAAAAATAGACGATATGTAAGGCTGGGGATACTATAAGCTAGTTCATTGCAAAACCTTGAAGGTTAAAGCAAAATTCGACCAACATTTCGTAAAATTAAAAGCAATCGTCTAAAAGAAGATAAATTTTAAAAAATTTTCTGATCAGACAGAGTAAATCATATTGATTCCAGTTTTATTCTCCAAGTTCTAGCTGGTTACAACCAATTTGGCAAAAAAATAAGATCAAAATTTTGTGGATTTTTCATCAATTTCATCTAAAATAACATCAACCCCTTATAAAATTGAAATTCGTCCGTTAAAACTAACATCGCATCCGCTAATACTTGCATCAAAATCTTCAATAAGAACCGCAGACGACTCAAGACAGCTATATACTACTTTTACTCAATTCTGAAACCCATTTTTTCTCCAATACTCCTTTTTTCCCAAAGAAAACTTCTATTTTCGGCCGTTTCCGGAGGGATTATCCCTGGCGTCGCGCCAAATCCCTTAATTCGAACCGAGGCCAACCTCCAAACCCCTCACGCGGGGTTTGGAGGTTGGCCTCATTTAAACTTCGCCAAAGCGAAAAGGATAACAGCAATTATCGTTCGGCTCCAAGAAAACTATCGGAAAATTCGTAATTTCGACGGGATTTCGCTCCGGATGGGATGTGCGCGAACCTCCTCCGTCTCCACTCCAAGGTTCGCAAGAAATCCGCAAAACAAGAGTGTTGTGGGGGCAGACCTCCACTTCGAACTTGGTATTCAAAAAAAAAGCAATTGAACTCTTTAAAGGAGACGAACGAAGGGGGGAGAACCGTCCCCGTCGTCTCTGACTAATATCCCCTCTCGCGTCTAAAAGTCGAACACAAAAAGCGAAAGAAAGGCGGGCTGACTCACCGTTGCAACGTCCAGCGAATCGCGCGACGAGCTGGACGACATTCGGCCGGGCGAAGCAGGTTCGTTTATGGGGAATTCGATTCGAAATCGGTGGAAATTGAGGTCGACTGGGAAGTTTGGGCAGTGTTGAAGGGATGGATCAGCTGAAAATTCGAGAATCCAACGTAAAAAATGGAAATTTTTCATGTTCCCAGAAAACACCTAAATTAAGGTAATTTTTGATAGAATCTTACTAAATTTGCGCTCTAATCTAACGCATTTGTCATCTAATATCAAGGAAATAGTCTGCTTTATAGATTAAAAGTGCTTTCCTCTTAGAAAAGCTCGCTTTAGACGCCTAAAATCAAAAAGCACATTAGACATCTAAAGTAAGGTAAGTTTTGCCAAAAACTGTGAGAAAACCACCCTGAACCTAGATGAGTCATCGCGAACGAGCAAAACCAGGCTCTATTCTCGGTCAAGAAGGCTTTTTATACCCACAAAACCGCATATTCCACATCAAAACAACAAAAACTTTATAATTCCGGTAGCTGAAAGGAAAATAATTCCCTCGAGAAGATTTAAACGTAAAGTCAGTTTCTATTCCACTATTCTGAGCTCTAAAACTGTAAGAAAGATGTTTCAAAGACCAACTCGCTCTTACCTCGACTTCCGCGATATTGTACCAGGCCAAAAAATCGGGTCCAGAAGCGCGCAGAATTGGCCGCGTTTTTCCTAACTGTCGTTCAGTTCTTATAATGTATTCCACTCCCTCTTCTCCTCCTTTTTCCGACGTCCTGAAAGTGGACAAAAATTTTCGTTTTTCGGAATGGAAACCCCGAAATCTTTTTAGGGTTCGGAAAAGGCCCAGAAAGCAGAAAAAATGGATGGAACAATATATTTTTGATGACCCCGATGTCCGATACGCATCTTTATGCGGGCTTAACGTTTCATTCTGGAGCAAACATCAAAATTTAGAAAAAATTTGAGTGGAATTACGAGGAAATTGACAAGGATAATATAAATTGATGGCTCAAAAAATAAACCCGCCCAAAATTGGATGAAAGAGGAAAAATAATGTTTTACAGGCCCTCAAAGACTATTCAACCAGTCGAAAATTGATTTCCACTTCAAATTAATCACGAACCAACCGAAAAGAAAGACTTGGCCCAATTTCAAGTGTTGGGTCAACTGTTCCCTCAAGTCATCACTTGGTCATAACTCTACATAACGAGCAGAAATAGTTTGTTTTTGAGATCGAGGACTTCAAAATACTATGTAGGTCATGCACATCTGGTTTCAACCCCCAGGAACGCTTGAAACAACCCAAATCTGATCTGATCTCTAGTACAACATAATAAGAATCCGAAGGAGCGGAAAACTTCCGAACTTCTTACTTCTTTCCGATCAAAGCCCTCAAAAAATAACTGCATCAAATTGCTTCGCATTTTGATCCCTACAAAAAAAGTTATGCTCAATTTTCCAAACAGTAGCTGTCTAAAACAATATAACTAGATCCGAACCGTTCCCAGCAACGCAAACACCCCGAACTGATAAGCAGGGAAGCGCCCACTCCTTCTCTATTCAAATTCCTCACGACTTGTCGCAAAATAACCTTTGTTTCCGCCAACAATCTCAAAAATAATATTGTACTGTACAAAAAACCCACAAGACTGATAAAGAGCGGGCTATGAAAGTCGCAATTGAGTCGATTGATAAACATTCGAGCGCGAAATGATTCACTTCTATTTTGCTTTCGACTTTACAGCCGCCGCCGGGTTTTACAAATTCGGAATGGGCGAGTTTTTATATTATTCATGAGATCGGAAAAAAATGGAAAGCGAATCAAGAATTCGTAAAAAAATTACGACAAAATAAGGGAGAGAAAGTGGTGAATACACCTTACTGCCACATTTTATCGAGAGAATTTTTACTTCGAGAGCTGCCGCGCGGGAAACTGCAGACTGCGCGGACCATTTTATACGATGAAAGGTGTTTTCACGTTGGAAAAGGGTGATGAAAAATGGGTTTACGGGAGAAGCACTCCAAACGCTCAGATTTTGATCAAGCTTGGCACAAATTTAGAATAATTTTTTTTTAAATATATGCGAGAATTCTAGCTCGCGCTTAGCAAAAACAACCGAGATTTTTAGCGCGAAAGTTGGCGAAAATTTGACACTTTTTGCCGAATTTCCGCACAAAAAGTTTCATGCCTATTTCTACCATAGAGGGTAATGTTTCTGCAAAAAAACATTTTTTTCGCGCGAAACTAGCAAAGTTATGATCAAAAAAGTGGTTTTTCTCTGACTACTCTCCGTGTTTAGTGTACTCTCTCGGCGGCAAAGATCGCTCAATATCTCGGCGGCGCTTGGAAAGCGCAAGCTAAAACTTTCAGGAATTGATATTTGGTGCATGACGGACGTGTGTGCAAAATTTAAAGAAAATCTGAGCGTCGCACTTGGGGTAGTTCCCTTGTTAGCGTAATGAAAAGTGCTGTTTTAAATACGATGTTTCTATCCCAAATGAACTGTTTTCAATATACATTTTTATTTCTAAATTTTCGATGATCAATAGCAATAGTGGGAGATCTGATCCAGTGGCAAAAAAACGTACCATTTCGCCACCGGGAAGTATCAAAAATGTGGCAAAATGCTTCCCTCTCCAAGTGAAAAAACCGTTTTGAAGAGTTTCCCTCACAAAAATAGCGAGCTCACTTTTGAAATCGGAGTTTTTTCACTTTGAGAAGGAAGCATTTTGCCATATTTTTAATACTTCCCGGATGCAAAATGGTACGTTTTTTGCCAATGGATCAGGGCCCCCATTGTATAATAAGAATCCGAATTGTCACTGTAACACCGCTCTCTGCGGACGCCGTTGCGTAACGCAAAGAGCCGGCTGTTGTCGCTGTGGGATGATGGTATTGTGTCGCGAATTCTCGGACGACTCTTCGCCGCGAATTTTCCGCCCATTCAACAGCCGGAAGCACGCCATCCGATACGGCTTCACAAACCACAACACAATCAGACAGTCGACGAACGTGTGGCCCAACACGAACATGGAGCAATAAACCGAGATCCGCGGCATGTTGCGGACCCCAAAAAACGGTGATATCATCACCGTGTACACCGGGATCAGCAGAAATATTGTTATGGCCACGGCTTGCGCGACCAACGAGAGGAGCAGCATCATATGCAGGCGGACCGCCTTTTGCGACCAATTCGATGACTTGATTTGGTGGTAGATCGCAAATAACATAAACGCACCGAACACCGGCACCCCAATCACCACGATGATTAGGGTGGTGAGCGAGGTGCTCAGTGTGGTGCCATGCGCAAAGCAGAAGGACTGAGGGAAGCGGCGGAAAGCGTCGGCCAATTGGGGATCCGCGCTGATCAGAAGCAAACGCTCCTCGGCTTGGTCGGGGATGCTGAAGTAGGAGGGGAGCTGAAAAGTTAGTCGACGTTAGACAAGACATGATTAATCGACTTTATACAAGAAATACAAGACATGACATTGAGAATTCGGGGATGTTTGCGTTAATGGTGTTGTTTTGATTGTTAATACTCGTTTTAAAGACTGGTGCATTTAGTACATATATATAGTATATAGTATATATAGTACGAGGTGAAAATAGCAGTACTAGGCACAAAAATGAATGTCATTTTTGAAACCAACGCCATTGAGACTTGGTGCTATTTAGTACTAGCGGTCAAATTTTCACCTCGTACTATTTACTATCAGGCAGTGCTAAATAGCACCAAGCCTTTAAAACGTGTTTTTGAAGAGTACTAAGCATCAAAACAAGGAACCCCGGATATAAAGTCAAAATCTCCAGGGCAGATTTTTTTTTCACAAGGAAAGTACTTCTATGGGGATGGAGTTACAGGTGGAGACATACATCAAAAAAATCGAAAAATGTTTCTGATTCAGAATTTGTAAAAATTAGCTGCCCAATTTTGGTTTGCAAGGGCCGAACACGTCAATCCAAAATAGAAGAAAAAATTTCCCGCCCCTTTTTGGTGATTCGTTCAAAACGAAATGCCACAATCCGATAAAACCATTTTCGTATCTTTCTTTTTCCTTTTCGAGAAAAAGCAATTATTTCGGGCGAGAAAAGTGTCGATAATTTCGCGACATTTCGTCTCTCTTTTCAATCAATGAAAACGATACGAAGTTTCGAAACGGTTCAGGAAATGAGCTGGATTGACGTGCCGAACTCATTTCCAACCTACCACAACTGCAACGCAAGCGCCAATCCACAAGAGCAGAAAAACGGCGACCCAATGTCTGTCGCGCACTCCGTTCCAATTGAAGTACAAAACAGACTGCGGCGAGATGGATTGCGATACCCGGTAGAAAAATTGGAAGATCATCGCAATGCCCCTTCCGCCGACTGTTAGTACCATTACGGAGAGTAGCGTAGTCGTTGAGAGAAAATCGGCGGGCCCCACGAAGAACAAGCAGGGCAATGGGAAGAGGACCACTTGGCCCGCTGCAAAGAACGCGGCGTCTGACAAGAAAGACCTGAAAATATGGCGCTACAAAAGAATAATATTGAGGTATTTTACTGGTTTTCCCCGAAAGAGACCCCGAGTTGAAAGAGACCCCGGAATCGGGGGTCTCTTTCGATGTTTCCCCGCACGAAGGACGGAAAGGTCAAAAATAGGGTAATCGATGGCGTAGATTCGAAAAATCATATTCGTTTTTTCCGATTCTTACTTTTTTGCTTAAGTAGTAATGTTAAAAAGTAATTTTTTGAAATTTTTCTAAAAATAGTGGATTTAGGGGTTTTCGAGGGTGCTGATTTCTGATGATCGTTTTTTTGATAGTTACTTTTTTCCGCAAATAGTAACGTTAAAAAGTAATTTTTTGAAATTTTTCTAAAAATAGTGGATTTAGGGGTTTTCGAGGGTGCTGATTTCGAAAATGATGATCGTTTTTTTGATAGTTACTTTTTTCCGTAAGTAGTAACGTTAAAAAGTAATTTTTTGAAAATTTTCCAAAAATTACTTTTTAACACTACTGCTTAAGGAAAACTAATAAAGTTCAGAAAAAATGAACCCGAAATTCGAAATCAGCACCCTCGAAAACCCCTAAATCCAGTATTTTTAGAAAAATTTCAAAAAATTACATAAAAAAATCACTTCAGCGACATTGTGCTCGTCATTTACCCGACAGAACCCATACAAGCGGTAAAATCGTACCTACCAAAAAATTTCGTTCATCAAATAGTAGTGATATTTTTTGATGGCACTGACCGACGCTGCAAGTCTGGAATGCCTTTAATTCCCATTCTCAACTCACATTTCCGCATGACAAACAATGTGAAGGCGACTAGAATTGTTGTAAAGCTGAATGTAATCTTTTCCAAGAGCAAGTAGGCCGCTATTAGCGCATCCGAAGGCAATTCGCTGGGCAGTAGCAGCATCGGAGTGGTGTTTGGAATTCAGAAAAGCTTTAGCGTATGACTCTGCGGAGAGGGATATACACCTGTCCGGAATACATTCAAAATAAAAATTAAAGTTCGTTGTTTTGTTTTAACTTTTTGCATAAAAAATTGGCAATGTTCCACAGTTGTTCGACTTAAAGAGTAGTCTTTACGGAAGGCCACCGGCTGGTCAAGTCTGATGAAAATAGCTAAAATTTTAGCGTAAAATTTACATAGAGAGCAAATTCAGATTTTTTTGTCTTTATGACACCGTTTTTTCTGCGAGGAAAAGACTTGACTCAAAGTTGGGTCAAGTCTTTCTCTTGATGAAAATAGCTAAAATTCTACCTAAAATTTACATAAACAACAAATTCAGGATTTTTTTACTTTTATAACACCGTTTTTTCTGCGAGGAAAAGACTTGACTCAAAGTTGGGTCAAGTCTTTCTCTCGGTGAATATAGCTTAAAGTACGCGCGACGCCATAACTAGGGATACACTTGGCCAATTATAAAATAATTCCCGCCGGGACCCAAAGCAAATTTGAAATTATTCGTGTGTACGGTAGAAAAATATTTTTTGTTGGAGGACGAGACATTTTCTTGTTTTGTTGATAGTACTGCAAGGTATTTGGTAAGTCGAGTGTGTGTATTTTGTTTGATTTTGTTGATTTTTGTGTAATAAAGATATAACTTTGTCCATTTATTGTTTATGTGCCGCATTACGGTTTCAAGGCCGAATTATTACCTTTCTGGCGGCTCCGGTTTTAGCTATCGCAACACGGAAGATAATCTCTGCCCAATCGTTGGTCCGGAACAAAGAGGTATGTTGTTTTTGCTAATTTTGAGGTGTGTTTTTGGTTTTAGAACAAAAAGTTACCTGTTTTTCTCTGCAATCTTTGGGAGAATCACTTTTCGGTCAATAAGGGCCTAATTTTTTGTTGTTTTTAATACTAAGGGTGCTTTTCAGTGGATTTCACTGTACCAACCAACGAAGAACAGCATGGTTAACACAGAGAAGGATGGCCCACTGGCAGATGAGGCGTCAGAAAGAAAGGAGAAGGCCCTCAAAACATGCGAAACTAATAGAATAGCCATTGTGAAAAAAGGAAAAGTGATGTAGGCTGTAAAACGCTGGTTAATGATACAGAAATGGGGAATTCGGTGGACGACATTTTTAACATGGATAAGATGGAAAATGTATTTGGCTCCAATTTTATTTTTAATATTGAGACTGAAAAACAGTAAATTTGTTGTTATTTGTTCTATTTTTGTTATAAACACGTTGATTTAAATGAATTGAAAGTTTTAATCTTGATTTCCAGTAGCTTGACGTGTTATCTTTGTGAACACAAAAAATTTTTGGAAACACCTCTTATTTGACTTATAATCCAATACTGCCAAACGTAAAACATCGGCGGCCAAAATGGGGTAAAGGAAACTAACACGGCCCAGAAAATCAGCGTTAGAACAAGAGACCTGTTCGTCGTAAACCATCAAAGGACAATTAATTAAACCAAGAGAGCATTCAAGTTCATTACGATAAATGAAATTCAGATATACATTTACATAATTTGATATTATCCTGATATTGCGGATCTATGACCGCGAATACCCATTCCAGTTTTTTGATGGCATTTCCTTTGTTCACAATGGCTATTCCATTAGTTTCGCATGTTTTGAGGGCCTTCTCCTTTCTTTCTGACGCCTCATCTGCCAGTGGGCCATCCTTCTCTGTGTTAACCATGCTGTTCTTCGTTGGTTGGTACAGTGAAATCCACTGAAAAGCACCCTTAGTATTAAAAACAACAAAAAATTAGGCCCTTATTGACCGAAAAGTGATTCTCCCAAAGATTTCAGAGAAAAACAGGTAACTTTTTGTTCTAAAACCAAAAACACACCTCAAAATTAGCAAAAACAACATACCTCTTTGTTCCGGACCAACGATTGGGCAGAGATTATCTTCCGTGTTGCGATAGCTAAAACCGGAGCCGCCAGAAAGGTAATAATTCGGCCTTGAAACCGTAATGCGGCACATAAACAATAAATGGACAAAGTTATATCTTTATTACACAAAAATCAACAAAATCAAACAAAATACACACACTCGACTTACCAAATACCTTGCAGTACTATCAACAAAACAAGAAAATGTCTCGTCCTCCAACAAAAAATATTTTTCTACCGTACACACGAATAATTTCAAATTTGCTTTGGGTCCCGGCGGGAATTATTTTATAATTGGCCAAGTGTATCCCTAGTTATGGCGTCGCGCGTACTTTAAATCCTATTTTAAAATCCAATTTTGGCTATTACTAACGTTATTTTTCTTTACCCGGAGTAATTGTAGCATATAAAGGACCAAAATTTCGGCGCTACGACTTTTCGGGTCAGCGAAAGTTCGGGGCAAACGATACTATGGATCGCGTCGGTTCGTCGTTCTATTCATGGGAAAGGCTATGAGAAGGCTTAGTTAGAAGAAATAATTAGATTGATCGGGTTCTTGGATAGCTTATCACTTATTTTGAGGTATTTTACATGTACTCACATCAACAATATCTAGATAAAAGTTACAGATATTCGTTTTTGGCCGCAAATTTTGGTCTTTCATATGTTAAAATCACTCAAGGTAAAGGAAACTAACGTTAGAAATAGCTAAAATAAGAAAAAATGGACATATTGCAAGTCTTCGCCATGTCTCTGCCGAGCAGACTTGGCGAAGACCTGTCTGGAATCAGCAAAAATATTGTTATGACCACAGCTTATGCAATTTCGTGTCAATTTTGTGTTGACCCGAAGTGTCGTGAACCCGAAAAGTCAGGATGCGAATTCATCACCTTCTTGAGCACTAATTTCCAGCCGAAAAACAAACAAATAATTATAACATATCTGTCGTATAAAATGTCACCGCAGACTGCACTGATATCGGGCGCGAGCTGCACTTTCTTATTTTTCTTTTTTCTGGATTTTTTTTGTGTACTTTCAACACGAGTCGATCTCGGGGTTCTTCCAAGGTATCTCAACTACTTTTTTTGATGAGCATGATGTATTTTCACGTGAATTTCAAAATTCTTTGGAGTTGATATTATTCTAGATTTTTTTGATAATGTTTAACATGTTTTTCACGAGAACTCGGCTTGTTTGATAGATAAAACGACAATGTATTGTTGCTAAATGTTTTCAGGATGAATGCACTGTCCGTTGCGTTGCGACGCGGCCAGGTCTTGCATAAAGCGGCCGGAAGTTCACAAGTGGCTCAAACTCGGAATAATTACCGTGAGTTCTTTGATTTAGTATTTTGGTATTTAGGAAAAGGTGTTGGAAAGCGAGATTCTAAGCCTGTCGAACTATTAGTACCAGTTTCAGGTCGATTCGGGCTTTATTTGGGCTTTACGAATGACTTTTTAACTTTTGCTCTACTATAATATAATTTTCGATAGCATCCATGAAAAAATTGAGATTTTTTTCGATTTTAAGGTTGGAAAAGGTAGAACAGTCCTCTTAGTAGCTAATACTGGGAAAAGCTACTATCAAAACAGGTTGGTTGAAGGCCTCAACCTGAAACTTGTTGTTCCACATGCAAAATAAAAAATTTCTTTGTTCTAGGTTACGTTGGGGCCCAACCAACCACTGATGGCTCTCTGAAGGGAGATTTGGAGCAGGCCTATCATTCAGTAATGTTTACTGAACTTGTTCGAGGCTTTGGTGTGATGTTTGGTCACGTTTTCATGGAGCCGGCTACCATCAACTACCCCTTCGAGAAAGGTCCATTGTCCGCCAGATTCCGCGGAGAGCATGCGCTTCGTCGTTATCCGTCCGGTGAAGAGCGATGCATTGCTTGCAAATTGTGTGAGGCGATTTGTCCTGCTCAGGTAGGTCATGGATAATATCGGCGAAATTTTAAAAGATTTTCGACTGGCTGATGGTGTATATTTTGTTTTCAGGCCATTACGATTGAAACAGAGACTCGAGCTGACGGCAGTCGACGTACCACTCGATATGATATCGACATGACCAAATGCATCTATTGTGGCCTTTGTCAAGAGGCTTGTCCCGTCGATGCTATCGTTGAAGTAAGTTGATTTCATGTTTTTTTGTTGGTTTTTAGGTTGCTGTATAATTATCAATGGATAGAATGGCTTACTTCGCTCATTTATTATGAGAAATCGACATTTCCGACCCTATTTTAGCCCAAAATTGCGATTTTTTTCAATTTTATTGTATTTCTTGTCGGTTTGGCCTAAATTAAATGTCCATAAGACAAATAGACTTTCCTAATTATGATCAGAACATGTTTGATCCAATTTCAGGGCCCGAACTTTGAGTATTCCACCGAAACCCACGAAGAACTCCTCTACAACAAGGAAAAGCTCTTGCTGAACGGCGACCGATGGGAACCTGAACTCGCAGCGAACATTCAGGCCGAATATTTGTATCGTTAAACCCTCAGGCGTAGTTGATTAGGCCAATATTTGTACTCGTCAGTAAATAAATTGAATATTTTTGGTTTCCACCCAAAAATTTGCGAATTCTATGAAAGAAACTGTTGAAAACAGATGATTACTGAGATTTTTGATATTGTAATTTGATAAGTATTGCATTTAGAGTATTTTAGCAGTAATTGAAGCTTTATTTTCATTTGATTTTGATTACAATTTGACCTTACTTCAGATGGGTAAGGACTTCCTTTATGTATGTAGTTCCGAGCTGGATGTGCCGCTTCGGATACGGGTAGTTTCACTTTTCGGGCATGTACAAAGATCTGACACATACTCCGGCGAAATGTTTTTGAAATTGACGGTGAGTTTGAGTATTTATTTGGCAATTTATGTTATCCATGAGAGAAAAATCAAAGTTTTTAAGTTTTAAAAAAATTTTTGATGTTCTACTCTAAATTTTTGATAAGAATGTGATTCATTATAAAGAATATGTATTTTCAGTTGTATTGTAATCAAAGAAAAGTCGGGAGAGAGGTGTGCACGGCCTACAAACCGGCTCCAACACAAGCCCCCAACAATCGGGAACTGCAGCGATGGAACGAATGGATCCAACTCCCATTGACCTATTCCGAGCTCTCCAGAGACGCCATGCTACATCTGACCCTGTGGGATGTGGGCAACGATGTGGAGCCTCAATTTGTTGCGCAGGCCTCGAAATATTTGTTTAGTAAAAGAGGGGTCCTCAGAGATGGGCAATTTGATGTGCGGCTGCAAAGTGAGTTGAGCCTGAGTGTGAAAGTGGTTATAAATGGGAGAAAGAAGGTTTGACGAGGCGAAGAGAGGAATTTGAGGCCAAAAATTTGTTTTAGAGACTACCGTTGACCTTATACATGAGGTCTTGATCAAAGTTTTGATATTTTTTGCAATTTTGTTGCTGAAAACGGCAAAAAAATCGTAGAAACAGCTTTTCTAGAATATTTAGAGTGATTTTGGATAGTCTTGGACTAGTTTTTAATCGGTTTAGATATGTTTTTAACAATAGTTTTCTCAAAAAAATTTTTCAAAAAAAAATTTTTTTTTAATAAAATTAAAATTTCCCCCCTGAAGTTGAGCCCTTCCAGAAGCCCAGCCCAAAGAACTCCCCGAGCCGAAGTTTGATGAGCCCTCGGATTCGAACAAACTCCCCAAATCCAGTGGAATTCGAGAGTACCTAAAAAAGGAGAAGATGTACAAACAAAATTATATCCATCCAGTCGACTGGCTGGATCAAGTCACCTTCATCAAGCTGGAGCGAATGAAAGAGGATGTAAGAAAAGGAACCGGGGTGATTGGGGAAAGGGAAGATTGGGGGAAAAGACGATTGGGGAAAAAGAAAAGTATTATTTTTCTTCGATGAAAGCGTGAAATTAGGATAATCGGTTGTGATAATTTTGAAAATGACATTCATTTTTTTTTATCTTTACTTTTTTCCTTGAGTAATACTGTAAAGTAGTATTTTTTTTATTTTTCTTTTCATAAATATTATACTCGATTTGGTTTTCGATGGTGCTGCTTTCAAATCAGAACAAATGAATAAGATTTTCGAAATCAGCACCATCGAAAACCCCTAAATCGAGTATTTATAAAAAAAATTCAAAAAATTACTACTTTACAATACTACTTAAGGAAAAAAGTAAAAATCAAAAAAATGAATGCCATTTTCGAAATCAGCACCCTTGATTATCCTAATTTCACACTTGGGTCGAAGAAAAATAATAATTTTCGGTTTCCCCAATCGTCCAACTCCAAGTCTTATATTTTTACGCCTTATCTTACACATCAAAGTCCATTTAAAAAAAAAATTTTTTAGGCCAGAATTGAAGACCGATCCCTGTACATATCGCTGGAGATGGCGACAATTTACGGGCATGACGACGTGACCCCATATCAAGTCGTATTTTACGTACCCGACATCCAAAACGAAATGATTGCGATGAAGTCGAGCGGAAGACTTGACCCCGAAATGGGAATGGAGAATCTCTGCGAAACCAAGCATCACATGCTGACGAGAAATGCCCGAGCCGGCGACATCGACAAGAGACTTCAGCCGAATGCCGTCATCAAGGATAATTTGGAGGCAATTATCAGGGTAAGGGGGGATTTTTTTTTTTGGAATTTTGAAATTTTTGCCATTTTTTGAAATTTTTAGGAGGATTTGGGGGTTTTGGTGACTTTGAAGGACATTTTTAAGAAATTTGAGGGTATCTGTCTGATTTTTCGGAGGAAATTTTTGAATTTTCGGATTTTTGAAAATTTGTAAATTTTGAAATTTTTCCAAAAAAAATAATCGAATTCCAAAATTTCCAGATGCCAAGTTCCCAGCCAATGACCATGGAGGAGCGCGACACCATCTGGAAGTTCCGCTTCTGGCTCAAAAGCAATCCCCACGCCCTCACGAAGTTCGCCCGCTCCGTGAATTGGAACGAGCGATTGGAAGTGAAACAAGCCATCGAAGTCCTCAGCGACTGGGCCCCAATTGACGCTTGTGATGCCCTCGAACTCCTTGGACCTTCATTTACCCACCCGTTCGTACGAAGGTACGCCGTTTCGAGACTTCAAAACACACCACCTCAAATTTTGCTACTGTACTTGCCACAATTGGTCCAATCCATAAGATACGAAGCGAATGTGAAGAATGATGAGATGAAAAAGTCAAAGGACAGCATAGAATGCGTAAATGTAAGGGAGAAATGGTTTGAAGGGGAAAAATTTGGGAGTTGTGGAGATTTTTATATTGTAGTAGGGGTTGATGGATGGATGATGTAATTTAGTTAAAGTTTTATAGATTTTGAAGAATTTAAGTGATGGTTTATGGAAAATTAAGAATCCTAGAGCAAGCTGAAACTTGTGAGAGGTAAAATAAGTCTTGTTATAACCTTCATTTTATCATTTTTTCGATTTTTCCCCCAAAAACAAGGTGCTTCCACAAAAAGCCAAAGTTTTGATAATTTTTTGCTCGAAATGGTCAATAAAATTGATGTTTATAGGAAGACGGAGGCGCAGCGGACCCCATGTACGTATCAGACTCGCAAATTATCCCTGCCGATCAGACCAACAGCGCGTTGGAACTTTTCCTTGGAAGGAATGAAGACATGACAACATATCTCCTAAATCAGGCCTGCCAACACGCTGTAATCGCTAATTTCCTTTATTGGTGAGTTGATAGTTTATTGGTGATCCTTTCTGAAATATAAAAGCAGCTTTTTCAATAGTTGCTTGAAGGTTTTGACCAATAATTTATATTATTTCAGGTACTTGAAAGTGGAAATTGAAGCCAACGAAACAACAGATCCGTACATGTCAAATTATTACGCTACGATGCTGGATAGACTCCTAAATGCCCTACAAAATGGATCCTCGGTTGCCAGACACTCGCGCCAAAATATTTTGGGGCAGCGGACTTTCGTCGAAGTCCTGAAATTGATCTCCAAAGAAGTCCAAAGCGAAGGTGGAAACCGAGTGAAAAAGCTGGAGTTCTTGAAGAAACGGCTGGCAAATTGTCCAGAACTCATGGATCTGAAAGGCCTACCGTTGCCATTAGATCCGGCAATCCAGGCGAGTGATTTTTATATTGTAGTAGACATCTGATATTGAAGGCGATTTTTTTGATGGTAATAGAAGATTGTTGATGTTTATGGAGGTTTAGGCGGCTGGATTTTTAATAGCGATGCTGTTTTTATAGGTTTTACATTGTTTTAGAATATTTTTTATATTATGCTTGACACCAAATTTAAGGTAATTTTTTTGAGGTTATTAAGTGTTATTGATGCTTTTGAGACCACTAGGGCCTAGATATTTTATTCTGTAAATTTGGCTGAAAGATATTTGTATTTGACATTGTTTTTCACAATTTTTTATATTGCACTAGACATTAATCTAAGTTTTTAAAAATTTTCAGGTGAAAAACGTCCAACCGGAAACCACGGTGCTATTCTCGTCAAAACTCATGCCCATGCGTCTCACTTTCTCCACAGTGCGAGGATTCTCACCGCCCTACGAATGCGGCGAAGCCTATATGACAATCTTCAAAAGAGGCGACGATCTCAGACAAGACCAGCTGGTCCTCCAAATGATCCGACTCATGGATAATTTGTGGAAAGAGGAAAAACTAGACCTATGTTTAACTCCATACGCCGTTCTGGCCACATCGGTATCGGATGGATTTGTTCAGTTTGTGAAAGCCACGCCCATCGCTGACTTGAAGAATATTCAGGTAGGAAAGAGGTGGGAATGGAAAAAATATGATAATTAAAATGAGGTAGAGAGTGAATGAAGGAATGGAAAGGGATGATTTGGGATAAATATGCGGTGAAATTTGATACACACCAAAAATTTTGATGTTTTTAGAAGTTTTTGGGGAAAAAAGGTGGAAATGTAAAAAAAATGGCTCTGAATTGAACTGTTCGTTTATCTGTATTTCATATAGGCGGTATAAAAATAATTGTGGTATATTGGAGAGTGCAGTAACAGATGAAAAAAATGAGATTTTACTTTTTTTGTACCTAATTTCGCATAAATTTGTGATGCGCATTACCGTGACGGACCTGGTGGCAAAAAACGTACCATTTTGCATCCGGGAAGCATCAAAAATATGGCCAAATGCCTCCCCCTCTGAAAGCGGTGTTTTTCACCTGTAGAGGGAAGCATTTTGCCACATTTTTGATACTTCCCGGATGTAAAATGGTACTTTTTTGCCACTGGATCAGGTCCCCCCACTGTAGTTTCGATCGCAAAAACGTTTTTGAGTTATGTTTCACGACGGTTTCAGGACACCCTCCGGCAATACCGGCCATCTGCAACCGGCCCATATGGAATAGAAGCCGCTGTCATGGAGAATTACGTACGATCCTGCGCCGGCTACTCCATTATCTGTTACATCCTCGGAATCGGCGACCGACACATGCATAATTTACTGCTCCGAGAGAACGGCCGCATGTTCCATGTGGACTTTGGGTACATTCTGGGCAGAGACCCCAAACCAATGCCGCCGCCCATGAAACTGACCACCGAAATGATCAATTGCATGGGAGGACAGGAGAGGTGAGAGAAGATTTTGGGGAGGCTCACGTCAAAAAAGTGAAAAAACGAGGAATCTCGGGATCATTGATTTTTGACGAAATGTCGCCGAATTATCGAGTCAAACAAGAAAACTTTCTCAGAGAAAACGTTTTTTCGAGAAAAATATTCTTTTGAAGAGAAAAATAATTCTTCCAACTCGATAATTCTGTGGCAAAAATCAACGATCCGAGATTCCTTGTTTTTTTCAATTTTATGGAGGATTCTTTTTTGACGTGGCAAACTGAAATAAGTTAAAACAGTCCATGAATTGGTAATTTGCCAAAAAAAGACGCGAACAAACGCTTTGTCGGGGAAGAAATGGGGAATTTTTGGGGCGAGAGAGTACGCTTTTGCGCGTCTTTTTTCTCTCTTTCTCTGCGAAATCAAGACGAAGTGTAAAAAACCAATAGCGAAGAGTCTATTCGGGTCACCGGACTCCTCAGTTTGACGTGCGTGGGGCTATGATTGCCATCGAAAAACGATGATTTTTATAAAGTCTACGCACTTTTGAAAAAAGCGTAGTAGAAGGGAATAGGGTAAAACACGACCGTTGAATTTGATTTTCGAAATTGTACAGGGTGTACCAAATTCGTAGCCCGATTTGAATTGGCTATAACTTCTTTAATTTTGGGCCAAATTTTAAAATTATTTTTGGCGTCGCGACACTTGCGGGCAACCATTTTGCGGGCAACCAGTTTGCGGGCAAATTTTTTGCGGGCAACCACTTTGCGGGCAAAATTTGGGGGTCACATTTGCGGGCAGCTGAAACATTTGCGGGCAGCTGAGACACTTGCGGGCAGCCTGGGACACTTGCGGGCAACCGACACTTACGGGCAGCCGACATTTGCGGGCAACCGGCACCTGAGGGTTACAGGGTGGAGGTGGAAATATTACTGCGATATTTTGGAAATTTGCCGACATTTGCGGGCAGCCGACACTTGCGGGCAGCCGACATTTGCGGGCAACAGGAAAAAACAATCACACAGACTGTATAGCAACTTTTGGAACTGTTGCCCGCAAATGTCGGTTTCCCGCAAGTATTGCCTGCCCGCAAATGTCGGAAAACTTCCAAAATATCGAAGTAATTTTTCCACCTCTACCTTGTTATCATCAAGTGCCGGTTGCCCGCAAATGTCGGCTGCCCGCAAATGTCGGCAAATTTCCAAAATATCATAGTAATTTTTCCACGTTCACCCTGTAACCCTCAGGTGCCGGTTGCCCGCAAATGTCGGCTTGTCCCAGGCTGCCCGCAAGTGTCGACCCTGCCCGCAAACGTCCCAGGCTGCCCGCAAATGCCGGTGCTGGCCGCAAATGTCGGCTGCCCGCAAAGTGGCTGTCCGCAAAAAATTTGCCCGCAAACTGGTTGCCCGCAAAGTGGTTGCCCGCAAGTGTGCGCCCGCCTTATTTTTTTCCCTGAATCCTCAGATAACCCCATTTTGTATGTATAACATATTTGGTATCAGAGTTTTTCGATATTCTACTTGGCAAAGAGCCGCGCCACTTATTGCTCTCGATTTCTTTACAGTTTTACCCAAATTTTTATTCCAGCGTCCATTTCAAACATTTCATCGACTATTGCACGACGGCTTTTTGCATTATCCGCCGCCACGCCAACCTGATTATCAACTTGTTCTCCCTCATGCTGGATGCGGGTATCCCGGACGTAACGGTGGAAAAAGACAAGGCCGTGCAAACAATTCTAGAGCGATTCCATCTCCAACTCACCGATGAAGAGGCGTACAAAGAGATTACGAGGATAATTCATTCAAGTTTGTCGGCTAAAATACCTATCATTGCTGACTTTGTGCATGATGTAAAGCAGTACATTGTCAACTAGTTGTAAGGGGAAATGGGGAAAATTTTGGAGAGATTTGAAGGAAATTGAATAGAGTATATTTTGAGAGTAGTTCGGGAATTTTTAGCGGCGATTTTTGTTATAATTTGAACGAAATTTGGAATTTTTACCGAAAAATTCTGAAAAGTTCATTTTGATACTTTTTGAAGGCCACAAAATGACTCCGAACAATTTACAATTCGTTCAAAATACTCTATGACAGTTTTCTCAATTTTTTCCACGCCTGAACCTCTGAATTTGTGATACTTATATTGTACTTGACACCCTCAGCTAGCCAGTTAGCCAATGTTTGCCGTACGGCCGGAAAACCTCGAGAATTTTGCTCAAAACTTCGAAGAACTTGTATATTTGTACAGAAAATAAATGATATTACTTGATACAGCGGTTGGTTACACATCTTTCAAGCTTAAAATTACTACCTTACATACTCTGTCTCTTAATCACCCCCCAATTTTTCATGGTCGAATTTTCATTGTCGCCATTTTGACGGTCAAATTTCAACCGTTGGCGACGTTTTTCAATCAACCCTGAAAGACGATTCGGCGTTTAAAAATTCCATTTTTTTTTATCGACTTATGATAGAGGTCACTTGGCGATTCCTCGGTCGGGTTTATTGACAAAACGACCTTGAATTTGGTCAATGCCCGCAGGGCAGGGGGAAATGCGCCGGAATTGTTTGCTCGACTTAATTAATGACTCAACTCTCGGTCCCGTTAACGAGCGGTTTTTTCGGCGTTAATTCGCGAATTGTGCAAGGGGTAGTAAACACAGTACAACAGCGAAGTAACGCTGGAATTCGCGGGGGGTTAATGAGGGGCGAGGTAAAACGGGGGTTGAGGGCAAGTTCGGTAAGGTTGAATGCCCTTACGGGTGGAGTAATCGTATTTTCGAAAGTGTTTTGAAGTGATTACTAATGAGGTGACAAAGGTTGGAAGAGTCCTACTTCCTTATGGAGTAGTGGCAGTATGGGTGGGCAAATGATAGGCCAGTAAAAAGTTACAATGAAACCTCTCTGACTTCTAGAACGACTCCGGAAGGGCCAACTAGTATGCCTATTCTACGCGGTCTAGTTTTACATCAATATGGGCCAAAAATTTCACCAGACATCACTGACGAAATTGGAGGTCCTGTAGGATCCCGAATATTTAGGACTGAAAAAGTGGAAGTGGATTTGGAAAGTAGTAGAGGAATTGAGAGAGGGGTGACATCGAAAATAACATCCTAGTAGACAAGAAAACATGGATTTATTAGCCAAAGATGGTGTTTTTAGATAACAAACGAAAGCAGCTCTACTGCCGAAAAAGTATTCGGCGAATTGATCATTTTCGCGTTTTTTTTGGAATTAGAAGTTTCAATAAACAATGTTGGACTTGAATGAAATCGGAGGTCTGTAGGATCCCCACAGCATGCTGTTTCAAGCTTTGATTGACTTCCGTATAAACCACAGCTTTTTCAGGGCCATGGACCTGTTCCCGCCAAAAAAAAAGGTCCAAAAAGTGATAAAGGAGAACTCAAATTTGATAGCAAAACCTATCACAGAACCGTAAAAAAAATTGGGATCTCCTTTATCACTTTCGGACCGTTTTGTCAACAAGAACAGGTCCGTGGCCATGAAAAAGCTGTGGTGTATACAGAGGCCAATCAAAGCTTAATGTAGCATGCGACGGGGATCTTACAAGACCTCCAATTTCATTCAACTCCAACATTGTTTATCAAAAGTTCTGGTTCCAAAAAAAGTGCGCAAAAATGATAAATTCGCCGAATACTTCGCCGGCAGTAACACTGTTTCCGTTTGTTACCAAAAACACCATTTTTGGTTAACAAATCCATTTTTTCTCGTCTGCAGGATGTGATTTGCGATGTCATCCCTCTCTCAATTACCCTAGTACCTGCCAAATCCACCCCCACTTTAGTCCCAAAAAACCTCACTAAATTCCAATTTTAGCCCGCGTTTTGTAAACACCCAACGCATTTTTTACAACCATTGTGTTTTTTAATTCCCAGAGCGAAGCTTGCGCAATGGCTAGATCCCCTTTAACCTCGGAACGGTTGGGGCGAGTAAAAAATCACTCAACCCAATCGCTTTTTAATAAAACCGTCGAGGAGGAAAAGGGTCCCGAATTCGACTGGGAAAGGCTTATGGATATCCATAAAACTCTTTGTGATTTCCTTGATAGGAGCAGAGGTATGGGAAGGAGGTGGGAGAAAAGGTGCTAACGTAACATAAGTTCCTTTACGGGTTCAGTTATAACTTTAGGGTTTCGTAGAGTTAGACTAGGGGCCTGATTACGGTGATGTCGGTTTTCCATAATGTCCAACCACGTTGTAATGGGAAACTGTATACAAAACGACCTTTTGACGTCTTCGCAAAATCCCTACAGTGGCGGACCTGATCCAGTGGCAGAAAACGTGCCATTTTGCATCCGGGAAGCATCAAAATGTAGCAAAATACCTCCCTCTCCAAGTGAAAAAACTACAGTTTCAAAAGTGCGCCCGCTCTTTTTGAGGAAGGCACTCTTCAAAACGGAGTTTTTTTAGTTGGAGAGGGAGACATTTTGCCACGTTTTTTGATACTTCCCGGATGCAAAATGATACGCTTCTTGCCACTGGATCAGGTCCGCCACTGTATGGAGGTCAATTTCAGGGTCCTTTACAAGCGTTTTTACTCAAATCATACCGAGATACCCCTTACAATCAAAAAAAAACATCAATTTTTCCACTACGGTACTCTCCAACCATACTCTTCTTATTTACTCTTCTCATCCCAAATCTTCCCTTTTCAAACCACTTCTAATTTATTTATTGTTGCCCTCCTCAAGCGGAAAGGAGACTATTTTTTACGCCTGCCATGAAAGTTCACGTATTTTGAACGGATCACTCAAAAAAAAAAAAGGCTACAGGAACAGGTTCCTTCCTGTTTGTTCACCTTTTTTTTATTTTAAAACATAAAAATTGGGTAGTTGGGATGAAGGTTACCCTTGGAATGGAACGAGAGAGCGATGAGGAAAATGGAAATCACGCCAATTCTCGCGGGGTCGCGGGCTTCAGTCTTTTTTCAATGATACACATCTAAATTGGCTTACATTCCGCAATTGTGAACCGTTCGCCGACAGGCGGGTTTGGGTCTTTTTTCGGCGGGGCCAGACAAAACAGTTTGCGTTGGTCTTTTCTGGGAAAACTAAACTTGTGCGTTATTAGTTTGTCCGGCAAGTCGCCGGACCGATTTTTGACGTTTTTTCTGACAATACATAGCAGAATCTCTGTACATTGAAATTTTTTACAACAAAACCTGAATATGACGAGCAATTTTAAAGGTCGCATTCCTCAACTTTATGCTAAAATTAACTGCCGTACGACAAAACGCTTCTATAAAACGAATTAATTTTCTGGACTTTGCGATTCATTCTACCAAGGGCTGACTATAAATTGAACGCAGGAAAAATTCTACCTATTATCAATGTCATTAACTTTACAAGTCCATATTGGCCCAAAACTCATTCAAGACTTATGGAATCATTTATATTTCCATCGCCTGGCCCATATTCCAACAACAACTATACTTACTCTACCTAACAGCAATTTTCGCACCGTTCCCACCCTTAACCATACCTCCAACTCCCTCTGTTATTTACCACGACACCACTTCCCAAAAATTTCTCAATTTACGTGAAGACGGCAAAGTGTTGAAATCTCTGTTTACCCTGAAAAGTACAGTTTATGGTCACTAGACCGATTCTTTGACAAGTTGTCGGGTAGAAGCCAAATTTTAAACTGACCCGCCGACCGTTTACCGCCTTATTTTTTGATACTTTGTTGGGTTGAGCGATCGAAAATCGGGAAGAATCAAAGAGGGAGGAACGAATTCCTCGGCTCGATGTTTCCCCAATCTTCGGTAAAGTTTGTAAACTTGTACTTATGCCATGATTGCAGGTGGGAAAAATTGGGTTCACTTAGCCTAGTTTAACTTAATTTAAGGGCTGCTTACAGTGGGGGACCAGTGGCAAAAAACGTACGATTTTGCATCCGGGAAGTATCAAAAAAGTGGCAAAATGCTTCCCTCTCCAAGTGAAAAAACTCCGCTTACAAAAGCGCGCCCGCTCTTTTTGTGAGGGACCCTTCAAAAAGAAGTTTTTTCACTTGGAGAGGGAAGCATTTTGCCACATTTTTGATCCTTCCCGGATGCAAAATGGTACGTTTTTTGCCACTGGATCAGGTCCCCTCTGTAACTAGGTATTTCACGGTCCGTCACCCATAAAATCCGCATGTGGAAAACCTCGAGATTGACTCTAATCTGCAAATTAAAAACCCTCGTTTCAACGTTTTTTCTCCCTCCATTTTACCCATGTTTTCACCCGCAACTTCCGCTCGAGTCCTCCCACCCTTTTGAGTCGATTATGTCGTGTTTCGACTATTTTTTGCGCGCGCTCGAAACGATTGCGCAAAAAAGGGTTTGTTCCAAGGAACAGCGCGTGGAAACAGACGAGGAATTCCGTCGTCGAAATTACATGTTTAGCTGTTCGAACAGCAAATTGGGTAGAAAATTGATTGATTAAGAATTTAGTCGTGTTACAGTTGATGTTTGGGGAATGTGGGGGGAAATTTCAATCGTTTAATTTTCGCATTCATCAATTAACGCGGTAAATTTGTCTTTACCTCCCCAATTACTAATAATGGAATAAAGTTGGCCAACTTTTCAACAGTCCTCACACCTTTATGAGTAATCCCGATTTATGATACATTCCGATATGTTTCCCCGCCAGAAACTTTTTCTCACATTACTTTATCACCTATTTTTTCCTCGATTAAAGTGTTTTTGTAACCCAAAGAACACTTTTAACTCTCACAACATAATGTGCCGCAATTTCAGGGTATTAAAAATCTACATCGTCTATAGTAATGTCAACAACGCTTAAACTTTCGCTTTTCCTCGTCCTTCTTGGCCTTGCTGCGGCCAAGGAGACTTGTAAAGCCAACCAAATCCTGAACGGAGATTCTTGCGTTTGTGCTGCAGGGTAAGATACTTCTAGAAGAATTTGTTGTTGCAAAATCAGCTCAGCCTCAGCTATAAATTCATTTTTAGATACTTCACCTCTTCCGATGACGAATCAAAACAAAGATGCGAGGATGAGTGCGCTGCTGTAAGTTTTTTTCGAAAATAAAACAATGACCCTAGAGCGTTCTTTTTGCATAATGGAGTTTACTTTAGCGAAACAAAGTTTCTTAGCGCGAAGCAAAACCTCAGATTTTTTATGAAACTTGGTTCAGAGTTTTGCTCAACACTGTGTCTTTCTGAATAAATGAAATAAATTTCTTAACCCGAGGTTGGTACAGGACTGACAAGCTTTTCGTTAGACATCCCTTTTTCAACGGTGGTATAGCTCTAGACTTCGAAATCTTCGTGTGTCCAGAACATGATGACACCCGTTTAAAATGTGCCAGTGGTACGAAGAACGGCTGTATATGGCCAGGACTACTACCCAGAGCACGCCAAGTATTTTTTATGAGTACTCCTACCATATACATCCGTTCTTTATACCATCGGCACATTTCAAATAGGTGTCATCGTGACACATCTTTCTGGACACACAAAGATTTAGAAGTCTCGAGCTATAGTGGCGGACCTGATCCAGTGGCAAAAAACGTACCATTTTGCATCCGGTAAGTATCAAACATGTGGCAAAATGCTTCCCTCTCCAAGTGAAAAAACTTCGTTTTGAAGGGTGCCTCTCCCTCACAAAAAGAGCGGGCGCACTTAATAAAATCGGATTTTTTCACTTGGAGAGGGAGGTATTTTGCCACATTTTTGATACTTCCCGGATGCAAAATGGTACATTTTTTGCCACTGGATCAGGTCCCCCACTGTATACCGCTGATAAAGAAGGGATGTCTAACAAAAAGTTTTTCAGTCTTGTAGCAACCTCGGGTTAAGAAATTTATTTCATTTATAAAGAAAGACAAAGAGTTGAGCAAAATTTTGAGCCAAGTTTCATAAAAAGTCTGAGGTTTTACTTCATTTCCTTCCTCTATTTCTATGAATTTCTTACCCAACAAAACTTTTTTTTCAGGCCTATTTCACCTACTTCACTTATGGCCACTGCGCTGGCGGTCTTTTCGACCGTGTCAGTAAGGAAGATCGCCCAGCCTGTGACATGCGTTGCGGCTTGGACTTCCGTCTATGGGCCGTTATTGCGCTCTTCGCTACGTTCGCCGCCGCTGTTGCCACTCTGATCTTCACCATCCCTATGTGCATCGCCACTTGCGCTTCCTGCATTCACTCGAGGAAGGCGGTCAAGCACACCAAGCGGGTGGCCAACGAAAACGCCGCCGCTGCCAATGGAGCGGCCAGCAAGGACTTGCAGGCCGTTTCCTACAACCCATACGCCTACTGGCCCTACTACGGACGTGTCCACAATGGCCTCTAAGCAGTTTATTTTAGCGAATTTTTCGTATTCTAGCCTCTAACGACCTTTTCTAGCCGAATTTGAAATTTCTCCCCATTTTTTACTAATTCCACCACAAATTTTTGACTACTCAGCCAGTAACCGACCTCCACTGCACAGTAGAGGCATTTTGTTGGCGCAAAAACCCTCAAGCACTGCTATGTCTTTGATTTTTATCCATGTTTCCATAAAAATCCGACAAAATTTATCAATTTTTGTAATAACATAGTCGTATTTTAGTTAAGAACCCTTGCCATCTTGCCGCATTACACTTTATTAAGTTTGTGAACCTCAAATTCCTTCCGGATATTCGAGTTCTTGCCCGCATTTTTCAGATTTCTACGCCAAATCCGCCGCTCAATTTTTTCTGTTGTTTTGCATCGATTGTAATTGAAGTTTTAGCATTTATTTCGCTGTGATATCGAATAAACAGACAAGGAATTTCGAGACTTGTGAGATGATTGTTGTGATTTTATATTGTACTTGACAAATCTGGTCATTTTGTGTGTAAAATGTCAAATTTTTATTAAAGCCGCCACTTTGAGGCATGGCAACGGACAGAAGAGGCTAAAAGACTTTGGAATAGCAGCGTTAGAACCGGAAGAAAGCTTTAAACAGCTTTGAAAAATGAAGAAATAGGAAAAATCGGCGGGAACAGCCAAAAAATTTGACAATTTCCGCGATATTTGATTATAATTACTGATAAAAGACCTACCCAGACGTGGGAGACATCAATCTGGCCAATGAAACTCAAGACCGGACTAGACTTACACCTTTTTTTTTATGAAATTTAAGAAAATAACAAGTGATCAACGACCTTCATCAGGATGTTCAGTTCGGAATTTGTAGTCCTCCAATCGAACCAAGTACTTGTCGTTCAAGTTCAACAATTTGAGGACCCCATCGATGATTTGCTTCCGCTTCTCGCGGTTCCGCGTCTTCTGGTCTTCGCTTATCCCGTCGCTGTAAATCTGAAGCCCATCGATGGCTTCCAGATGTTTTTCGGCAGTTAGGTTGAAAGCCCGGAGGGTTTTCTCCGTTTTTGAGATCATTTCGTCCCGGTTTTTACCTAAAAATTGAACAAAAAAGAGAATAAAACACTTGCCATCTAAGAAATTCTTTTCCAGTAAGTCGAGATCCTTTCCATTTTGTTCGAAAGTTTGATTGAGCTTGACTAGGAACGTCCGTTCGAAGCTGCACAATGCACTCCAGCCAGAATCAACTTTTGGAGGCTTGCCCATGATCTTACAGACGTCTTTGTCCTTGAACCTTAGGCCACTTAGCTTCTCGTCCGGGTTTGTTCCGATCAGCTTACCTAAAATAAGGTAATTAACGTAAAAATGACATCTAACCCAAACCAAATGTCGTGAAATTTCTTGCACGGACAAAATAAACCCTGCTTGAGCTCCAAAATGACCTAAATTCAAAAGGGACAATCAAAAGAAATACCTCTATGAATAATCTTCATTTGATTAGGTTCAAGCAGAAAATGGTCCGCAATTCTTTGCCTCAGCTCTCCAACCGTCTTCAACGGCACTTCAGCACCTTCTCCACTCTCTGTAGCACCCTCGCCACTCGTTTCCTGCGCTTCAACCTCTTCGTTTTGAATCAAAACCTCCAGTTTCTCGCCAAGACAATCAATTGTCACTCGGGCGGGCATTTTGTCCTGAAACCAACATTAAACTAATGTAATCGATAATAATAAACGTTCTATACACCACTCGAACCACAAACAACGTCCAGACAACACAAAGAACCCATGAATAATATAGGAAATAGATTTCTTCGTAAAATTTATATCAAGTACAATATCACGCCAAAGAAGTCACCTGTTTCTTGCCGAAGATCCCGAATAGGCCCATGATTCAATTATAATCGCGCATCGAAACCTCAAAAACAGTGAAATTCGAGAGCGAGGGCCAAAAAAATAAAAGGATAATTTGGGGAGAGAGAGTTGACGCTTTTCATCATTTGGGGTCAAGTGTTTCTCCGGTCGACAGAGTGGCTGGTAATGATGATAATTGAGTTTTTATTAGCTCAATAAGCAATTTAGGGGTAAGTAAAAAAGATAATTCTAACAATATTGTATCTTGAGACATTTATTTCGACAAATTTTATATTCACCATGATGCCGAAACACAAATTTATCCATTTTTGTCCTCCTGCTTTTTATTTTCCTCGGCCTCTTCCTCTTCCTCCTCCATTTGAGTCCGCGACGTGTATTCATCCACATCAAAATCAGGTTTATCCATTTCATTAAATTCATCGTCGATGTCCAACTTTTTCTCCGCAACTTTCGGCTTGCTTTTATATTTCTCCAGCTTGATCTGCGGCTCAATGATGATGTCAATAGGCTCAAACTGAGGTGGCGGCAGGCGAGTTGATGGAGGATGAGCTGGAGCGGTTGCTGCTGGAGGTGGACTTGGTATTGGAGTAGGTGCTGGAGCCGGAGGATTCGCTAGGGGATGCAACCGAATAGATGCCTTCTTTAATTCTCTAAACGTCCTCTCCTTTTCGGGCTTTTCAGCAAATTGAGGTATCGCTGGATGATCTAAAAAGTAGATCGTCAAATTTCGAGGTTTTTCAAAAAATCAATACTATGTGGACTAAATGTCAATTTTTTAAAAGGTTACTAAGGCTGACGCGTTTGCGAGCCGCAAGAATTTTGCGCCGCTCGTTTTTTTTGTTCGGAGGGATTTTGCGCCGCTCGAAAAAAGGTCCGCAGAATTTGACGCCGCTCTAAAATCGCGAAAAAAAGACGCGAAACGCGCGAATAAAGCGAAAGACGTAACTGATAAATCAAATTTCGGTTTAGGTTGGCTAAAGTTTCTTAAATTTTTTACGATTTCTTCTTTATGCCAAAACTGTTTCGAGATTGACAAACAATAACTGATATATCCATGATTAGTAACCGTCACATAGCCCTTACAATACCAATTCTGAACGATGACTTCAGCAGGCTTATCAAAGGAGTTAGGCTTAAAAGATTTTTTGGATGTTCAAATATATGAAAGTTTCTGCCCTGAAGACAGTGCGCCAGATTATGGGACTGATGTCTGTTACACTCGTCAATGCTAAAGCTGTGAAACTGTCGGGGAAGTGGATCATATTCGAAATGTTTGGCAACTGTTTACTAACATCTTTGTGTCACATGGCTTGACGCGTCGTCCCGGTATCCCAAATGGCGGTTTTCGTTTTTCCCGCTGCCGGCTGCTGGCCAAAGTATGCACTATTTAGTTGGGCTATAGAATCGACGGGTTTCAGACCTCTTTAAGAGCTGTATAAGATGCCACCTCAAAATATGACCTTTTCAACATGCCGTTATAAGACCTTAGAAAAGGCTGTGACCTGGTTGCCTCTCTACTTAACAGTACTCAAGCTCTACTGCAAGTTACATATTGCTGTCCTTGCTAAGCTGTCCCAAAAAGACCGAGTTGGTACCGAGAAAAATTTTAAAAAACTTTTTAGCCAACGTATAAACTTTATCGCGCCTTTGTTTCGCGTCTTTTTCTTGGTATTGTAAGGGCTATGTGACGGTTACTAACCATGGATATATCAGTTATTGTTTGTCAATCTCGAAACAGTTTTGGCATAAAGAAGAAATCGTAAAAAACCTTTAGCCAACCTAAACCGAAATTTGATTTATCAGTTACGTCTTTCGCTTTATTCGCGCGTTTCGCGTCTTTTTTTCGCGATTTTAGAGCGGTGTCAAATTCTGCGGACCTTTTTTCGAGCGGCGCAAAATCCCTCCGAACAAAAAAAACGAGCGGCGCAAAATTCTTGCGGCTCGCAAACGCGTCAGCCGGTTACTAAAATCTAAAAATCACTCTAAAATCACTATTCTCGCTTCGCGAAGCCTCGCAGTACCGTTTCCACCCTTTCCAATATCATGTTAACAAAATGCCACAAAATTTGACACTTCGTCCAATCCGGAAAAATTTGGGGGAAACCTACTTGGCTGATGTGCAACTTTCTTCTTTTCCTTCAGCATCTTCCTCTCCGCGACTTCCCAAGGCTTCTCTTTCACAATCCTCTTCTCTACAATCTCGGACGACTTCCTCTTGGCAATCTTCTTCCTCTCCTTCTCTTTGACCGAGCGTCTTTCTTCCTTGGAAAGGCGATTCTGAAAAAAATTTTGGTCAAAGTCGTCCTAATCGTAAAGATTATGAGACGATCTATGATTCTAGGCAGAAAAATCTCACGTTTTTTGATCAAAAATCGTCTTTCTTAACCGATATTATCCATGAGCTACCGTTCAAAAAATTTTTGAAAATGTTGACTGTTTTAGGCATTCAACAACGTGAACAGTGTTGAATAGGGATTTATAGAGGATTATAGATCATTTTAGAGAGGTTTTCAGGCCCATCGGCATCAAATTTTACCTAGTATAATATAATTTTTTTACCTAGTACAATATAAATTTTGATCCGCATTGGTCTTCTTTTATGTTTTTCTGCATTCTCTACTACTTCTTTGATGAAATCAACCCAGTTTTGCCTCGATTTGATCATTTCCTACCTGACAGCCAAGCGGTTTCACGACTTTGGGACTCTTTTGCTCCGGCTTCGTTTCCTTGACCTCCTTCTCGTCCTTCTTTGGCACGATCACTCTCGCGATTATTATACCCGTGTCTGGCTCTTTTCCATCACCCACACGTTCTCTCTCCGGCACAACCGTGTCGATCTCTTTGTCCTCCCGTTCTCCATCCATCATGTAGGGCTTCAGCAGCACGAACGAGCATTGCAAGTCTTCGGTGACTTTCATAACCGCGCCGGCGTTGTTGAACTGTCCGCAGTAGTGGGGCGCCGAAAAAACGGTAACCAATTTGCGGTTCGCGAAGAATTCGAAGCTGAAATGTATACTACAGTGACGGACTTGATTCAATGGCAAAAAGCCTATCATTTTGCATCCAGGAAGTATCAAAAATGTAGCAAAATACCTCCCTCTTCAACTAAAAAAAAACTCCGTTTTGAAGCGTCCCTCACAGAAAGAGCGGGCGCGCTTTTGAAATCGGAGTATTTTCACTTGGAGAGGGAGGTATTTTGCTACATTTTTTGATACTTCCCGGATGCAAAATGGTACGTTTTTTGCTACTGGACAAGGTCGGCCACTATAGTCCGTTCGCAAAGTCGCTGGAGTGATTTTTTGGTGTTTGCAATGTGCGAAAAAAGTCAGCGTGCGAGAGACAGTCCAAAAAAGCATATTGCACAGTGCAAATTGTTTTTTATGGCAGTGCATGTCGCCAACATCACTCCAGCGACTTTGCGAACAGACTAGCATGCCACCTATGAGATATTGTTTAGTTGCGACGATCGTATGCCCTTTGAATTCCGCAAACATGCTCTGCCTATACCGCAAAGCAATTCTTGAAAATTTTAGCTCGCGTTTTGCAGATTGAGCCGAAGTATTCAACGATCTTTGCGACAACAGACTATGGAATTTGAGGAAGGAAGCCCAGAGAAAACCAATTTTTTTCTGACCTTCTTTCTTCATTTTCCATAATGTCTTGCCTGCAAAGACCGTTGAGTGCTTCGGCTCAATCTGCAAAGCTCGAGCTAAAATTTTCAAAAATTGATTTATGACGGAGATAGACTGTAATTTTTGGTCTCGAAAATATCAGTCTGTCGGGAAAATAATGAGCCTTCTGCCGAACAAAAACCGCGGAGGAAATGAATTGTGTCGCGGAGAAAATCAAATTGCTTTTCACTTCAGCGACACGATGGGCGATGCGACATTGAGCTCATTATTTTCCCGACAGACTGATATTTAGTCTAGGCTATATTCTCATACCCCTATCGTTTCTCCATCCCAGAAAATTATTTTTTTTTCCAACTTACCCATCCTGGACCACCTGATGTCCTCTCACCACCATGTCCACATCCATCAGTTGTAATTTCTCATTCAACGCGTCCTCTCCGAAGCAGACGCTCGCTCCTCGCTTATTCGGTATGAATCCCTTGATTCCGGGCAGCGGGTCGGACCACAACAGGTCCATCTCGATGGTCTGACCGGCCGGCTCCAACGGCCGCTTGATGTTCCGCATCTGGTCCAGGGTCCGCGCGTTCGGCGCGATCCCGCCGTGCATGCACAGAATGCGGTCGCCAATCAGCGCCGTCAGCGGCATATAGCTGAAGGTGTCGCTGAAGGCGGCGTACAGCCGCGCCGAGTAGCGGCGTTGGCACTCCTCGTTGAAGCCGTACATCTGGTTGACGGCCCTGGTTTCGTGGTTGCCGCGCAACAAAAACACATTGTACGGGTACTTGAGCTTGTAGCAGAACAGAAGCGAGACCGTCTCGATGCTGTTCGGGCCTCTGTCGACATAGTCGCCTAAAAATTTTTGATGAAATTTGCATAAATATTCATTTTTTGGCATATTTTTTGGAAAAGTTTGACTGGAAAGTCGAAAAAATATGATTTCAAATTGAAAAATTCATTCAAAAACCTTGTTTTTGAGTCAGTTTCTTTCTGAAATTCCGTGAAAAATACGAATCTGTGTTGTTTAATCAAACCAAAAAAGCCAAAAATGTCTTTTTACTCAGTAATGTTCCTTGTAATCAAGCTAAAATTTATTCGATTGCCTGGTAAAATACGATTGCGTGCAGATCAAAAAACGGCCGAGGCTACTTTTTTGAGACTTTCTTGAAAATTTCAGTCAATAATGACGTCACTAATACAGAAAAATTAGGGATCATGTTTTTTGAGAGACCACACAGAAATAGCCTAAATTCCCCAGCCAAAAAGGAAAGGGTAGATCAGAGGTAAGCTGGCTCTTTCATTCTATCTTCGGATTAATTTCCCAAGTTAAAGGTTAGCTTGAGATTCCAGCTCCTGAAAAGTGTGGCTGAAAAAGAAAATTTTGGAAAGTTTGACAAAAAAGTCGAACAAATATCAATTCAAATGTATTTTAATTCATGATGTACCACCTAAAATACGGTTCTGATTTCTTTATTCAAATCAAAAAAGTCAAAAATGCGTACGCCACTTGAGATTCCAAGGACGTCTCCGATCCAAGTACTAATCAAGCGCACCGTTGCTTAACTTGCCAGATCGGACGGGATGGCGTGCTTTCAACGGGCTATGGGCGTACACACTCTCTTCCCTTTCCACTTTTGATTCTTTTCCCTGCAATTCCACCCAGTCCACGGCCGTGGCTATTTTTTCGAGATTTTCTTGAAAATTTCAGTCAATAGTGACGTCATTAATACAGAAAAATTAGAGAGTATGCTTTTGGAGAGACCACACAGAAAAAGCGTAAATTCCCCAGCCAAAAAGGAAAGGGTGGATCAGAGGTAAGCTGGCTCTTTCATTCTATCTTCGGATTAATTTCCCAAGTTAAAGGTTAGCTTGAGATTCCAGCTCCTGAAAGTGTGGCTGAACATGAAAATTTTGGGAAGTTTGACTAAAAAGTCGAACAAAAATATCAATTCAAATGTATTTTAATTCATGATATACCATCTGAAATACGGTTCTGATTTCTCTATTCAAATCAAAAAAGTCAAAAATGCGTACGCCACTTGAGATTCCAAGGACGTCTCCGATCCAAGTACTAATCAAGCGCACCGTTGCTTAACTTGCCAGATCGGACGGGATGGCGTGCTTTCAACGGGCTATGGGCGTACACACTCCCTTCTCTTTCCACTGGCAACAAGTATGGGAGAATGTTCAAAATGCACTGCGCAAAAGTGCATTTTGATTTGTCCATGCACTTTATGAAAATATTTCGATTTTTTTTTCATTTTTCTTTTTAAAAATCCATTTTTTCGCCTCAAAACCCCCTCCCTAAACCCACCTAGAAACAAATAATTCGAGTCCGGCGGGAATCCGCACTTGTCGAAGAGTCGCAACAGGTCCCCATATTGCCCATGAATGTCGCCACAAACGTTGACCGGCCCGTCCAGCTCCACCATCATCTCCTGTTCGCGGAACACCTCCAGCGCGCCGTGGCAGATCTTCACCAACGCACTCTCACGCACCGTCTTCGTCAGGCCGTGCTGCCCGCAGCAGAGCAGGTCGCAGATGAGGTCGTCCAACTCCGAACCGTCGAACCTCACCACTCGTTCGCATGACATTTAGCGGAAGCGGTACGGCCGACCGTTTTGGTGGTGAAAATAGTGAAAATAAAAGGGTGTTTTCATTTTGAAAACACTGAAGTTGAAAAATGCAAATATCAGAATTTTAAAAAAAATTTGGAGATTGTAAAATACGGGTTGCAAAAAAACAGGGTCCAATTTGTGACAAAAAAACGTGTCATTTTGTATCCGGGAAGTATCAAAAAATGTAGCAAAATAAATACCTCCCCTTCCAAGTGAAAAAACTTCGTTTTGAAGGGCTTCCCCTCACAAAAAGAGCGGGCTTTTGAAATCGGAGTTATTTCCACTTGGAGATGGAGGGATTTTGCTTCATTTTGGGATACTTCCAAGATGCAAAATGGTACGTTTTTTGCCACTGGACCCCACTGAAGTTAGCGAAAACCTCACAAACAGTTTAAAACTAAAAACCCGAATGCCAATTTAACCTAACTTTACTTTGGCCATTATTTTTTACAATGACAAAAAAATTTTTTTTTTTTTTTTCAATTTCAACACATACTACAATTTATTTTTTTGCTAGTATGTTTCAACTTTCAGGTCCGGTCCGTCACAAATTTGCGTCGGTCCGGGCCGGCGCGATCTGGGGGCCATGTCTAGACGCGAAAAATTGAGCTTTTGACCTTCCCGCTAGTTTTTGCACCTCTTCCAAGGATATTTTATTGATTGCTAACCATTTCTTAATCATCATCCCATCTACGTGTTTGCAATAAAAATCTGAGCCGGTTTGATTTGTCGATGATACAGAGCTGTTATGGTATAAAGAGCCCAAATTTCAAATCAAAAATTAAAATCATGCTGATTTTTTTCGTACTGTTTGTGGCTGCAGCTGCCGCTGTTCCGAGCCCAGATCGGAAAGTCAAAAATGAAGAGTCCCGTGATGCGCTTGAAGTTGAAAATGGAAACTTTACCAAATTGTTGGAGAAATTGTAAGAAAAAATAACAAGGGAGTGCGAAGTGCAACGCTCAGATTTTCTTTTGATTTTGCACACATGTTGGGTATAGGCAACATATCAATTCCTGAAAGTTTTAGCTTGCGCTTTGTTGGGAAAGCCGAGATATTCAACGGTCTTTGCGATCGAGAGAGTACGAGAAACGCGGAGAGCGGTCAGAGAAAATACCTTTTGTCTATACCTTTGCCAATTTTGTGCGGAACGAATTGGTTTTTTTCGTGGAAGCACGAATCCCCAAGACGGTTTGTCCCCAAGAGTGATAGTGCTATATAGTACCACTTCGTACTATACAGTACCAAGTGCTAAAACACGTTTTTTGAGCAGTACCGGGCACCAAATCAACAGCATTAACATGTGAAGGGATAGTTTTTAATTGTGCTATCATGTGCTAATATGTAGTATCTCAATTACTCTGCAGTTTGTATCAATGGCCACAATGCGCCCAGCTATTTTCCCGAAAACTAACTTCTTTGACGTTATCACCTTCAGCGCTCCACAGCATCGTGACGGCATCGCCGACCTTCTGCGTTGTGCCGCCCTCAATTCGACCGAAATATTGGAGAAATTCGCGTCATTGGTTCTGGAGTCAGAACCACCCATATTCGAGTTCATCATTCCCGGTTATCTGGAGCCATGGCAGGCCAAATGCTTCACGGAATCCAACGACAAGTTCATTGTGGCATTGTTTAATTTGCTCAATGCGTTGGAGGGGCACTACGGCCCTCAGGTGGATAATAGAGCCAAAATTTTCCCGCTCTTTGTGGCCTACACTGATCTGTGTCATAAAGAGTGAGTAATCGGGTATTGCAAGTACACTTTTCTTGTTAGTCCAAAATTTCCTCCTACAGTAGGGGGGACATTTTATAGGATGGAAAATTTTCTCAATTTGATATACAGTTAGGGACCTGATCTAGTGACAAAAAACGTATCATTTTGCATCCGGGAAGTATAAAAAATGCGACAAAATGCTCACAAAAACAACGGGCGCGCTTTTGAAACCCGAATTTTTTCACTTGGAGATGGAGGTATTTTGCTACATTTTTGATACTTTTCGGATGCAAAATGGTACTTTTTTTGCCACTGGATCAGGTTCCTCACTGTAGTCCAAAATAAACCACCAAATACTTTTCGGCGAATCAATTTTTAGCTCCCTAACAATTCGTTATCCGAAGATTTCATTGCATTTTCATCCCATTTTCAGCCACAAATTTGCGTTGCCCTGCAAAAACGACTTGCAGTTCATTCGTGAGAATGTACGGGACCAACACACTGTAAGAAAAGATGTGGAACGGCACTACAGAGCGGTTGAACTGACCGGAGCCTTGTCCTACGTCGTCGCTAATTTGATTCCAGGAGAGTAAGTGACGAAGAAGCAAAATGCACGGGTTTAGGTTGTGTAAATTCGACCTGGAAGGACGACTGAATCCAAGCGTTTTCACGCGCAAGTTTGACCCTAAAGAACCGGCAATTCAAACTTGTAAAGCCGGGGACTTCGATAATACCATCTTCCTGGCGAGTGGTGCCTTCCTCTGAAAAGATTGTTCAGCTTTGTAAAATAAAGTCAATTTTTTTGTTCCTCGTCGTAGAAACCAATTTCCAATACTTCAAATTTTCACGGGTTTGCTTGCCATTTTTATATCAACGTGTAAAATGGGTACCATTCGTCAAAACATAAGAACATAATAACAAAAATTGATTCGTCAACATTCAATCAAGAATTGATTCATTTCTTGATGATTTGTCAGCTCATCTTTTCCTTGTAAAAGCTCGACATTCCGATTTGAATTTGTCAATCATGTTGGTGTTCTTGGTCTTGCTAGCACCAGGCTTGTTGGCGTTTCAAGCGAAGAATCAAGTGGACAGCAGTCTTGCCCATGTAATCCGACGGTATTTGTAAGTTTTTTCTGGCCGACAACAGTTCGGGTCAGCATAAACCCGATCGATACCAGGCGGAGAGAGGTTGTAGGAGGTGCCTACGAGGCCTGCTAAAGCCCTTGGATGGGCGGCGGATGCTCGGCGTAGGCTCGGCGGAGACTTGGAGAAGGCTTACATGCGTCCACTTTTTCTAATTGTAACTATTACTATATAACGTTTGTTTTCTCTACCCCGAGTTGTTGTAAAATATAAAAGATCAAAATTTGCGGCAAAAAACGAAGATCCGTTAACTTTATCCAGATATTATTGATGTCAGTACATGTCAAATACCTCAAAATTGGTGATAAACTGTCCTAGTACGTGGCCAATCTTACATATTATTTCTGTTAACTGGCCTCCTCCTAGCCTCCCTGTGGCAAGGAGAAAGCTCAGTTAAAAATTCCCGAACACCTTTGCTCGTTTTAAGTGCTCCCGAGCACCGCGAAGATGTGATTCGTCTCTTCGAATGCTTGGCCAACACTCCCGTCAACATAACACTGCGCAATGTGATGGACACGCTTCCACAGCCCAAACCGAAGACCATTTCCTTCATCTACTTGATTTCCGACGCAAGATTAAGAGCCGAAAAATATGCGGAAGCCAGGGAATGCTTCGACAAGTCGGAGAACAAATTCATTATTGCCCTAGGGCAGTTGACGATCGAGATGGTTAACGTGGGCCACAAAGAGGACTTTGTTCGAGCAATGATTGAAAATCTTCTTGAACAAGTTAAAGATCATTGCAATAGAACGTAAGATCTTTACGTCGGTCTGTCGGGAAAATGATGATTGCGGATGTGCTACGGTTATTTATACCGTAGTGTGTAATGTCTCCACCAAAAATCAAGATTTTGCGGCGCCGCGATTTTTGACACGACATTATTTTCCCGACGGACTGATAGTTTAATTATAACCACAAAGGTTTGACTCTATTGTTTAGCATTCAGAACACATGTAAAGAAGATTTCATCCGAGGCGAAGGTCGAAGCGAAGTGCAAAGAATCGAAAAAGACTTCCGGTTTACTAAATTAGTCAGCGCCATCTCTTTCGTTGGTTTGGAGTTGACTCGTGAAGGGTGAGCGACAGTAATCCCTGGGACAAACAATAACTTAGGTTGTGCGACTTTGGATTGAAAGGAAAATTGAATCCAAAGTTGTTTACGAACGACTTTGGCGCTGACGATTTAGTTGTCGTGGAATGCGACTCCACGGAATATTTGAAACAAAAGTTTGGCGACGACTTGGAAGGCACCCCGACGGAGGATGACTGGAAGTTGGTGACATACGTCAGCCATTAGTAAGTTATAATAAGAACGACTAGCACTAATAATCTGCGGTTTTCAGCCCGAGCGCTCATCGGCAAGGCGTCCGAAAACTGATTCAATGCTTCTTCAACAGGTCAACGGAGAAGACGCTGGACGAATTCGCCAGGAGAAGCGAGGACCCACACGACCCTGTCTTTTACAAGTATCCAGTCGTCTACCACCTGCTGGAAGCTGCTATATACGCTACCGAAAAAGGACCTTCCGCTGCGGCCTGCTTTTTGGGCTCGAAGGACAAGCATGTTGTGGCGCTTGGAAATGTGGCCAAAGCGCTGATTCTTCATGACCGTCAGTGGCCGGAAAAACGGCTCGACCTGGCCGGGGTTCTCTTCACCTACAACGAAACGTGTCGTCATAAGTAGGCGATAATTTTTTGGCTGAAAATATCAGTTTGTTGGGAAAATAATGACCACTCAGTCGCATCAAAAATCGCATCGAGAAAATGAATTGTGCCGCGGAAAAAATCAAATTGCTTTTCTCATCAGCGACGTGATTTTCGCAGCGACAGAGTGCTCATTACTTTCCCGACAGACTGATATCCCGTTTTTCCAGCCCAAAATTCAAGTTGCCCTGCTTGAAAGACTTGGAGTTCTTGCCCGAAAACGGGTTCCGTGATCACCGCTCCGAAGCTGTGGCTCATCACCGAGCCGTTGAGCTGACCGGCGCTCTCTCTTACCTTGGCGCTGAATTGGGCGGTAAAGGGTGAGTTCGACTATAGCTAAGGGCTCTTGTTCATGTATATAGATTTTGCAAGTTTGATCTGGAAGGAAGACTGGACCCCAGCGTTTTTACCAATGACTTTTATCATGATGACCCCGTCATTTCCGGATGTGACGCAGAAGATTATACCGCCATCGTCTCGCTGGCTCAGGGTGCCTTCCTTTAAATGTTTTGACTATCAATACGTTCTTATTTATCATCAATAAATGAGATTATTTTAAAGCTGAAATTAACCAGAAAAATCACCAAGAAATATGTCCTTGAAAGGGGTCCTCCTGCTCGGCAAATCGATGTTTTGCGGGTTTCAGGCGAAAATAATAAAACGTGCGGTTAACCGTGTAGTAGTACTTATACAGAATATCAAACACAGTAGGACACTTTCTACCGCCCTGTTTAGGACCAAGATTTGAAGCGATTTGAAGCTCAAAATTTTCATAATTTATACTATGCGTATACGGTGCCAATGTGAGGATGTGACTTTCTGCAGGAGATTATGCGACCATAATTGACATTTTAGAACGATAAAATGGGTAACCCAACCCAAAAAATAAATTTTTTCGCAAATTTGGCCGTAATTTCTGGCTCAATAAGAATTTTTTTCATTTTCAGTTTAGCGATGAAAATCAGTATGTCGTTGAGATCTTGACTCCTCGCAACATCTGAAAATACGAAAACCAACCCTGTTCCAAACTTTTGTCCCACCTATTTTTACGAATTTTTTGTTTTGCTCATATGAGCATTCTGATTTATACGGCTATGAATTCATTCCGGGTTTTAATACATTCCGATTCTAACAGAAAAGAAATGAAACTCCGATCTCAAGCCGCAAAGAAAATCTAGCCTGTTCCAAAGTTTAGTCCCGGAGTATAGGTTGTGTAAATTCGAGCTGGAAGGACGACTGAATCCAAGCGTTTTCACGCGCAAGTTTGATCCTAAAGAACCGGTAATTCAAACTTGTAAAGCCGAGAACTTCGATAACACCATTTTCCTGGCGAGCGGTGCCTTCCTCTGAAAAGATCGTTCAGCATTGTAAAATAAAGGCTATTTTTTGTTGTTTCTAACTAATTTCCAATACTTCAAAATAATCAAATATCAGTATGTCGGGAAAATAATATAGATTTGTCGCAGCAAAATGTCTCATCTCGTCGCAGAAAATGCGCAATTTTGTTTGAGAGCAGCAGCCAAAATTTATACCGGGTTGATTGCGATTTTTTGCACCATCGTGCAAAATTTTTTGTATTCGTCAGAATCCAATCAAAAATTGATTCATTTCTGGATGATTTGTCAGCTCATCTTTTCCTTATAAAAGCTCGGAATTTTGCCTTGAATTCATCAATCATGTTGGTGCTCTTGCTCTTGCTAGCACCAGCCTTGTTGGCTTCCCAGCGAAGAATCAAGTGGACCGCAGTATTGCCCAAGAAATCAGAGAGAATTTGTAAGTTTTTTTTGACAAGGAAAATGCTTCTATGGGGTGTGGAGTTACAGGTCGATGCATATGTCAAACAAATCGCAATATTTTTCTGATTCAGAATATGTAAAAAGAAGCTGCTCAATTTTGGTTTGTAAGGGCGAAAATCCATACCCTGTAGAAGTACCTTCCTTGTGGGATTACTCCATTTTTTCAGTGCCCCCGAACACCGTGAAGATGTGATCGCTCTCTTCGAATGCTTGGCCAACACTCCCGTCAACATAACTCGGCGCAGTGTGTTGGAGTCGCTTCCACGGCGCCGACCGAAACTCGTTTCATCCATCTACCTTATTTCCGACGCAAGACTAAGAGCCGAAGGGTATTCGGAAGCCAAGGAATGCTTCGACAAGTCGGAAAACAAATTCATCATTGCCCAAGGGCACTTGACGATGGGGATGGTTAGGCTGGGCTTCAAAGAGGAGCTTGTTCGAAACATATTAGCAAATCTTCGTGAAGAGGTTAGAGATCATTGCAATAAAATGTAAGACCTTTTTATTTTTGCGACAAAGAAAGCAACCCCGTGGTAATTTTTCTTCTCAACTTTACTTGCTCGCCACCTGGTGGTTGCCCAAAAAAAAAATAGCGGAAATGGACTCAATGCAGGATTATGGCTAAGACACATTCTTAGTCGGTTCGCCGGTGTATGGCGGAGGCCAGGAGAATAGTAGAAAGTCGGAGGCTTTAACTTTCGGAGGAGACGGCGCAGAGACTTCGTTTTTGGAATATGTATTTTTGAGCGACATTAATTTTTGTCTATGAAATAACAACATTTTAGAATGCAAACTGAGGTCGCTACGACATTTTGAAGTAGGGCCCTTTTACCCCGAAAACCAGTTTTTCGGTTGAAAATCACCAAGAAATGTGGAATTTTTTCGACTGTTTCGATCGATTTGATGTGAAAACAGGAAAAGAAATTTCCAACACGTTGCAAATTACGCTAAAATCACGCTACCCTTCGCTTGGGGCCATTTGCGGCTTTTCATTTGGGGATTTCGGGGACCTGTGGATTTCGGGGACCATATTGCGCAATTTGAGACAAGAGTTCCGCATTTCTTGTCTAGGGGGCCCACAGACAATAAATTCGGGTTTTCTGTTTAGCATTCATAATACATGCAAAGCGGACTTCGTCCGAGCTGAAACTCGAAACAAACCGCACATTGTTGAAGAAGCCAAAAAACTTTACGGATTGCTCGAATTGTTCAGCGCCACCTCTTTCGTTGGCTCCGAATTGACTCGTGAAGGGTAGGTAATCCATGGGAGGCTGTAATTTATTTTTTTATATAGGCTGTGCGACTACGGCTTGAAAGGAAAATTGAATCCCAAGTTGTTTACGAACGACTTTGCCGATGATGATTTAGTTGTCGTGGAATGCGACTCCACGGAATATTTGAAACAAACGTTTGGCGACGACTTTGAAGGTACCCCGACGGAGGATGACTGGAAGTTGGTGACATACGTCAGCCATTAGTAAGTCATAATATATACGTATTTTCATAAAGTGCGTGGACATTTGTCGCGCTCCGCACCGTGCAAAAAAATCACCAATTTTCTGGAATGACTAGTCTTAATTATTTGCGGCTTTCAGCCCGAGCGCTCATCGGCAAGGCGTCCGAAAACTGATTCAATGCTTCTTGAACGGATCAACGGAGAAGACGCTGGACGAGTTCGCCAGGAGAAGCGAGAACCCACATGACCGGGTCTTGTACCCTGATCCAGTCGTCTACCACCTGATGGAAACTGCTGTAAAGGCTATCGACAAAGGATCTTCGGCTGTGGCCTGCTTTTTCGACTCGAAGGACAAGCATGTTGTGGCGCTTGGAAATGTGGCTAAAGCCCTGGTTGTTCATGACCGTCAATGGCCTGAAAAACACCTCGACATGGCCGCTGTTCTCTTGACCTACAACGAAACGTGTCGTCATAAGTAGGCGATAATTTTTTTGGCTGAAAATATTAGCTTGTTGGGAAAATAATGAGCACTCTGTCGCGAGAAAATCGCATCGAAAAAAATGAATTGTGTTGCGACGAAAATCGAATTGCTTTTCGCATCAGCAACGTGATTTTCGCAGCGACAGAGCGCTCATTATTTTCCCGACAGCCTGATATCCCGTTTTTCCAGCCCAAAATTCAAGTTGCCCTGCTTGAAAGACTTGGAGTTCTTGCCCGAACACGGGTTCCGTGATCACCGCTCCGAAGTTGTGGCTCATCACAGAGTCGTTGAGCTGACCGGCGCTCTCTCTTACCTTGGCGCTGAATTGGGCGGCAGGGGGTGAGTTTGACCACAGAGGGCTTCTTATATATACATGTATATAGATTGTGCAAGTTTGATCTGGAAGGGAGACTGGACCCCAACGTTTTTACCAACGACTTTCATCGTGATGACCCCGTCATTTCCGGATGTGACGCTGAAGATTATACCGCCATCGTCTCGCTGGCTCAGGGTGCTTTTCTTTAAATATTTTGGTCTTGTATGCCATCAATACGTTCTTATTTGTCATCAATAAAAGTGATATTATTTTTTACTTGTTAAAATTGGAATTTTTGAAAATTTTTTCAAACTTTTCAATTTTTTCATTCAAAAACACTGCCAAAAAGTCCGATATTTGATCCGAGTTGACGATGCCTGGCCACTGCCAATCACCGTGTTTATCGATTATCGAATCCGCGAAGGAAATTACATATTATAAAATACTCTCAACATTTGGGAAATGGCACCATTGATCAATGGTTTAGTGGAAGTTTTGCCATCCGGAAGTCGGATCGGGTACAAGAGATTTGCGTTCAGGTGAGTTGGCCTTCAAGGGGAATCAAAAATGAGTCTCCCCTATTTTGAGCTAGTCTGGCGTGGCTCGCGCAACCGTTTCCGCCTCTGCCGCACATTCCTACAACCAGGTGAATGTCCGTTCCCACCAAGTTCCGAGTCCTTGCCAACGTTCTCTGTATTTCCTCTACTTTCAGCTTTTGCCTTACCGCTTCTCCGTCACGTAACATAATTTGTAATATCCGATCTTTTTTACTGCCATTTCTTTGTGATTTCTTGGAAAAATAAAATTTTATAATAAACTGTACGTCCATTTTTTCTGCCTTGACCAATGACAGAAAATTTCAATTTAAATAAGCCAACAATCAGAAAATCTCTGTCAGAAATCAAGACTGATTACGACAGAGAAAATCCACGAACAGGGTATATAAGCCCGCAGAAAGCTGCTTCAAATCACTCGACTTGTAACCTCCTCATCGACCTTGTAACACCGTTCAATTTGGAAAATGGCCTCCGATGCTTCTACTCCAGCGACTTCCACTTGCTTTGAAGAAGTTGTCGACATGCTGGAAGATGAACTTGTGGAGTTGACCGATTTGGAAAAGAAGCGACATGATGAAACAGTCGCTACCATTGAGGAATTGGTCGACTCTTTGGAGGAAACATGGATCCTCGAATTTCACGAGGAAGATGAAGTCTCAGAATTAAGATCGATGATCTTAACAATGATTCATAAGTGAGTTTATTAATTCGTGTGAACTTCAATGTGAATAAGATGCCCGTCTTAATATATCTCTAAATTTCAATTTTTTCAGTGCTGCCAACAAACTTTTGGTGCGCTCGGAGAAGACGCACCTTGAAAACGACGTATGCGCAATATGCCTCGAAGAAAAGACCCGAGATTCAGTTTACTGCTTACAGTGTCTAAAAGTTGTCAGCTGTAAGTGCTGCATGGTAGAACTGATCAAAAATAGGAAAGACGAACACTTCCTGAAATGCCTCAGGTGTCAACGGAAAAGTCCCACCGAATTACCGTTATTCGATTGTGTGAATTTGTAATATGTATATATTTGTAGCTTAATATAAATTGGAACATGTAAAAATTTTAATAAATTCTAAAAGATAAAATATTTATGATTTTCTGACAATGGATATATAAAATACATATTTTATTAAAATATATCTCCGCAAAGGCCTCAGAATATCTACTCTCTCCATAAATTCCATCGAGTTGACACATTGTGGATAACTCCAGACGCCGTGGAATCTGACAGGCCCGGAGCCATGCCTACGCAAAGGTCGTTGAATATCTCATATGGTTTTGAAAAGGGCTGAAACTGGGTTTTTTCATTCGCACTGTGCTGACTGTTTATTAGGCAAAGCCACCTCGCGGCGACGACCGCAATGGGCCGAGACCCTTTTGGCCCACCTAGCACAAGTGTTTCGCCTATGTTTTTTTACAAAAATCTATTGATTTGCAGAGAACAATTAGTGATGATTTGAAACGGCGTTAATACCAAGCCAACACATTTTAATTATTTTTCAAAAAAAAGATCAAATATGCAAAATGCCATTTTGCAATCGAAAATGAGTCATCAGATAGAATAATGAAGATTTTGGAGGTATAAAACCGCAAAGATGCAGCGGAAATGGTCATAATCAAAAAATGATTGCAATTCTGTTGGTGTTGGTTGGAGCGGCCTCCGCAGCGACTGTAACGCCAATCGCTGAGGACCCAGTGGAAGCGGTATGTAGATTGTTGTAAGTGCAAAAAAAAGTATTGGTAAGTATCAGTCTGTCGGGAAAATAATGACCCTACTGACGTTGCGCCGATCGCGTCGCTGAAGTGAAAAGCAATTTTTTTTTGCCGCGACACAATTCATTTTCTCAGCGGCGATGCGATTTTCGATGCGACAGAGTGGGGGGTTATTTTCCCGACATGCTGATAATAAGCGATGACAGCGACTTTAACGTCCTTTTTCAAACTTCAGCCCCGCTGAGCGCAGAGAGGGAATTCGCGGCCTAGTGGATTGCGTTTACGGTGCAAACATAACCGCAAAACACGTGGTTTACCATATTTTCCTCCACAAACATAAACCCCCGTTCATTTCGTTGGTCGAGACGGCGGAATCGGACGAATGGAGAAGATGTCTGATCCAAGCGAACGACAGTCTTCTAGTCGCCGTTGGAAACGTTGGCGGCGAGTTCGCAAGACTCGCATTGGATGGGAAGACGCCCGTTACGCGGGAGGACGCTGGCTACGAGCCTGCCGACGTGCTCGACGTCTACCATGAGATTTGCAACACCACGTAGGATTTTATTTGCTTTAAAACCAAAAAAAAACGACGCTTTGAAGAGCGTTTTTGCGCTTCTTTCTTTCTTTTGGCTTTCCGTACTTGCGGAAAATTTTTTTTTTTCACGGAAAAGGAGAAAGGGAGAATTGTTAGATAAGGTAGGTACTTTGCGACAATTTGGTTGATGCTAAATGGGATGTTTTTTGCCGCTGGATCAGATCCGCCACTGTTGAGGACAATCTCACGATTTTTTAACTTTGTGACACCATTTTTTCTATGAGGAAGAGACTTGATTCAAAGTTGGGTCAAGTCTTTCTTTCGGTGAAAATGGCCAAAATCCTTGTTTAAAGTTGTCCACCGACAAATTTCAGCCCCAGCTTCTCGCTTCCATGCCTGTGGGAAGAAGGAACGGTTAGTGGAATAAATGAAAACGCTCTGCGCCGTCATTACCGTCTGCTCGAGTTCTACGGCGCTTTTTCTTTTCTGGGCGAACAGTTCAACCCGGGAAGGTGAGTGGACTAGCAACTTTTTTGAAAGCTAACATGATGTACTCAGCTCTGATAAAAACTCTTTTTTTAGGTTCTGCAGTTTCGACCTGGCCGACAAATTGAACCCGACCGTTTACACAGACGGTTGGAAGGCCGGAGACCCTATTATCACAAAATGCTTTGAAAGCGACGCAAAGAATCTGGTCTTCTTGGTGAACGCGGTGATGCTCTAAAACGCTAAAAATTGCCCTTAATTGCAACGCTCAAATTTTCTTTTTTAAAATTAAAGTTTTGCACTTATGTTGGGAATAGTCCACATATCAATTGCTGAAAGTTTTAGCTCACGCTTTACATGGAGAGCCGAGAGATTCAAAAATCTTTGCGGTGGAGAGAGTGCACGAAATGCGGAGTGCGATCAGAGAGAAAAAGCAATTTTTAGCTATATCTTTGCCAATATGTAGAGAGTAGTGATTCCACAAAAAATTAAGTGTTTCCGCACGCAGATGGCAAAGATATGACCTAAAAAGTGTTGTTTTCTCTCTGACCGCTCTCCACATTTGGCGTGCTCTCTCGGCCCCAAAGATTGTTGAATATCTCGGCTGTACCTGCAAAGGGTGAGTTAAAATTTTCAGGAATCGATATGTGGTGTATGGTCAACGTATGTGCAAAAGTTAAAGAAAATCTGAGCGTCGCACTTTGAACACTTCCCCCTCTAAACCAATGTTTTTTTTTGAAAAATTTAAATGGAAAAGTAAATAAATTCGATTGCTGCAGGCCACAGGATTCTTCGTTCTTCGCAAACTTAGTCTTTGAAGAAGACGTTCACATAGTATGAATAACCAAATGTAATTGAATTTATTCATAGAGTCGAGAGAAAAACTTTGATTCATGGGCTGTATAGACTATATAAACAACTGAAATTGTCCAAAAAACCACGTTAAACTTCAACATGGCTGATCAACTGGCTCTTCTTGTTACGGCGCTCTTGACTGACCTTCACGCCAATTCCACAGCTGAGCTGGCCGTTCAGCCGGAAGTCCCAACATTGTGAGTAAATGGCTACTACTCCACTTTTTTTAAAAGAGAGGTGCTTAATGTGCGGCGCTCAGATTTTGCTCAAACTTGGCACAAATTAAAACTATAATAATTCTTCATGAAAATTTACGCACCTATTTCTAGTATAGATGGTAATCCTTACTGGGGATCTAGTGGATGTTGAAGGCCTCAGACAGCGTAAGAATAATCTGACTTCCAAAGTGTTTACGGACCCAGAGGGCAGAGTTATGGCTCATCAAACTTCACGGAAAAAAACCCACCGAAAAGACCTTCCAAAAAACTGGGTTCAGGCCTTCAATAACCGCCCCAGAAAAGCTATCCGTTTGCGAAATTTCCAAAGCCCGGCCCGGTCCCTGCCATGTCTGCACATTGCTTTTCACTTCAGCGGCACAATCAGTGCAGCGACATTGTGCTCATTACTTTTCTGACACACTAATACCCTTACTAGCGCCTCTAATACAAACTTTTTTCAGCGCTTCCCACCACTCCGGCGCCGTTGACTCTCTGTTGGACTGTTTTGGAAGACAATACCCCGATCTCGGTACTCAAGGAGTTTCTCGTATTCTGTTCAGCCACAAACAATCCCCATCGTTCTATGGGGTTGTTCGAGCGACGAAACAGCCTTCTCTGCTTCATTGCTTCGCCAACTCCAGCGACAAGTACATTGTAGCTGTCGGGAACTTGGGACCGCAATTTTTGGACTTGATCGAGGAGACGGACGGCCCATCCAAAGGATATACCGCACATGATGTGCTGGACATGTACAAGGACACTTGCCAGGAGAAGTAGGTGATACAAAGACTTCAGTCAAGCCTTTACACACCCAAAAATTCCTAAAAGTTTTAGCTCGCGATTGGCCTGTTTATAACGAAAGTTTCGGAGGAAGTGTCAAATTTTAGACTATGACCCAATAAGGAGAGCCTTTCTATTAGTCTGTCGGGAAAATAACGGGGGATTGTCGCACGAAAATGTTGGCCTTGTCGCAGTCGCCCAGCAAATCCCCAATTTGGTGGGTGCAAAAGCGATGATGGGCGATTCCAAAGCGAGACGAATCCAAATTATTTTCCCGACAGACTGATATTAGACGGCTCAAAAAATCTTTACATGTCTACACGATGCAAAGGCCTTGTCGCATCTCAGAATACGGCGAGGAGGAAAAATTCACAGCGCTTCCTGTGCATGGTACAATCGGAAGTCCAAAAAGTTCTATCGCCACTTCTGTCGCGCGATGAAACTTCGCAGTGCAATTTTTAAAAACGTTAGCGACTTGTATCAAGCTTGCACTGTATCTTTTTTTGGTCCCTTGCAATCCAGTGTGCAGAGATTTGACTGTATTCAGAGATACCACGCATTCCTCTTTTTTCAACTCTCTTTTTAGTCATCGTTTCCGCCTGCCATGCCGAAAAGAGCTTCAGAAACTACGTGAAAACTCCATCCATGGACACCCGATTCGGTCTCAGGTGGAGAAACATTTCAACTTACTTGAGACGCTAGCTGCGCTGTCTTATATCGGCGAAGAACTCAATCCCGGAAGGTCAGCAAATTTTTAACCACAATTTTTGTAAAATTTTTTGAAGCAAATATTCTTTAGCTTCTGCAAACTGGACTTGGAAGGAAGACTGAACAAGAAAATCTTCACTCGTTACTGGAAACCCCAATACAACGTTATCGAAAAATGTGAGGCCGAGGACGCGGACAACATTCTGTTTTTGGCCCACTCTGTTCTTCTTTGAATGTGAAAATTTTGCATGAACCCAAAAGATAATCCAATAAAAAAGAAGTTTTTTTTTATTTACACGGCAGTGTCTTGACATTCTGTAATGCTATACGAGGTTTAGATACAAGCTTATAGTTTTCCCACAACGCGTCCCAAGCAATCACGGGTTTCGTACAAGTGATACGGCTCTTGGGAGATTGAGCGCCCTCTGGCTCCGTCTCGTCTGAAAAGGCGAAATTAGGCTGTCTGTCAAAGAAACTAGCTGCCTCTACATGGCATATATCGCTCCACAGCGGACCCAAATTGACTTATAAAAACATATAATGACTTATAATGAAATGATTTTTTTATAAGTCATTATCTGTTCTTATAAGTCATTTTAAATGACTTATATGTTCATATATGATTTTATAAGGGTTCTCTGTGCGCTCTTGTTGAATTGACTTATAATTTCATATATGTTTTTATAAGTCATTTTATTTATAACCGCACCGTGCAAAAAATGAACATTTATTTCAATCAATAACTCAAACAATTAAGCGGCACAAGTAGAATAAGACTTCAATGCACGAAGGACCTGAGATTTTTTGATGGGGCGTTCGTCGCTTCTGTAGGCGGCCGTAGATGTATATTATTGCTTCTAATGCTTCTGGTTTCACTGAAAATATTTGGAGATATTAGAAAAAAGTTTTTTTCGGGAAACTATAATATGAGTTCGGCTTAAACTCAATTTTTTATGCGTTACATACTAACAGTAAAACAGATGAATTTGAACTGCCTAAAAGGTTTCTGGCGGAAAAATTTTTAGACATGAAATTTGCGATATTGTACTAGGTCCAGGTGAATGTTATCAACCATACCTGAAGCTACCGGATGTCATCTTTCTATTCATCGTGTATACATTGTCCATTGGATTCCTCCATGACCATTTTTGTAGTTATCTAAAACCCAACGGGTTCACCTGGACCTAGTACAATATAACAAAACTTTGTCTTGAAGTTTTTTCGAGACCTCTGAAATGTGGAAAACAGTTAAAAAACACCTACCAAAATTGAGCAAATGGATCCTTTAGCAATCCGTTGGTTGATCGTGCATGTTTATACATCTTCTGGGGATGGATCTTCTTCAGGCTGGCATGCTCCCTGCACGGGAAGGCTATTACGTTCGGGACTTTTCATCTAAACACTCTAAACTCTTGCAAAACAAAAAAAGGCAGATTAAAAGCATCTTACTTTGATCGATCAGGTAGAAACACGTTACGACGTTCCAAAAATTTAGAATTTCTAAGTCCAGCTCACGCGTGCAATAAGCAAAAAGCGTATTTGGCGCTCAAAAGTTTTCTTTGCAAGTGACTTATATGTTATTATAAGTTCTTATTTGTTTTTATAAGTAAAGAGAAATAAGCCCCTCCTTTTTTGACGTTATTTTGACTTATAAGTCATTACCTGTTCAAATAAGTCGTTATATGTCTTTATAAGTCAATTTGGGTCCGCTGTGTCGAGACTTCAAAATATGTGTCTGTCCAAAAAATGTGTCATAATGACACGCATTTAAAGTGGGCCAGTGGCATAAACAACGGCTGTATATATATGGCTAGGAGTACTTTTCTAGAGTGCCCACAAAAAAAATTCAAGACTAAAAACTTTTACAATGATGCCGGATTTTCTGGATTCTTTGGGCGGCGAAGACTTTGCAGCGCCCAAAATTTCTAAACGCGCCCTAGGGAGTATACCTCTAACCATATACAGTGGCGCACCTGATCCAGTGGCAAGAAACGTACCATTTCGCATCCGGGAAGTATCAAAACATGTAGCAAAGTCCCTCTCCAAGTGAAAAACTCCGTTTTCAATAGGGTCTTTTTTGTGAGGGAAAGGCGCGCCCTTCAAGACGGAGTTTTTTTAGTCACAGAGGGAGGCATTTTGCTAAATTTTTTGATACTAGTCGGGACAAAAAGTCCTGATAATTTTGCACCGTGCGGATTTTGCGCGGTTTCTGTCGCACTCTGAAAAAACGATTTGTCGCTTCGAAAAATGGGAATCGCGCGCGACAATAAGGCAAAAACAAACAAAATGCACTGTGCAAATGCACTTTTCGGGTCAAATGCACCGTGCAAAACACTTTTTTTCGCGATTTTTGCAGCGACAACCCAAAACGTTCAAATCCGCACAGTGCAAAATTATCAGGACTTTTTGTCCCGACTAGTACTTCCCGGATTCGAAATTGTACGTTTTTTGCAACTGGATCAGGTCCGCCACTGTACATGGCTAGAAGTACTCCCTAGGGCTCGCTAAACTCCTTGCACAGAGATCCACAGTCGAACCTCTGGTAGAACGAATCGCAAGACACCAAAAATTTCGTTCGTTATGAAAGACTTTTGCTATACGGAGGTTCATTTCGGTATATGTCTCTCCCGGCCTCTAAATTTGTTTGCTATGCCCTTCTCTTACCTCCACGGGCTCGGCGATCTCGACAGTTCTCTTTCCCATTGCCTGAGGATATCGCTCTCATCCCGCGAACTTCTATAACTCCTCCCGCTTCTCTGTGTACTTCGACTTTGCCTGCCCGTATTCGGATTCGGCGAGTACACCAAATTAGGCCGTGTATAATCAGGACTGGCCGAGGTTGTTCGTCTTGTTCGATGCAACGACCGTGGCTGTCGTTGGTCGACCGGGTCCGTGCCTCGATTCACCAGACTCTCTCGGCTTGGCGTTCGAGCCACGTATCCGCGCCAATCCGGGTTTTGGTTGAAGTAGTTCGGATATTGATCAGGATTATATGCCCTCGACCCTTGAGGACTTCGACTGGGCAATGTGTTGCCTCGAGTGTCGACTTGAGGCCGGTAATTCCGACTGCCAACTGGAACTGAAGGAGTTCTGCGGCCTCTGGGGTCAGTTAGAGATGTTGTACTCCCTTGATAGCCTCGCGAATCTCTTGCCGGCTGAGATGGAGTCTGATAGGGTCGAGAATCACGTGGACGGGTAGATTGATAAGTTGGTGGCTGCGTTGTATAACCACGCGAGTCAGCGCGACTGCTGCTGGCTCTGCAACGAGAATAGTGGCGTTGGGAACAAAAAGGGCCGCGTAAAAAAGGTCTGTTGATAAAAACGGTCCGCCAACAAGACAAGTACTCCAATCGCAAAATTGTTTTCGCTTTCTGGTTTACAAGGGAAGTACCCCAAATGCGACGCTCAGATTTTGATGAAAATTAGCTTAAATTTAAACAATTTTTTCCAAAATATATACGACGATCCGGGCTCGTGCTTTGCGGAAACAGCCGAGATTTGTAAACCGAAAATCGACGAAAATTTGACACTTTTTACCGAATTTCGGCCTTACCTCGCATCGCCATAGCCCCGGGCTCCTCTCGGCGTGACATAGCCTCCATCAGCTCTATTCACATCCCCATCAACGCCTCTGCCCACCGACTCGGCCGGTTTCACATCGCCCGAGTACTGTAAAATGGGGGCGTACAGGTCGGAGAGGTTTGTTTGGCTTCCTCGCGTCAAGTAGGCGTATCCATCCTCATCGAAGCCAACTGCTCGATTTCGTTCGGTATTCAAATTGGTCGCCGGTTCGAGCATATCCACTGCTCTGGGCGCGGGCTTAGGCCGGGAGATTTCGGCATACGCCATCGATGAAATGGGAGTGGTGGTGGATGGAATGGGGGTGGTAATTGTTGAAATTGCGTCGTTTTTCGCTGTGGTTCGCTGAATTTCGATCGGAGAAGTGATGGTGGGCGCTGGGGATTGGACAGTGTAGGGGCTAAAAAACAAAAATTCAGTAAAAAAAAATCGAAAAAAATCCAAAAATTTTTGACTTTTCCTTATAAGGTACCCCAAGTGCGACGCTCAGATTTTCTTTAAATCTTTCACATACATTAGACATAGGCCACATATCAATTTCTGAAAGTTTTAGCTCGCTCTTTGCAGTGAGAGCCGAGAAAGTTTGCGGCCGAGAGAGTACGCGAAATGCGGAGAGCCGTCAGAGAAAATTCTCACTTTTTGGCCGTATCTTTGTTAATTTCGGGCGGAAAAAATAGATTTTTTGTGGAAACATCACACTCTACAGTAGAAACACACACAAAAATTTTCATGTCAAAATTTGAAAAAAAAATTGTAATTTTTTTTCCATATTTCGATTTAAAAACTCGGTCGTTTCTGCAGAGCGCGAGCTAGGATTCTCGCATATATTTTAGAAAAAATTATTCTAAGTATGTGCCGAGTTTAATCAAAATCTGAACGTCGCACTTTTGGGGACTTCCCTTGGGAATGATCTTTTCGCGAGAGAGCATGCAAAATGAGGAGAGTCGGCCTGACGGACAGACGAAAAATGTTATTTTGGCCGAAAACTCCCTGTATTTATATATTCGAGCCAAAAATCAAAAAAAAATATCATATTTTTTGCCTCCTTCTAACCCAAAAAAATCTCAAAGATATTGGCCAGAAACAAAAGTAAAAGTGTCAAAGTTAATCAAAATAACTCACACTGTCGGAGAAATTGTCCTTGTGACCTCTTCTTCGGCTCGAATCCTCTTTTCCGTCGACCGTTCACTGTAATTGGAGTTCATCTCGAAAACCTCTGGGTTCTCATTCCACTGCACGGTTTTAGTGGGGCTGACACTGCGCGCAGGCCTGGGGGCAAATTTGGTTTCGGTTCTGGAAAATATGGGTAAAAAATAAAAAAAAAAAAAAAAAAATTTTTTTTTGAAAATGCCGTTAAAATAATTAAAAATCACTCGTCTCCTAGTTATTGAACAAAAAAAATCGGAAAAAAAACGTTTTCCCGTCTAGCCGTCCGTTCTCATTTTTTTTTGTACTCTCTCTCCGGCCGAGATATCAACAATGTTTTCGGCCGAGAGAGTAAGCAAAACGCGGAGAGCGGTCAGAGAAAAATCCCACTTTTTGGTCATATCTTGGCCAGTTTCGCGCGGAAAAAAATGATTTTTTGTGTAAACATTACCCTCTACGGTAGAAATAAAAATGAAACTTTTCATGCCTAAATTCGCAAAAAAGTGTCGCATCTTTTGTAAAATTTCGGCCTAAAAATCGGTCTTTTTCTGAGCTAAGCTGGAAATTCTCTCGCATTGACTTACGTGCTAAATTTTTCGTACGGAGGTCCTTTCGCCGGTACGTAGGTGAACCTTTTTTGATCATCTCCAGGGGCTGGCGGAAGCTGATAAAAGTCGGTTTGCCCGTCGTTTTCCGATCGGAACACCTCAACAGTTGTGGTGGTCGTATTCGAATCTTTGAGGACATATTCTCGAGGAGTACCCTGGAAATAAGAAAAATTTTTTGGTGTTTAATTGAGGCTTGCGGTTCGCGTTATGCAGAAATTTTCGGAGTTTTTTGGCGAAAAAATAATCGAAAAAATAAAAAAAAATTCATTTTTGAAAAAAAAATTAACGAAAAATTTTAAAAAAACTATTTTTTTTGATAAAAAAGACCATAGAAATACCAAAAAAAAAATTTTTTTTCGACCTTACCCTTTCAAAAGTGTTCAATTTGAAGTCCAAATTCTTCAAAAATTCATCGGCATTTTGCGAAACGGTCCTTGGCAGCGGCTCCATTACAGTCGTAGTGCTGCCAAATTTATTGTCAAGCGTCCGGCAGCTGGCTCGGAAATCGGTGACGTCATAGCCATCGCCAATGGACGAGGATTGGGGCCGGGCCGCAATTGCATTCTAAAGGATTTTCAAAATATTTTCAACCATATCTTTGGCTGTTTTGCGTGGAAAAAATAGTTTTTTGCGGAAATAAAAACTAATTTGTATCAAGTTTCTAAAAAATCAGTATTCAAAAAAAAAAAAAAAAAAAAAAAAAAATTAAATTGTTTCAAATTTCGCCCAAAATCTCAGCTCTTTTTGAAAAGTAAAAGCTAAAAATGTTCCTAATTTTTTTTATTTTTTTATCTTACCGGTAAACTCATCGTCGACCCAGCCAAACTTTGTTGAAGTTCTTGGATTTGAGGCGGTTGAACAAATCCGAAATGCTGAATTCGACTGTTGACTCCATTTTGAATACCCGTCGTGATGAGGAGTCCGTTGTGCGAACCGTTGGTGGTGACATCGAATTTGAAGGAAACTTTCATCATAGGCGCATTTTTGGCAGTGTAATTGGACATAAAGTCTGGAAGAAATCAAAAATAGGAATATGAAAAAGTCAAGTGGAATGTTTTGAAACAGATTGGAACGAATTTAAACCTAGGATAAGCAAAATATAAGAGAAATAATGTCCAGAAATGAATTGCGCGGAATGAAATCAAAAATGGAAAGAGAGGGCAGTGTGTACGCCCATAGCCCGTTGAAAGCACGCCATCCCGTCCGATCTGGCAAGTTAAGCAACGGTGCGCTTGATTAGTACTTGGATCGGAGACGTCCTTGGAATCTCAAGTGGCGTACGCATTTTTGACTTTTTTGATTTGAATAGAGAAATCAGAACCGTATTTTAGATGGTATATCATGAATTAAATACATTTGAATTGATATTTGTTCGACTTTTTAGTCAAACTTTCCAAAATTTTCTTGTTCAGCCACGCTTTTCAGGAGCTGGAATCTCAAGCTAACCTTTAACTTGGGAAATTAATCCGAAGATAGAATGAAAGAGCCAGCTTACCTCTGATCCACCCTTTCCTTTTTGGCTGGGGAATTTACGCTAGCTCTGTGTGGCCTCTCAAAAAGCATACTCTCTAATTTTTCTATATTAGTGACGTCACCATTAACCGATTTTTTCAGAAAAATTACATAACTCTCTCTAAAGGCCTTGAGACTATTTCAACAATATCAAAACTCAAAATATTACGTTAAGAACTCCCAAAATACCCCTCAAAATCAACCCCATTCCTCGATATCCAAAAATTCCACTAAAGTTACAGCCAAGAACAACCCTGGTTTACGACGATCCGTGACGGAAAAACGTAGGAAATACGCAAACAAAAATGGTTTGTCGTCAAAAAAAGGCGCAGGGAATTTCCATTTCTTCGGGATGAATAAGAGAGGGGGGAAGAAAACGAGGGGAAAGAAGTGATAAGGACAAATAAAATAAACTGATGCGATTTTTTTGTGTTTATTCGAGAACAAAATTCTTGAAGCATGAGCTGGTTTCAAAGACCAAATTTTTGAGGGTTTAGGCGAAAAGAGCGTCACAAAAAGAATACAGGGTGGTTCAGTTAAGTTCGCGGATGTAAAATGCTTATAACTTTTTATAGGATTGTTCAATTTTTATGAGCAATAGCTCATTTTATTCCTTAGTAGTTACTATTTTGTTGAAAAAAAAGATCATTAAAAATGATCAATCCTACGTCTAGTTATGACCCTTCAAAGTCAAACTTGCCTTTTCACGCTTCAATCTGAAAATTTCCGAAAAATCTCGAAAATCGCTTATAACTTTCGACCGGTCGAGAATTGTAAATTGTAAGTGGGCTTCAGAAGTCATAGAATTTTGCGTAGAATACGATGGAATCAAAAAAATCCGAAAATCCGAAAAAATCCGTAAATTTTTTTAAAATTTACGTGAAAAAGCATGTTTGACTTTGAAGGGTCATAACTCGACGTATGACTGATCATTTTTAATGATCTTTTTTTTAAACAAAATGGTAACTACTAAGGAATAAAGTGAGCTATTGCTCATAAAAATTGAACGATCCTATAAAAAGTTATAAGCATTTTACATCCGCGAACTTAGCTGAACCACCCTGTATATCTACGGAAACCAGAGTTTCCTAACAGGTATTTGAGATTTTTTTAGCCCGCGCTTTGCAGAAATCAAATCCAGTTTCTTGGAAAAAGGAAAAAAATCTTTGGATGATATTTGCACAGTGCAAACGGCTCCTTTGAGATTTTCACTATGAAAAAGAGAATAAATGTCCATTCACTTTATGAAAATACTAATAGAGAGATAGTTGCATGTGCCAGACTTTCGCATTACTTTTTGAAAAAGAATAAAAAATCTTTGAATAGAAAGGAAAACGCAAAGAATCTTATGTTTGGCTCTTTCCCATGAACTTTCCAAACACCTTCAGGGCTCTCGGAAAGTTTCTTTGCTTACCTTCAGCTCGGGAAAAGTTTTGTTTTCTCTTTTGAAAAGTAATATTTGTGTTTCCAAAAAAATGGATAAAATAAAAGTGCTTGGAATTTGATGAAATTTTCGCGAATTGAGATCAAATTTTTTAAAAGATTTATTGCATAAAACATCGAGATTTTTAAGTTTTGCCTGAAAAATCAATACCCTTTTTCAAGTGTGGAGCAAAAAGGCTGTGTCAAAGACTCAATTTTTCCCAGCGAACTTCACAAAGAGATGGTCAAAAAAATTTCGTTTTTTTTTTCTTTGATCGTCTCGAAAAAATGCACTGTGCATTGGCGAAAAGCGTGAGAAAAAGTTCAAAATGCACTGTGCGAAAGAGAAAAAATGTCCATGCACTTTATGAAAATACTAAAAAAATCGAAAAAAGCCTTATTTCCGGGTAAAAAATACAAAAAAATTGCGCAAAAACTCGAAAAATCTTATTTATTCTACCTCATTTTTCTCTAATCCCCAAAAAAAATTCCAATAAAAATTCCAATCCCCCAAAAAATTTAATTTTTTCGCCCAAAAAACGCTGGGATTAAATTTGGCTCAGAAATAAACAAAAACAAACAAACGATTGCCTCAGGGGGGAATAGTTAAAATCGCAGCGGAAAGCGGACTATTCCGTCTTTTTTCTCTTTTGTCCCACGAATTTTCGTGAGTCACGTGTGCGGTGAGGCAAGGGCGGGGGGAGGGGCGGAAAGGTGTGTGCGCGGCTTTCGGAGGCAAATATTCAAATAGCCCCATTCGAGATTAGCGAACCGCCCGCAGGCCGGTGGTCAGAGCAACCAGCGCGCGAGTAGAATTTAGCTCGCAGGGAGGGAAATTGCATGTATTATAATATAATACATGCAAGTTGTTTGGTCGTGGAAGAGGCGAAGGACACGGAAAAGTACCAGAAATACATGTAATGGAATTATGAATGCGCTTGATTCTAGCTGGATAGCCTCGAAAAATTTGCTCATCTTAAAAGCACTCGACATTCCTCTCATCATAAAGGGGACTAACAGGGGAAGTACTCCAAGTGCGACGCTCAGATTTTGATGAAACTTGGCACCAATTTAGAACAATTTTTTCTAAGATATATGCGAGAACTCTAGCTCGCGCTTAGCATAAACAACCGAGATTTTTAGATCAAAGGTCGGCCAAAATTTAGGACTTTTTGCCGAATTTCGGCTCGAAAAGTTTCATGCCCATTTCAAACGTAAAGGATAATGTTTCTACAAAAAATCAAATTTTTCCGCTCGAAACCGCCAAAGTTATGGCCAATAAGGTGCTTTCTCTCTGACCGCTCTCCACGTTTAGCGTGCTCTCTCGGCGGCAAAATCGTTCGATATCTCGGCGGCGCCCGCAAAGCGCGAGCTAAAACTTTCAGGAATTGATATTTAGTCCATACCCGACGTGTGTGCAAAATTTAAAGAAAATCTGAGCGTCCCACTTGGAGTACTTCCCTTGTAAATTTACCCAAGGAAAATTCCTTTGGTAAATATGGGTTAATTTTTTCTAACAAGGGAAGTACCCCAAGTGCTCAGATTTTAATGTAACTTGGCTCAAATTTACATTGATTTTTTTCTAAAAAAATATAAAATATGCGAGACTCCTAGCCCACTCTTTGCAGAAACGGCGTAGATTTTTTGGATCGAAACTTAGCAAATGCGACAAATTTTTTGCAAATTTCATAAAAAAAAATTTTTGCAAATTGCATAAAAAACCTGTACGTTTTTACCGAAAATAGTGTTGGTGTGTAATTACCGCTAGTATTACTCTCGTTTTTTGTCCTTATTACGTCATCGATTTCATAATTGAAGATGCAAATGTCATGAATTGAATTTTGATTCATGCGTAAAATATTAACGGTACGTAATTACCGTTAGTCACAGTCTGAATAATCAGAATTCTTGCGGATTTTTTAGTTCGGGGCATCCGTTTTGGATGATTCAAAGATCCTGCAAGCGTCATCATGACGGCCTGACACGCTTCCTGGGCTCTTTTCCTCATTTTACCTTGCCATTTGAATTTACGGGGAAGATGCTCAAAATGCGGCGCTCAAATTTTTTGTAATTTAGTCACTTATCTTCCATCTATGCCAGATATTAATTTTTGAAGACTTTAGCTCGTGCTTTGCTGGACGAGCCGAGATATTCAACGCTGTTTATTAGGGAGAGACTATGTGAAATTTCCAGTAGTTACTCCCGAAAACTAGCGCTGAATATCCCGGCTGCTTCTTCAAAGCATGAACTAAAATCTTCAAAAATTAATATCTGGCATAAACAGAAGAGGAGTGCTTAAATTGCAAAAAAATTGGGCTTCGCACTTCGAGCGCCTTGTCCGTAAATTCAAAACGGCAAAGCAAAATGAAGAAAAGAGCCCAAGAAGCGTGTCAGGTCATCATGATGACGATTGCAGGATCTTTGAGTCATCTCAAAACGGAAGACCCGAACAAAAAAATTCGCAAGAATTCTGATTATTCAGACTGTGACTAACGGTAATTACACACCGTTAATATTATACGCATGAATCAAAATTCAATTCATGACATTTGCATCTTCAATTATGAAATAGATGACGCAATAAAGGCAGAAAACGAGAGCATCCGATATTGAGAGACCACACAGAATTAGCGTAAATTCCCCAGCCAAAAAGGAAAGGGTGGATCAGAGGTAAGCTGGCTCTTTCATTCTATCTTCGGATTAATTTCCCAAGTTAAAGGTTAGCTTGAGATTCCAGCTCCTGAAAAGTGTGGCTGAACAAGAAAATTTTGGAAAGTTTGACTAAAAAGTCGAACAAATATGATTTCAAATTGAAAGATTTGTTCAAAAATCTTGTTTTCGGGTCAGCTTCTTGCTGATATTTCAGCTAAAATACGATTTTGAGTTGTTTATGCAAATCATAAAAGTCGAAAACGCGTACGCCACGTGAGATTCCAAGGACGTCTCCGATCCAAGTACTAATCAAGCGCACCGTTGCTTAACTTGCCAGATCGGACGGGATGGCGTGCTTTCAACGGGCTATGGGCGTACACACTCCCTTTCCTTTCCACTTTTGATTCCTTTCCCTGCAATTCCACCCAGTCCACGGCCGTGGCTATCTTTTCGAGATTTTCTTGAAAATTTCAGTCAATAATGACGTCACTAACACAGAAAAATTAGAGATCATGTTTTTGGAGAGACCACACAGAAATAGCGCAAATTCCCCAGCCAAAAAGGAAAGGGTGGATCAGAGGTAAGCTGGCTCTTTCATTCTATCTTCGGTTTAATTTCCCAAGTTAAAGGTTAGCTTGAGATTCCAGCTCCTGAAAAGTGTGGCTGAAAAAGAAAATTTTGGAAAGTTTGACTAAAAAGTCGAACAAATATCAATTCAAATGTATTTTAATTCATGATATACCATCTGAAATACGGTTCTGATTTCTTTATTCCAATCAAAAAAGTCAAAAATGCGTACGCCACTTGAGATTCCAAGGACGTCTCCGATCCAAGTACTAATCAAGCGCACCGTTGCTTAACTTGCCAGATCGGACGGGATGGCGTGCTTTCAACGGGCTATGGGCGTACACATTGCTTTCCCTTTCCACTTTCGATTGCATTCCGCGCAATTCGCTTCTTCACGTTATTTCTCTCATGTCTTGCTTATCCTAGCTTTAAATTCGTTCAAATTTTCTTTCAAAACATTCCACTTGACTTATATTTTACCCGCTTTATTTTTCTACCAATAAAAAGTCGAACAATTCGGTTGAAAATCAACAAAAACTACGAAAAACCGTCAAATTTCCTGCTAAAACAGCTTGAAAACTACCAAAGAAGCGAATTCAGACAACAAATTCAATAAAACATATAATAATTAGTTAGGATCTCTAACTCTCATTCAAATGCCATATCAAAAACATTAGACTTGACGTCAAATCATCCAAAACTATCCAAAAAACATCAAAAAACAGCGATAACAATAAAAAAAGAGTGGATTTCTACTCATTTTCTACAAAAATTGGGCAAAATCGGACAAAAAAATAAACATTTATCGTTTCTAGGACTAAATAAATTAAATATTCGGATTATTTATCGCGTTTCTTGTGCTTTTTCTTCTTCTTTTTCGTGGATTCGTCGTCGGAATCGGAGCTGGAGCGCCGTCTTTTGCGGGATTCGGTCGATTTCTCCTCCCGCTCTCGTTTCTTCTTCTTTTTGTGTTCTCTGTCGTCTTTGTGGTGCTTCTTGTGCTTCTTTTTCTTCTTCTTTTCGGATTTGCGCTCTTCTCTCGACAACTTTCGGTCCGCTTTTTTCTTCCTTCGCTCTGATTTTTCGTCGTCCGAAGAATCCGAGGAGTCGGATTCCCTTTTCTCATTATTATTTTCATGATCCGACCGGGGCGAGTGGCCATTTTCTTCGTCCTCCTCCTCTTCTAGGGCGATTTCATTCTCATATTCGTGATGTTTGGGTTCTTCCTAAAAAATTAAAATTTTAGTAAAAAATCTCTAAAAATCAACTGTCAACTGTTTAAAAAAATCTCAAAATTTCCTAAAAACCTATAAAAATCAATTTTCAATCATCACTTTTACTCTCAAGTCCAAAAATTTTAAAAAATCCGAAAATTTCCAAAATCAAAAAAAATTTCTTGGCATTCTGTTGCAAGCCCCAAAAATTTCCAGATCTCTCAAAAAAAGCCAATCACATGTCTTTTTTGTCTTTACTTTTCCAATTCCAGCAATTTTCAGTCCATACCCAACATCAAATTATATTATCTATGAGGTCAGAATTTTTGCATTTCTATGCCTACTACAAATCCAAATCCCTCAAACTAAACCATTCAAATACTCAATCAAGCCCTTCTACATCTAGTTCTTACTAAATCAATCCTATTTCATCCCAAAATCATTATTTTTTCACCTTATATTATCCATGACATCTATTCATATTCAAAGCTCAATTTCAGCTTCTATAACCCTTCAATTCCTCCAAAAATACCCTTCAAATCCTCTATAATGCCCCACTCATACATTTCATCAACAATTCTTTTACCTTTGGCTTCTCTTTTCCATTTTCTTTTTCAATTTCCTCCACCGGCCGGAAAGAGTCGATCAATTTCGTTTCATCGATGAATTTCGGACTCGACACTTTTTGCGGAGGCTTTTCTAATTCTTTCTCTTCTTCTTCAGGCTTTTCTTTTTCCATTTCCTCATCCTTTTCAAAGACTTCTTCCACTTTTTCCGAGGGGATTTCCATTTTTTCGCTTGGAGACGACTTATCCGTCTCCGAAGTTGTCGCCGAAAAAGTTCTGAGTTTCTCTTTCGTTTCTTGGATCACATTGTCGATTTCGTTTTCCTCGGCGGTCAATTTGGTCGGAGTGTCGGCTGGAATCGCAAAATTAAAAAAAAAAAATCAAAAATTATATTCTCCATGACCTATATATCACCAAAAATCATTTCAAAACAGCTCTCAGACGCTCCAAAAAATCTCAAAACCACTTCTTACATTTGCCAGCTTCCTCCTCCTTCTCAATTTGAGGTTGCGATTCCTTCCGTTGGCGTCTCTTTTTCTCTGGCGTCTCTTTTCGTTCGTCATCCTCCGGGGTTCTCGAACGTTTTCGTCGGTGAGATCGTTTCCTCGGCGATTTGGACTTCTCCTTGTTGCTTCGCCTTCGTTCTGGGGATCTCGATCTTCGCCTTCTGGAATCTCTGTCCTTTTTCGATTCCTCTCGTTGGCGTTCCGGTTTTCGTTTCGAGACTCGGGGAGACCTGGAGCGATTGGACCTTCTCGTCGCCAGAGGGCTTTTCGAGCGTTTCCTTGTTCGGCTACTCAGCTTCGAGGCTCCTCCGAGCGTTGGACGGCCTAAAAATACAAATCTTTTGCCAAAAACACACACATATATACCTAATTTAACAAGTAAAATACTTCTATGGGGTATGGGGTTACAGGTCGAGACGTATATCAAAAAAATCGCAAAATTTTTCTGATTCAGAAAACGTAAAAATTAGCTGCCCAATTTTGGTTTGTAAGGTCGAAAAACCCCTCAGAACCTTTCTCGCAACACCACGCAAACGTCTTTTTAACCAAATTTTTACCAATTCAAACGCTTTGTTTGGAGCTAAAGTAATCCCTGGCATCCTGACAAGCCTTAAAAATATCAAATTTGATTAATACTACACCTTAATTAGTAGTTCCAAGGTAAAAAAAGGGCATTGTAGTATTAATCAAACTTGATATTTTTAAGGCTTGTCAAGATGCCAGGGCTTACTTTAGCTCAAAACAAAGCATTTTGATTGGTAAAAACTTGGTCAAAAAGGCATTTGCGTGGTGTTGCGAGAAAAGTTCTGAGGATTTTTTCATTTTTACAAACCAAAATTGGGCAGCCAATTTTTACATATTCTGAATCAAAAAAATTTGCGATTTTTTTTGCTACATGTCTCGACCTATAACTCCATACCCCATAGAAGTAATTTCCTTTTAAAAATTCATCAATACCTACAACAACATAAAAAAATCCCAAAAAACTATTCAAAACCCCTACCAGTGATCGGATCGATGACTGAACCGCCTCCAAGTGGCGCAATCTTCTCCGTAATTTTATCCGAGACGCCCAGTAGCGCTGATAAGGCGGCGTTTTTGGCCTCTGATTCTGGTGAAGGGGTTCGTTTCTTCGTCGGTTTCTTGTCCGAGGACGTCGATGAGGCCGTGTCTTGGCGTTCCCTTGGCTTTTTATCAACCAACGGGAGTTTTGGGTCCAATTTATTCGACTTTGACTTGACATTTGATGGCTAAAAATAAAAAAAAATCAAAAAAAAAAAAAAAAAAATATACAATTTTACTAAAATCCCGTCTCGCCATACTCTCCAAACCTCTTTTTATGCCCTACAAAATCGTCCTGGATATTTTTGTCCTCACTAAAATCCTTCACCAGTTCAAAAAAACCTTACTTTAGTCATCAAACTGACCCTCAAATTTTGGTCTCCCCTTACCCCGCCCGCCAAAAATACCCCTCCCAACCCGCTTCATATCCCTCTGCCTTCAATTTCACACCACTTACCTCATCCCTTTGCAGTAAACTCTCCCACAATTTGTTGATATCGTTGCTTTTCTTCTTTTCCTCTCTTTCTCGGGCGTCTCCGTCGTTTTCCACGTCATTCTCCGTGCTCTCCTCCAACGTTCCTGGCGGAGCAGTATCATCGAGTTTTGGGCGTGCTTTTGGAGCTATGTGGTCAATGGTTGGTGTGGAAATTGGGGCGACATTGTTAACGAGACTAAAAAAATAACTTGATATCCAAAAATCTCAAAATCAAAAGCATTTATGGGTAAGATACAAAAAAATCCAATTTTAGGCCACAAAATCGAGCTCTAAATCGTCAGCAAACTTACGGTTGAGCCGGTGGGATGACTGGTTTCGGGGTGGGGAGCATTTTGGTGAGATCGACCGTTGGCAATTTCAATGGCTGGGAGTTAGTTGATGCTGAAATTAAAATTGATGCTACCGTTATACATTACAGACCTCAACGCTCATCTTATAACAAAATTTGCCTACCAAATCGTAAAATTTTGGCACCAATTATATTATCCATGACAAAAAATGGACAAATTTTCAAAATTTTCAATGTTTTCTCAAAAACTATGGCTTGAATAAAACAGAACAATCTTTTTTTTTCCACCTAACACTTCTATATGACCACTTAGAATAGTATAAATCACCTTTAAAATCATCAACTTACCAACAGTATTCAATGCGGGACTAATGTTCATAATGGAATTTCCATTCGTTTGTGAGGTGGGAGTTGCTCCGGAGCGGTTATTCAAGCCCATATGAGTCCTCGGGAATTGCGATGAGTGCTAAAATACGACAAAATAAAAAAAATTTCCCTAAATTATCATTTTAACCCCAAAAAATCCCAAAAATTCTCCAAAAACCCCCAAAAATCCCTCGTATTTTAGCCTACCTTGTCCTGAGCGTCATCCACAAGACTACTATCACCATGTGGGATCAAAGGCACGGGCAAGGTGCTCGCAATCGCGTCCATATTCACTGGTTTCTGCGTGGGTTGGGACTTGGCCAAGCGATACTTTTCCACGGCGCGGCGAAGTTGTTTGTTTTCGACAATCGAGTTGTTCGTGATTTCCGAGGAGCAGTCTTGGCCTGGGCAGCGCGTGTCGTCCGACATTATCACCTGCATCATGCAGGACATGCAGAAACTTTGGCCGCAGCACACGGTTAGGACGGCTTCCTGAAAACGGATGATAAAATTTTAAAAAATGGTTGGCAAAATAAATATTCGAGTAAAATACGTTGCAAGACATTGTTGCATTCATTTTCAATGAAAAACCAAAAAACACAGTTTTCTGAGCAAATTTTTTGATTTTTTTTGTCATGGATAATATAATTAATGTCTGATTTTTACCTTCAAATGGTAAAAATGAAATTGAAAAAGAACGTAAATGCCTTCCAACTAATTTCTGGCTCATTACCAAGATTATTTTTTTGCATTGGAACCATCAACTTGTCATAAAACCACAGAAAGTATATCTCATTAAAATGCTTGCCACGTCAAAACTAGCCCTTCAATCAACTCAAAACTTCATATTATTACCGTAAATGCTCTCTTCTTTCTTTCTAATTTCCATTTTAATCAAAAAAAATGACCTCACTTTCCACTTTTTTCACATTGTTTTACATCACTATAGCTCACCAAAAAAGTCATCAAAAATCCCCCCTCACCCCGCCCAAAACCCGCTCTCTTACCTTCAACAACTCCTTGCACAAAGGGCACTGCAATTCCTCGGGTATTGGTTCTTCCTGCGGCCGCGGCGATTGTCCCGTTTCATCGATATTTGGTGAGGAAGTGAGTCCGAGTTGGGGATGCTTCGCTTTTGATGTAATTCTCGCGGCCATGTGCATGCGTTGCACCATGAACTTGCCGGACGGATGGAGCATGGCGTGAGGGTCGTCGGCCGTCGTTTCCACCAGTTCTTCCATGGGAATTCCGGTGGTTCGCCGGATATTCACCTGAAACGAGGTTTAGGATGGAGTCTCGGAAAAATCTGGCGGGACGGACCAAGGAGTTGGTACTTTTCTGTAGCATCCAGAATTTCATGACCATTACTCTTTAATTTTTGTAGTTAGACCTTGAATGTTTTCTGTTACCCAACTTTTTCGACCTTATTTTAGACAGTCATCCAAAATTTTGAAAAATCAACCAGAAATACTCATTCCTCCTTGGTCCAGACTTCTCCCTGCGAACTATTTGCTACATAATACTCAATGACCCTGTTACCGTTTACCAGAATGATCTTTATGCCTGTCAAACACATCCGAGACCAAGAAAACCGTGACTTCTTTAACCCATTTTTCAAGTCAAACTTTCGTTTCTTTGGATTGCGGCATCGCATCGACAGCGATCCAGAAGAGGATAAAACGACTACGGGCTATCCAAACTTGTCGAATAATTTCAAATTTTACAAAATCTGTCCCGGGCATACCAAATATGGTCAAGTCCGAAAAGACTTGGCCATATTCGGTATGACTAGGGCAGACTTTATAAAATTTGAAATTGCTCGACAAGTTTGCGTAGCCTGTAGTGGTTTTATCCTTTTCTGGATCGCTGTTGATGCATGCCGCAATCGATGGCAAGTCAAAATTTTTACTTCTCATTAAATTTTTTAAAAATTTTGAAGCCGGTCAAAGGCAAGACATACCAAAAAAACCCTTTTAAGCCCCATGCATACCGTTTTAAATTCATATTCCTAATAATATTTGTGGAAAATTCCAAAAAAAAAATAATAAATAAACACCCTAAAACAAGCTCAAAATTAAACCTCAAAATAAACAAAAAATCTGCACCAGTAGTCTCAACACACCCAATAAACTCTACATTACCGTCAAATACTTTTTAAACAAAAGTAAAATTTTCATAAAAATCAAAAAAATTTTTATCAAGGTCATCTAAAATAATGTCAATCACAATTTTTTTCGGATCCCCAATCCTTTAAAAATTGCATAAAAATATCCAGGAAACCTATTACACCCCACAAAACCTCCAATTTAACCCAAAACCCACACCAATCACTACACATTTCCCAAAAAACACCCAAAATCGCCCCCAAATCAGCTGAAAATCACGGTTAAAACGGCTGAAAATTCAAAAAAAGTGAACTTATTGTTGCGGATTGCAAAGCTTAATAACATTTATTAACTCGAGATGCATTCATTTCACAGCGTATCTCACTCTTTTCGCCTCTCATTCGTCCGGGCCGCGGGTTTTTCCATCAGGCCAATAAAGTCGAATATCAATCCGACAATCATCGGGATTCCAGCCAAAATGAAAAAACCCGCGCTATATGGGGAAGTGAGAGCATAAACGGGCGGGAATCAAGTCCAATATCAGAGAAAGTTTTGTTACCAATGGGCAGTCCCTGTACCAATGGCCGGTCCGGCTGCAGCGATTGCATGTGTAGTTGGGCGGTGGAGGCTCCGAGAAGGCAGACGCGTTCGTGGTTCGACGGAAGCTGAAAGATGAAGCGGGTTAGACAAGCCATCAACAATTTTTGCCCAAAACTTTGATATTACTACATAAAGTAATATAAAACTTCCTCAAAACGCCTTTCTATTCGACCCTAAACGCAAAAGAAATCACAAATGAATATGCAACATACTTTTGCTGAGCATATTTTTCCGATGAGACCTTCTTGATGTGTGCTAGGCGCTCTTGCTCGGTCATTTTGGAGAAGTCGATCTAAAACAATATAATTCAATATTCGTGGAGTTCAAATGAGGGAACTTACCGAGTCAATAAAGCTGAGGTCAGGAGCAGTCTGTTGGGGGGCTTTTCCAACGATTCCCGAGGTGCTTTGATCACTGAAAATATTAGTTTAGGCATCAAAACAGCTGATGTTCGTGATGAGTATAACTACTCAATTCATCGCCCAATAACTCAAAAAAAGGTTATTAGAAGCAAGAAAATTCCTTTATCTTGCAATTCCAACTCATTCTTTACACCTAAACTTAGAAAAACACAAAGAAATAATCAAAAAAACTTACTGCACTTTAGGTGCTTTGGTGTTTTCTCTCGGGCATCGCCTGACAATCACCGACGAGTTCCTTGGCACAATCTGATCATCGCTGTAGACTCGCTTGGTATGCGCATTCTCGACGAGCAAATCAAACTGCTCTGGAGATAGATTCTCCTTCTCATAGATGGCTTTCTTCAGCTCATTGACTCGAACATGAAGATCATCGAAGGTAATTGTTGTATAAGTGACACATGAGTGGAATTTATAATGGATAGTTGACATAGCTGTCTAGGGAACCATCAAAACGTTTGGAGGGCGCTTTTTGAGTCAACTCGAAAAAAAGCCGGCTGAAATTTGCAATGAATAACGTTGGAGAGAAAAAATCGATAGAACCGACAAAACCACGAGGAGATAATAAGCGAAAATGGGAATAAAAAGCAAGGGTGTGTTGTAATAAACAAGTTACAACAGTTTCACAAAAAGCGATACAGTTTCAGCCACCAAAAATCAAAATTTCCTGAGCACCTATGTGTTTGATGGATAATATAAAATTCTCGTCCGCATGAAGCGAAAACAATATCTAACCGCAAAATTCTGCTATTTTCTGTCGCAATACACCTACCGATATCTAGAACAATACCCAAAACATTCAACGCAGACAATCCCCACCGTCTATTCATCTAAAACAATATAGAGCAATATCGACAAAACCACCCGCAAACCTCCACTCCCCATTGATCCCCCACCCTCCCAGACGTTCTCCAAACAAATATAACTAATAATACACCATCAATTCTCAAAATCTCCACGTTTCACATAATAATTATTGGAGTCAGGTCTAACATAACATAATTAACATGAGGTAAAGCGAAAAAAGTGTATGTACAAGCAGGTGAGTTTGACTCTGAATGCGAATACGTTGCATGCGGAACTTTTCGAACCGAGAAAGCCGTCTGACGTGCGGAAAACGCTGCCTTCCAAAAAATTCTTTCGTCATATCGGACGCAGCTCGCGGATTTTTAAAGATCAAAGATTCTGCAGCCTGCGGGGGACATTTTATACGAAAGCAAGTAAATTAGGGAATTGATCGTTGAAATCGCGAAAAACAGAAAGGAATATGTTTTACTACGTGTTCTAAACATATAAAGCTCATTTAGGCGCATTTTCTATATAGCACATACATCAATATTTTCATTTTCAACGATTTGAATATTGTACTGGAGATTAAACATGTTTTTTGCAATCTTTTTGTACTCGTTACGCTTCAAAAGTTACATTACGACGGTCCAGCTGTTATGAGCGTTCTTCTCAACCAATATCCGATTATGATTCATCCCTCATTACACGAAAACAATCGAAAAATGCGGATTCTCCGCATAAATGACGTTTTCACGTATGTCTTTTGTTCGACAAATATCCCTTGCATCATTTATTAATCCGTCAAATGACAAGCTTGTTCTAGATGGGGAGTTTTCACTTTTTCCGACTGAACTTTTGCGCCTAAAAACAAGAGGTCACCTTTTCTAATCCCGTGGCTTTAAAACCCAAAAAAAAGTCCGGATCGATTGGGCCAAAGCGAACATAAAATGTCGAAAACCCCCCGGGGGCTTTCTTTTTCGTCTCGAGGAGTTTTTGGTTTTCAATTTTGCGTTCGAGTTTTCCGGCTGTTTTTGGAATTTTTGAACTTTTTTTGTTAATTTAGGTGCCTTATAGCCAATAAAGTCAGCATCTCCGATGCCTTTCAACAAGTCGACTGCCAAGGAACGTCTGCAAAAGAAGTTGATGGCCCGGAAAGCGGAAGCCCTCGACCCCGCCAGCGAAATGCTAATCGATCTGGCGGAGGCGGTGAACAATGTGCAGAAGCTTATGCAGCGACGGGTGGATGAGAACGCGGCGATCACGGAACTCGGCGAATCCGAGGCCAAGCTGAAGGCGTTGTTGGCGAAAAAGAAGGAGAAAGACAACGAGGCCGCCCTTCAGCAGACATAAGCGATAATTTAAGTTTGTATTATTTGTAATATTACTGTAATATTACTTGTACAGATACAGTGTAAGAGTTGCGGTCGAATAAAACTCCCGTCCTATGCCAAAATATTGCTTTTAGTGTTGTGTTAATTTTAATTTATCATTTATCAGTCGGTCGGGAAAATAATGACCACTCTGTGACATCGAAAATCGCATCGCTGATGAGAAAATGAATTGTGTCGTGGTAAAAGCAAATCGCTTTTCACTTCAGCAACCCGATCGGTGCATTGACATTCCGCTCATTATTTTCCCGACCGACTGATATTTTTGGGCCACAGATACCTGTAAAAATTACCTTGCCTACCCTTTTTCTCAACCCCAGCCTCTGAAAGGAGGTACTAACAGTGAAAAACTAAATTGCGGACTCCAATGAGAGACATGACTCCCACGCCGGAACGAAAACCGCTGGCAAAAAAAATTTGAAACTGGCCGTCTAGACCTGTTAGCGAATTTTATTTAGAACAACAAAAATTGGTATTAGCTGACTAAACCTCCAAAAAATACGCGAACTAGACAACACGGTTGCATACAGTCTGTCGGGAACATAATGAGTACAATGTCGCTGCGTCGCTGAACTGAAAATCAATTTGATTTTCTTCTCCGCGACACAATTCATTTCCTCGGCGGCGATGCGATTTTTCAGCTGACGAAGTGCACATTATTTTTCCGACGGACTGATACTCTTCTTTACTTCGACCATCATCTTTTACATGTACAGAAAAATTTCCCTTCATTTCTTTAATTTCACTACAATTTGCTTTTTCTCTACTAAGCTCCATTTACAAGGCAACCGGTCCCGGCCCGTTTCAATTCTGCCTCCGGCCGGCCCGAGAGCCATGTCTGTGCACAACAAAACATGTTTTTGTCCCCTATTTCCAAAAGAAACAAGAAAAATTCAAAAATTGTGGGCACCCCTACAAAACCAATTTTTCGTGGGAGGCGGCGATGTCGACGAAACATTGGAAATGCGTAACATACAATAAATTTTAAAATTTTGTGCGCTTTCCGAATGCTTAATTCACCGGATGAATTCCCAACGGAGAACATGCTGTTCTACTATAATTTATCGGGGAAGATTATGTTGCCGTTCAAGACATGTCTCATAATTCCGACGCTGCTCGTGATGACGAACGGTAAGTGGAGTACAACCTCTGTATAACGAAATTATATGTCTAACGACACTTTTTCTTACAACAAATAATTTCAACCGTCCTAAAAGTAATGTTTTGAGCAAAAAATGATGTAGTATCAGCCTGTCGGGAAAATAATGTGGATTTGTCGCGCCTTGGAATCCCCATCATCGCTTTGCGCGGGATAGCCGTGGCTTGAGATTTGGTTGACTGCGACGGGGCAAGATATTTTGATGCGTCAAATCCACATTATTTTCCCGACAGGCTGATTTAGAAAAGTTTTGCTCTTGCAATCTTTGCAGCAGTCCCCCTGTACAACTGCTTGCATAATGAGCTGAAAACAAGCATTTTTTCAGCCTCTACAAAGTCGATGAAGTTGTACCACAAATATATCGTCTCGACTGTTCTCTGGTAAGCGCCACCCCTTTATTCGATTACCTTTTAGGTCATTCGCCTCAAGCGTCGTCTGGACATCTGTAGGCACGATCGACCTGTTGCCAACCCCTTGCTTCGCCTTCTTCGGATTTGGCTCATCCTTAACCGAAAACGAGGCCTTATTTTTCGGCACTGCAGCTTTTCTAACGACCGGAAGACTTGTCGCAATCGCGTTTCAACTGCTTTTCAGAATATCGCAGTTTCTGCATCCACAATCGAAGCTCTACAAGCCTTCACAGTTTATTACTACCGAGCATCCGGTGTTGTCGTTTTTTGCAACGTTAGCAGCAATATACGGGATTGTTTGGGTAAGCGCTTTGGCGTTTTTTTGATGTTTTTGTATTATCAGTGTCGGGAAAATAATGAGCAGCTTTTTGATTGCATCAATGTGCTTTCAGGTCCCAATTCTCGTTACCTTCCCCGACCAGCCGCACCAACGGCAATTGATCGCGCTGCTAAGCCTTCGACTTGATCGCTTTCTTAAGCGCTCTCCTCGTATGTTATGCTTTGCGAAAGTGAATGGCAATGGCAACGGCCTGCTTGTTATCAGCGTTATTATAATCTTTCTGGCCACCGTCACTCCCTGCACGATTTACTTTATTCATCGCCGCGCGATGCAAAGCCGAGCGCCGGAAAAGACGCTGGCCATGCATCAGATGTTACTGAAGGCGTTTATCGCCCAAATTGCTCTGCTGTACGTGTTTCTGTGCTTTCCGTTGCTAATTATGATGTTCTCCCCGTTCGTTGGGCTCCGTTCTGTACCCAGATTAACGGTGTATTTAATGCCCACCGCGATTCTTGAAGGGGATTTGGAATGCCTGCTGTTGTTATGGTTTGTCCGACCGTATCGAAGCTACTGCCAGAAAGTATTTTATTCCATTTTTGACACAAAGACAAAAATTCAAAAGCTTTGAGAAATTTTGAATAAATGACAGTCTTGTTTTTGGCGTCACGTGTAGATTCCATCGAATCTTACATTTCAACTCGATGTAATTTTTGAATTCAAAAAGTAAGAGAGAGAGAGAGATGTTGCCAGGTGTCAACTGTTTCCACAGTTTTTTCCCGGGGTTCGAGAATATTCTATGGAGAGTTTCCGAAGAAAAGTTCCAGAATCAAGGAACAATTTCAATCCCGGACGAACACCATTACCAACAATCACGAGTTGGGACATCCTTGGAGCACGGTGGTGTTCATCGCCAGCTATGACTGGATTATGCTACAGTTTGCTACGCCATTCGAAACAACTCCGTTTACCGATGTCCAGCAAGCTCATCCAAATCTCCTCGTCGAAGGTACTAAATCAGATGCCGCGTCTTCATTTTTTCCGACTTTACGAGAAGCCCTGAAATATCGCCGCACTGTTCTTTCGGGAGTCACATTCCATCAGTAAGTAATAATGTAGAAACGAGCCTAACACCACTTTCAGGATATTGTAATTGTATTTTCTTTGCTTGGGAACCACGATTCAGGAACCCTCAGAGATTGGTGCACATTTTATTATAGTCTAAACATGAACTGTAGAAAAACCCACACAGGAAACAACGCCTTCCTCGGAAGGATGATGTTAGTCGGGGGTGATGTTATACTTTCCGATGAAACGTCGTTTTCCCGAACCGGGGTTCATCAACGACGACCTCATCCACAGCACAGGTTTCAATTTGGACACCAGACTGGAATGTTGTGCCAGGTCATATATAACTCTTTGTACTTACGATTATACAACAATATTCGTTTATTCTTAAAACAGAATGAAGCTTTACAGAAATGCATACGTATGTATTTGACTATTAGTTAATGTATGCGGCGCAATTGTACAGCGCAATGTTCATGTCATTCTGATTCCTTCCGCATCGGAAATAGCCACCTTCGCCAAATCCATCGCCCCACGAATTCTTGATCAAATAATAGTCGTCTCCATTTTCATTATCGTAGCCAACGGTGAGAACAGCGTGATTTATGTTGTTGCTGCCAACCTGGTAATGGATTATTCCGCCTTCATAATGCTGTAGAGGGCTTGCGTCAACTGCTGAAATTTTGATTGTATTTCTTTTTGTTAGCTTAGCAGTCTGTTGGGAAAAGAATGTCGATTTGTCGCGCTTTAGAATCGCCGATCATCGGTTTGCGACGGATAGCCGCGTCTGGGGATTTGGTGCGCGACTGCGACGAGGCGAGACATTTTACTGCGACAAATCCTCATTATTTTCCCGACAGACTGATAGCCTGGCACTTAAACTTGCTGGACACAATTGGTCCGTTGTTGAATATAGACTCCTTTAATCCGTCCTCATCATTGCCGTTCAGTTGATTCATTCCGTCTAACTGCGTCACAGAGTCGCCTGGCTCACATGGCGGCACTTGCTGATCATCACCGGACGTGTACGGAAAACTGTCCCAAGTCGTGATTCCGTTGTCTACGAAATATTGAAGCACAGTCCCAGGGTTCCCTCCACCGCATCCGCTATTGTCGCTACAAGAGATCGCCTGTTGAACACTCAAATCGAATAAATCTCCTCTGCGGATGGCATGCATGCTTTCGATCGCACCCACAGAGGCGAACGCGTAGCAGGAGCCGCATTGTTTTTGGTCCTTGACGCCCGAAACTTTGCCCTCCGCTCTCCAGTCGTGGCTGTCAGGCGCAAGAAGTTTTTTCGAGCTATTTGTTGGTCCTAAAACAATTTGCGTATAAAAATATTTACTATCAGTCTGTTGGGGAAATGATGAGCGCATTTTCGCTGTGCCTTCTTCGTCAATGCTGCGTCGTGCTCATTACTTTCCCGACAAGCTGATAAGGACCCACTATTATTCTTGTTCTTTGGGAACAACGCCTCCAAATCCTTCTTTTGAAGATTTGCGTAGTGTTTATGGAACTCCTCTTTAGTCAGATCAGAGAGTGCTGTCAGCCCATACTTGGCTTCAGGATTGGCATGTTGATACTTTTCAATGTCTCTCAATGAACTCTTGATGACTTCGAAACGGTGTGCGACTTCAGCTTCGGATCCATAGTTTTTGTTGAATCTGAAAAAAGAATGGGATAATTGTTCATTAAACCTGTGACGGTCAATGACAGTTCAGGCCGATTTTTTTGGGGCCTGACATGTGGCTAGACGTTTTTTCATGTCGGTCCCAAACCAAATCGGCCTGGACCAAACGCTTTCCAGATGTCCACAAAGCCGAACTTTGGCCACCTAGACATGACCCTTTAGGGCTCTGCTGGCCTAGGAGGGGAAATCTGGAAAGTGATCGGTCCAGGCCGATTTTTTGGGATCGGTCTTGTGGCTTGACGGGCTTTTTCAACCCAAAAACAAGTCGGCTAGACCGGTCGCTTTCCAAATTTCCACCGCCCAAAGGAATTGGGGCAAAAACGGCTTTCCCCAAAGAATTTTTGATCAAACGTACTTCAGAATATGGTCGTAGAACTTTCCGAAATCCTCGTCTTCGTTGAATTTTTCTCCAAGTTTTGTCGCCAACTTCAACGCGGTCTTTGTCGCTTCAGTCACGGTTAAACCATCGATCCATTCATCAGCTTTCTTACCGTCCAATGACTTCACTTTTTTCCATTCAAACTTCTGGTCAATGAACAGCCCGTAGGCGTTGACCAACACAAATACAGAGGTAATTAAAGCCGTTTTCATCCTGCTTATTGTATCAGCAGAGCGACAGATCTTATATACACCGCGGTCTTTAATGTTGACCGGATCTTTTTTCACAATAATTCAATTTTTGCGTCCGGATTTTACGCTTTATCATGGAGTTGTTTGCGAAATTCAAAAAACATCCGTATTTTTGTATAATTTCAAGGGCTCGAATTGTATTTGAAATCGCCTTGAAAGCCCATAAAATAATTTATTTATAAAAAATAATGAAATTGCGTTTATCTTATCAGAAGCTCCGGCATTTTCAATATGTATTCGGTCATAGCCGGTTCTTTCAACAGCCCCGAGGATCATGCGACAAAAAAACGTATTTATCAGTCCGTCGGGAAAATAATGAACACAATGTCGCTGCGCTGATCGCGGTGTCATGCTGATGGGTGAGGCGCGACGAATCCACATTATTTTCCCGACAGACTGACATTTCTGTACGTGCATTTTTAAATCAAAAAATAAAATCAAAAAGAATGGACTAAATTTCGATTATTCAAATTTTCGGACGATTTTACCACGCGTGGTCACGTTTTCAAAAATGAGAAATCAAAAATTTCTCTTCTCACTTTTTGGCTGTGGATCTGATTGAGCGGTCCGTTGTTGAGCTGCTGTTTCATTGAATCATGTGTAAGTTTCGACAACATACTATGTTGCCCTGCATGTTTGAAATTCACGATTTTTTTGGAGCTTAAAAAATTTTTTTGTCATCATATTTTTTCTGATATTATCCTTGAGATTAGTTATTTTTTTGAATGAAATTTCAATTTTTTTCTGGGAAAATTTTGAAATTTTTGGTCAAAAACGACAGGGTATGCATTGATTTTAATTTTTATTTCCAGCTCGACCACCAGGAGTGCTTCCGAACAGGCCGGGCGAGCCGGAATTCAAGATCAAGGCCGAGCCCGATGGGCCCATCGAATTCAAGAGCAACAAGATCACCGAGGGACCCGTCGTGTACGAAATGAAGCTCAGTAATCCAACTGCCAAGCGTCAGACTTTCAAGGTAGCGGCTGGAGCGGGTCTTTGTGGTGTTAAAAATGAGTTAAAAATGGGATTTTTTGTAAAAAAATATTTTTTTTGAGCAGAAAAAGCAATTTTTTGCGTTTTTTTTGTCACCAAAGTTTTGTTACCTCCCAATTCTCCTCCTCATTTTCTCTCTTCTTTTCAGTGCAAATGCACGTCGACCGATTTCTTCCGTCTGAATCCGCCCCTCGGCTTCATCAGTCCCAACGAAACCGTCACGCTGAGAATTTTCTTCCAGTCCAAGACCATCCCCAAAGGCGTCCACTTCATCGCCATCTACCACATGCCCAGCGACGAGACCGCGAAGCCGGTGCGCGAGATTTGGAGCGCGGACGCGAAGCCGGAGGGTGTCCGCCGATTCCGCTGCCATTTCCTCAAGGAAGACGGCACTGCCCATGAGCCTGAAGAAAAAGTCAATAAAGAATGAGATTTTTTAGGGTTTTTGAAGGAGATTGAACTTGTAAAATTAGTGGAAAATAAAAAAATTTCTTTTCTTTTTTTTGGGATTTGGAGATTTATCAGCCTGCCGGGGAAATAATGAGCACTATGTCGCATCGAAAATCATGATATTTTCTTTTCGCAAGCGAAAAGAAATTTGATTTTCTCCGCGACACAATTCATTTTCTTGACAGCGATGCAATTTTCTATGCGAAAAAATGCATACTATTTTCCCGACATGCTGATAATATTATATTTCTTATGAAGTACAATTTACACAGCGCGATGTTCCGGAATAAATCGAAAAATCGCACTGACTCCACACATATCTTATGACTTTTTGTTCCTAACAAGTTCAATCACGCTTGAAACATTGAATTGACCACATTTCCCCGCCCAAATCGACACGTTTCATCAAAATCTGAGCTTGGAGCATTCGTGGTATTATTCTGCCGGGAAAATAATGTGGGCTTCTCGTAGCAAACTGTTTAAAAAAAAATTTCATAATGAAAAGTGACATGTTATACGATGAAAAAACCCTTCAAGTTTTCAAAAAAAGGTGACATGTTATACGATGATTTTTAAATATTTTCGAATTAAAGGTGTCATATTATACGATGATTTTATATAGAAAAAATTTCGTAATGAAAGGTGACATGTTATACGATGAAAAAATTCCTTCAAGTTTTCAAAAAAAGGTGACATGTTATACGATGATTTTTTTAAATTTTCTAGATGATTTAAAAAAAATTTCCTAATGAAAGGTGACATGTTATACGATGAAAAATTTGCTTCAATTTGGGGAGAAACCCACATTACTTTCCCGACAGACTGATATATGCCTATAAATCACACTGTAAAATTTTCTCTGAAAGTGGAAATTTAACTTTGGTTGAATAAATAAATGCCAAACACCAAGCATCAAAGGTTTCGCTCAGAAACGTATTTTTAGTCCAAATTAAATTAAAATCACCATCGAATTTGTCGACTTTGTTACACCAAACCGTTCTCTACAACCTGCCCTCGAGCTCAAAGAATCGACAAATTGTAATGCACACGACAAATCGTAAGGCAAAAAACCGCGCAGAAGAAGGCGAAGTTCAATTGGATCAGGCCGGAACAGACTGTTTCGCATTAGAAACACAATGTATTACAACGCAGCAACATTCCATTAATCAAACATTCTGATTAATCGATTAAACGTTTCGGAAGGCGCAAATTGCAATTACTGTAGGAAGCTTTTGGTACCTTTGGTTTTAAATTGAGTCCAAGGTTAATTTGGACACTTTTTTACTTTTTTTAAGGTCGGCCATTTTTTTTTAATTTCAATGAAATTTTATACGAAGAAAAAATTTTACTGATTTTTTTTGAAATTCTCGCCTTTCATCTCGAAAATTTTTGAAAATTTGAAGAAAGTTTTTTATCGTGTAAAATGTCAGCTTTCATTTTGAAAATTTGAGGAGATTTCTTCATATAACATGCCACCTTTTTGTGATGAAAACTTGAGAAAAAATTTCCATCGTATAACATGTCACCCTCCCTTTTGAAGACTTGAAGAAATTTTTTCATCGTATAACCTGTCACCTGTCATTTTAAAAATTTCTTGAAAATTTGAAAAAAATCATCGTATAACATGTCACCCTCCTTTTTTGAAGACTTGAAGAAATTTTTTCATCGTATAACATGTCACCTGTCATTTTGAAAATCCAAAAAGCCAGCCTCTTCGGCCTCAATCCTAAAGCCAGGCCCATGATTAGCAAAATCCCCATTCGCCTCTGCGCCGTTTTCTCCCTTTTTTTTATTTTTTCGCTCAAATTCTTCGTTTCAAGGCAACTTTTTTTTGAAAATTGTTGATGGTTCAAAAAATCAGTTCTGCACTTTTATGTTTCTTACAAATTCTTGATAAGCGATTGGTTCCGCATCGACTTTTTGTCTCCGGTAGGACATCAAATGAGGATGACAATCACAGCACAAGGTGTAACATTATGAAATCCTAATTTTTTTAATTTCATTTCCATTCCATTCAAATTCTTCGTTTCAAGGCAACTTTTTTTCTGCGAATTTCTGAGAGGTCAAGAACTCACATCGAGACACAAGCTACATTCTATTTTACTCTTTGACCGTCTTATCATCTCTGAATTGCAAGGAACCTTCGTTCCTGAACTCCTCTGTTACTAGAGGAGTTCATCGGGAAAAATACTGAGCACAGTCACGCTTTGCCGATTGCAATTCCATTTTCTCCGCGACACAATTAATTTTCTTGGCGGCGATGCGATTGCCGATGCGACACTGCACATTATTTTCCCGACAAACTCATACAGTGTGTTTCAAGAAATATTGCAGAAAGTTTTTGCGAATATTTTTGTGCTCTTTGCAGCTATCCAAGAGGTTAAAATTGATTTGAAAACTCGAGGATGGGCAATCACATTGCGTATTCCCCAATCGTCGTATCGTCCTTCAATTGCAGTGTACCCTCTTTTTTGCACTTCTTCGTTACATCCTATATCATTTCCCAGACAGAGATCGTTTTTTATTTTTGCAGAAAGCATAACTTAAAAAAATAAAAAAACTACAAACCGATAATTTTCTTGCAATTTCAAGGCCATTAAAAAAACGAAGAAAAAGGAACGGTTGCACTTTTCTCCATTTCTGCATCATGATCAACCTACAACACTCCCAAATCTGTTTGCCCTTTTCGCCAAATTATTACAATTCCATGATAACGGTGTCCTCTTCGCAACGGGAAGCGGGCGATAAATCATTTTTGATAAAGTTGTCGGCGAGACCACCTGGCTCGCCCCTATCACTGGTCCTGTCTTTGTAGCAGGCCAGAATGAGACCACAGCGCCGCGGACCACACATGGCTCCGCGATTCCACGTCTGGCGAAGTGTATGATTTGTGACAAATAAGTAAAGAAAAATAAACAATTGGGAAAAGTGCAAAGTGATATGTCACAGGAAGAATGCTGCCCAAAAAAAACTTGTTTGTTATAGTGAAGGCTTTGTTATACGGCATGAATTTTGATGCGGCTTAAAGAAAATGTGGACTACAGTTAAGAAGACGGTGTAAGGCATATCTCTAAAAATAAAAAAATGTTTTTTAAGAGAGAGTTTTTTTTATGAAAAGATTCTTAGAGATGGCTCGTGGTCCGGCCAAAAATTGGCGCTCGACCTTGCTGGAAAATCGGTTTCCCATGCCCGCTAGTGCATTTTGATATACCGATACCACTATCGGTATATAAGTCGCTGAGAGTTTTCAATTGCACGGTGCACAAGGTTAACTGCACAATGCGGAAAGCTTGCGATAAAAAGTCTACGCACTTTTGAAAAGACGTAGCAGGCGTTCCGGAAAGTCGCCGGACTGAAATTGGCGACATGCACAGTGCGCAAACAGCTTTCTTTGCACTGTGTAATTTCTTCTTTTTTGCACCGTGCAATATCCGTCTGTCGGAAAAATAACGGCGGATCGTCGCATCAAAATGTCTCGCCTCGCCGCTGTCGCGCACCAAATCCCAAGCCGCGGCTTGCAGTCGCAAAGCGATGATGGGCGATTCGGAGGCGCGACGATCCGCCGTTTTTTTCCCGACGGACCGATAGGATTTTTTGAGCTGCTGCACGCACCCTGACTTTTTTCGTACAGTTCGAACGCCAAAAATCAGCCCGGCGGTTTTCAGGGAGGACTAGTATTGCTATTTACTGGAAAAAAGCCGTAATAAACACAAAACAAAAAACGGCTGCTAATACAACCCACCTTTCCTTTGACTGTAATTAGGCAAATTTATAAAAAAAGTTCCCTTCATTTCTTGAATAAAATACTACAATTTGTATTCTTTTTGCTATCAGTCTGTCGAGCACGAAAGTCGTATCGCGGCCGAGAACATGAATTGTGTCGCGGAAAAATTAAATTGCCTTTCACTTCAACGCAGTGCTCATTATTTTTCCGACAGACTGATGGTAAGTTCAATTTGCCGGGCCGGCTCTAGGCCAAAACCCAGGCTTTTTCACTAGGCCGAAAGTGGCCGGCCCGGCTCGTCTCAAAGTTGGCTCTTGGGATTTATCAACTTGTTTCATAAATTTACAGACAAGTTTTGTTCTAAGGGAGTTAGCTGTACAAAAATTCCACTGCTTAATTTCCAAGACATATGAGAGTGTCTAACTCGTGCGTTACGGAAGTTACCGTAGTGGAAGGTATAAATTCCACAAAAAATGGAGGCTTATCAGTTCGCGTTCTACTTATTAAAAAAAAGAAGATCCAAATTGTAAGAAAATCTTCTTTTTTCAACGAATTGTACCATGAACATCATAATTGAGGGTTATTAAATTTGAAATATTTAGAGTTCTGCTTACAGGCCTATGTACAACAAACCCTTTCTATAACAAAGTCATAGTGCCTCAAAAGCCTATTCTAGGCCGAAATGGAGCTCGCTAAAACGGAACGTCTCCATAACGACCCATAAACATCATAATTGTGGCTTACTAAATTTAAAATAGCCAGAGTTCTGTCTACAAATCCCGGTACAACGAAATCTTTCGGTAACAAAGTCGCAGTGCCTCAAACGCTACTTTAAGCCAAAATAGAGTTTGTAAAGGTAAAACCTCGCTATAAAAATCAATTTCCAGGCCCTTGCACTGTGTTCCGCATAGGATTGACCGCATTTTTCCAAACAAGGCTGGAGCACTGTAAATTTTTTCAACGTCTAAAAAAACCCCCTCACTATCAGTTGAAGAGCACAACCCCCTTTTCTGCGGCTCCCACTTTCAGTTTCACGCACTTAATCATCGAGTTAAAACGTACATGTGTGGCGAAACGATCAAAGTACGATTACCGCCCCGGCGATCACCGCACTTTAAAAAGACGCTCGAAGCGGGTCGACAATTAGTCGTATACACCGCGAGGCGTTGAATTATGGTGGCGGCGTATCCGAATCAAATCGACGAAGAGATTACGGTACCCCGTGCGCTGGAACAGAACAATAATGTGGAGGAGAAGGTAGGCGAATGTTTTTGGTGGCTATGAAGGCGATTGTGGACAAATGTTTGAAGCGTAAATGCCGAAGAAGTCCGTTGGGCAAAAAGTTCCGGAAAAATTGGTTTTCTCCTTATCCTAGTGGGATCTAGAGTAAGCATGACTGCAATCCGGGCCACGAAAATTACGAAGGCCTGGCCCGGTCGGCCCGGTGAAAATTTTTTGTGTAATTTATTGAGTCTGCAAACTTTCATTCTGTGGAAAACGTGCTAGCCGGATGTTTTTTGGATGCCAGAAATTCTTGCCATATTACATTTGGAGCAGACCGGTCATTGTTTTAGACTTTTTGATGTAACTTTGAAAATTTTTTCGATATTTTTTTTTTCGAATTTCGCCACTTTTTTGAGAACTCTCGGAAAATCCTAGCTTTTTCAAACCGGGCCGGCCCGACCCTGGCCAGGCCTGAAAATCGGGCAGTACACCGTGTGTCATCTAATCTCGAGGCCCTCTAATCGCTAATCATGGCCGAAATATTCCCCCTCAAAGCCGCACGCATTTATCAACTTGCTGGCACGGGCGCAAGTTGGGCCGGGCCGCAAAATTAAACGGCCCGGAGCAGGCCTTAAAAATTTCAAAAATTAGAAATCAATGCGAGCTGTGCCCAGGAAAAAACTAGAAGCCTAACAATAAGCCTAAGCGCTAATCTAAGCTTGGACTAAGCCTAAACTAAGCTGTCTCTAGCCACCTTTTCATTGTATAAAATGTCCTCAGCCGGTCAAAACAATCAGATGAAATCCCCGTTCATTTTCCCAAGAGTTTTGATCTTTGGGCGGTGACCAATCTTCTGAACCCCCCACCTTTTCTGATTGTTATTTGTTTTTCGTAAACAGTTCTGTCAGGAAGTAATTTTCAACTATAAACTTCTGACCTACAAAGGTCAAAACATTACGAATTTACAACACAAATTAAAAAGTATAAACAATAGATTGCGGACCCTTTGGTACCCAGCTGTTTGAAGTAATTGATTGATTCAAGCGTTGTAATCGCTAGTCAAAGTGATTAAATGACCCAGTGGTCCAGAAGAGAGCTGGGAGAGGTCGTGAGGTGGTGTCGAAACACTTGCAGGCAACGCCCTCTTGCTGCAAAGCGCAAGCTAAAAATTTTAAGAATTGATGTGTGGCCTATGTACAAAGTGTGCGCTGAACTTAAATAAAATCTGAGCGTAGTGACTTGGGGCACTTCTCTTTTAAACTTTGTCTATTGGCATTGACTTTTCAGGTGTCCAAGCCAAATCTACCGACCTTGACGGAGCTTCGCAACGCCATTCCGGCGGAATGTTTCGAAAAGGATTGGAAAAAATCCACATTCTTCTTGCTTTGGGACTTTGCTGTCATCGCCGGCCTATATCTTGTCGTCCCCTACGTTGAACAATACTTTGGGTGGTTCGGGCTGTTGTCATGGTAAGATAAAGAAGTTTAAAACCTTTTCCAAGTTATCGAAACTTTTAAAAGTCTCGCATTTTACCATCAAATTATAGGTACTACATCATGGGAATGTTCATGTTCTCGTTGTTTGTTGTTGGCCACGATTGTGGCCATGGGACCTTCTCCGAGTCGGTGATACTCAACGATATCTTGGGTCATGTTGCGCACGCGCCATTGATGGTGCCATATTGGCCATGGCAAAAGTCGCATCGCCAACATCATCAGTATACGGCGCATTTGGAGAAGGACCACAGTCATCCGTGGGTCACGGAGGAGTACCACTTCAACAGACATTGGGTCTTCCAGAACTTCAACAAATTCCCACTTTCGGGATTCATCAGGTGCGTGAGGAGGGAAAGACAGACGGAACTCTGGAATGGTATCAGTCTGTCGGGAAAATAATGAGCGTGATGTCGCCGCGCCGATCGCGTCGCTAAAGTGAAAAACGATAGTTTGCCGCGATACTGATCATTTTCTCCGCTGCGATGACAGATTTTTGATGCAACAGAGTGCTCGTTATTTTTCCCGATTTTCATAAAGTGCATGGACATTTTGCCGCGGCCCCCACTGTGCACAAAAAATCCCATTTTTGCATCGTGCATTTTTACTTTTTGGTTTTCGCACAGTGCGTCGGAAGCGTCGCTGCGACGACTTTTTTTCTAAAAACCTCGATTGTTTCTGCAGAGCTCGAGCTCAAAATTAAAAAAAAAAAAAAAAATATATATAAATAAATCTTCAGATGGAACGCTCTCTACCTTGTGATGGGAATCCCGGATGGCTCCCACTACTACCCCTTCTCCAGGCTCTTCAAAACGCACGCCGATCAAATCAAGTGCGCCATCAGTGTTGCGGCGTGTTTTGCATGCGCCTACGGGGCATTTGTCGTCTGCGACTACAATGTGTACAGATACACAAAGTACTACGTGGTCCCACTCCTTTTCCAAGGCCTTTGGCTGATCATGGTGACATATCTGCAACATCAGGACGAAGAGATTGAGGTTTATGAGGATTCGGAGTGGAGTTTTGTCAGAGGTCAGACACAGACCATCGACAGGACGTACGGAATGTATATAGACACATTGATGCATCATATTACGGATGGTGAGTGTTTGAGGATTAAGCTGGCAAAAGGCGGTGCACGGCAACCCGAAATACAGGGTGTTCCAAGAATTGTGGAAAAAACTATTCGTTAATAACTTTATGCTCGGTGGTCCAATCCGAAAATTTTTTTTTGCATTTTGCAGAAAACCCTTGGAGTTTTTAGAATCAAAAAAGATTTTTTCGTTTTATCGGCGGAGACTTCCGTAATCCGCCTTGAATTCGGCGGAGTGCTTTTTTCACAAACGAGGCTGTAAAATGGGTTCATTTTTTTCTCCGCCGATTTCTCCGCCGAATTGCCTTTTTTTCTTCTCTCAGTAGGCCGAAGACGTAATAAGTCGTATTTAGGCGCCATGCCACCAGGAATACCTACGTTTTGATTTTAGCCAATTTTGACTCTCAAAAGTCGAAGAAAAATTGTCCGCCGAGGTTAAAAAATGTCTCCGCCGAATGAAAAAAATTTGAAACAAATGTCATATTGTATCTATTGAATCCTCTCCCGCCCATTTACTTCACACATACAACAATTTGCAGCCTCGTTTGTGAAAAAAGCACTCCGCCGAATTCAAGGAGGATTACCGGAGTCTCCGCCGATCAATGAAAAAATTTTTTCTTGATTCTAAAAACTCAAAGGTTTTCCTGTAAAATGCAAAAAAAATTTTTTGGATTGGACCACCGAGCACAAAGTTATTAATGAATAGTTTTTTCCATAATTCTAGGAACACCCTGTAGAAGAAAAATGTCTCCCACCCACTTTTGAGTTCCGTCCAAACGAAGTGTCAAAATTCGCAAAAGAAATAAAATAATTACGAGAAAAATATTTTTTGGCCGGAAAATCCAACGAAAAATTCTTTTGTGACATTTCGTGTAAATTCGATGGATACTAGGTGTGCGAAGTGTCGAAACAAGGCGGGAGACTTCCTGGGTTGCCGTGCGACGCGGTTGAAACTCGCTTATGTCGCAGCGATATTTTCGATGCCCAGTGCGGAAACCAAAAAAGTGCAAAGTGACCGCTCCTTTACAGTGCGTCAGAGGTTTTTGGTTCCACCCCATTTTTTGATCATATCTCGGAGGGTTTCTTCTCAAATGTCATGAAATTTTACACAAGCGTTAATCAACCTTCAAGAGTAAGCTATGCAAAGTTTGATCCCATTTGACGCCAGTTCTCTGACGTTATGGCAATTTTTAAAAAATTTTTGGGTGTCCCAGGTTTTTGGTTCCACTTGGAAATTTGCGAGTTTTTCTTCCGGTTTTGAACCAACCTGCGCTTAATGCCATTTCTCGTGTTCTATGCAGTATTAGAAAGGGTGTTACGTTCGGATCTACCGTACTTTATCGACGCAGTGGCCCCATCTCCGACCTTGTACATGAGGTAAACATTGGTTTGAAAAAAATCCCTATTAGTGATTTATTTCCGGCAAGAAACAATTTAGACTACTTGCACCAAATGTCAGTCGGGAAAATAATGAACACAACGTTATATCGAAAATTGCATCGCCGCCAAGAAAAGAAAAACTATTTTTTATGTTTTCATTGAGTGGGCAAAAAGCTCTAGAAATTTTCTGCGACACCATTCGTGGCCGCGAGAAATTTTCAGGGCTTATCAGTCTGTTGGGAAAATAATGAGCACTCCGTCGCACCGAAGATCGCATCACCACCGAGAAAAATGAATTATGTCGCGGCAAAACCAAGTTTCTATTCACTTCAGCGACATGATCAGCGCAACGAAAATTTTCTCATTATTTTCCCGACAGCCTTATTAGCCAAAAAAAATTTGAATCAAACGCTTGCAACATCCTTTTCAGGTCACGTGGTTCACCATCTCTTCTTCACCAAGATCCCCCACTATCATCTCCCCGAAGCGACCAAGGCCATCCAGCGGGTCTTTGAGCGCTATCCGGGCGTCTACAAGCGCCAGAACAACTTCCTCTCGCTCTACGAGTTCCTGCGGCTGAACGTGCGTCTGGACTATCTGCTGGGCAAAGGGACTGGCGTGTTGCGATACCGGGTGTCCAAGGTGTACGCTGGAAAGAAAGACGAGTAAATATCCCCTATATACGAAGTGTACGAATATTTGCGCTATTTACAAATAAATTATAAATTTAATTACGACGTTCTTTGAGCCAAAATTGCCTACGAATTATGTCACTTTAACGCCGAAAAACCTTATTTAATATTAGGAATGCGGACAGGTGTTTGTGAAATGCCATTCGCTTTCAAAAAACGCAATTCATGCTGCTTTCGGCCGAGAATTTCCCGTCCGACGTACAGCTTGAGCTCTTCGCGACAGCATGCAATATCGCATTTGTTGTGAAGATTGTGGTGGTGGCGTTTACGTTGACTGTCATGATGAAATGTAAGTGGTTGTGGGAAATTTTTATTGCTAAAATTGGGCATTCAAAGCTGTAAAAACTTTCATCGTATAGCATGTCACTTCTCATATTGAAAACGAAAAAAAATTGTCCATCGCATAACATGTTTCCTTTCATTTTGAAAATTCAAAAACTTGGGCCGGTTTCCTTTCCGGAATTTCATTGGAAATGGTCGGGCGCAGCTCGGAAAACGAGCCTGGAAAATTTTTATTGACTCTTCGCTTTTTTTGGCTCTTCATCGTATAACATGTCACCTTAGATTTTCAAAATTTGAAGAGAATTTTCCATCGTATAAAATGTCATCTTTTATCGTGAAAAATCAAAAAAAATTTCATCGTATAACGTGTCACCTTTCGTTCTAATAAGTCAAAAAAAATCATCGTATAACATGTCACCATTCATTTTGAAAATTCAAACAAAAAAAATCATCGTATAACATGTCACCTTTCATTCTGAAGATCCAAAAAACAGGACTCTTCGCTTAGATTTAATACATATTGAATTTGGCACCTTTTCAGCCCAAACAATCAACGTGAAACTCTACCACTACTATCTGCTCTCCGCAATCACATGGTAAGCTATACGACCTCTTTGAGCCCTCTCTCTCCATAGGTCAACCATCTCCGACTCGCTCTGGAGTGCAGTTGGAGTTATTGAGATCCTCCCTCTGCCATGTCTCACCTTCTACGCGTTTGGCGCCGCAATCACACAAAACGAAAAGGCGTTTTTCGGTATCGTCGCATTCTTCACCACCGGCCGGATGGTGATTGTTGGATTCGAGTTATTTTATCGCATCTCCCAATCGCTGCATCCACAATCGAGGCTGTACAAGCCGATGAAGCTGATGACAACCGACCATCCTGTCATAGGCTTCTGCGGTTCGTTGGCGGTGATCTATGCGATGATATGGGTAAGGCTGAAGTTTGAGTTCGGATTGTTGTGGGATGGGGCTCAAATTATGGTTGCAAAAAGGCTATTCAGACAGCGTGAAGGTTCCTTTTTATTTACAAGTCAAGTACCCCAAATGCAATGCTCAGACTTTTTGTAAGCTTCGCGTATACGTTGGCTATACTACCTTATATTAAATCTCGAACGTTGTAGCTTGCTCTTTACAGCGTAGCCGAGATATTCCGCGATCTTTGGAGAGAACGCGAAATGCGGAGGTATATAGTAATTTTCAACTATGGAAGCACTTCTGTCCTAAAAAGGTCAAAACATTACGAATTTACAACACAAATTAAGGCAAACAATTAAAAAGTATAAAAAAATAGATTGCGGACCCTTTGGTACCCAGCTGCTTGAAGCAATTGATTGATTCAAGCGCTGTAATTTCTAGCCAATGTGATTAAATGACCCATTGATCCAGAAAAGTGCTGTCCGGTGGCGCCACGACTGTTGCGGGCAACCACATGGGCAACCGAAACTTTCCAATTAGAACTATAATACGATTTTCCTTGTGGGGAAGATAATGAAAAAAAAACAGCCTAGGGTTAGCAATGGCTAAAATTAGACAAAGTGGACATATTGCATGTCTTCGCCAAGTCTCCACAGGCTTTCGCCTGGCCTTCGCCGAGCACCCAACGGCTTTTCCAGGCCTTGTAGGCGCCTCTTAAAACCTTTTTTTGTCTCCACCTGCCCTACGCCTTGTATCGATCGATTCTGTGCTGACCCGAAAAGCCGGCTCTAAGATTTAGTATCAGTCTGTCGGGAAAATAATGAGCACAATGTCGCTGTGCCGATCGTCTCGCTGAAGTGAAAAGCAATTTGATTTTGTCTCGGCACAATTCATTTTCTCGGCGGAGATACGATGCGATATTGGTCTCATTATTTTCCCGACAGAACAATAAAATCATCATTTTCTGCAGTCCACAAAAATTAAGCATTCCAGGTGCCCATGCTGATCAACTTCCCTGAGCAAGCGGCTCAACGCCAACTGTTAATCATGACTGATCCTGAAATCGAGCCTCTACTCCAACGAATGCCTCATATTCTCTGCTTCGCTCCGGGAACAGAGACTGGCCCGGCATTGCTCTCTATTGCTATTTTATTGGTATTCACCGCCTCCTTTACGATTTACATGCTCTTCTTTACACATCATCAAATCAAATGCAGCAAACGGCCGGAAAAGACGAAACTCTTGCATCTCATGCTGCTCAAGTCATTTGCGGCGCAAGTCCTTGTGTTAATTACTGTTCTGTGCTTGCCGTTGCAGATCATGTTCGTATTGCCGTATTTCCTGCCCACTCCGCTTCCCAAAGTGGGCATGGTTTGCATACAAATCGTGTTCGTTGACGCGAACATCGAATGCTTTATGCTTCTGTGGTTTGTCCGACCGTACCGCACGACCTTGCAAAGAATGCTGAGAATTCTCAAGTCTGGAAAGTCGCTGACGACTGTGTCCACATATTCGCATAGTCTAACTGCTTAAGAGTGGCTGGGCATTGCTGAAACAGGTGTAATGGAACACGTGCTCTTAATATTATGCTTTTCATGTTTTAAAATCCCAATTCTGATATCACCGAGGGAACTGCCATCACGTCAAGCTGTTTGCTATTTTCTGACCTTGTACGACTATTCGCGGAGATGTTACAAACTTTCAATCTACATAACCTCAGGCGCACGGACATACAATTTATTGAACTCCTCGGTTTTTTCAGTCCACCATCTTATTTCTTTTTTTCGGTGAGATCTTGCATTAGTAGTTTTTACAATGTCATCAAATTTAGGGCTTCATATGGGCACTGGTTCCCGGTCAAAACTGCAACAATGAGAAATTGTTCTGGCAGTGGATACCTATTATAATTGGATATGATTTTTGGCCCCAAGCTCCCTAAAATTGTCTCCATTGCCTACTGCACCAACACGACATTCAGCTTGTCGTGACAGTTGTTTCCGACCGGCTTCGCCGCCATGATCTTCATTATTGGCCGGTAAATGAAGCGGAGCAGACGTTTGGAGGAGACGATTCAAATGCACGTAATGCTGCTCCGTTAATTGGCTAGGCAACAGTATTATGGGAAACGGTGTCAAGAAATCTTGGGATTCTTGCCGATTGGAGAAGTAGTCAGTTGTACTCTGTGTAAAACCTTGCCAATACGTATGCTTTTTGACGGAATAAATAAATGTGATTTAATAAATAAATCATCTGTAACACACTGCCGGACAGGTGCACTAACCATACATCTCCAGGTTTTAGTAGCATTGCCTTTTTAGGCCATGTTACTTTATCCGGACGAACTGCCGCCGCCGGAAATTGAAGCTCTATACCGACTGGCTTGCAGGCTCGTCTTTGTTTTTACTTCAGCCGTTGTGGCGGTCACGTTGGTCGTAATGACTCAAGGTTAGCTCTGTTTGCTCCAAAAAACCTTTATTTTTAGCTTCCGTGAGATCAATCAAAACATATCATTACTACATGCTCACAGAGGTTATATGGTAAGTAAACTGGTAAGACAGACTGTTGTGGGTGCAAATTTTTGATAATGGTTGGTCTCCAAAGTGGACACCTGGGCGAAGAAAGCACCTTGGCGATGAGGGCATCTAACCTTTTTGAAGAGACTGCTTTGAGGAAGAAATGGTATGGTGAGGCGGGAATCAAGGCGGATTGTGATCAAGCTTGAACATTTCGCCTTGGCCCCCTTTTACCGTATCATTTTTTGGCAATTGGGTAAGCCAAAAAGTCATCAAAAATGGTATGGTTGCTCGCCGCAACCTTACCATACAATATTTTTCCTTGTGGTACCCTCTTTGAGTTGCCCCCTTTGCCCACGCGCCCTTTTTGTTAGGTCTCTTCCGGACCAAATCTTGCAAATCAATCCATAAATGGGACACTGTTTGCAGCTCATACATTTGCGATTTGATCTTAACTGCTGCCGCGCTGATCACACTCCAGCCGCTGCCCTGTGTTTCGTTTATAGGGGTTTTGGGTCCCTACGCCGATGTGTACCCTAAATCAGTTGCTTCATTGGCGATGTTCATAGTCAGTATGCGATGTGTGGCGGTTTGGCTTCAAGGCGTTTACCGTATCGGCCAGTCGGTTCCGCCCTACACCATCTTCTATCAGATTACGCACAACCTGTTGCATGACTACGCTGTGTTAAATTTCCTGCTCCTGACCATGGTTGGATATGCTGGGGTCTGGGTGAGGCATTGTACCTGGGGGAGCCAAGTCTTCCTCCCTGGGTGGTCAACTGTTCCCCTCAGTTTTTTTATCAATGGTAATATGATGGACTGCTTGTGTGATTCCATATATCGACGTTACAATAACTCGAAAAGTAGAAGGCAAAGCGTCCTGTTGACACACGAAGAATCGTCAAGCAAGCAGTTTATTTACATATATAAGTCCTGCCAAAAAATTGAGAGGAAGAGTTGACCATCCCAGTGAGAAAGACTTGGCTAATTTGGAATAAGAAAAATCCATAGCCTCATCTCAAACCCTTGCTTGTAGGGACCAATGTGGCTGTCATTCCCCGACCAACAGCGTCAACGGAGCATCCTGCTCAGCATCGATCCTTCGTTTAGCGCCATCCTTCAACGCTTCCCGCATACAGTGTGCTTCGCGTACGGCCCCGCCACCGGCAACTCATTGTGGTTTGTGACGCTTTTTGTCATCGCCGTACCGGCCAGCGGAATCTCCATCCTCGTGTGGGTGTCCTGGCTAACGAAGCGCAGTAGCCAGCCGGAAAAGACGATAAAGCTGCACACAATGCTGCTACGCTCACTGCTTGTCCAAATAACGGTGTTGCTCGTATTTCTATGCCTTCCCGCATACGCTCTACTCTTCTTTCCGGCCATTGGGATGAGAGCAGCTCCGAAATTGTCAATGTGTTGTGCGGCGGTTTGTTTTTTGGAGACAAATATTGAATGTGTGATGACTCTGTATTTTGTGAAGCCGTACAGAGTGTGCTGCGCCAGGCTGTTTAGAGATCTACTCTGCCGAAAGAATCAATTCTTCTTAACGGTGCGATCACGCAGTTCCACTGAGCAGTGACATGAACGTAGGCGGTTTTCTTTACTTTTAAAAAGTGCTTTGATGAAGATGGTAGCTCAACAAATTAGTTGAAGACCCCATTAGTATTTTTATAAAATGCATGGACATTTCTTCTCTTTTGCACAAGGCATCGCGAACTTTTTCCTGCGGTTATCGCCAACGCACAGTGCATTTCTTTTTTCCCTCTTTCCTTGCACTATGCGAATTTCTGGTACTTCTGCAGCCACGTAGTGAAACATGCTTATGTCGCAGGGATATTTCAATGCTCAAAGATCAAAAAAAAGCAATGCAAAACGGGGTGTTTTTGTGCATGGTGCGGCCCGTACCAAATGTCCATGCACTTTACGAAAGTACTATCAGTCTGTCGGGAAAATAATGAACACTCTGTCACATCGAAAGTCGCACCGCCGCCGAGGAAATGAACTCCGTTGCGGCAACATAAAATTGGTTTTCACTTCAGCGACGCGATTGGCGCAGTGACAGAGACTTCACTATTTTCCAGACACAATGATGTTAAAAATACAAAATTAAAAACAAACATAACATCATCTTTACTAGAATAAAAACTGGGTTTACGTCACTATTGAAAACTTTGTATGTATGCTAATTCACAATACATTTCCGAATCTACCTAGAACCCCACCCGCTCTTTTGAAAGAGCCAAAAATATCGCTGCAAAACAGGTGGAGCGAGTATTGTATGTTGGCCCTTCTCTGTTTATTCGACATACGAAATGTCACTTTCGGCGGAAGAGCTGCCGCCGCAAGAGATGACAGTCATCTATACTAGTTGTTGCCGCATCTTCTTTGTGTTCACAACCACGATAGTAATATTTACATTAGCGGTGATGTTGATGTGTAAGTGGCCGTGTTAACTTTGCAACAGTATTTTAGCCTCCACACAGTCGATGAAGGTCTACCATTACTACTTGGTCTCAAGCGTAGCGCTGTAAGTGATCTACATCCTTCAGGGTGAGATGTCAGTACCAATTTGCAGCTCCTACCTCTGTGACGCCATGTTCAGTGCCATTGCATTCATTTCGCTGCAACCACTGCCATGTTTAGCATTTCTTGGTGTTATGGGCCCTTCAATTAGTTCGCATCCATTGACGGCGGCATCAACGGCAGTGTTGATCGTCTCCAGTCGGTGTGCCGCTATCATCATACAATGCATTTATCGGATCTTGCAAGCCGTCCGACCACAGATGATGTCTTATCCACTTTTCTATAGGTTCTTCCATGATCACTTCGTGATCACGTACTTTTTGATATTACTCATGGTCTACGCTTGCATCTGGGTATGTGCTCAAAATATATCACTCTCTCATGAAAATAATGAGCATAATGTCGCATCGGCCTTGTGTCGCGTGAAAATCAAATTGCTTTTCACTTCAGCGACACGATCGGCGCAGCGACATTGTGCTCATTATTTTCCCGACAAACTGATAGATACCCCTAATAGATGACTAATAGACTGATAGATGATTCTCGAAACTCTGAAAAAACAGGCTATGACCGCCTATCGAAAATGCCGACTGTACGGTCTGTCGGGAAAATAATGTGGATTGGAATCGCCCATCATCGCTTTACGGTGACTTGCCGCGGCTAGAGAAGATTTTATTTGGTGCGCGGCTGTGACGAGTCGAGCGATCTTTCAGCCCCATATAAGGTCGTGAAGCGCTTGGAGGAGGGGGAGGTGGTCACTAATCCAAAGGAGAAAGAGTATAGGGTTTATTGGGACGAAATGAAGCGCACACACGCAACCGGAATCCGGAGGCAGAATTAAAAGATATTGGGATTGTCTGTTGTATTTATACTTTCTAGCTTATTCAAATTTCCTGGGAACTTGGGTGAGAACCCAACAGATACCTTGCTTCTTTTACAAACCTCGTAATATCAGTCTGTCGGGAAAATAATGAGCATAATGTTGCATTTAAAGTCGCCCGCCGATGAGAGAATGAATTGTGTCGCGGGGAAAATCAATTTTTTTTACTTCAGCGATGCACGTCACACTGAGGAGTCCGGTGACCGGAATAGACTCTTCGCTATCGGTTTTTTACACTTCGTCTTGATTTCACAAAGAAGTCAGAATAAAAGACGCGAAAAAACGTACTCTCTCGCCGTAAAAAATCCCCATTTCTTCCCCGACTAAAAGTTTTTTCGGTTTTTTTTGCGGATTGCCAACCTGTTCACCGGACTCGGCGCAGCGATATTGTGCTCATTATTTTCCCGACAGACACCCGAGTATGGGCTTTTCCAATCCACTCATTTACAGGGTCCCATGCTGCTGACATTTCCGGACCAAGACGTTCAAAAACAACTCCTCTTGGAGTCGGTCCCTATCATGGCCGACGTCTACGAACGTTTCCCCCACATTCAATGCGTCACATATGGCACGGACGTGGGCACCAGCCTCTGGATCCCACTCATACTCGCCATTATCGTCCCAATTTTCGTAGCGGGCATGGTGTACGGAGTGTACAAGCAGGTGAGGAAAAACAAACACCTCCAGAAGACCAACCATCTGCATCGGATGTTGTTGCGGTCGTTGATTGTGCAGATTCTCGTCCTCACCCTGTTCATCTGCCTTCCCGCCTACACCTTGCTGTTGCTTCCGTCCTTCGGGGTGCATGGCGCTCCGAGACTCTCGGTCTACTGCGTCACCTTCTATTTCATGGAGACCAATGTGGAATGTCTGATGTTGTTGTGGTTTGTGAGGCCGTACAGAGAGCAATGTCGGCATATCCTGCGATTTGGCTGGCGTAGGAAGGGCGTGTCGCTAACGACAGTAATAACTTCGGCGTATTCATAGGCTAGAGATATTTTCTGTTAAATCAGTCTGTCGGGAGAATAATGAGCACAATGTCGCTGCGCCGGTCGCGAAGTCAAAAGCATTTTGATCTTCGGGGCATAATTCATTTTCTCGGCGACGATGCTATTTTCGATGCGACAGAGTTTTCATTATTTTCCCGACAGACTGATAAAACACTAGCTTTAAAGTCTTTGTTGCTATTTTAAAAGTTGCAATTCACACGTTGTCTGTACAGTTAATGCACGTGCTCTCCTATTATTAGCAATATTCTTTTAATTCAGCTGCCTTTTTAAACAGTTCCCTGATTTTTCGATAACCATGGCTGCAATAAATGCGTGTTTGTAGTGGTAATATCAAACGCGCAGGCTGCAGGCAAAGATGGTGCACGCTGAAAAATGTGTCCCGTTCTTCGTGCAATTAATATTGCGCCTGTTCAAAAGTGCGTAGATTTTTTTGCGGCACACTATGAAAATCCACATTATTTTCCCGACAGTGTGATTTTTCAATTGCACGATGATAAAGGTCAATTGCATATTTCGGAAAGCTTGCGAAAAAGTCTACGCACTTTCAAAACGGCGTCGTAGCATTTCCCAATCATCTTATCCTCTGTCAGTCAAGACAAAATATTGTCGCATATGAAGAAAACAATGTAAGTATACTCCCCGCCAAAAGTTTTGACCCCCCTTCTAACTCGGCCCAAAGTGTACCAATTTGGACCAAATTTGGTACGTAGTCTTCTGACAACCTTGTAGTAAAAAATATCATAGTAGGAAAAACCATATAGCTGTATTTCAAAATCCAGGGACAATTTTCAAAAATCACCTCAAAAAAACGGGACAAAAGTTTTGACCCCCCTGCAAAAAAATGAAATATCGCCAGCGGAGGCAACCAGAACCTTTTTTAACCGGTATCCCGTACCTGAACATGGGTTAATAAATGCTTTTTTGTTGAATGCTTCGTTGCATTTGAGGATGCAACGCGTTAAACTGATTTTGATGTAGAGCTGCCGAAAATGGTAAAAATCTTGTACTGGCGCTTTCCAAAAATTTCAAATTATATTCACATCATGTGGTTTTGACGTTTTATAACTTGCATTAATCTTTTCCTTTCGAAAAAAGTCCATGATGGCCTAGCAGAATCGATTCAGCCGATATCCAGTTGTAATGGTCAGCCTTGGTGAGCCAGTTGCTCTTTGACTAAAGGTCTAGATGTGGTCGCTAGGTCCTCAATCTAATCCTGAGACTTGTGTCTACTCTCAAAACAAGAATAAACCCCCGCTGACATGATCCCAAATGGTTTGTAGATGCAACTTTACCGATCTGCACCTTAAAGAAAAACCCGCGTTTTTCAAATGGTTCTTTTGCGGCCAAAAACGGCTTTCATTTGATGGGCCAGGTAATTTAGGACGCTACAGCACCCGCCATACTAATTTGAGACGTATGGAACGCCAAATGGGCGGTGGGGATGGCATCGTACTCGGGGGCATCTACAGTAACGGCAAACTTATGATTAAGGTGAATGAAACCCATTCCAAAACGTGTCAAATCGAAACCTTTTACCTTGCTGAGAGTAAATAGGAGTCTCAGGATTAGATTGAGGACCTAGCGACGACATCTAGACCTTTAGTCAAAGAGCAACTGGCTCACCAAGGCTGACCATGACAACTGGATATCGGCTGAATCGTTTCTGCTAGGCCATCATGGACTTTTTTCGAAAGGAAAAGATTAATGCAAGTTATAAAACGTCAAAACCACATGATGTGAATATAATTTGAAATTTTTGGAAAGCGCCAGTACAAGATTTTTACCATTTTCGGCAGCTCTACATCAAAATCAGTTTAACGCGTTGCATCCTCAAATGCAACGAAGCATTCAACAAAAAAGCATTTATTAACCCATGTTCAGGTACGGGATACCGGTTAAAAAAGGTTCTGGTTGCCTCCGCTGGCGATATTTCATTTTTTTGCAGGGGGGTCAAAACTTTTGTCCCGTTTTTTTGAGGTGATTTTTGAAAATTGTCCCTGGATTTTGAAATACAGCTATATGGTTTTTCCTACTATGATATTTTTTACTACAAGGTTGTCAGAAGACTACGTACCAAATTTGGTCCAAATTGGTACACTTTGGGCCGAGTTAGAAGGGGGGTCAAAACTTTTGGCGGGGAGTATATAATATTTTTCTCTTTATTGTATTGTCACTGTGTCTTTTTGTATCGTCTACTTCTCAGGTGCACCAACAGGAACAAAACAGTTTTTCTTTTCGTAAGGTCTATTTTCACGCTCCGGCGGTAAAAACACTTTTTGGCGATGTTCTTGCCAGCTACGCGCGTAAAAAATTATTTTTTTCTGGAAACTTAACTTTCTCGGCTAGAAACCGAGAAAGCGAGAATTAGTACGTATATTGTTGTCGAGAAAAGTCTCCACAATTCTCAGGGAAATTTGCATAAGTCAAGTCATATAAAAGGAACACATCGTCACCAAAAGTCTCATATCATTCCTTGTTCTGTGTTCGAGCTCTAACAGTCTCTCCGACACCTTTTTTGTGTCTACCCCCAGAAGAGCGGTCGTCCAAACACCCCTATCTTACCTCTCTGCGACTGATCCTCCATCATATGGGGGCTGAGCCTTGGAGCTGTATGAATCGCCGTGTGGCAATAATCTATTGCAAAAACCTAGTCTAGACCTCAAATACACTTCGATTTCCCTCTAATCCGCCCACGATGCTCCCTAGTCCCTGCCAAATATGTGGCCACTAGAGGCCACATGTTTTTATATATGGGTTGTTTCATGGTCTCTCTCCGCTTTGAATCCAATATTGTACATGACTTTTGCTCGCGTCGCATTACAAGATAATAAATAATTCCATAATTCATCGAACGCCTGAATCCGTTCGCTACATTCCACCAAAAAGATGAGGGATTGTTTTTCGATACGCGGGTCAATGTGCTATATTTTATAATGCTCAAAGTTCTGAACGTCCATTGAGCCGCTAAATGCTGCTCTCACCGGATGAATTTCCATCGCCAGAAGCCCTCAACTTCTACGTCGTTTATTGTCAAGTTATTTTTTGTGTGACGACAATAGTTGTAATCTTCACATTAGTCGTCATGACCATATGTAAGTCATCTATTAGCAATATTTATTTTAAAATCTAGCTTCCACCCAGTCCATGAGAGTCTATCACTACTATTTGGTCAACGAGATTGTATGGTCCTACCTATGCGACGCGATTTGCAGCGGCTCGGCGTTGATTGCCATGCAGCCTCTACCCTGCCTAGCGTTTCTTGGCGGACTGAGTCCGTTTGCCAGCTCACAGCCGCGCGTAATCGCGGCGGTGGCAATTTTCATCATCAGTGGTCGGTCGGCAGCGATATGTTTGCAATGTTTCTATCGGGTCTTCCAATCGGTTCCACCGCAAATGTCAGCATATCGGGTTTTGTATAGACTGTTCAACGACTACGTTGTCTTGGCCTTTCTTGTGTTCACGATGATCGTTTTTGCCACTCTTTGGGTGAGTGAAGCCTTAAGCAAACCATAAGCTTTACTTGTCGCCGTTCGACAGGGTTTTAGCGTGGCCGTGCACTATGCAGGCACATGAGAAGTCTGCTTGGCCCGCCTAGTGTGTGGCCGTCTCTAACAGGGGAAGTGCTTAGAGTCTGACTCCACAATTAGAGGTGACAATCGGGTTGGGAAAGTTTGAAAAAGCCTGCCTGTAGCTGACCAAAAATTACGGGTGAGAGGTCGGCTAAAAAGATATGTCCAAAAAGCACTATCCCCTTTATCGTTCTCCCAGTTTTGCGTACCCTCTCGGCCGCGAAAATCGTTGGATTTGGTGACAAATATATTATACATTTTTACAGGTACCGATGTCAATTTTCTTTCCCGACCAAGACCAGCAAAAGCAACTGCTCCTCGACACCGACCCAACATTGCAAACGATATACACTCGTCTTCCGCATATTATTTGTTTTGCCGGTGGCACGCGGATAGGCGGCAGTTTGACCATGGCAATAGCACTGCTGATCCTCATCCCCGCTATTGGGATTTTTATGGTTTATTTGCTCTATCGACAATTGAAGCGGAGCAAACGCCCTGAAAAGACGATCCATTTGCATTTGATGCTGCTACGATCCTTGGCCATACAAGCTTTTGTCTTGTTCATGTTCATTGTTGTGCCAGCGTACATTTTAATCCTCTTGCCGATGTTCGGGATGAGGTCGGCGCCGAAATTGTCCATGTGCTGCGCGGTTGTCTATTTTCTGGAGACCAATATGGAATGTCTCATGTTATTGTGGTGTGTGAAGCCGTACAGAGAAGGATGTTTGCGGGTTTTTCGAATTGGAAAGGCAGAGATCCCTTCGCTTCTGGTCAGGTCTTCATCGAATTAAAGACCATCCTATAGTACACACAAGTGACGCCGACCGCGTGCGAAGACATCTTTCTACAAGTGACGCCGACCGCGTGCGAAGACATGTTAGAAAATGAATTGTGTCGCGGCAAAATCAAATTGCAGATGTTCCACAGTATCTTATTTTTTAAGTTGCATATCATTGTCATCACCCTTTTATTGCGCACATTCTTAACGGGTATTTTATTTTTTGCAATGCACTCGTCATTTATTTACATTTGTCTATGCATAACCTACTCCTGGTTTCTGAATAAAGACTTGCAAAAGGTTTTGTGAGCTGTGGAATTATTTATGTAATGTTAACACGTGGCATGAATGAACAAGGACTTATTACGCTTTTCCAAGAGGTGTTGACTTTTCTGTTGCAGGGGTTTCCTGCAGTGTGCTTTTGACATATTGCACGATGCAATCGAAATATTAGTCTGTCGGGAAAATAATGTGGATTTGTCGCGGAAAAGCTCTCGTCTCGCCACGGTCGCGCACCAAAGCCCAAGTCGCGCGACAACTCCACATTATTTTTCCGACAGACTAGTATTAACAATAGGCACCGGGAAATGGATCTAATACTCGCGGCAAGAAGCCATGGGAATTTTTTGCGGCCTCCAAATTCTGCTCGGACCGTGACATCGCACGTGGCGTTGAATTACCGCACCCTTTTGTATTGAAAATCACACTGCCGCCGAGGAAGTGCATTGTGTTGCGGCAAAATCAAATTGCTTTTCACTTCAGCGACGCAATTGGAACAGCGATATTATCCACATTATTTTCCCGACAGACTGATAAAAGTGATATTGCAAGCGAAATAACGATCAATTTGTTGACGACCGGGATCGCACTTGAACCGGCTTCGATGTTCTTGTAGCAATCCGCAAAATCTGCCACCCACCCTCTCTGTAGGGCTTCACACACCACAACAGCATCAGACACTCGACATTCGTCTCGAGATAGTAGACAACCGCGATGTAGACTGACAGTTGCGGTGCGGCCCTCACGCCGAGCATTGGCGACAGCACCAACACATAGGCGGGCAAGACGATGAAGACGTACAAAACGCCGGCCTGGATGATCAACGACCGCAGCAGCATCATGTGCAGATGGATGGTGCGCTCGGGCCGTTTGCTGCGCCGCACCTGTCGATGAACCGCGAAGATCAACGCACTGCCGAGGCACGGGATCGCGATCAGCAGTGCTACGGCTGTAGACAAGCTCCCGTCGATGTGAGTGCCGGTGGTAAAGCAGATGATGTGCGGTAGACGGGCGTACAGATAATCCAATGTTGGGTCGGCGGCGAGGAGGAGTTGCTTCTGGGCGTCTTGATCGGGAAAGGACATGGACATGGGACCCTGAAAGAAATCTCTGTTAATAGTCGGGCGATAAGGTCCGTATCTCTGTCGGGAAAATAGTGACGGTCGTCGCAGCAAAATAGCGTTGCTGCAGCGAAAAGAATTTAATTTTCGATGCAACAGAATGCATATTTTTCCCGACAGACTGATAGAACCGTTCTAATAAACTCACCCAAATGCAGGCAAAGGCGATAAAAGTCATCGCAAAAAATGTCATCCAAGCGTAGTCGTTCAGCATTCGATGCAAGAACCGATATGCTGGCATTTGCGGAGGCACAGATTGGAAGACCCGATAGAAACATTGCAGGCCAATCGCTGCCGACCGACCGCTGAGGATGAAAATTGCGACCGCCGCGATTAAACGGGGCCGTGAGCTGGCCAGCGGGGCCAGCCGGCCGAGAAACGCCAGACACGGTAGAGGCTGCATGGAGAGCAACGTTGAGGCCCTGCAAATCGCGTCGCATAGGTACGACCATACAATCTCGGTGACCAAATAGTAGTGATAGACTCTCATGGACTGGGTTGAAGCTAGATTTTACAATAAATATTGCTAATAGATGACTTACATATGGTCATGACGACTAGTGTGAAGATTACAACTACGGTCGTCACGCAAAAGATGACTTGGCAATAAATGACGTAGAAGTTGAGGGCTTCGGACGATGGAAGTTCATCGGGTGAGAGCAGCATTTAACGGCTCAATAAGCCTTCAGGACTTGACGCATACTATATCAGTCGGTCGGGAAAATAATGTGGATTTTTCGCGCCAAAATGCTTTGCCTCGCGTCTCACAATTGCCAGTCGTGCACCAGATCTCCTAGCTATCGCAAAACCGATGATGGGCAATATCAACACACGACAAATCCACGTTACTTTCCCGGCAGACTGATAACACATAAAATGGCACCCTTTCCAGCCTTTCGCCAAACAATACCTCATCATTCACCGGGGAATGTGGGCAACGGCTCCAGGTGCTCGGTGAATTGAGGAATTATTTATTATCTTATAATGCGACCAGAACAAAAGTCATGTACAATATCTTAATTTCAAGAAACGATAGAGCATGCAAAAAACAAAATAAATATTATGCCATCTTCTGTTCTTCTTTATTTTGTTTATTTCAAAATAAAAAATGCGCATAACAAGTAAAGAAAGTGTCAACAACATAGAGGTAGTGTTAAAATTTTTTTGACATGGGACGGCATACAAAATGATGGATTACGGCGATGGATGTTTATAAGCAAAAACTTCACTTCACAGTCTGATAAGGCGCCGAGAAGTTTTGTGTCAAATGACATTGGCACTTGAACTATACATATACAAAATATAGATGGTTATAGCCTGTTTCAGAATACTTGACATAAATTTTCAGGCGCCTCCATGACTATGAAATCATTATTGAATCCGTAACGAAGTAAACATGTGCTTCTGAGACAGGAAGTTTAATAATTGATATATATGCACAGTGAGGGTCTGGGTACAGTGGCACTTCAATAGACCGCTATTTTCGTTTACAGAAGGAGGTATTATGTGGCGTTTTGAATGCTTCCCAGATGCGATCGAAGTTCATTGGACCACTGGATCTTTTTTCGCATTGTACAAGAAGGCGAAAACTCTATATAACGACAATTTTAGCTGTAACAAAACTCGCTTTTAGGAGAGATGAACCTCTGAACAACGAAGCTTTTCTATCGCAGATCATTCTAATTTTTCAGTCTTTCTCCATGTTGTACTAGGTGGGCCAAATAGCCTGGATATTTGATTGCAATGAATAAAGAATGAAAGACATAATATGCGTATGAAAAAACACTTTAAAAGCGATGCTAATTCAACGACGTGCCCGACTGCACTTGAATCACCGACCGTCCCTTTGGACCCATTCCGTACCTCCATATTTGCAGGCAACATTCCCTGTACGGCTTCACAAACCACACCAACATCAGACATTCCACGTTGGTCTCCATGAAGTAGACGATAATACAACAAATGGAGATGGTTGGCGCCCCTCGAACGCCAGCCGAAGGGAGCAGCAGTAAAATGTAGGCAGGAAGACAAAGAAAGACGCCAAGAACAACAAGTTGCGCTACAAGCGATTTCAGGAGCATCATGTGCAGATGGACCGTGCGTTCGGGCGCATTCCCGCTTTGGATTTGCTTGTACACCTTGTAGACCAGCCACAACACGATGGTCGGTACGGCGATCACAAACCCGAGCGGTGTCCAGATAGCGGTCCCGAAACTGGTCCCGTACGAAATGCAAACAATGTTGGGGAGACGGTCGTAGATTTGCACAATATTTGGGTCGGCTTCCAGAAGGAGTTGCTTTTGGAGTTTTTGGTCGGGAAACCACAGCCACATTGGACCCTGAAAAGGTTGTTATACAGTGGGGGACATGATCAAGTGGCAAAAAACGTACCACCTTGCATCCGGGAGGTATCAAAAAATGTGGCAAAATACCTTCATCTAAAAGTGGAAAAACTCCGATTTCAAAAGCCTGTTCTTTTTGTGAGGGAAAACGCCCTTCAAAACAATGTTTTTTTTTCACTTGGAGAGGGAAGCATTTTGCCACATTTTTGATGCTTCCCGGATGCAAAATGGTACGTTTTTTGTCACGGGATCAGGCAAAAAACGAGAACAGAGAATAGCATTGATTATTTAGGAAATTTTTAGGATGGTGTCATAGAATAGACAAGAAGAAACAGCTGGTAAAAACGTGGTTTTCCGACTGCTAAATTAGCGCACCTTTTTGGACGTCATTTTGTCGTCAAGGTAGAGGACATGTGGAACTGAGAGAGCGCTCTTCGAGCTCTTCATGTTGCCTTTTCGTCACAAGATTTACCGGAAAAATTATTTTGAAGTTTTACTTCTAGTTTCTAGTGATCAAAACTCGTCTCAGAAAATTCGGACTTTGATCGAAAATAATGCCAAACTGGCCAAGAAATCGGCCAAAAAAAGATTTTTTGGAGTCCCTATGTCAACTGCAGAAGGTTATGTTTCCCAAAAAAAAACTTTCTCCGCACAAAATTGGCAAAAAAACTGGCCAAAAAAGTGTTTTTTCTCTCTGACCACTCTCCACGTTTTGTCTACCTCTCGGCCGCAAAGATTGTTGATATCTGGCCCTTACCTGCAAAGTGCGAGCTAAAATTTTCAAGAATTGATGCGTGACCCATCCGCAAAATGTGTGCAAAATCTCAACAAGCCCCGAGCGTTGTTCTTGGAGGCCTCCACTTGTAGGCAATCTCAGTAATATGTACAGCAAAAAAGGTTCAAGATTTAGTAATACCATTCAGAAAACCTTACAGTTAAAATACAATCCACTCAGACATAAACAGCCTCCCCCGTATCCTTCGCTTGATGATACAAAAAATGTAATCGACCCCATAACTCACCCAAATAACCGCGTACAGCACGAACATCAATATGTACGAGGTGTAGACGAAGTGATCGTTCAGAATCTTGGAGAAGAACTGGTAGAACATCATCTGCGGCGGGGATGGTTGGAAGATTCGATAGCAGCATTGCAGAATCAACGCCGCACACCGCCCACAGCCAATCAACATTGCGGCGGAGGAGAAAATCAAAGGTCGTGAGTGGATAAATTGCCCTAGTACTCCTTGAAACGCAAGGCATGGCAGGGGTTGAAGCGATAGCATTCCCATCGCGCTAAACGTCACGTCGCAGAGGTAGGACCTGAAAAAGTTTGCAGTGCTGTCAGTGGGAAGGATCAATGTGTCGGGAAAATAATGACCACTCTGTCGCATTGAAAACGCATCGCCGCCGAGAAAATGAAATGTGTCGTGGAAAAATCAAGTTGCTTTTCATTTCCGAGACGCGCTGGGCGCAGCAACATTCAACTCATTATTTTCCCGACAGACTGATGGCAGTACTGGCCCCTTGGGCTTACCAAATAATTGTGGAGACCAAGTAGTAATGATAGACCTTCATGGAATTTGTGGACGCTAAAAATAAAGGTTGATTAGGATTTTTGGAACCTTTTCATTATCAAAGGAAACATGCTCAAAATGCAATGCGCAGATTTTTTTTTGCAGCCGAGAGAGTACGCGAAAGGCGAAGAAAGAATTTTTTGGCCACATCTTTGTTAGGCTATATACTAGGTCGAAACTTGGCAAAAATTTTACTCTTTTTGAGAGTTTTTGCACGAAAAGTTTTATACTTCTTCCTACCAAAGGGGCTGTATAAAAAATCAGTTTTTTCCGCAGGAACCAGATATGGCCAAAAAGTGTTTTTTCCTGTGAGACGCTTACCGCGTTTTGCGTGCAATCTCGGCCGCAACTATTGTCCAATATCTCAGCTCCGCGCGCAAAGCGTGAGCAAAAGTTTGCTTCGTCAGTTGCCTTCAAACTTACACATTGCCATAACTGCCAGCGTGAACATCACCACACCTGTTGTCAGCACAAAAATTCCGCTGCAAAAGCAATGATACAGGCTGAGAAGTTGGGGGGAGGGCAGCTCTTCCGCAGATATTAGCATTTCCAAATCCAAAAATTGCAAGTTTAGACGTGAGGCCCATTACTTCACACCTGCCCGCCAACTCGGCGGCCGCAGGACAGTAGTTGGGGAAACAAAAAAGAAAAGTGGAACCAAAAAGCAAAGAAAAGGGGCGGGGTTTCCGTGGGAGATGTTTAGCATGTTTAGAGCCCGTATAGGATTTTCTCCAAAGAGGGCACTTAATGAAAGGTGCACCATTGCAAAGAGGTCATCTTGGCTAAGAAGGCACCTGTTCAAAGAAGCCACCTTGGCGAAGAGGGCATCTTGAGAAAAAGTTAATATGGTTAGGGGGGACCAAGGCGGATTTTTCCGGAAAATTTCTTGGCAAATAAAAATTCCGCTTTGCGAAAAAGTCATAATAAAAAGTTCGCTTTGCTACCCTCTTTTACCATATAATTTTTTGGCAACCGAACAAAAGTCATTCATAAAAATCCGCTTTGATCTCCTCTTACCATATCATTTTTTGGCAAAACCCAAAAAAAAATTCGTCTTGATCCCCTCTCACCATATGATTTTTGGCAAAGGAAAAAAAATCTTTGGCTGGAAAAACCCCTTGGTCTCCATTAGAGTACCTTTTTTCTGAATCTTCACGCCTATGTGCCCTCAGCGGACCCAACCCCCGAGTAGACATGGTTTAAAGCCGCTTGTGACCAACCACAAGCAAATTTGTAACGGCCGGCAAACTGAACTCACTAGCAAAAAAGGATAGGTTGTAGTGTGTATTAAACCTAAGGAAACAAAAGGGACATTTTTTGTAGTAAAAAGTAATGGTAAAGGTGGGCCCAATTGACAGCCGTTTCTTCGATTTTTAAATTTTTTAGGGCTCTTAGTTAGCTAATACCAGCGATTTATTAGTAGAATAGACTTAGAGGGCCGAGCCGCAATTTTCGAAACAATCGTCCTTGGGCACAATACATAACAAACAAACTGGAACTATAAGTAACATGACTTTTGCCTTCTTCAAAAAGTAATGTGATTATGTTTCGATGAGTAGTTATAGGCTACAAAAATGAGCCAGGGGGGAACCGGAAGTGATAGAGTAGGGGAAAGGAGGAGAGTCAGACAGTGAGAGAGGCGAGAGAGTGTTGAGAGGAGGAGAGTCAGACAGCGAGAGAGGCAAGAGAATGTGGAGGGAGAGAGTCAGACGGTGAGAGAGTGTGTAGAGGAAGGAGAGTGGGCGGAGCTTGTGATAAAATCATTAATAGTTGAAATAAAATTATTTTTCCAGCAATTCCGAGTTTTCAACAAGAAGATGTGCAACTTTTTGCAGTTATGCGGAAAATATTTTGTTTCCGGAAATATTAAACATTAAAGGGACGCCAAGTATTTCAAAAAAACAAAATGCGCAATATAAATATTGTTGTAAAAATGTTTTGCAAAGTTTCAAAAAACTTGCAAAAAGTTTAAAATAATTTGCAGACACTTGCAAAAGTTTTACGATTTATGACCGACGTAATGTGGTTTTACGAACGAAAGGAATGTACAGTAAGAAAAGACGAAAATACCGTAATCCTTAGCAGTCAACCGCACAGAACAGTGCAACTGAAGCTAAATGACTTTAGGCTATTTTGAGCTGATGACTCTATGATGTTGATTGATGACTTCAACGTGGGGTCTCTCCCTCTTCGTGCGGTCAGTCGTCTTTTGAGGCCGTCTCGCGCGCGGTTGTGTGGGGTACCCATCTCTCTTCTTGTAAGAGTACTTTGATCGCGTTTATCCAATGGAGAAAATTCTAGAAAAAATGAGTGACCAAAGCGAAAAAAAATCAGGTTCCGCCTTCGACTATACGGTAATTAAATATTAAAAAAAAAGGAAAACTGTCAATGCTTTATTTGAACTGTTATTCTCTTCATTCTGATTAAAAAAATTATTGTGTAACAAGCGAGAGTTCGTTAAGGTAGAAACGCCCCTCCAAAATCTCTCCTTCTTGATCCTTGAGCACGAATGTGCGCGGAGTCGAATTCAGGACTTGATGAACTTGGAAAATCTCTTTCGTGAAATTGACAGTGTATCCCTTTTTGAAGGCCTGAGGAGGAAGTGAGATGCGGACGTGATCTCCGGGCACAATAAGAGGGGGCATTTCTTTTTTCGGCAGTCGACTATATAGTCTTTTCCAAAGGTCATACCAGTTTTCATTTGTCACGTCAATTGGTCGCATGCCAAGGGTTCGATTGAGGGATTGATTGATTGCTTTGATGATGAGGGGAAGAGCATCAATCCAACGTTTTGAATTATGTGCAGTCATGTATTTATACAGTCTTTGTTTAACGGTTCGTATTCCTCGTTCAGCAATACTGGCCTTTGTTTCGATATTGCCACTGTGATAAATTTCAGTTCCCTCTTTTGTGAAATAAGATTTGAGCGTAGAATTCTTGAATTCCTTTCCGTTGTCGGTGAACACAACTTCGGGTGGATGGGGCATTTCCTCAAATATTTTTACGAACGCTTCTTTGATATCCATTGCACCTTTTTGTTTTAGTGGGCATGCAAAGAATTTGCGAGACATCACATCCACACATAACAGGCAATATTTGTAACCTTTGTTGAAGCGCGAAAGGCGTCGAAAATCGGCAACGTCAGCCTGAAGATCGGTGAAAAGGCCACGAGGAATTGTCTTCAGGCGTTTGAATCTTCGAATCAAGGGTTTATGTAGATTGTAGGATTCATCACTGGCCAACTGCTTATAGACATCTTCATATCTACCACCGGTAATTCGCGTAATAGTGGAGGGTCCCGTATAGCATGATGGATTGTTTAAATCATGATAAATTTTCAAAGCCATGTTTATTTGTTTAAAAAGGGATTTTTCGCTTAAATAACAAGGTACACGTGACGTTTCCGTACTCAAAAGGCACAAGTTTTCCATCCATTGTTCTGATTTGTATATGCAACATGCTGACCGATCTTCGGGGTACGTTTAGGAAGAGGGGAGAGTCATAAATCATCTCGCACATTTGTCCCGGCTTTCCTTTTACAGTAACAATTCGAAGAAGAGGTGTGAGATGCCGACCAACAATTATGTTTTCTGTAAGACCTTCGGCGTAGACGTAAAGTTGCGAAATTCCTCCACTCAGGTCGGGTGTGTAAATTGCATTGGCTCCGTTCATGATTACTGCCCTCGGATCAAACCCGAGTGTATAGCCTAGTTGAGGAGAAAATGAGATTCTTTGAATTGATTCATGATTAATTCCAACTTCGACACGCTTTGTAGATTGATTGAATTTTATTATCAAGTCGTCTTCGATTATCCCGCGGCCGAATCCTGATGGCGGAGGAGGTGGTGGTGGCGGAGTGTCTGGCACAACGGGAACGTTTACCTCCACGGGTGGCGGTGGTGCGTCCTTCTCCGCTGTAGGTGCCTGAGGCATTGGCGACGCCGCGTCCGTTGTGGCAACAGCATTTAAAGCGCCTGATTTTGCCATGGCATCACTTTTTTCCTCCACGTTTCTTCTCTTCCGAAAGTTTCCTCTATAGTCAGGCAGGGCGGTTTTTATGTACTGGTTGAGGGCATCGATTAGGGTTTCAACGTCCGAGTAGGTGCCTTTGGGGATGATAAGTTTTAATACTTTGTTGTCGTGGGTATAGAGTCGAATAAATTGATTTTCGAGAGCACCAAGTGAAGGCCAAGTGTAGGGAAACGTTATGCTTTGTAGTCCACATACATAATCGTCGTCAAAACTCAAAGGTTTAGGAAGCAGGATTTTGTAATCACATGCCAGATTATCGTCAAATGATTTATCCGAACTCGGACAAATTACGTGAAACGTTGACGCCGACATTTTTGAAAACGTAAACAATTGCTTTTCTTAAATAACATTTTTAGGAATAAAACAACATGTCGAGCGCTTTTTTACCTGCACCTCCTAAACAAGCGCGACTTGACCTCCAGCCCCACGTGATCCGGCAATCGCATTTTACAAGGCCAAATTACTATGCGAATGGTGAAACATCTTTTCTTTATAGTCATGAGGAACCAATGTATGAGCTACAAGTTGAAGAAGAAATGGAAATCTATAGCCCCACCCCTGAAGACTTTGATGATGCGGAAACGCGATTAAACCCAACACTGAGAGAATTACAAGAATGTCTCGAGGAGTGGGATTTTTTAAGTCAACCAGAAATACCAGTTCGGGCGAGTCGTTCTCAAGAGAGGCAAGGAGCTCGTGTCAGGCGACGAGTCATCACTCCAGAGGGCCACCGAGACCACGACCCCGAGCAGGCTTCACCGTCGTTGGAAGGACGAGCACAACAGGGCCAAGGAATATTTCGACGATTGCAATCAAGCCTACATTCGAGTAACTACTTCCCTGAAAGCCGCTATCAAGGGGTTGTCACTGTGGAAGCAAATGCAGACGCCGCCGACTATGAAGAAGAACTTGTCCGTCTCTTGCAAAGCGTGGTTGACGACACAATTGAAAAAAGTAAGTTCCTAAAAAAAAAAAAAAAAATTTTTTATTGTTGCTTTTAGCTCTTGAAGCACGACCCAACCGTAGAATAACACATGTCAATTTGGGCATTGAGTCGGAGGCCCTCGAGAGCGGAATTTATTCAGGGTTTGTGCCAGAAAACGATTTTGATGTACGCAGAATTTTCACCCGTTTCGAAAAAGTGCAACAGTCGTCAAAAACCGCAAATTTGTTCGAAAAGCCCATTACCATCAAATGCACAGTCTGTTCAACGATTAGCGGAGGAGCCGACAGGCAAGGTGTCGGTGGCTTTGCAAATGGGCTTTATCATTTGGTAAACACGAAAGGAGAATGTCTGCCACTTTCCATCATTTGTGGATTGCTTTATAAACTTCCAAACATGCCTCGACCCGCCCGAATGATGCAAAGAATTGCCGACCAAAACAAAGCCAGCGACACATACAAAAACTACTACCAAGCAATGATGGAGGCCACCAAAATCAAAAATCCTGAGAGAGATGCGTTTCAATTGGTGATCATGCGAATTGAGGCCTACCTGAACAATCAATACCGAGATTTGGCGCCATTTCAAGTGGTTGTTCACGCAACCGAGAACTTTCACGACCTTCCCCTGTATCCAAGCGTTAGCCGAAGAGTTGGAATTCAAGCCAAGACTATAATTCCAATTTTCTTTGATGAGGAACGTGAGCATTTTGATCCGATCATAAAGCCGACAAAATTCTTTGGAGCCAGAAATGTGTGTTATAAATGTTTGAGCACATACTCACATCAACAAGAGCACCGAGCTTCATGTGTGGATAAGTGTTGTTTTTGCGGAAGAGTTGGACAAGGTCCTTGTGTTCATGTTGGAAGAGCTAAATATTGTGACCAATGTAATGGATTCTTCCCGAACAATGATTGTTATGTGGTTCACCAGAGGCGAATGTGTCGTCAATACGCAACCTGCCAAAAGTGTAAGAAACGCTACGCCCAGAGACATGAGGAACATCAATGTGGCTACGTCTACTGCTTCAAGTGCTACTCATACCACAAAGAAGACGGTGATTGTTTCATTAAACCGCTTGAGCCCCCTGAAGAGGAGCCCGTCTACAAAGTTGTCGCGTTTGATTTTGAAACACGCCAAGAAGATGAAATTGGTGATGGAGTCTTTGACCATTGTGTCAATTTTGCCGCCTTAATGACTATGTGCAATGAGCGCATGAATTCCGGAGAGTGGATGAAATCGGATGGATCCTGTCGTGCCTGTCCCAATAGCATTCAATGGTATTCAACGCCAGAAGACTGTAAGTTTCTCCACGGGTTGACAAGTCGTTTTAGCAACCGTTGATCCTGTAATGGAAATGTGGAAATATCTGAAGGAGATAACAGCCAAAGGGGAGACAACACTAGCGGTCGCCCATAATGGAGGGCGTTTTGATTTCACCCTATTGTTGAGAGCCATTTTCAAGGATAATTGTAAGTAATTTCTATAAAAAATGCATCTTGTTTGTTATAGCGCATCGTCGGCCGAGTATTATTGCCAACGGCGAAAAAATGTACAAAATTACCGTAAATGGGGGTAGAAAATTTGGAAAGATTATACTGGTCGACTCTTTAAACCATCTTCCAATGAAGTTGGCCAAACTCCCGCAAGTCTATCCACTGCCTGAAGAGTTGGGTGTGGAAGGAAAGGGCGACTTCCCCCACTGCTGGAACAAGGAATGCAATTACGAATATGAAGGACCTTTGCCTCCAAAGTCGGCATATCAGTGAGTTTTTGAGAAAGTGGTTTATTCTGTCGTTTAGATATGACGACATGGAAGACGCCAAAAAACAAAAATTCGATCAATGGTATCAAGAGAACAGTGGCAAACTCTTCAATTTTAAAGAGGAACTCAAAAAATACTGTATCATTGACGTGAAAGTTTTGGCCAACGCGATTGCTAGTCACAGGCGTGAATGCCGGATAATCCGTGGTCATCCCACCGACGATGTGTGGTATTACAGCTGCACTTTGGCGGGCAGCGTGATGAGAGATTTCCGAATGTCTGATTTGCCGGAGAACACACTTATTATTCAAAACGAATCCGCATTTGGCTCAAAAATCAACCAAAGTAGGACGGGCTTGAAATTTTTGCGATGGATTCGCAAAAAATACTTTTCCAACCTACAGTTCAGAGACTGCCCGAATGGAGAGAAAACGGTCCGGGTATGGGATCCTGAGAAGAGGAAACAACGTCGATTTTCGGTAGACGGATATGTTGAAGGAATTGACGGCGGCAAAAACTTGATCATCGAATACAATGGTTGCGTTTGGCACGGATGCGAGAAATGTGTCCCAAACGCGGATACGGTTTTGCCGAATGGAAAGACTCGCCAAGATACACGAAAACAAAATGAAAAGAGAGTCCAACTGCTCCGTAACGCCGGATATGATGTGGTGGAATACTGGGAATGCGAGATCAAGGCTGAGTTGTTGGAGAATGAAGAAATGCAGGAATTTTTTGAAGACGAAATTCAGAATGCCGCACCGGCTCATCCCCGTGAAGCCTTTGCCGGAGGAAGAACAGCCGCACTGTCATTGTGGGCCGACTCCAATGATCGATACGAGATCGGCTACTACGACAGCAACTCGCTTTATCCCTCGACCCTTGTGAACAAGGCAATGCCCACCGGAAGAGTTAAAGTGATCCCCTTGAACAGAGCCGTCGACTGGCGAAGCGCAGCCCAAATGTTCGCCGACTGCGGCCAAATGCATGGAATCTACAAGGTCTTTGTCATCCCTCCCCGAAAATGCTACTACCCCGTGATTCCCACCCGAATTCAGAAGACTTTAATCTACCCGTTGTGCTACAAGTGTGCGAACAAGTTTGCTGGCCGTTCGTTCGTGGGAAAGCATGAGGCTCGTTGTGAGCACTCGGATGAGGAGCGAGGCTTCATCACCACCGTCACCAGTTTGGAGTTGGCTGTGGCCCTGGACGACGCGGGCTACAGAGTCACTCACATCATGGAGAAGATCGAGTTCGAGAAAATGGACTCGGAACTGTTCAGAGCCCCCGTGCTCCGATACTACAAGAAGAAGATGGAGGCAAGCGGCCCGGAAGGCCGAAACGATGAACAGATTGAGGAGTTCATCGCGGAAGCCCAGCGCCGCTATGGCTTCCTGATGAGGAAGGAGGACTTGGCGTTGAACGCAGCAATGCGTTTCAACTCCAAGATTATCCTCAATAGTTTCTGGGGGAAGTTTTCGATGAGGAGTCGATTGACTCGCGTAAGTCCTAATTTTTTCTTTTGTTTCTCGTTTTTTTCAGATCGAGATATGCAAGAGCCCAGAGGACTATGTTCGTCTGATGATGGATGATAGTCATCAGGTATTGCGGACAACGATCATCAACGAAACAACGATGATGTTCTTCCTCAAACCCAAGGAGGAATATGTGCAGGACTTGGACTTTAATAATATCTTTGTCCCATTATGGACGACAGCAGCGGCACGCCTCTACCTCTACGAGGGGATGAGGCAATGTGAAAAGGCAGGGGCCGTCGTCTTGTACCACGACACGGGTAAGTCCAAGAATGTGAAAAAATCTTTACTTTTTGGATTCTCTATTAATTCGACACCACCGAGGCCAGCCCCCAATTCAAACAGGGTCCTTCTTGGGCGAATGGAAGAACGAGTTCCCCGACCATGAAATTTTGGAGTTTGTCGCCGGAGGCCCGAAACAATACTTCCTCAAGCTTCGCAGCAAGACCAACCCCGAAGAAATCAGCTACAAAAGCTGCATCAGAGGTTTTACGATGACCCGCCAGGCCAAACAATGTCTGGCATTCGATCGATTCAAGGAAATGGTTCTCGACAACCAACGACATCATCAACAGCCGATTCCAACCGTGCAGTTCCGGCCTTCAATGCGGGAGCAAAAAGTGCGTACTGTACATTCGACCAAGGTCTACAAGGCATGCAACACAAAAGGCTATGTTCATGATTTACGAGTTTATCCCTTTGGTTATGATTTAGACGGTGAATAAAATTTTTTTGTTTATAATTTTCTTGGCGTCCGTGTCACTGATCAATGCGAGGGTTCGTCGAATCGAAGGCAGAGAGGCATTTCTGGAAGCCATAAACAGAAATATCAGGCACATGTGGCCACAACAGTCGGAGAAAAGCCCTTGGACGGGAGTGGACCATGCGTGAAGGGGCGCAAATCGTTGCCCAATCTCCGGTGGAGGGTCACAGCCAAAACTGTCAAAATACAGGCTTTTGGAAAAGTGCGAAAAAACGGCGACCCAATGACTTCCTTGTTCGTGGCTCGGGTCCAGATTGATAATGCAGGCATGCGGTTTGGGGAGAATTGAGGGAATTGTGTCAATGCTGTACACTCCACTAGAAACGTGAGGCAGCAGACTGCGTAGGTGGTTGTCCAGCTGGTTTGTGTTCATGGCGTCTCCACTCTTTGAAGAGCACAAGTCCAAAAAACATGAGCAAAAATCCCACAAATACAACACAAAAAACAATGTCTGTGTACTTGTCGCAGGACTTGGGCAAACTGTTTATTATCGAGGTTGGGTCGATATCTGTCATAATAAATCAATCCAACAAAAAAACCCTAATCAATCAAGGCCTTTAATAGACTTTTGGCATTTTGCGGAATGACCATTTGCGAATCTTGAACAATCCACTTCCGCCTTGTTCACGTCGGCGCTGACCGGCCTTGAGTGCGGTGGGAGGACTGTCGAGTCGAAGCAGGGTCTCGGCAAACCGCCTGGTGGCGGGATCGGCCAGAAGCTTTTCGCGGAAGGCCTTCTCTCCCCTCTTGTTGGACAGGTCCTCTTCCAACCAGCGATTGAGGATTCGCTGATAATTACTGTCCCGCACCGAATTTCCGCCTTGAAGCAGAATGCCTCCATTTTCGTCGACACCAAATTTTGACGGATCGGCGGAGATTAATCGATTCAAGGTGTTGAACGCGTCTCGGCGCTGTTGAAAACGACGATGTATCGACATCCTTGGCATTGGGGGTGTTCGCATCATTGGCCTGCCTCGTGGTGTGGCTCCGGCGTCGTCGTTGGCGGGCGATGGTTGGCCCCTCACAGTGGGGCCAACCATGCGGGGGGACTCAAGCTCGGGCCGCGGAGCGGACCCTCGCCGTGGCTCAAGCTCGGGCCGCGGAGCGGACCCTCGCCGGGGCTCAAGCTCGGGCCGCGAAGCGGACCCTCGCCGGGGCTCAAGCTCGGGCCGCGAAGCGGACCCTCGCAAGGGCGCAAACCCGGGCCGCTCCGCGGCCTCCCCCTGGGGCGCAAACCCTGGCCGCTCCGCGGCCTCCCCTAGGGGCGCAAACCCAAGCCGCTCCGCGGCTTCCCTAGGGGGAGAGCGCTCTCGCGCTGTGTGCAAGTCGTCGTTGGGCAACCACATGGGTTCGTCTCCATTTTTCAGTGTGACAATAAGGGGTTTCTCTTCCAATTTGCGTTTATGTCTGAGGTAGCCCGGAAGTCGGCGGTTCAACAGAGCATTCTTCTCAAAGGACCGGCGCGTTGGTGCCAGGGCGTCATCGATCAGATAGTCGGCAAATCCATCCACTGTTTGGGGGTTTGATGCGCGCAAAAGTCCGTCGTACATTTCCCGGGGCACAACGACCATTTTCTTCATTGCCATTATGAGCGGCGAAGCAGGAGCTCGGCAAGAAACGAAATTGCAGGGATCAAAACGGGAGACAGTGGCAAGCCCGCTCCTTCCTGCAGCACCCGACGTGCCGACGCAACGCTACGCTTCCTCGCCACCTCTCTGACCAATCCCACCAAAGGCAGCAGATTGGATTTTTGCCGTTTGGTCAGAGGGATTTCACCCTTTACCAGATTGTAGCAAATCTCCACCAGGAACTCCAATTCGGCACGATCCAGTTGTGCAACAAGTTTACGTCTGCGGTCGCCGGACTTTACTCTTGACAATCGGCGCAAAAATTCCAAATTATTTTCCAAGTTTTCCATATTTTTTCACAGCTCCAAGGCTTAGGGCTTAAATAACTTTTGAATTTTTAGGGGTTGAAAAAAAATTTATTTGAACTTTCAATACAAGGGTTCAAGGGGTAAGGTCGGTATTCACCGAACGTGAAGAATCAACCATCAGAACACGGTCGTGGTCGGCCGCAACGATCAGGACATATCCTCCGGCCGGCACGGCTTCGGTGAATTGGATCTTTACAGTCACTACACCACGACGAATCAAATCAAACGAATTTCCATCCTCTTGGTCTGTGGTCAAATTGAAGACGTACAAGGCGTTGCCATTCTTGAACATGTTTCTGTCGATGGACATGCTTTCGTTCGCAAATGCGTATCCAACATTCTCGTGAAGGTCGTGGAAGGCGCGAATATATTGATTTTCCGCAAAATTCATCTGATACCCTGCGCTAGGGTAGTTTTGGCCATTTGCGGACACTGTAATACTTCTAACATTTCCATGCACAAATTTAAATGGAGAATTCCGGGATGCTGGGCTGAACGAGGCGTTCCGGATGAGTCCCATGGTTATACGCCGCGGAATTTGCTCCGTGAACAGTGTGGCAACGTATTCAGTCTGTGTAGGAGAGACAAAGAAATGCTTCATTTCTGCCTGACGAATCGGGTATAAGGCCGGCTGCTTGAGAAGGGCGGCGTTCCAGCCCACTCCTACGCCGTCCGTCAGATCCAGGGTTTTTGTGTAGAGTTTGCAGCTGATAATTGCCAAACTGTACGCATTTTGGTCGTTAGCGTTCGGTGCGACAATACAATACTGCTCCTTTGCGGGCTCAATCTCCAACTCTAGTGTGGAGTGATTGCAGAGGTAGCGCGATTGTGTGAACAAGGGGCTGAATATTTTTGTCACAAACTGCGCATCTCCGTCCACAAAGAGGGCCCGACGCGCCTGGAAGCCGGGGTCATTCACGTCGTCCTGCGCCTTTGTGTGATACCACCCAACCGCAGACAAGTAGCTGTCAACCGAGGTTTTTGGGTAGGTCAACAAGAGGTCGAGATAGGTCTTGTAGCTGTTCAGACCGTTGGAGTTGTAGATCTCTTGCCCATTCAGAATGACCTTCATGTTGGAGATGAAGGTGGCTCCGATTGCGTTAATCGGTGCCACAGGATCCGCCGCCGTGATATTTTCCACCTCTCCCTCGGCATTCATTTTCGTGAGACGCATCGTAGTCACCAAATACACCTACAGAATCAACAGTTTTAGAAAAAAACAACTTCCCCCACCTTGCTCAGATCAACAAAACTCTGCCCCGACTCGATTCGAAAACGGTATGGCGGCGTTTCGATGGGGTTGAGGGTGAGAATTTCATTGATTCTTGACGTTCCCACGGAAATATTTGTTGGCGGAAGGGAGAAGGTGTCGAGGGCCGAGCTGACCGTGTCCACACTACGGGCGTCGATTTTTTCATCTTTTCAACAGTGACTATAGACGGAGTCAAAAACACGAAAGTTTATTCCTTAAATAGATTTAAAAACTTCCAAAAATATCTTTTCTCTGTCGTTTCATTTGTGGCTGTCCAAGTTTCGGAGGGCGTCCTCGGCGTTTCACCCCACTACCACTTTGTTGGGCAAGTCTTGTCGAGGTCTTGCGAAGAATGTTGCGAGCACCAGACGAAAGTCCTTCCCTCAAGACGCCCTTCACTTCATTTGTGCTATTGGATTCTGCCAGGTTGTTTAGCATTTTACTGCTGGTATGCAGAGCTTCCTTTCCCACATCTTTTCCAATGTCGCGCAGAACGGGTGACAGAAAACGCCAAAATGATGAGAGTACATTTCCGAGTCCGCGGCCTGTTTGCCTGCCAAATCCTCGCTGGTAGAGTCGGCCTTCAAAGGCGCCAGCTCCAAATTGATCAAAATTGAACGGCTTTAGTGGATCAAAATTTACATGCACCATTATTTAAGTCGAGTAGTGTTGTGCGCGCGTGTTTTGCTTAAATACTTTTTTTGATCTACGAATGGATTTCGAAATTGTCCTCAGAAATATTGTTTCGGTAGCAAGTGTCGGTGGGTTCTTTTTGTCTTTTCTATGAAAGTTGCAGGCCGCGAACTCGACCTTTTGGAGCTGTCGAATCGCTGTGAACAAGTCAAATTCAACAAGACGAAGTTCAACGGAGCAATTGTGCGCTTAAATGGTGCTACGGTTCTCTTGTTCCGGACGGGAAAGTGTGTTATTACCGGAGTGAAGACGGAAAAATTGGCTCGCAAAACCGTTGTCTCGTTATGCGATTTACTTCAACATTATGACATGGAGTCGCGACCACACGGATTCAAAATCGTCAACCTTGTCGCAACCTCGAACATGGGCAGTGAAATTGATTTGAACGGCCTCAGGAATATTTGTCCGCACGACTTTTTCTACGAACCCGAAATTTTTCCCGGCCTTTTCTACAGAAAAAATGGAATTACCTGTTTGGTTTTCACGACTGGAAAGATTGTAATTAATGGAGGAAAATCAATGCAACAAATACTTGAATCATTTTCTCCAATTTATTCTCAAGTTCAGAAATTTTGTCACACCCTATAACTGATAAATCGTGGTCATTTCGCCGTGGAAAATGTTTGCACGAAGACGCAGCGTGTCTTTGGTTCGCGGATGCAGATCGATCAACAGGTAGGAGTAGGGCTTCTCTGTTGCGTCATTGTATGCCTCAACAAATCCACGCTTGCGAGGAAACAAGTGCGAGCCCAAAACTCGGACATGGAGTTGGGAATTTGGAGCTTTTAGCAGGACAAGATACTGTGCATTCATCCTCACGGTTTTCAACGATTTCTCAAACGCATCTTGTGTCAAAAAGATGACGTTGAACAGCATGTGGTGTGACTTTTTCGCAAAAACATCAACCAACCACTTTTCGTCCACTGCACTCATCTGATCATCCAGAACAAGGAGAGAGTGGGGCCTCAAATTGCGCAGCGTTTCTTCGCCCGGCACCCCTTGCATTGTTTTTATTCCTTTTTGTTCGAGGGCTCTAATGTGGTCGCCGTACTGTCCATATGAATACAAAACGTCTGGCGGAGGCGGGGAAATCAGAGATGCTGCCTGGTCGATGAGCTTCATGGTGAATACTGTTTTTCCACTGCTACTACTCCCCGAAACCACCATTCCGAATGGGGAACGAAATTTTATCTCTGCCGAATCAATAACCTCCATCGGACAGCACGATTTTTATTTTAAAAGGTTGGGATTATTTCTGTGACATTATTTTTTGACGTGCTTAAATAAGCATATCTTCCTCTTCGTCAGCGGAGTTTTGGAACTGGACGGTTGTGTTCACATCACCTTCTCCAAAAATTGTGACATATGTATTGTAGGCCTTGTAGTCCTTCACCTCGATGACCTATAAGTAAAAAATGTGCGTATTTTTTTTTTCATTTTCCAAACATATGCACATTTTCTACCTACCTCTCCGACCACCAACGCCGCGAGGCGCTGGAACAGGGCTTCGTTGCGGAACGTAATTGATTGCTGTAGGAAGGGGACCATGGCTGACCGCAGGAACAGGGTCACGGATTCGACTTTATTGGCCTCAACATTGAGCTTGCAGCGCTTGACCACCCACCTAGAGTGAACAAAGTCAGAAAAATTTTAAAACCTACTGGTCCATTGATTTAGCGGGTTTGGCTTCATTGGCACGGGACGGCAACTTTCTCTTCAACACATCCTGAGTTCCTTGGGCATTCTGAGGAGCTACCTTTTGGGTTTGTGGATTCATTCCCTGCCCTTGTTGAGGAGTCTGATTCATTGCTTTACTTTGCTGTGATATCATCCCTTGACCTTGTTGAGGAGTCTGAGTAGCGGGCAGCTGAACAACAATTTCGGGCGGAATGTTTTCCTTCTCTCCGATGACAGCCTCTGATACCTAAAACAAAAAATACGAATTTAAATTTAAAAACTTACATCTCTTTTTGTCTTCTTGGACACTCGAGTTGAGGTTTTTGGGACAAATTGCATGATACCAAACTTGACCAGTGCTGAAAACTAAACTCCTTAAATAGACAAAGTACAGTAACGACGCGTAGATTTCGCAATCTTCGGAGAGAACGACGCGGACCGCCGCACAGCAGAAAGGCACAGGCACTGACTGATCGTACAGCGAAGGTAGAAATAGTATAAGTTGCCGCGTTTTGAATTTGCAAATTTTATTTGTGATTAATCAAGCTCCGGATGCAAAGACTACAAACTATAAGTTGTCGCGTTTTTGCATCCTGGTACAAAGTACAAGTCATCAATCAACATCATAGAGTCATCAGCTCAAAATAGCCTAAAGTCATTTAGCTTCAGTTGCACTGTTCTGTGCGGTTGACTGCTAAGGATTACGGTATTTTCGTCTTTTCTTACTGTACATTCCTTTCGTTCGTAAAACCACATTACGTCGGTCATAAATCGTAAAACTTTTGCAAGTGTCTGCAAATTATTTTAAACTTTTTGCAAGTTTTTTGAAACTTTGCAAAACATTTTTACAACAATATTTATATTGCGCATTTTGTTTTTTTGAAATACTTGGCGTCCCTTTAATGTTTAATATTTCCGGAAACAAAATATTTTCCGCATAACTGCAAAAAGTTGCACATCTTCTTGTTGAAAACTCGGAATTGCTGGAAAAATAATTTTATTTCAACTATTAATGATTTTATCACAAGCTCCGCCCACTCTCCTTCCTCTACACACTCTCTCACCGTCTGACTCTCTCCCTCCACATTCTCTTGCCTCTCTCGCTGTCTGACTCTCCTCCTCTCAACACTCTCTCGCCTCTCTCACTGTCTGACTCTCCTCCTTTCCCCTACTCTATCACTTCCGGTTCCCCCCTGGCTCATTTTTGTAGCCTATAACTACTTCGATGTAATATTATTATGTAATGTTATGTAATATAAACAATCAACTTTTGATTTCATTTTCAATATTGCCAGTTTCCGTAAAAAACGATTTATTAACGGGGTTACAGGCAAACATCTAAAATAACATCAACGAATCCCAAATTTGTCTCTTGAGATTTAATGTACAGAGGTTTGTGGCGGATCTCTTGGACCGTAAAATTTTCAAAATTCTTGGGCATTACTTGTGATACGGCTTAACAAACCACACCAACATCAAGCATTCCACATTTGTTTCCATGAAGAACGCAACAACACAACAACTCGGCATAGCAGTTTCTGAATGCATTGTGGTTTTTGCGAGCAGCATGATCATGTAGACGGGCAGGCAGATACATAAACACCAGCTGGACCCACCGTTATATTATACAATACTATTTATAGGACCTGAGCAACATCAGATGTAGATGGGTGATATAGACGGCTTCTTTTTGGCGCCGAATCCGCTTATAGGATCCATACATCTATGAACCAGAACGGTAATGAGATGCGGAAAGGATGTGGGGATCGCATCAATTCATGGATGAAAATTAGTATTACTTACAAACTGTGGAGCCAGCCGCATCTGGGCTCTCATTTGGTCCCGCAACGATAACGAGCAGCCTAATGTGAGAGAGGAACGTGGACGGAAGGAGGAATCAGTCAGAGGGAGTTGGTTGGAATGGAAGGTTAGAAAGCGGTCGTGCGTTTGGCCCCGCTGGAATATTGGATCTGTTGGTATCTTATTTGTATTGTGCTCGCGGCCTGTCAATAAACTATCGACTGTAACTGTTGGATTCGGCGTTTGGGGAGTTGATCAGTTGGGAGGTTGTCCCACTGATACTAGCGGAAGTAGTAGGGACCTGGAATCGGCTGGAGGAAGGACCCAACTGCGTTCCCATTTGGCGACCACTACGGAACGACGACACTTCGAACACGTTGGACTCGATTTGCGTTGGATTTTGGTGGTTTTTTTCCTTGTTTCGTTCGATTTTTAGGTTACAACGAGATCAGATAGATCCGACTCGAAGAAATTTCGGTCTATCTGCCGAGTGATTTCAAACATTTGATTCTCTCGAGGGTAAAAGAATTATTACCTAAATCTCGGCCTCTCGATCTATAATTCTGAGAGAAGTGTTCGGAGGCATAAGAAATCAGTCCGACGAACTCAGATATTGACCAAAAGAAATCACGGTCTTATCTGATTCAGCCTCACCGTAAGAACTTAGAGTGAGGTTGAAACCGAATTTACACTGCAAGAAATTGTGTAAATTCGGACCTGACGAGCCCAAAGAAAGGTAAACTCGGAAGGAAAAACTGTTTTGATCCTAAGAAATCCGTGGTCAAAACAGCTGCAGGTCTGTGAGAAGAACAAAGATCTTGCGTGGTAAAAGAATACTTACCCACTTTGGAGCGAATTTCCGCAAGAATTTGGAAAATTTCGACTCCTGGCCAAGTATAATATAATTGATACTTTTGCGGCCATACACTCACAACATTCCTGATTATTGAGCGAGGTGAGACTATTTATAGCGAGAATAAGCTATTACGACCCTTTTGTTTGAAGAATTTTGACGAGAAATTGAGAAATTTGCGATTTTTGGATATTATTTTAGGTGAACTTGACGATTTTTGACGCAATATACGTCTTTGAGAGGCTTGAACTACTTGGAAATTTTGTTGGGAAACTGCGTTTGGTTGATTCGCTAGCTGTGTGGTTATTTCTGTGTCGTTTGGACCTATTTAATCGTTGTTGATCTAGAACTTTGATCTTGTGTCGTGGACTTTGAAATTTTGTTGAAATCCGAAGAATTTTTGGTTGTAATTGATTATAATTTGTTGTGAAAGAACAGAGAACTCGTTTGAATTGTGTTACTGAAGTTTAATTGCAGGAACCCCGTGAATCTTGGCCAACCTATCAAGTGTAATATCGAAAAAACCCAGCGGACCTGGTACAATTTCGAGACCTAAAGGAAATAAGGATAAGTTGTTTGAAAATTTGTTGTTCCACGTTTAGAAAAGAGAATGCAGGTGAATAAAAACGAAGTTTGTGCGACCGATGTTGATTTAGTAAATTTGGTACCTAAAATGCAGAAAAATCTTCGAGAAATGTCGAATCTTTCGCTGAAATTGCCTTCTATTCCTTCCTTGCCTTATCAAAACTATTCTGATTGTGATTCGCGTGTAGAAAAGACTGAATTCTATCGAGAAAGCATCAAGAAAGCATTATCAGATACACACATCACGAATACATTAACATTTGAACAAATTTACCTCTTGAGAAACGGCCGAATGTCTTACATAACTGGTGAAGAGAAAGAAGAGTTCATCTATGACATTCTATATAACCTCTTCGTTGCCACAGAGGACCTACATCTTGAATACCGTTGTAAAGTGTTGGAGAAACGACTTCGAGGAAGAATCTTGGACTTCTATCAAGCTCTGAACAAGAATACGGAGTATTTCGGAGACATTATGGATCCACTCATGGAAGAATTCGGGTATGAGAAAGACTTTGTTATAGATTACCTTTCGACATTTCCTCATTATGACCAAATCTTGATTCGAGACTCTCTACCATCTCAAGACGAGGCCTATAAGGCGTTCCAACTTCAGAAACATCAGCCATCGGACATCAAAAAACTTGATTTACATTGTAATTTCTGTGGAAAACCGAATCATCTCGAAAAGAGTTGCTTCAAGAAGAAACGAGAATGTGTTTTATCTTCAAAAAACCTTCCAGAATCTCAAGAACAGTGTCAAAGTGATCTTTCTCAGTCTGATTTGAACAACTCATCACCTATTGTTCATGATAAACACCCAGACTTAACATGCAGCAGTGATCCAAAAGAAATTATTGATCCGACAGATGCTTACGACGAAAACTTTGACGAACTTTTACGATGTTATCGGCAACTAATGGAAAGATATAAAAGAAATACTGAGGTAAGAAAGATCGTGAAGATAGACAATGAGAAGTTTGCGGCCACTAATGAGCCATGTCAAAGTAAGAAACCTTGTGAATCCGATAGCAACATCGAAGAGAAAGGTGAAGATCATTCAGGATTTGAAAATGGAGATTTCGAAGAGTTGTTTTACAAACCAGAAGCACCATTATCGCACACAAAAGCCAATTACCAGACGGATTATACCTCAGAATTGTCAAAAAGCGTATTCATGAGCTGGAACAAAGAGAAGTATGATGACAGTATTGATTTTATGGAAATTTTGGATGATTCTCTCTACGCTGAATGGTTAAAAGATGACCCTATAAGAAAGAAATGTTCGGAACTTGATGCAAATCTCCCGAAAGTTGAGAGTGATTGTGCGAATTTAGCAGAGTCATGTGTTTTCCAGTTGATGTCAAGTCTTACCCTTGGTCAGAATAAGCAAATTTCGGAAAATTACGAAGACTACAATCGCTTTTCTAGCTCGTTTCTACCCGCCAAAGGATGTAAATTTAAATTTGCTCAAGAAACTCAATGTTTGAATGGTGCATTGAACCAACAAACCTCGGCCGGATTAGCAAATTATTCGCGAATCGAAGGGAAAGCATGCAAGTTTAAGGAGATATTCGAAAATTTTGGTCACGAAAACTTCTCAAACCGCAAAATTATGAATTCTAGTGATCTGGAAAGGAATGAAAAGACTAAAAACTCAAACTCTGAGACAGATATCACGTCACCTTACCAGAAAATCAAAGGAAAGGGCACAAAATTCAAATCTTTCGATACTATGTGGACCTGTATGGCAAAATGTATTGTAAATTGCTATTTTATTGTGGGAATACCGTATTTTATTGTAATTTGTTGTATTATTTTGAAGGTATTTCTGTTTTTGATTCAAAAGTTCTCTATTTATTTATTACGTTCCGGTAAAAAGTCAACTCAGATGACATGTTGGCCTGTTTCAGGAATGCGAAAAAGCTTTCTGAAAACGCCGGGACGTCGTTTAGTTATTGAGGGGGGAGCCATGGGGTATCTAGGATATTTTAGGGATTTTAGGGACTTTTACATTAACTTTACTCTCGTTTCATGTCAACACGTGTCGCGCCAGTTCAATTCACATCAAGCCCAGTCAAGCCATTTCCCGCCAGTTCGAGCCCGGTCCAACCAGTTCAAGTCAAATCAAGCCAGTGACAATCAGCACCGAGCAACGTCAACTCAACGTGACGTCGAGGACGCCGTCAACCTATGGGAGGGGCGTGTGGAGCCAGCCGCATCTGGGCTCTCATTTGGTCCCGCAACGATAACGAGCAGCCTAATGTGAGAGAGGAACGTGGACGGAAGGAGGAATCAGTCAGAGGGAGTTGGTTGGAATGGAAGGTTAGAAAGCGGTCGTGCGTTTGGCCCCGCTGGAATATTGGATCTGTTGGTATCTTATTTGTATTGTGCTCGCGGCCTGTCAATAAACTATCGACTGTAACTGTTGGATTCGGCGTTTGGGGAGTTGATCAGTTGGGAGGTTGTCCCACTGATACTAGCGGAAGTAGTAGGGACCTGGAATCGGCTGGAGGAAGGACCCAACTGCGTTCCCATTAAACTACCATACTCCTACGTGGCTCTGCAACCTCGCGAGCCCTGCCGGACCTGCTAATCTACCCATTTCCCAAGCCCTACAGCGGCCGATGGATGCCCGGCCGGCTGATCTGCGCTCCACGTCGAAAGGTGTGGAACCGGATGTAGGTTTACGGGGTGGCCAATTGTTGGTTGGCATGTACGCCAATTTGGGCCGGGGCTGTAGTTTACGTACTTATCTTTAAAATGATAACTTACTGGGGTCGAACGTTGAGAAGATAGCGGTCGCCGGGGTGGCCGGCGGGCGGAAGATCGACTGTTTCCACTGTGGCCAGAATGGCCAATTTTGCATCATCTGAAAAAATGATACTTACGAACAGAGTCATCTGAAAAAATGATACTTACGAACAGAGTTATCGATGCCACACGGTTACCTTCGAGGTTCAATTTTTCGCTTTTGTCTGGAGATTTTGTGCAGTTTCGCTGTAATAGTCGGGAAGAGTGGAATAAGTGCGGAAGGCAGAGTCCATTTCTGTAATACTCCAGGCAACACGGCCTGTTACTGTTCACAAATCACGAGGTACGGAGTCCCATTCCCAATGAGCTTAACCAGAAGATGGGCGGGTTGTTTAATGACACATAACAACTGATACCGTCAAATTTAGACATAACACTAATCCTCCGTTATGTCCAAGGACGGTATGCTATACTCCCCGTACAATGTTTTGACCCCCCTCCTAACTCCGTCCAAAGTGTACTAATTCGGACCAAATTTGGTATGTAGTATACTCACAGGCTAGTAACAAAAAATGACATAGCAGGACGTACCTTATAGTTGAATTTCAAAAGCTAGGGGCAATTTTCAAAAATCACCTTAAAAAATCGAGGAAAAAGTTTTGACCCCCCTTAACAAAAAGTTAGATATCGCCAGTGGATGCCACGCAAACTTATTGTAATCGACGTCCCATACCTGAATACAGGTTAATATATGGTTTTCCGTTGAATGCTTCGTTGCATTTGAGGATTCAACGCGTTAAACCGTTTTTGATGCAGAGCTGCCCAAAATTGTAAAAATCTTGCCCTAGCGCTTTCCTAGAGCTCTACATTGGGTTTATATTATGTGCTTTAGACCTGTATTTACCTTCTCCTTTCAATAAAAGTGCATGGTGGCCTGGCGGTGTAGATTCGGCAGATACCCTCTTGTCATGCCCAGCCTTGATGAGCCATTTGCTCTTTGACTCAAGGTCGAGATGTGGTCGTTAGGTCCTTAGTGTAATCCTGAGACTCCTAGTTACTCTCAAGCAAAGAATAAACTCCGGCTGACTCGGTCTCCTATGGTTTGCAGGCGCAACTTCGCCGATCTGCACCTTAACGAAAAACCCGCGTTTTTCAAATGGATTTTTAGCCACCAAAAACGGCTTTCATTTGATGGACCAGGTAATTTATGACGCTACAGCACCCACCATACTCATTTGAGACGTATGAAACGCCAAATGGGAGTTGGGGATGTAGTAGTACTCGGGGTTATCTACAGTAACGGCAAAGTCAAGGTTAAGGTGAATGAAACCCATTACAAAACGTGTCAAATCAAAACATTTTACATTACTGAGAGTAACTAGGAGTCTCAGGATTACACTAAGGACCTAACGACCACATCTCGACCTTGAGTCAAAGAGCAAATGGCTCATCAAGGCTGGGCATGACAAGAGGGTATCTGCCGAATCTACACCGCCAGGCCACCATGCACTTTTATTGAAAGGAGAAGGTAAATACAGGTCTAAAGCACATAATATAAACCCAATGTAGAGCTCTAGGAAAGCGCTAGGACAAGATTTTTACAATTTTGGGCAGCTCTGCATCAAAAACGGTTTAACGCGTTGAATCCTCAAATGCAACGAAGCATTCAACGGAAAACCATATATTAACCTGTATTCAGGTATGGGACGTCGATTACAATAAGTTTGCGTGGCATCCACTGGCGATATCTAACTTTTTGTTAAGGGGGGTCAAAACTTTTTCCTCGATTTTTTAAGGTGATTTTTGAAAATTGCCCCTAGCTTTTGAAATTCAACTATAAGGTACGTCCTGCTATGTTATTTTTTGTTACTAGCCTGTGAGTATACTACATACCAAATTTGGTCCGAATTAGTACACCTTGGACCGAGTTAGGAGGGGGGTCAAAACATTGTACGGGGAGTATATATAATCATTATCCTTATCGATTTCTATGAACTTTGAAAAGGCGACTTTAGCCATAGCGGTTCATCCGTTAGGTTTTGATAGTGCATTTAAATTAGCTTAGTAATATGACGATAGGAAATTTCCATTCTGTTTATTGAGTGCTACATGTTGTCGAAACTAGGGTAAATTAGTAGTATTATTTACGGCTCTACGACCTAGCGAGTCCTGCCGAACCCGCTAACCTCCCTAAAAGCCTTATTCGTCCGCCTTACAGGCCCCACAAAAGCCATCTACAACAACTATAAATAAAACTAATTTATTGACCATCTACTAAACGGGATTATCCTAAACAACGGCCTAGGAAACTTACGCTTGGCGCCAGCCTACCTCTAACACATATTTCATTACATTTCATGTTTATTGCGGAGACTTTCGAGGCCTACGACAAACCCCGACTGAAAATTTAGGACGCCGGCAAAAAATTGTTTTATGAACTGTTATAGTATTAAATTGCATAGGCAAACTTTCGGTTTGAGGGGTTTCTTTAGCGGGCGTTTCATCGCGCAACGCTGAGCGTTATCGGCAAATATTGTTGACAAAAGCGGAGACTTCATCAAGGAAAACGCAAATCAATTACGTTTTTTCGGTGCTAGGTAAAAAATGATTTAAAGTCAAACAAAAAAGTTGAATGTTTGTCCCGACATTGCGACACAATGGTGAAGGTTTAAGTTTTTTTTGGGTCCAGCGGTTTCACTTGAAAGACAAAAATTTTACGCAAAAACTTACGAGATTGAAGAGTTGTTTTCTTGATTTGGACGTTAGGGCTTTGATCTCGTCGACGATAATGATGCCTCGCATTCGCTGGAACCTCATAGACTCTGGTTAAGGCATCTCTGGGATATCTGCATGGTATTACGGCTGTCGCATGCGCTATGACACTGTAAATTTCACGATTGAAAATTCTATACTTGAATTACTTTACGATCCGTTCCATGTTTATTATTTCCATATTCTCACTAGAAAAAGAACGGTTAAAACCGCTCAACCAACCGATCCCATCTGCATAGAAATTGCGAACGCAATCAACAACAAAAATTTTCCGGAACTTACTAAAGGACGTCTTAAATTATTTAAACTAAAACTCAAAAATTTTCGATTTATTGATGATGTTTTGCATCATTACAAAAAAGGGATTTTTCCCGCATTTACATTCCCAAAGAATTAAGGACAAAAATATTAACTGATTTCCACGATGACCACCTTCAAGGTGGTCATCGTGGAATCAAGGTCTACAGAAAAGTATTGCAAACCTCAAAAAATGCGTATTCTGGGACGGAATGGTTCGCGACATCAAACAGTACATCAGCTCTTGTTCCCAATGCCAAATCAACAAGGTGAACCGCGGAGACAAGACCTTGGCTAAAACCATCCCCTTTCAACCAGCACTATCTTTTTGTAATGGTCGACTTTAGAGAGTTAGATAAAGTTTATTAGAGAGAATAACTACAAGAGTATAAAGAGAGTGGAAGCTCTTCCTCGATGATTTCGAGGGCAGCTTATATAGTAGATTAAGTCATTGTAGTTTGGGTTACACACATGGGTACCGTTGCGATGTTAACGGTACTGGTGGGTTCCGCTTACCATCCTGGTATGCGTCCAGCAGAGCTCTGACGCTGGCCCTTACGGGCGTCGATTCGTATAGGTGAATGCTTCAGTATCCTCAATCCCCGGGTCGGTTCTTTCGATATACGGACCATAAAGATAATCAAGCCATAGGATGGTCTCAATTTGATTGGGTTGAGCCGAAGGGTCCCCAGAGATCATAGTTTCAGCAGTTTGACTAAAAATAAAAATCGAACAAATTATGTATGAGTTGGGGTTGTACTACATATATTACGCCCATGAAAATGACGTCCTCTACCGAGCTCAGATTCAGGAACTCAAATTCCAGAGGTGTTTGTGCCTTGGTTGTTCGTATCAACAAAATTTATAAGTCTCATTTTGAAAATGGTGTCTGACATTTAAAAAACACCCGAGTCTATATTGTCGATAATTTGTCATTTTTAGTATGTATTTCCATAGTATTTTAATCCATTGTGTATTTTGACGCCTTTCGCAAACATCTCCAGTAGTTTGTTGTGGACCTTTTCCATATAATCGTCTGGGATTTCCTCCCCATACGTTAGATTCCACATCATCTCCAGACATGGGATGGAGACGATCTTCCTCATGTTTAAGGCCTGCTGGTCATTCATCAACAATGTCACAAGAAACATTGATAATAGCAGTATTTAATTAACTAACAGTACATTGAGGAGGATGTACCGAGGTTTTATATTGTATTTCAAATTTTACTAACCTTCAAACTGTTATCATGATTGTATATTATATTTTTTTTGTAAAATCTTTATGGCTTACATTTCCAATCATTGAGGATGTTGTTGTAGCAAATCTTGTGTAACTTTCTTGTAGTTATGTAATGCAATTTGAGCCCACATGACGTTTGATCATCAATAGAAAATGGAAGCCAAGTTCAAATATGATCCTAAGTAAAAGAAAAAACGGGCGGAGTCTCGCGGGAACGGTTCAGATTGGCCATGATAAACCTTGCAAAGGTCTGAAAAGTTTGCAAGACACGCCGGATGGGCCAAAGCCGACGATCTTCAGTGTCAAAATGACAGAAAATTGCATCTGCAAAACAAAAATGGAGAGAAAACAGGCATCGACTCCTTCGACCGTAAAATTAAAATAAATCCAGTCGAGGACTCGACTGGATGAAATGGAACAACTCCAACGTAACAGTAGTCACAATGGTGGTCGCAATGGTAGTTCTAGGTTTGTTTTTTTCCATTTTTCTATGTTCACGGCTTTTTTACCGAAAATAAGCCGCTTTTGTCGACATTTTTCCGCGGAGACCCCCTGGGTTGCCGTGCGTGAGCTAGGACAGGCGGAGAGCCGAAAAAAGTTGTTGGAGGTTCTTATAAGGCCGGGGAGAGCCGTTGGATGCTCGGCGGAGACTTTTTCTTGTCTTATAATTAGCTATGGCTAACTGAGCCTTCTCCTAGCCTCCCCCTGTTTTTTGTTGCATTCAGCGACAAGCCGTAGGCAACCCAAAGCATCGTCAATTCGAACTGTCGTTGACCCGAAAAGTCGTAGCGCCGGATAAGCGCTGATCAACCAAAAAAACGCTCAATTTCTCTTCTCCTTGTAAAAATTAAAAAGCGTTTGCTTTTTTCTCTGCTCTTTTTTCGTTTCTTTTTTATCAAAAATTCTTGTGTCCTTCTATTTTCAGCCCAAGGCTCGACTAATTTTAGGTCCAAATTCCTCGTCGAAATCGCATTTTCGACCAAAATTTCGCGATGACCTGGTCGAAAACGCTTGGAGTCAGCTTGGCAGCCGCCTCTTTGGTTGGCATCTCTCAAACCAACGGTTTTCAAGGGCAATTTCGGGAGAGTTCGTATTCCGTTGAAACAAAAAGGGCACAAAAAGCAACGGAGTTGGTGGAACGATGGATGGTAAGTGGTCTAGAATACCGTGGAATCTCTGTATAACGAATCGAAAAAAACCAAAATAAATTTTTTTTAAATTGTTTGTTATAGAAAGGTTTTGTTGTAGACAGGGTTTTTCAGGCAAAAGGGGCATTTTTAGAGAGCTGAAAATGTTTGTTATAGAGAGTTTTTGTTACAGAAAGATTTTTTAAAAATGTTTGTTATCGAGAGGTTTTGTTGTAGAGAGGTTTTTACCCTAAAAATTGACTTTTAAGGGAACTGAAATTATTTGTTATAGAGAGTTTTTGATGTAGAGAGTTTTCAAAAAGATGTTTGTTATAGAGAGGTTTTGCTTTAAAGAAGTTTTTTCACCCCAAAATTGGATTTTTAGAGAGTCGAAATTGTTTTTTATAAAGAGTTTTTGCTGTAGAGAGGTCTTCAAAAAAATGTTTGTTATCGAGAGGTCTTGTTCTACAGAGATTTTTTGACCTAAATTTGAAGTTTAAAACCGATGAAATTGTTTGTTATAAAGAGTTTTTGTTGTAGAGGGGTTTAAACAAAAGTGTTTGTTATAGAGAGATTTTGCTCTACAGAGATTTTTTGACGTAAATTTGAATTATAAGACCGCTGAAATTGTTCGTTATACAGAGGCTTTTCAACAAAAAATTTCAATTTTTCAGAAGGTCTCAGGTACTCCCGGCGCAACCGTCGCTGTCTCCGTCGACGGCCGGCTGGTTTATTCGCAAGGTTTTGGGCTGGCGGACGTTGAGAACTCGTCCAAATGCCATTCAAACAGCGTCATGAGAATTGCGAGCATCAGCAAGCCGGTGACCGCAACCATCGCCGCAAAATTGGTCGATAATGGGGCTTTGGACTTGGAGAAGTCCATTTATGTAAGTTGCATGTATGGTCCACTAAAGTTGATAACACAATTCCTATCTTTGAAAATGATATTTCAGGAGTACCTCCCCGACTTTCCGAAGAAGAAATGGGACGGAAAAGAAGTTGATATCACGGTTAGACAGTTGCTTGGACATCGAGGCGGAATTCGGCATTATGATAAGGTAAGAGATGAAACAAAGCGAAGTTTCAAACACGCTTTTAAAACTTTTTTTGGCAATAACCCCGCTGTAAGACCCTCCACAGCGAAACCTCCCTATAACACACATAGAATGCCTTTATATTTTTTTCAGAATCCCGAGACCTCTCCAGACGAGCCCCATCCCAAAACGATTGATGAGTTATACCAATCGTATAATGAGAAGGAGCCAAAATACGAATTCTTGCTTCGGAAACGCTTCGAAAATACGACGGAGGCTTTGGAATTATTCAAAAATGATGACTTAATCAAGAAACCGGGTAAGTTGAAAAAGTCGTACTTAAAAAAATAAACTAGGAACCCCGTATTTTACCTACATATATATTAGTTGAAATTGCCTAAAATTTCCTGTGACACTTTTTTACAGAAAAAACTCTCTATAACAAACACTTTCAAGGGTCGGGGAAAGTCAATTTTAAGTTAAAATAAAAGTTTTTACTATGTATTCATATGATGTTTATACGAAACCTAACGGAAAATTTCCAAATTTCTATAAACCTCCACAACAAAACCTCTCTATAACGACCAATTTCAAGGGTCTTGAAAATCAATTTTTATAACATCATCAGCCTGTCGGGAAAATAATGGGCACTTGTTTTTAGAGACCTCCATAATAAAACCTTTCTATAACAAACAGTTTTTAAGGTTTCAAAAAGTCAATTTTATAACATCCTTAGTCTGTCGGGAAAATAATGAGCACTTGTTTTTAGAGATCTCCATAAGAAAACCTCTCTATAACAAACAATTTCTGCGGCTTTGAAAAGTCAATTTTTCGACATTATCAGTCTGTCGGGAAAATAATGAGCACTTGTTTTTAGAGATCTCCATAAGAAAACCTCTCTATAACAAACAATTTCTGCGGCTTTGAAAAGTCAATTTTTCGACATTATCAGTCTGTCGGGAAAATAATGAGCACACTGTCGCATCGAAAATCAGATCGCCGCCGAGAAAACGAATTTTTTCGCGGAGAAAATGAAATTGCTTTTCAGTTCAGCGAGCGGCATAAAAAATTGTGCTCATTATTTTCCCGACAGACTGATAAAACGCCAAACCGAATCTTCGTACAGCGAAACCCTTACATAACAAAAAAAAATTTTTTGGTACCTTGCGAGTCGTTATGCAGAGGTTCTGCTATATTTTACTCATTTTTTATAGTCGTACCTTCGTATTTTCCCATTTTTTAGGCGACTTCAGCTACACGACTCATGGATTCGCCCTTCTCGCGGCGTGTCTGGAAAAAGCCTCCGGCAAATCGTTCAAAAAATTGGCCTCCGAACTTTTCACCGATCTCGGCATGAACAGCACTTGTTTGGATGTGAACGACAAAATTATTTCGAACAGAGCCCGATACTATCGAAGAAATCGAAAGCATGAATTGGTCAACGTGCCGGAAGTGGACGTCTCTTACAAACATGCAGGCGGAGGGATCTTGTCGACTAGTCAGGATCTACTCAAATTGGCAAATGTTGCGCTGGCTAGGTGAGCTATTTAATATTATCAGTCTGTCGGGAAAATAATGAGAAAAATCTCGCTTCGCCGCTGAAGTGAAAAGCAATTTGATTTTCTCCGCGATACAATTCATTTTCTCAGCGGCGATGCGATTTTCGATGCGATATAGTGGTCACTATTTTCCCGACAGACTGATAAATGAAAAAATCGATCTGCAATTTCGGACATGCATTACAGTCAGATCAAAATCAGTCTGTAATGAATACTAGTCCTTCCGGAAAGTCGCGGAAGTGATTTCTGCGACACGCACTGTGCGAAAACAAAAGTGTTCTTTGCACTGTGCAATTTCTTGCTTTTTGCACCGTGCAATGGGCATTTTCCCGCTGTCTCACCCTGACCTTTTTTGCACAGTGTAAACGCCTAAAATCAGCCCGGCAACTTTCTGGCAGGACTAGTAACAGTGTGTCGGGAAAATAAGGAACAACTGCCGCAGCAAAAATCGCATCGCTGTCGAGAAAATAAAGTGCGTCGCTTCATTTTTTTGGCAACTTTCCGGAGGAACTACGATAATTCTGGAGGCCTCAAGAGTTTTCTCCAAGTCTTTGTTTGGAGGTAGATCACATTTTCCAACGGAAATATTCAGCAAATCTTATTGTTAGAGCAAGCCCCTAGAGTCAGTGTTAAGCCAAAAAAGTTCTGTACAACAAAACCCTCCTATAAACAAAAAAAAGCGAACAATTTTTGACCCGCTGAGGAACCTCTTGCAACCTTTCTTTTCAGCTCTCTAGGTGTCCCTGGCGCATACCTGACTCAAAGTACCATGAAGGAATTCCTGAATGAGAAGTATAGAACCGACGACTACAAGCATTTTTACGCTCTCGGATGGATGGTCACTCCGGATACCAAACAAGTTTCCGGGACAAAACAAAATCAAACCGGATACTTGTAAGTTTGCCAAGGGAGATGTACTGTGTGAGACTCGCTGATTTTTTGAAAACTTTTGACATATATTGGACATGGGGCGTCGCGACACTTTCGGGCAACCACTTTGCGGCCAGCCGACATTTTTTGATTAGAATTACAATTTTCCTCCCGTAATCTACGTAGTACGATAGAAATTGTACATTGACAACTCCTTGGCACTGATAAGTACAAAAATCTATTCAATTCATCCACTGCGTTCAAAGTTATGGGATTTTGTTTTCAAAAAATGATAAAAAATGCCTGGATAAGCTTATGACAGCTATTCAAGCCACTTATACACCTGGAAACTTAATCCGCAACATCCAGTTGTCAATCCCATCGTTTGAATTTCCAGTTGTAAGCAAATTTTGGCCGATTTCAAGACATGTCCGCAGAATCTCCGTGGTTTTTCAAGCTGCCCGCAAAGTGGTTGCCCGCAGGTGTGGGCCCGCCGGACATGGACCGCATATCAACTGCTGAAAATTTTAGCTCTCGCTTTGCAGCGGCAGCCGCGATATTCAACGAGCTTTGCCGTCAAGAGAATAGCCAATTTGCCAAAAAACGTCTTGTTCTCACCAATTTTTGACCTAAAAATTTTACTCATTTCTGTTTGGTAAAATGCGATTTGATGACATATTATCAACATCTTTTATCAGCCCTTTGAACCCTGCAATTTGTTGTACAGAGAGTTGCACTATGATAAAAAATCACTCTATATTTTTCTATGATCGTTATATTTTCCCATTTTTCAGCTACCACACCGGAGCCGCGACTGGCTGCAGCTCGTTGGTGCTGTTCAAACCGACAACTTTGAGCTCAACCAAACCCCCGGCTGGGCCGAAAGGAGTGTGCGTGACCATTCTGGCCAACTGCCAAGAGGTTTATGATGACATAACAAAACTCGGCGAAGAATTAGTCAATGTTTTTGTGGCTGAATCGGGTGATTTGTGAGAATACGAAGTATTATATTAAAATAATAAAAATTGTAATAGACGTCATGATATGTGGATAAATGTTATTATATGGTTAATATATGATGGGAAATTCAAGTAATATACAGTGGGGGACCTGTTCCAATATCAAAAACGTACCATTTTGCATCCGGGAAGCATCAAAAATGTGGCAAAATGCTTCCCACTCCAAAAAGAAAATTTTTTTACTTGGTGAGGGAAGCATTTGGCCACATTTTTGATACTTCCCGGATGCAAAATGGTACGTTTTTGCCACTGGACCCGGTCCCCCGCTGTATATATTTTATTATTATAAAATTATCTTTATATGGTAGTATATGTAATATATCACAAAGTAAAATTATTATATCGCGGAGAAATTTTATAGTTTCTACAAAATACTATGCGAAATTTACAATTGTTCATCAAAATCAGCGCAAAATACATGTTACACAACAGTAAATTCATAAGGTACTCTAAGTGCGACGCTCAGATTATCTTTGAATTTCGAACAGACTTTTTTCACAGGCTACATATCATTTCCTCTGTGCAAAAAATATCGTCTACAACGGACAATTTTAAAAGTCTCATTTGTCAATTTTCGGCTACAACGAAACTCTTTGATGACAATTCTCTCAAGTCTATGTACAGGGTGGGCCACCCAAAACTACCAACTCTTTTGACGTATTTCTCCGCCAATAACGCACCAATTACCATAAAATTTATATCAGATTAAAGCTGAGACATCCCGTTTTTTGACCACCAAATATGGCCTGTCTAAGTTTATGGAGGTACCCGTACTGACCTTTGACATTTTTATTCCAAATTTTGAATGGCCCACTCTGTACTACAGGGGGGGGAAAGTCCAGAAATTTACCTCGGGATTTCGAGCGTATAGTGCAAAGTAGACATGGCTGAGGGGCCGGGGCGGGCCGAAAATCGCGGCCCGGCCCGGGGGCCGGAAGAGGTCGGCCCGGCCCCGGCCTCCTTCAAATTTTCTCGGCCCCGTTGATCGTAGCCGAGAGAACCCAATCCCGAGTAGGCGCTTCAGATTGGATGAAGGGGTTTATACTGGGTCAAGGGGGCTGAACTGGACTGGGGGGTTGTACAACCGACAATAAATTTTTGAAACAAAAAATTACCAACCATTGCCTAAGGTACTTCAAAAAACCCAATCGGTTCTTGGCTGTGCGTTTTATTTTTATTGACAACCCTAATTTTCGCTTTGAGACTGGGAATTTTTGTCATTGGGGGCCGATTGGGGGCCTGGCGGGGCCCCCGGTCGGCCCGGCCCGAGGGCCGGAAGAGGTCGGCCCGGCCCCGGGGCCTTTAAAACTCGTTCGGCCGGCCCACTAGCCATGTCTAGTGCAAAGATATGTCAAGAGTTTTTTTTCAGGCAACAAAATTTGTGGACGCGACAAATAATCAAACCTTTTTGCATCGGGTAGTACAAAGGGTTGAGCAAATTTCAATAAAACTTTTACATCTTAAACCCATCAACTTTATACACGAAAAAACAATAACTTTCCCTTTCCCTCGCGCCTTCTTAAGCTCGCAATTAAAAGCATTATCTGCCTTTTCCCACCTGAAAAACTCAAAACTTCGTTGCCGCTGCTGATCGTATCGGAATTTTGGCGGGGAATCCCTCATTACCTCGTCGTCGGTGACGAGCTTTTAATCGTCTAAAAGACCATAAAAAGAGACAAAAAACGTTAACGGTACATTTTTATCATTGCGATTTCCCCTACTATCAGCCTGTCGGGAAAATAATGAGCATTTTGTCGCATCGAAAATCGCATCGCCGCCGAGAAAATGAATTGTGTCGCGGAGAAGATCAAATTTCTTTTCACCTCAGCGACACGATTGCCGCCGCGGCAACCCAAAATAGGGGAAAATGTTTCCCGTCCACTTTTGAGTTTCGTCCAAACGAAGTGTCACATTTGACAGGAGAAATAAAATAATTTCGAGAAAAATTTGCGCTGTGCAAAGTGCTGGGGCCAAAGCAGCGACGCACGTCAAACTGAGACAAGCCAAAACAGTCCGGTGAGTGGATTGGCAAATTGCCAAAAGAAGACGCGAAAAAACGTTTCGTCGGGGGAGAAATGGGGAATTTTTGGGGCGAGAGAGTACGTGTTTGCGTGTTTTTTCTCTCTTTCTCTGCGAAAAAGACGAAGTGTAAAAAACCGATAGCGAAGAGTCTATTCCGGTCACCGGACTCCTCATTTTGACGTGCGACGTAGTTCAATAACGACCCGCCGTTGTTTTCCCGACAGACTGATATCAGTCTGGCGGGAAAATAATGAGGACAACGTTGCTTCCCAAGTCGCTGAAGTGAAAAGCAACTTGATTTTCTCCGCGAGACAATTCATTTTCTCGGCGGCGACGCAATTTTCGATGCGACAGAGCGCTCATTATTTTCCCAACAGACTGGTAGATTTGGCATGACCAAAAAATCGACTCTCCGATAAAATATCAGTATATAAAGCTTTATTTTCGTCGGACCGCGCGCCTTCGGCACAGCGCGTCCTCGGAGATCTTGCGGATCGGTTTAATCAGGTAGTAAAAGTTGAAGGGATTCGGCTTCGTGTTCTTAATCTCGATGGGCAGTCCCTCGAAGCTCATGATCAGACTGGTGGGGACCATGACGATGCTCTTGAAGAAGTAGCGCCAATCCTTTTCGCCAATCACCTCGGCCATGATTCGCAGCAGAATCGCGAACTGCGGGATCTCCCGCAGACATTTCAGCGTGAAATATTGCGCGTCCATGATTTCCGGCTGCGCAATGACGAAATGATAGAGGACGGGGAACTTTTCCTCCGGCAAATCGAGCGCCTCAATGATCAATTCGTCCAGCGCGTTGCGCGCCACCGTCTCCAAGTCGATCCGTCGCTCCAGCGGGAACTCCTCGAGCACAAAGTGCGCCGTCTCGAGCCCACGGTCCTCGATCGTGTAGTAGGTGAACTTTTTATGCTCCCGAACGCAGGCGCCTCGCTCGTCCAGCACCCGAAGCTCGTACTCTTGTCCGGTGCGTCCGTGCAGGACCGCTTCGAGGACGACTTTCACGTAGTCGTTGGTGCTGTAGCGCTCGTCCAGAATTCGACGAGATCCATCGGGGTAAAGGGACTGGAATTGAAGGGAATTAGGAAAGGAAGTTTGTGAAATAGCAGTCAAAGATCTGTACTATCAGTCTGTCGGGAAAATAATGAGCATATCACGAGAAAGATATAGGTAAATTTAGGTCGGAAAGTAAAAGTTTTTATGTGTTTTTACACTTTTACTATGTGATCATAAATTGTAAAAGATAAATTAGTCATCGATGCGACATTTCCGCTGGGAAGAAGGTGTTTTGGAGGTCATGTTGTAGTAAACAACATGAAAAAAATTTATGGCAAAACTTGCGGCATCAGTCTGTCGGGAAAATAATGAGCACTCTGTCGCATCAAAAATCGAATAGCCGCTGAAAAAATGAATTGTGTCGCGGAGAAAATCAAATTGCTTTTCATTTCAGCGACGAGTCAATCATTATTTTCTTGTGGCCCTCATTATTTCCCGACAGACGCTGTTTCAAAAACTCTGAGATTTTTTTCGCATAAAAATCGATCTTAAATAGCTTTCGTATAACATGTCACCAAAATTTTCAAAAGTCTCGGGCGCAGCTCGAATTTTCGTACAAAATATTTTTTTCGCAAGAAAAATTGACATGCCAATATAAATAAATCTTTTCATAACACTTACATAAGAATAAGTCTGAGGTAGAAATGCGAAGATGTAGTAGGAGCCCTCTTCCACATCCTGATACAGAAACCCGCGTTCGTACTTGTCGTCCTTGAGGTAGGTGAAGTCGTACAACGAATAGTACTCCCTCTCGAACTCCCTGCTGTTCATGATCTCACGCAGAACTTGATTGACCGTGCTGTGTTCGGGCACCCGGATCTCGGTGGTCTGAATGTCCAGCTCGGCCAAGCCATTGGGACAGAAGACGAGGCGGCAGGAGACGGTCTGAAAAAAGTCGTATTTTTACAATCAGTCTGTCGGGAAGATAATGTGCATTTTTTGAGGGCTGCAGTTGCCGGTCGTAGCTTTGCAACGGCACTCAAAAATTTAGAAAAATGTGAATTTTTTTTTTGCGAATTTTGGCATGAAAAGTTTCATTGCTATTTCTATCTGTAAATAGAAGTATTTCCACTAAAAATCAATTTTTTCCGCACAAAACTGGAAAAGATAAAGCCAAAAAGTGTTTTTCTCTCTGACCGTTCTCCGCGTTTCGCGTACTCTCTCGACCGCAAAGCTCGTTTTAGATCTCGGCTACTCTTGCGAAGCGCGAGCTAAAATTCTTAAAAATTGATATGTAGCCTATGCTCGAAGGTTGTGCTAAATTTAGAGAAAATCTTAGCGTCGCACATGAGACTTGTGAACCAAAGTTTCTTCTGCAAACGTCGTTTCGAATTTCCATCACCTTGAGTGATAATACAGTGAAAAACAAGGGGACTGCAGGCTCCGCGAGCGATGGGAATGCAAGATTGGAGACAAAAAGGAAAGTAGTTTTTGATGCTCAAAGTTGTGAAAAAATGGGTACAAAGAAAGGGAAGATGTAGGTTGAAAATCTTTTGCAAAATTACTGACAAAGAAAGTGCTCAAGTGCGACTCTCAGATTTTGAAGAAACTTGGCGAAAATTAAGATTCATTTTTTCGAAAAAATATAAGAGACTCATTGCTTGCGCTTTGTAAAGAGATTTCTAGATCGAAAGCTGGAAAAAATGCGGTAAATGAGGATGACGAATTTCGGCACAAAAAGTTTTGCAGTTATTTCTACCATATAAAGTAATGCTTCCACAAAAAGTCAATTTCTTCGGCACAAAACTGGTAAAGGTATGGCCGAAAAATGTTTTTCTCTCTGACCGCTCACCACGTTTCACGTAGTGTCTCGGTCGTAAAGACCGATGAATATCTCGGCTCTCTTATCGAAGCGCGAGCTAAAATTTTCAAGTATTGATATATGGCCTATACCCAACATGTGCGCAAAATCTAACATGAGGAAAATCTGAGCGTCGCATTTGGCGTACTCCATTTGATTCTATCGACCGCAAATTTTGTTGAATATCTTGGCTGCGCTTGCGCAAGCTAAAACTTTCAGGAAGTAATACGCAGCCTATATTTGTGTAGAATCTAAAGAAACTCTGGGCTTCGCAATTAGAGTACTTCCCTTGTAAATATAGCAACAGAACTTACAATTTTACCCATAAAAAGATCACAGGGATGTTGTAGATTGCAATTAACAGGCCGTCAACACACAAATCAACAGCCAATTACCAGCACTTGGCCAATGAAAGCTCGGATAGTCTCAGTATAACACCAAGTTGTGTTCCCAGCACTACAACTCTAATTGCAGTAGTTTTCAGCGTAGTCAAATCACAGATAATTGGTAGTAATTTAGTCAGTAGTAGCGTCAAAATTCTCCTTCCAACTAGTTCATGGATAGTTCCAATTTCTACGCTTTTTCCCACCCTCAACTTCCGTCAACGACTTTTCAACGGCGCTTTAAAACGCAGTCAACGCGATGGAAATCCCAGTAGACTCCAAGAATATGAAGATAAGATCAAACTAACCCGCTGAACGCCGGCTTTTTATATTGTAGTAGCCTCCAAAAGCCTTGGTTTTTAATATTGTTACAGCCCTTGAAGGGAATACCACCTTCTCGTCTTTTTAAACCAAAAAAGTCCCCCTTTTGTACCCGCCTTATCGCCGGCTTTCGAGCAATTTTACAACCGGACCGAACACACTACTTTTTTTAGGCTTTTTCTTATAACAATCGGCGCGAGAAGCACGGTCTGTCAGCGCTTCTTCCGCATTGATAGTGCGCTGAAGTTTGGAGGGGGAGGGGTTGGAGAGGGCTGAGAATAGGTCATGTTTTGGGAAAGTGGAATAATAAGAGTGGGAGCGTCTGGGGACAGTATCATCAGTCTGGCCGAGAAAGATGAGATTTTCATTTTGCCATCCGTGTCGCAACAAACCAGAGACGTAGCTGACTAAAAATTCTGGGGAGTCGCCTGGGGGTCATCATGGAAAACGTCAAAATTACCTTGGTCCCCCCTTACCATTTTTTTATCCGACCCCGGCCTGAAAGGGAGGCCAATACAAGTTAGGGTTTGGAGTTTGTGCGATCATTCTGTCGGGAAAATAATGTGGATTTGTTACGCCTTAGAATTGCCCATAATCGCTTTGCGACGACTAGTCACGGCTCGAGATTTTTGTGCGACGAGACCCGATATTTTACTGCGACAAATCTACATTATTTTCCCGACAGACTGATAATAGCCGAGTTGAGAATGTCTGGGAGGGTAAGGAAGAGCAAAGATTGGCTCTGAATCATTGGTCAAGTTAAAGAACCATTAGAAAACAAAAAAGATATGGTTGTAAAAAAACATGTTGTTTTTGCCGGTAAGAGCAAGCAGATAACTTTCGCTCAGTTTTTGACGAAACGTGCGAAAATTTTGATTTTCTTTTGCTTTAACACGCGGCTTTCAACTTTAGCGTTAAAGTCATTCTGCTCGATGTGTCCATTTAATTCTGACCTCCGCGTTTCGCGTACTCCCTCGGTGGCAAAGATCGTTGAATTTCTCGGCCGCGGCTGCAAAGCGCGAGCTAAATCTTCAAGAATTGATACTATCTATAGATTGGTTTTTGACTTCTACTGTAGGTAGTCGACCTCCCAGTCTCTTTGCAAGTTCCTCCGCTCTTCCACCGTAACAAATGTTAATTTGTACGGCGTAACAGATCAACTTCCACTTCCCAATTCCTTCCTTTCCTCATCATTGCAGAGGAAAGGAAGCATCGTTCAAGGTCGACCCAAAACCCAGCCAATATGTAATCGGTAGTCAGTTGTAAGAACGGCAATGCGGTTTTCTGGGTATTCCCCCGGAGAAAAGACGTCTGACCGAGCTTGTCACATTAGGGGTGACGATAGGTTGGAAATAGGATCAAAAGGTGTGTAAAATTTAAAGAAAGTCTGAGCGTCGCACTTGGAAGCTTGGGTTTCTACTGTATTCTAATTTAGACTCCACCGAAACAGTTCTAATCCCCATCCCTTTTTTGCCTCAATTAAAATTTTGACCTCATTTTCAACGCAAACGTTTACCACTTTTTATAGTACAAACTCATCACATGCGATCTCTTATCGTCCCATTAAAAGACCGTCTGCTGCGTCAATAACACGCCTTTTCAAAAGTGCGTAGACTTTTTGCCGAGAGGTATACGCCGAGGTCTACCTTAAAGAAGACTGAAAAAATCGCCACAGCGACACATTATGCCCATTATTTTCCCGAAAGAGTGGTATCAATGCGTCGGGAAGGGAGGAATTGTCGTAGAGGCGAGATATTTTGCTGTGACGAATCCACATTATCTTTCCCACGGACTGTCATTGGTATTTTCATAGAGTGCATGGGCATCCCCGCACCATGCCCAAAACGACCCATTTTCGACAAATCCACACAGTTTTCCCAACTGACTGATAACCAGCTCTTTTACAAGCATCACATGCCAATCCTTTATCGTCCCATCAAATGGACCGTCTGTTTCGACAATAACCGTCCGATCAAAACACCAAAAATTTATAAGAAACATTTCTCAGCGATAAAAAGACTGACAGATCACTACCATCTTTCTAGGAAAGCATTGGAAAAGATCAATTAATCTTGAACCATTTATGACCGTGATACGAGCGAATGTATGTTGTCTGATGTGTGTCCGATGTAAAGTGAAAAACAAACATTACAGCGTATGTTATTGCGTACACTTGATAAGAGCATGGTAGCGGAGAGCACGTTTGGTTAGTTTACGACCGAGTAAAACAGAGTCGTTAAAAGTTAAGTAATCATGAAGATCAAGTGTACGTAAACCGTTGACGGAATTTGAGTGCAGGGTGCTTCAAGAAACAACGAAAAAAATGTTGTGCCTTTCAGCTCTCCTTTGCTATCCATCAATTTCTTCTTGCCTCGAAAGCTGAACTCTTGTGTTTTCAGACTACGGAATAAGCTCATTTCCCGGCGAAGATATTTGGAATCTATTTTAAAAATTACATCGTGTTGCGCAGAGAGGACCTTAGCTTTCGACGGGCGTTGAGCATCTTAGTGGTATATAGTCGCACGATTATAATCAACAAAAATTTATTTTAAAAATCAAACCATACAAGGAAAATCTGCGGATGTGATTTTTCAAGTCCTCCAAGGATTCAGGGCGCTCTCGATAAACACGTGGCTTGACGTGGCCCCAGACGCGGTAATCCACGGATGCCAAGTCAGGTGAGTTTGAAGGCCATATAGTAATCGGAAGGGGATTGACAGTGCTGGTGCGTCCGATCCACCGGCGCGGAAACTTTTCGTTAACAAAGTCTCGGACCTTTAAAAGATTGTAATGAGCTGGTGCTCCGTCTTGTTGAAAACAACAAACCTAAAAAAATTCTCCTTGTTTAGGCCAAAACATAAGCTAAATTGAAGATTCAAGCAATCAAGACTTGCCAAGCTTAAGACTCGGCTCGCCAAAATCTCCCAAAAAAGACTTCGATATGTTCCCGAGACGTCACTTACCTGAGATGGCCATTGCCGAATTGCGGCAGCAACTTCCTTTTCCAAAATATCCAGATAATTCTCTCCGTTCACGTTTTCGTCAACGAAGAAAGGGCTGATGAATCATTTCCATCCAATAACAGTCTATACACCATGCCCGGGAGAAGAAAAGGACGATCTTCAAACTACGTAACAGAGACGAACGGAAATGCATAAAGGTATACCGTAAACATAATTTCGGTCGTTACGACCATGCTTCCGCCACGTAACACGATGTAATTTTTTAAAGAGTCACCAAAAATTTCCGCCAAAACAATTTTTCACCTCCTTAGCAGAATTCATTTATTGAACATTTCAAGTAATAAAAAAATAATTAAAACTGAATATGTGTCTTCAAAAACAAAACTCTTCAAGTCGTGTGTAATATGGATATTAACAAACAAAGAAAATCTCAACAATTCTACGCAAAAATAGCGGGATATTCGGGAGATATACATATATGTTCGATGGAGTGGGGGAGTGGGAATCAAGATTTTTTAAAGCCTACAGATTCGTTGAAAGGACAGGTGTAACATCTGTGTTCAGCCATGACATTGTAATCGGATATCAGATCAGAGAGAGAAAACTGGAAAAAAATGGTCGAGAAATGTGAGAGAAATGGAGGGAAATGAAAATCGAAGGGATTTTTCAAGTTTCAAAAAATGCGTCATAATGACATATTTTTTGGAAACATCAAGGATGGGTCATAATTACGTAATTTGAAAAATTTTGAGAATTTTCAGCAGTTTTATGGAAAAATACTCCGTTTTCACAATTTAAAAAATGTTCGTCATGATGACATAATTTTTGGAAAGACTAAGCCCCGAGAAATCCCCAATTTTCATCTCCACCATCTTAGACGATATCGAAATTATGCAAAAATTGATGTGCAATCAAAATTCCAAGTGAAATATTACAGTAGTCATTTACAGTAGGAAAAGAAAGTCTGTGTGAAAGTTGTCGAGACCATAAAAATTAAATCCAAAAACCAGAAATTGCGGGTTGATATAGCGAGTTTGTTTCGGCTAAGTCTGCGAACCGTTCGAGAAAAAAAATGTTACAGTAACCCAAGAAATTAAAGCACTCCTTTCGAGGTTACAGTAATCGGTTTGGGAACAAACAAGTTTGGAATATAGAATTAAGGCAACAGCAGGGACGCTGACAACACTCTTTTTTGGCATTTTCAAGGCGAGGGGTACTGTAGTTGGAAGAAAAAACAAAATAAGTCGGCTTATGGCAAAGAACGGGGGAGAAATTGATAAGTTCTGTAAGAAGAGCGGGAATTAAGGCGTATTTTAGAGAATTGAGGGGATAAGGGGGATGCTACAGTAATCCAAAATGATTTTTTTTTGGGAAATCGATTTTTTGTGGGAAAAATTGGAAAAAACGTCAAAAAATCGGGGAAAATGAAAAAACAGGGTACTGTAACAAGCTCAAAAAAGATTCTGAGTGAGCTACAGTATGCCAGTATACCATTTTCCATCTTTAGAAATCACACTTTGCTGAATTAAAAAATTCGAATAATCTCAAAAAAATACTAAAGATCCCAAAAAAATTCAATTTGGATTAGTGTAACAAACTTCTCCTATCCTCAAAATTGAGTAGAAATAAGCCTGAAGGCCTGTGAAATCATGCGCAATAGCTGTGACACTCCGCGTCAGCTACATCAAGCCCATTTCGGTCAGGCTTTCCTTCTGCAGCTTCAGGTACTGCAGCTGTTTCATTTCCGTCTCCAGTTCGGCGTTGCGTTTCTGGACCTGCTTCAGCTCCGTGTCGGCTTCGAGCCACTTGATCTGGGCGATCAACTTCTCGCGCTCCAACTGATTCAGGTCCATCTTTTCGAGCGGCGTGATCCCGTTCATCTTGTCGAAGATGACGTGCGACAGGCGGCGCCGCTTCAACGACGACGCGTTCGAGAAGGCGGGCGTTGGCGTGGGAATGGGGGCGACGCGAAGGGTGGGCGGCGAGGTGTCCACTTCCAGGTCGTTTTGACCGTTCTGCAGTTGCTGATCCTCTTCTTGCTTCTGATTTATCTGAAAAAAAGGTGATGATTAATAAAAAAAAATGAAAATTATATAAAATTTCATCTCGGGAAAATCACGAGAAACAAATTTAAAATGACAAAGCTAAAAAAATTAAAAAGAAAAATGTCAAAAAATAAGCGGAAAATTGCATAAAATTCAGAAAAATCGCTAAAATTCCAAATTTTTTGTCGAAAATTCTCAAAATTATTAAAAATTTCTATAGAAATCGTATTTTTGAATCTTCCAAATAATTTTTTACACATTCTAATTTTGATATTATTATAATTTCGATCAAAAACATCAAAAATTTTTTTTGAAAAACTGAAAAAATCAAATCTTTCAAAAAAACCCCCAAAAAAATCGTAGAATACCATTGCAGAGAACGTCCGGAATCTTGAAATTGAATAATAACAAAAAGAAAATTCAAAAACTTTGCATAAAATCGACCCACGGCTCCATTAAAAAAAACGGCCGAACCACGGGGGCGGGGTCAAATTTCCGGACGTTCCCTGCAAAAACAAAACTCTCTCTGGACGCTCCAAACATTATCGCTGCATACCTGTTTGGTGAGGCTCTCCAGACTCAGCAACAGCTCGTCTTTCTTGTCATGTATGTCGTTGGTGGTGATCTGGGAGGACTCTTCGCTGCTGCTCGCATTCAAGTCCAAATGTGGGGCGAAGATCGAATTGGGGGAGTGGTTCTGGATGTCCGACAAGTTTTCCAGACTGAACTGCTCGAAAATCGAGCGGTCCAGCTTCTCGTTTCCACGGCCCAACGCCTCCCTTATCAGTTCGTCGAGTTGATCGAATTCCACCGTCGGATCTGTCGCGGATTTCTCGAATTTGTGCTCGAACCGCCGACGCAAGTTCTGCCATGTGGTTTTGCGCAAAAAGTCCACTGATCGCAGCCCGTTACAGCCGTACGCAACACATTGTTCGAAGATCTTTCGCCAGTTCTCCTCCTTGGCCGCGTCGTTTAGTTGATTGTTCAGGTGCGAGAAGAGTTTGTACCGATTGTCCCGGACCAATGTCAGGAAATAGACTTTGGACTCCCAATTCATCCTAGAAATGATCGGAATTAGAGAGAAATCGAAAACATTATAGTAAACATGACATCTCGATAAACAAAGTTCGAAGAGCAAGTTTTAGATAAAATTTTGGAATTTTCTCGCAATTTCAGGGTCAAATCAAGTTCTTGGATACACAACAAAAGACATTATTTTCAATTTCCATCCAAAAACCGACAAAAAATTTCCAAATATTCAAAAATTTAACAATAAAATACCAAAATCCTTTCTAATATAACATAAATCTATTTAAAAATACCCAAACCCATTTTCAAACGTAATTACAGCCCCATTACATCCATTACAATCGATGTAAATAAAAAAAACCATGATTTTGACGAAATGTCACAAAAATTATTGACTGGGACGAAATGTCAAAAGGAAAAAGAATAAATATTTTTTTTGATAGAAATTCGCGGTAAATCTAGGTGTTCTACTGGCCAAAAAGAAGTGAATTGTCAATGGATTCAAGGAGTTTTGCCTCAAATTTGGCGGGATATTATTCATTGGCAATAAAGGTAAGTTGAATATGGAAATTGAGGTAAAACAATGTTGTAAAGCTGGTAAAATACGCAATTTGTAGTTTTTAAATCAATCATAGAGGTGTTGAAATACTAGAGAAGGTTTATTTTGGAAAATTAGACAATTTTTTATATTACACTAGACATTAGATGGAAAAAAAGTCTAAAAATTAATAAAGAACGCTCTAAAAGTAGAAAAAAGTTATCGCAATTTAAAATACGATTAATTACACTAAGTCAGATATAAAATAGACAGATTTAGCAAAATTTTTATATTACACTAGGCAACAGCTGTTCAAAATTATCAAAAATTGTCCGCATTTCGATCAAAAATTAATAAATCCAAACATTTTCGATTTATAAACACCACACACTTCACAACTCTCTGATCTGTGGGGCAAATCAATTTTTATCGGCTAAAGTGCATCAGTTTTGTCTATAAGATAAAAAAGCGAGCGGGGAGAGAGAGATTTCGACATCAGTCCGATCAATTAAACAGATTACGGTGTGCTGATGGACGTAAAGTGCGTTGGGAAAGGTGTAGTAGACAATTTGGGATTTTTTTTGTAAAATACGTGTTTTTATCTTTGACCTAAAAATCCTTATTTTAGAAGTGAAATATGGAAAGAACTGTAAAGTTAGAAGATGGAAAATTGCTAAATACAGATGTAATATACCATAATCTTTATGATAAACAAAAAAAATCGGGGGAAAACGGATAAAAATGAGGAAAAATCAAGAATTTTCCAAAAAATACCTTATCCATGGCTAAAACAAGGTAATTTTAGGTAATTTCACTTAAAAAATGAGAAAAAAGAAAGATTAAAGATTTCAGTAAGGTGTATAAAGTGTGATACAACAAATTTCCCTCATTTTGAACTATGTTACACCTACCCTACGTTAGTTTTACACGGAATTCCAAGTGTAAATAAAAAAAAATATTTTTAATTTTTTAATAAAAAGTAAAGCTGTATCCGCAAAAGTTTTTGCCTCAATCGCCACGAAATCAGGTAGTGACCGCAATTGGAACGAGAAAAATACAATTTATAAAAGACAACAAAAGCGGGAAAACGGAACTCTCGCTTCGCTCGCCCTTTTTTGGTACGGCCTGATACAAACGTGCGGTCGCTGGTGTTAGTGGGGGCTGTAAGCGGGGCTTGTGATCGGAAACCGGTGGTTGGAATGTGTAAAATACGAAACGGTTTTTGGTTTTTCGGAAAATTTTGTGTTCCACCTTATTTTAGGTAAAATGAGGTCCGAAATTGAGGTTTTTGAAGAGTATCTTAGGAAGAAATGGTGGATATATGTAAAATACGCCACCTTTAACCCATGTTTTAATTGAAAATGTAAAACACGCGGTAGAATTTTAATCGTTAAAAAATTTTAATTTTACATCTTATTGAGGTAATGTAAGGTGTAAAATTACAGTTTTTTAAATTTAAGATTGCTGGAAATGCTGCGAGATCAAAATGTGAGGTGAAACGGAGGTTAAAGGTTGTAAAATGCATCGGCTAGTGCAGATAGTTGCCATTTTAGCCTCTTTTTTGCTTAAAATAAGGTGAATAGTTATGAAAAGACTCTAAAAAATGTTGTTAAGGTTTTTAAAATACGATGGCACATGATCACTTTGGTTTATTGAAAGTTTAGCCTTCAAAATGTAAGACATCCCGTGCTGGACTGCAAAATTATGCAAGATACATGACATTCATCATAGATAACACATGTTCTTTGGTCGCTGATCAAAGGAATGACCAGGAAATGAAAAGAAGATGAAAAGCGAGAGAGATAAATCTGGATTTGCGGTTTTTCATGTCGTTTGGTCAGCTGTGAAAGGGGTTTTAACGTAATCAAAAATATCTGGTATGTACATGATTGTAAGTAAATTTCCGGGCTAAAAAATCAAAAAGATGAGGGAAATTGATAAGGAAACGGCTAAAAATTCGGAGAAATTTGTTAAACCGACAAAAATGATGATAAAATACGTTATCGCGAGATTGCGCAGAGAAAAAACTTTAAATTCGAAGTAGTATAGTGAAATATTACTTGTTCTTCCTTTAAAAATCAAGACATTTCGTTTTTTTCCTTGTTTTTTGATTAGAAATAGAGGAAGAGGGAAACTAACTGATCAGCTGGTCAAAAAAGAGGACTTTCTTTTTAACTCGCTCTCTAGACATTTTAAATCTACATCCTGTCCTATTTTAAACTCAAAAAATCCCGTCCCGCCCTTGGTTTCCCATGCCGCAAAAAATCAAAAGTCCTGTTCGCAGGGGGGCGCTGACTCAACGTCGCTGGCGCGGTCCAAGTGTGCTACACTTCCGGATCGCCCCAACAATCGATAGTCGACGCAAACGGGCTTATGGGTGTGAGGGCGACGGGCGGAAAGACGGCGGGGGCCTGCTTGTTTTTACAGACTCACCACTCGGGAGATCGCCCTCGCCTACAAATACACACAGCCAGCCCCCCTCCACACACCGCCTCTTACACACCCCGCCGCCGCCCTCAGCGCTCTTACATTTTCGCTGCGATCGGAGGGGGAAATCGGTTTTTTTTTCGGCTTCTCCCTCAAAACGAAGGTCTCTACCCCACCACCACTTCTCGTCATTACCACCGCCCCAGCCCGAGACGGAGGGTATGCGAAGGGAGGGGTAGAAGAGGGAAGGCGATCGGCGGATTACATCCCATGAATCATCACGGCAAATTGTCATCAAGGCCGCGGTTTACGCGGCTTTGGGGGTTCGCCGAAACTTATGGCGCGGTAAAAGCGATCACGGTCGGAGAGGGGGCAACGTTTAGAGGGCAGGTGAATAAACGGTGGTCGTAAAAATGTCGTAAATTTGGATGAAAAGGTCTTCAATGCGGTGTAAACAAGTTTGCACTCGGCAAGGAGGAGATCTTTGAGGATTGCTCATAAAAAATATAAAAATTCAGCGCTACAACAGAAAATATGAACTCCAAATTTCGAGAACCACCCGAATTTACAAGTAACTCGAGAAATAACAGCCAAAAACTTTGCAAAACTACACCGTCGCGTCCAAAACGACTCGAGTTTACAATTGCGTAGCGCAGTAAAACTCAAAACTCCGAGTTGTTGATTTAAGTCGCGCGGTCCTCCGCTTCTGCCCCCCTTTGTTCGAATATTGAATAACATTTTTTCAGATAGCAATCGAACGCGCTTTGAGTGATGTCTATAGTTACATTCGCGAGGCGGGTGTACGGATTTGTAGGAAAGGAGGTTTCTTATTGGTCCCGGAGTTTTTATTTTGGGTTTACATTAGGTTAGGAAAGGGTGGGCGTAATGTCGTGTATCAGTCTGTCGAGAAAATAATGTGGATTTGTCGCAGTAAGATGTCTCGCCTTGGAAACATGTCTTGCCCGGTCGCTCACCAAATTCAGAGCCTCCGCTGGCCGTCGCAAAGCGCCGACGGGCGATTCCAAGGCTCTATAAATCCACATTATTTTCCCGACAGACTGATATGACACCACCAATGGGAAAATGAGGATATAAAATGTTATTACGATAAAGTGAAAACTTGTCTCTTGTTGCGACTAATCGTACGGGACTAAAAAATTATTCGTTATAGAGGAGTTTCGTTGTACGGAGAAGCATTTTGACCAGAAATTGCTTCAATTGGCCTCGTTATAGCCTAATTTTGGCCTTAAATTTCCTTTGGACCTTCAAGTTTGTCCGTTAAAGCCAGATTTTGCTGTATGGGAGTCCGTTGTAGCGAGGGTCCACTGTATTTTTTAGAGCATTTAGAAATACGGTGTAACCTCTTTACAACGAATTCTCATACAACGAGATGTGGCTTTAACGGACAGTTTTGAAGGTCCTAAAGAAATTTTAGGCCGAAATTAGGGTATATCGAAGCCGATTGAAGCAATTTTAGGCGTAGATGCTTCTCCGTGCAACGAAATTCTTTTATAACGAATAATTTTTTGGTCCCATTCGATTCTTTGTACAGAGGCTCAACTGTAAATGGGCTTCACCCACTAGACTCCCCAGTCCTCACAAATGCCCCCCTTTTCCCAATCAAAACTTGATATTATCAACGACATGTCGGGGGCCCGGTCTGGAAGCGATTTCCCCGCCACACAAAAAGTCCAACAAATGGTTTGTATCGGCGGAAAAAGTTGTGAAATTCAGGGAAGGCCGTTGTGTTTACATTAGATTATATGTGAGCGGAAAGTTCCTCTGGTCTTCTGCAGAATGATCGGGAAAAATAACATTGTAAATACAGACTGGCGGATGAATCGGTAAAGTGCAAAAAGAGCCGGAGGAATTTTTTTTTTGGTCTGAACGATCTGATGTACTATTAGGTGCAAAAATCAGACAAATCGCTGGGTGTAAATATCAGTCTGTCGGGAAAATAATGAGCACTCTGTTTTGTCGAAAATCGCATCGCCGCGGAGCAAATGAATTGTGTCGCGGAAAAAATCAAATTTTGTTCCAATTCGACGGGATTAGGCTGCGAC